AAAACTAGTCCACCTTCCAAATGATTTGGCAAGAAGGTACACAGACACCACACACAGAGATGATTATACAATGTAACATGTGCTCAATCTGCGGACAGAACTGTTTCGTCCTTTGTGGACTCATGAGCGCATCATCGCATGTACATTATAGGTTTTGGGAGCTTCCTGGGATTGTTGGTATGTCTGTTGGCTCTGGGTTCCCAGTAGATCTACTCAGTTGCGGCGAGGCTGGTTGGTAAAGCAAATTCACTTCAAATTACCAGTGCATCTAGTGTCTGCTTCTATCTAAGAAGCGTGCGGTCTATACAGGTTACCCCACCAAGTGTAGGGTGGGCATAGGTAACTGTCTCGGCCGTCCTATTCTGATGTCTTTCTGGAATAATCCTTGGCTCTCCACCAGAGTCTATCTATGCACGCATACTTCGTAGATTCGGACAACAGTCAACAGCTGTTGGACACGCTGTGACGGTAAGATAACTTCCCTCCTCCTTGTGTGACAGACACATCCAAACAGTCAACACACTTCGTCAGGTCGTGATCGTGACAAACTGTCCACACTGTAGATTTTCGGGGATGCGACCGCCTCCTATATCCTGAGTCTGTCCTCTCATCTAGCGCGCGAGACCGCGAGTCGACAGACAACGGTGTGTGTTTGTAGCAGCCGCGGTCGAGCCTCGGGTGCAGTTCTGCAGAAAACGTGCGACACGTGCCTGGCCGGTTGACATGCACCCTGTTTTCGTCACCAAATGCAGAGTACATGTCATGTAGATCTACCATGCACTGGTGAAAACCAGGCACGCGATACGAGTACAAAGTACAATATTTATGTCAATAATATGATCAGTGTTTTGGCATTGGAAATGTATTGTAGATATCCACTCGTACATCATTGTCATGCATATGTAGTCTGTCTGCACGGTTCTCCCGGATGGACTCGTGTAAACAAGCCGAAGATAGATGAGCAGCGGTTACGGCACTATGCTGAAGTCACTGGGCGGCATGTGGGATATCATACCCAACGGACCTGCTATGTCACACAGAAGGTCTCTACACTAACACACAAACACACACACACACACACACACACACACACACACACACACACACACACACACACCACACACACACACACACACACACACACACACACACATACAGTAGATCTACATACCCGCACATGGACATGGCCTAGATTTTGTAGAAAGTAAAATCTACATGTAGCACTGGCACTAATTGGCAGCAAGCTCCGATAAATATTTCGCCTTTCTCTCGTTACCTTTGCCGCTTTGGCTCTGGGGACGTAGAGAACTATTCACAAGGGCTCCGGTTGGTGACCAATACCAGGGTTATCATGGTTATGACTGTGCCGGGCCCAGCAGGCTGCATTGATCGCGAGCAAAGTCGTCGAAGCTAAACTACGAGTCACCGCAGAGGGACCCGATTCCAGAGATTGGCCCGAGACGGATACAGGAGCCTTCGCTCGCTCTTCGAGCAAAAGCCGCGGAGTGCAACCTGGCGTGCACTCGAGCAGGTGGTAGAGAGACTCTATAATACTGTGCGGTCGGTGAAGAAAGATTTCAGTTCACTTCTGGGTCACGTTGTGGAGGATAGACGCGAGGCGGACTACTACTAACCTTACCCGTGTTGCCACTGCACTTGACGGTGGCTGGTACTCCTCCATTGATCTACCCGCGCTGCAAGGGCTACATTGTTCTAGGTTCTCGTGTGCTGGATCCCACGTACCGCTGAAGCTAGTCCGGCACGCTCGATCCGGGATTATCGCCTGCCTTCAGCGAGGACAGAAGCCGAACCTACATTGCCTCGCACAGTCGTAAAGCTGATTTCCGCATCAGTTTTACATTCACCTGATTCGGGTATTCACCTGCTACAAACGAGCATTCACCTGTTACCACCGGGCAGCAGCTCTCAGCCTCGTCAAGTATTGTACTCACGGTAGTATTGTAGCTCCAAGTAGACCTGCTACATATCCTTCTCTCGCTTTTGCAACTACCGAGCAATAAAGAGGCACATACAACGGGCACTGGCATTGGCTTTGCTGGCGGATAGTAGTGACTGACGGGCTGGACAGGGTGCTCGTACCCAGTATCCCTGAACAGTCTATCCCTGCATCTCCTTTCGCTGACCGATTCGCCAGATCTCATTGCTGCCATTCACGGACTCGACTAGCCACAGAAGCAGGCCCCGTTCACGCTGCAGTCTGCTGAAGGTTCAGACAGGCTTGAAATCAGTCCAATAACGTTATTGTCAAAGCATCAAAACGGATCGAAACAGAGTAGCCGCACTGCACTGGCCAAGGCAAGAGGAAGCATCCTGGGGAAATCCGACCTTCATATTGTTGTGAACTGCACTGCGGGTAAGTTGTCATATTAATAATGCATACACCCGCTAGGCTAAGTTTTTCCATTGCTAGGGAACTGTTGCTAAGGGAGGGGTGGGGGGGGGGGGAGGGGGTGCATGGCTGGCAATGGGTTATATTGCATGGCTCTTGCCAATGTGGCTGCCAACGCCCGTACCGTAATGAACGCTGTGTTTGTGGAGTATTGAGTAAAATAACCGATATCTTTGAAATGGTACAGGCAGGCATAGTGGGATGGTCTGAGACCATGATTGAGAAACAGAGGGTACCATGTTCAAGTCCTGCTTGGAAGCGGAAGGATTTTTCCAACCGTACTGCGACCCACAGTTAATTGGGAACTCGTGGCCTGTCATGAGGGAAACATGGATGCAACGAATGGGATTTTTGGTCTTTGACCACTTTGCTGGTTGGCTGATCTAGTCACATCCCACCGCTTTAGGAGCTGCATTTGCGCCTTTGATCTTTGCAGGGTGGTGGCGTTCCTATGGATGCTGAAAACTCAGCCTAACTGAGTCTCAAGCGAACCATAAATTTGTTTTGTTGAAAAGGAATGTAAGCCAAGCATCCATCCCCTCTATCACAGTGCCATGTTCTTCTTCTGTTCACATTCCATACAACTGCAGCAACATGACACGGGCACTATGTCATGCAAAGTCCTGGTGGTGACAAGAACATTGTGTGCATTATAACTATCAACCAACAAGGGTAAGCCAGTGCTGTGATCTATATGCATGTACTTGACCTCTAGATTTTTTTTAAACATTGGCGCCGAAGAATGGGCCGAAATACAGGCTAAAATGCCACCGAAATGAACAGGCCAGCCTGGAAGCAAAGATACAGTGGGCGCGCCAGTGTGTGTGTGTGTGTGTGTGTGTGTGTGTGTGTGTGTGTTTTATGTAACAGTGCATGCACAGTGTTCATGTATATTGTACTTGTGCTCAGTGAATGAACAAGCACAGAACAAGAACAAAGATGCTGGAATCTTGAACAGGACCATCGCTAGCTGGCCTGAAGCAGTTGCCCCCATTGTTCGGTGCTCCGTGTTACTGTATAGTTTTGGCAAATTGCACAAAGTGCAGAGCGTTTCAAACGAGGAAGAGAAAGAGGCCCTGTTTGTCCGAGTCGGCATGACGAAACCACACTGGCCCTCTTTCTCTGTATATTAATCAGCCGTAGTTCTGCATCCACAGAACTGAATGCGGCAGCGGAACGCCTGGTCATTTGGCAGCGCTCGGTTTTTTTAAAATATTTATATTATTTTTTTATACAGAATTTCACATTTGGAGGCATTGGCAGCGATGGGAATACACTGCTAGTTCTTGTGTTTAACTTTAACCGTATCCTACATACGACCATGTGTATCCACCTGCCGTTAGGGGTCGTCCGTATTTTTCGAAAAATTAAAAAATCCGTCCTCAGGCAGAAAGGGGGTGGGTGGTCAAGAGCGCTGGCGGAATTTAATTTTTTGATTTTTCGTACTTTTTTCTTCGTCAGTGACTCATACACTCGTTGCACTGACTCGTAGTGCACTGTAGACGTAGTAGTGTAGGATCGCAAACACCAGTATGATATACCGGTACATGACTTTTTGTGGTTGTAGGACGTGCATGGCCTTCGGTATACCTCCTACTCACTTTACTTAGCTACTAGTACTTGACATACATGTACATGTACATGTACATGTAGGTGCAATCAGTGAACATGGGGTCAAGAGTTCTTATTTTCGAGCTGGGCATCGGTAAAAATAAAAAATTAATGGGGAAAAAGGGGGGGTCAGAGACAATTTTGCACGAGGACGGATTTTTTAATTTTTCGATAATTACGGACGATCCCTTACTACCTTGATATTTTTTAGTTGAATGATAAGTTTTCCGAGCATTACTGTTGGAACACGTCCATTTTCTTGCACTTCCCCAGGAATGCCATACACACTCGCTGACAGCATTACTTATGCTTGTGTTCTATTTTGCATGTGTGCGCATGGTTCTGTGGGTGCATCACAGACCAATACCTGATCATCCCCACGGCAATCATGTCAGTGTGGGCTGATCCACAAGTGGAGCTGGTCCTGCGTGACGTCAGGGACAGGATGTATAACGACTGTGACATACTGAGAAGTGACTGCATGTCCAAGCAACTGATCTCCAGGAGCCAGAGTGTCACTCTACGGTCTATAACGAATCCTCAAATTCAACTGGAGCATCTCATCTCCATGCTGGCAGCTGGCAGTGGACAGTCATTTCAGATTTTTGTGGAAATCCTCAAGGAACATATTGTGGTAGGCCAAGAGGATATTTACAAGAGGTTGAAGGATGCATCATCCCAACATGTGGGCACCAGCACATACGGTAAGCCATACATTTGTAAGATCTATTTAAACAAACTCCCTATTTGGTCAAGCCAAACGGGTTCATTGAAGATCATCGTCCACCTGCCCCACATCCGAGGGCTGTCCGGTCAATTTTTTTCTGTGCACCACTGAGTATTGCCAGAGTTAGGCAGTGCTCCTGAATGGAGCTCACACTTCCTACAGAAATTGCGGCCATCGCATCGATCTGAAAAACTTGAATTTCGCACAAGCATCTGCATGCCACCCTCACTCAAGGAGCAACCAGTTTGGGGAATAGGAGGGTTTGTCAATTGCTTTGCCATGCTCCGAGTGAGTGACAGCTTAGAGCTGTGTGAATATGTACGTATGGCAGCTGGGCAAGGCCCTGCTTCGGAGGCTGAGCGAGCCGTATTGTGAGGCTGAGTGAGCCAAGGCTGTGTGAGTCGTCCGAGTGTGAGAGGCTGAATGAGCCGTATGAGAAGCCTGGTAAGCAAGGCTGACTCCCCTCCATATAATTATTTGTGTCAGAGTTTACCTTTTAAAAGGCCTACCATAATAACGCACATATAAGCAAATGCGCTTATAAGTGAAATTTTGCTACAAATCCAATTTTCAAAAATGAAAATTAATAATTATTTAAAATGTTTTCACATAAACGCGCATGCGCGATCAGGGTTCGTTTGCCCGAGTCTTTGTGTTTGACTACGAAGTAGGTCTTGTCATGTCAGTTTCATGGTTCCCGTATGCTGTTTGCAGACTTTTATCCATGATTGTTTCAAAGTGAGAATTGTGGTGGTGCTTCGCCTATAACTTAGTATAAGAGCATGCGCTTATAAATGAGAGTGCGCTTATATTCGAATACAGGCGTGTGCGCCTATATGTGCGTTACTATGGTAGCTAATGGGTCTCTGTAAACAAAATCAGGCATCTGAGGTGTACAAAACCGGCTCTGCGATCTTTTTTCGTATGTACTGTCGGCATAGGTGGAAATCGACCTACCCGCACCAAAGGGTTAAAGCGCACTAATTCCAGTCACGGGCTCTAACATCAGTCACACAGTCACACCTTCTTAGATACCAGTCACACACTGCAAGTACACTCCTATCTCTCATGTCCGGGCAGTCTGGGACTGGGCACTGCCCATAACTTCTATAGACCTTATTCGATAAACGTCACAATCACGTGAACCGGGGTCCCGGGAACCAGGGAGTGGCAAGAGACCTGCACTCAGTGCACAGTGGACTCGGCGTGGGAACATAGGAGTAGATAAATACCGGCATTTTACTACTCCCTTGTACGAACTGAGCCTTTCTTGCCACTCGTTTCATGCACGCGTGCCCCAGCTTACGACAAATCCCTGGAGGCGAGTCCAAAAATCACGTTATCGAATAAGGTCTATACTCGGATACTGAGCCAGTAAATAAAAAATACCGTACTCGCGCGATTAGTGCCCCTGGGGCTAGGCCTTGGCGGATAATGCTCGAAAAGGTGGCAGATTCTGCTTTTTTTGCACCGAAATTGGCAGAACCATACAAACCTTACGGCGGGCAATTCCTCGAATTCTGCTCCATTTCTTTATCCACATACCAAACATGCATGAAACTTACCAGAAAAAGTACCGAATTCTGCCAATTTTTCTGCCGGCATTATCCGCCAAGGCCTACCTGGGGCACTATTTTTCCAATGTCCATCACAGATGGGGCACTATTCAAGAGAGGGCACTATTTTTTCAAAGCTGGTACATTTACGTCATACAGCCTAAAGTGTACTGTAAACTATCACAACTTGACAGAAATGGCAACAAGAACTGCGATTTTGATCCTGAAACCACCAGTGCAATGACACGGACAAGAGCATTAGCAAAAGAACACCAAACTTGGACATGCGTTTGGTAACAAGCGCGACGGGCGGGGGGGGGGGGGGGGCACTATTCAAGAGAGGGCTCTAATCGCGCGAGTACGGTGTCGTCGGGGGGTCACACGGTTAATCCTCGGCGATAGCCCTTCCGATTACTCTCGATATCTCATATCACACGGACGCCACACTCAGAGAACAGATTATCGTTGTTGCTCCAAAGAGAGTCTCAAGAAGAAGGCACCCAAAACAACCAGAATGCGTATCATAAGTATGCAAGCATGCGCACAACAACAAGAACATGTACGATAATCATGCAAGCATGCGCAACCGGCGCAGTCCGCACACACGTGCCAAAAGGGGCACAAACTCTCCAGAAGGGCAGGGACAACATACGGCCACATGAAAAAAAATGCATCCTCTCCTGAGGATGGGAGAGAAAAAAATGAGAAGAAAGACAGGAGAAAAAGAAATCAAATGCGAACAACATACACATGCGGATACGCAAGGCCAAAACAGTAGGATACATTAGTAACTCCGGACAACAGGGGGGGGGGGGGGAAGCCAAAGCAAAGGGGTGGAAAGAAAACAGACTAGGCCCACCAAGAGTACATAAACCAGAGTGTGCAACTCGGGATGGTTCCTGTGGGAGCGTAATTCGTGCACTACGTCATTTCTGACGGCATGGTAAGCCACAGGTACGGTGAAAGGTTGCGTAACCAGTCACGGTGGTGCAGGTCACTGAGTTTGTCCTGATTTCGGTTTTTTGAAACGGATAGCCTGGTGAATTTACTTGTCAGCGGATGTACGCAGCATACGCAGTCACACAAAAACACCGAAATCCTAAAACAAGACGACTAAAATCATGTAAACTTGGTTAATTTCCGGTCTGTGAAACACGAAAATTTGAGCTGTACGCAAGTCGCGGCTTGGCTGACCTCACCAGGGTGACGTAGTGCACGAACTGCGCTGTTTCAGATCTGATATGCACAGTTGCACACTCTGGTTTATGTACTCTTGGGCCCACCCATAGAGGGAACCGCCATACTTTCAGGCGTGGGCCCCCGGAAAACAACCACCTCGCCCTGGTGCGAAGCCAAGGCAAACCGACGGTACTGCGAAGACCGCGGCAGCTGAACCGGGTGACCAGTCATCTGACAGCACAGGAGTTGTCCGGAAAACCATCACGCAGCCGATGGGGCTACGAAAACTCACAGAGACACACACAGAAAGAAAGAAACACGGACTGACGCAAACATCTCAGCAATACCAGGAGCCAAAATTCAGACAAAAAAACACAAGAAGGAATGGCAGAACAGCAACGTTGAACACGCCTACGGAAACAGGGGCAGTCTATCAATGAGGACACCAGATAGCACACAAACAAATCGGTCACCAATACGCAAACAAAAATTAACATAGAAAAACCACAGGGCGCTACCCTGAATAGCCACAGGCCTCTAACCTGAAAAAACCCCACAGGGATTGAACCTGAATATCACGCGTGAAACACATCCGCTCACGAAACACAAAAAAACACCTCCTGAACCCTACTGGGACGCACAAAGGCCAGCCAGCAAAACACAGAAACCGAACACCCGCAAGGCGAACCGATACAAATAAGCGCTGGATCCCACCAGCAAATCAGGCAGACCGTGGCTCACCATGATTGGACGCCCCCCTAGGTGAAATGAAGAGACCCACGTGCCAAAACACAAATACAAAACACGCTCACAGAAAGATTGCCACCCGGACCGTCAACGAGAATCTCAGAAGCATGTTACACCACTGGGCGACGGCCATTCCACATGAGCGGGACAACCAGGCGGAGCACTAAAACGCTCGACACAAAACATGGATACGAGTAAAATGAAAAAGAAAGAACATGTACCTGAAACTGGAAACAACAGAGTACGAGTGTCACCAGACTCACCACATCGAGAAAATCGATGGGGACATCTACCAAACCAATCGATTGACACAGGATCGGAGCAATCCGACGACAAAGCAACGACGTGCACCAGTGCACAACACAGGGCGAGTAAGCAAACACGAGCAAAGCTACCCATGGCCATGCTGACTACCAAGCAACACGATGAGCATGCACGACAGCACGGACAACAGAACTTTCAAGTCAGAAGGTGTGAAAACACAGTGCACACGACCACTCGAACAGCCAGAGGCCGGAGGGCGACAATGTACACTGGTTCAAAACACCGCACACACAACGTGGGCCACAATCATGTACTAACAGGAGCGAGGCTCGAACGAGGTACTTGTACACAAGAGAACAACACGGGACTTCAATGCCATGAAGCGAAACAATTATTTTGAAAATCCCAAATCGAAGACTAGTACCAGGAGAACTACGTACAAGGTACAACACATTACGCAGGGCAGACAAAGCAGGCTCACCTGAGTAGGAGCTCCGAGGACAGGGTGGAGCAGATGGAGCAAAGCGGAGCCATGGCGAGGACGCGTGGAGAAGGCAAGATTTGAAGCCACGGCGAAAACGAAAACGATCTCAGGGTCGTGGGGAACGATGCCACTAGCTGGGCGCCAATTGTCGTCGGGGGGGGGGGGGGGGGTGTTATTCCCTCGCACGATAGCCCTTCCGATTACTCTCGATATCTCATATCACACGGACGCCACACTCAGAGAACAGAGTATCGTTGTTGCTCCAAAGAGAGTCTCAAGAAGAAGGCACCCAAAACAACCAGAATGCGTACCATAAGTATGCAAGCATGCGCACAACAACAAGAACATGTACGATAATCATGCAAGCATGCGCAACCGGCGCAGTCCGCACACACGTGCCAAAAGGGGCACAAACTCTTTTTTTCTTCTATTTTAAATGTACCATTTTTTTTCAAAGGTGGCCAGATCTGTGATACAGACTGGAGACTGCACTTTTATTGATTCTGGCAAGATTGATTGCCTGCAATGGGTGTCATGCCACTCATGAAATGATACTTTACAGCTGTAGATGCATGTCATAGCACTCCAGCTAGGGTGCCAAGCAGTGTAGAAAGGCAAAAAGATAATTTTATGGGTTAGAAAAACTAAGTAAGGTGGATCCAGGTACATGTACCCCAGCAATGCCCGTCACATGATTCTGGCATGTACACTATTTAATCCATTTAGCGCTAAAGACGTACTGAAGTATATATACTCAATCTGCGGACAGCATGCTGTTTCGTTCTTTGTGAACTCATCAGCGCAGCACAGAGGAAATGAGGCCGAACCTGATAGCAATGGAAATAAAAATTTCCAATCAGGCCCGAACGTACCTTGCCAGAGTGCTCAAACTGACAAGTCAGTGAGCTCTGCATAAAGCAAACAGCAAAGGCACTACCCCACGCAAGAGTGCTCAACTGCTACAAGAGCAGGAGCGAAATACTCAATCTGCGGACAGAACTGTTTCGTCCTTTGTGGACTCGTCAGCGCAGCACAGAGGAAATGAGGCCGAACCTGATAGCAATGGAAATAAAAATTTCCAATCAGACCTGAACGTACCTTGCCAGAGTGCTCAAACTGACAAGTCAGTGAGCTCTGCATAAAGCAAACAGCAAAGGCACTACCCCACGCAAGAGTGCTCAACTGCTACAAGAGCAGGAGCGAAATACTCAATCTGCGGACAGAACTGTTTCGTCCTTTGTGGACTCGTCAGCGCAGCACAGAGGAAATGAGGCCAAACCTGATAGCAATGGAAATAAAAATTTCCAATCAGACCCGAACGTACCTTGCCAGAGTGCTCAAACTGACAAGTCAGTGAGCTCTGCATATATATATATATATTGAGCACTTTTTGCCGACGCAAGAAATACTTCTATTGTTCTATATATATTATATATATACGTCAATGAAAATGACGCTCAGGCGTTGAGGACGTATATACCGTATTTCCGCAAATAAAAGGCCGTCCTCGTATACAACGCCTTCCTCGTATACAAGGCCGGGGCAGGGGGCGATTGAAAAAATAAAAGACCGTCTCCGATTAGAAGACCGGGCCTACTAAATGAGTCTTTGTTCTTGTGTTAAAAATGGAAGACCGTGCTCAAACTGTGGGAAAAAAAGAAGACCGTGCTCAAACTGTGTAGAAGAAAATGGAAGAACGGAGGTAAAACTGTGTGGCGAGAAATAGAAGACCAGGGTCAAACTGGGTTGAAAGAATAAAAGACCGTCCTCGAATACAAGACCGTCCTCGATTATAAGGCCGGGTTAGGGCGAGGTTGAAAAATAGTAGACCGGCCTACTATTTGTGGAAATACGGTATACGTCTTTTTCAATGCCAGATAAAGAGTGCAGAGCCCGGGTGCAATAACCTGTAGCCTTATTTTGGGTTTATAATAGAGACGCGACCTTTTATATTTTCGATCCACGCTCAACATGTACTACTATTGGAGACATACTAGTATTGGAGACGTGTACGTTTATAGTGGGGGATACGGTACATTTTGATGGGTAAGGGCCAGCGATCTGGGATATAACGTCACTATTTCAACAAAAAAGGGGCAGAAGAGTAGTAATATTTCCACTACAACTTGCCCACAGGGTGCCCGGTAGATCGAGGTGATCATAACTTCGAGGTACGGATAAGAGAGATATGAGTGCAGTTCTCAGATACCGTTGAAGTAACACACTTCAAGTAGTTATTCAGATAGCAGTCACATTGTTTTCCACGTCCCAGATTCTAGTCAGATACAATCCCCTTTTCACTAGTAGACTATACAAAAGATACCTTCTAGACATCAGCTTAGGAGTTGCAAACAACGGCTATCACAAAGAATTTCAAATTTCTCAGGACCCTTATGTCCAGGCAGCTGCAATCCATAAAACAATGATACCGTAAAAGCCACTGTATAAGCCCCGGGCGTATAGAATAGCAGCCTCGATTTCCTGGGCGTATACAAGGGCACGGGCGTTATTTTGGAACCAGGCGTATACTTAGAATAGGGATAGCAGTAAGTATTGGGTATCAGTACCCATACATGTGAAGTAGTCTTCTCCCCCTGGCCCCCGCCACACAACAACGCAAACTCTTGGTTATATCTTCAGTACTGATATTCTATCAACAAATGGAGAGGGCGCAGGAGGAGAGAGACAAACTTTGTGAGGACAAAACGACGACGGGAAAGACTCCCGGGAAAAGACTCAAAGAAAACAACAAAGAACAAGCAGTAATAAACCGACGACAAATCGAGACGACCAATCAGGGACCAATACGTACAGAACACATGACCAAGACCAAGACAACCAGACCACGGACGAATCACACACACGACTCTCATTCCCAGACCAAACTAGCACTGCGCATGTACAGCATTCACTTGACAGTCACTCTCACACAGACGGAAGCACATCCTCACACTCTGACAACGCGTACTCTTGCATGCACCACATACCATAAACGTCACACATCACACCATAATTGTACGTACACTTAGACCATATATGACATCAGACACTGGTCTCCACAAGACAAGAACCAAATACAACGACATGCGTAAATCATAGTCGTAATACAAATTCGCAACACATGTACCATGATGTACTGGTGTTGCCGGCATACCTGGGCATACCTGGGCATACCTGGGCATACCTGGGCATACCTGGGCATACCTGGGCATACCTGGGCATACCTGGGCATACCTGGGCATACCTGGGCATACCTGGGCATACCTGGGCATACCTGGGCATACCTGGGCATACCTGGGCATACCTGGGAATACCTGGGCATACCTGGGCATACCTGGGCATACCTGGGCATACCTGGGCATACCTGGGAATACCTGGGCATACCTGGGCATACCTGGGCATACCTGGGAATACCTGGGCATACCTGGGAATACCTGGGCATACCTGGGCATACCTGGGCATACCTGGGAATACCTGGGCATACCTGGGCATACCTGGGCATACCTGGGCATACCTGGGAATACCTGGGCATACCTGGGAATACCTGGGCATACCTGGGAATACCTGGGCATACCTGGGCATACCTGGGCATACCTGGGAATACCTGGGCATACCTGGGAATACCTGGGCATACCTGGGCATACCTGGGAATACCTGGGCATACCTGGGCATACCTGGGCATACCTGGGAATACCTGGGCATACCTGGGAATACCTGGGCATACCTGGGCATACCTGGGCATACCTGGGCATACCTGGGCATACCTGGGCATACCTGGGCATACATGGGCATACCTGGGCATACCTGGGCATACCTGGGCATATACATGGGCATGGGTGCTATTTTAAAACAAAAGTGTTGATTTCCCCTGACTGGGCGTGTACATGGAGGGTGGGCGTATTTTCGAGTGGGCGTATACAGGGGCTTTTACGGTATTATGGCTGCTCCAAAACTTGTCCGGGCTCTGGTCTTTCATTTCCGGCTGCGTCTTATTCAATCTATTCGGTGCCAATATGGATGCCCTTCGGGTCTTGTTCCAACACACCAAACAAACCGATGCACCTATTAAACTACTTGTACGAAAGATGTCGACATCGGCGGTTAGTAATGAAGAGAGTGTCTGCTCCGAACGTCGGAGCTTGGCTTTCTGCTGACTGACTTGACACTTGACTGACTCACGACTGCGCCTGGAGCACATGGTCGGCAGGAAGCGCGAGCTCCGACGTTCAGAGCAGACACTTTCTTCGAAACTACTTGTAAATATAGAAAATAATGACTTGATTACCGGAAACTACGGTTAACTCTGGGTTTTTTTTGCCTTTTTGTTGTGTGCTCTGTGATCTACAGACCAAGAGGTGTACCGCCTGGCATATTTGGAAAGTACTGGTGGTGGCTCACCACAAACCAGTGGCAATATTGTTTTCGACCGAAAGAAGCTGAGGTTGCTTGATACTCGTCATCAATTTGTGACAAAAAGCTCCACCAAAGGACCAAAGCAAGCGGCATCTGCCAAGGACCCAGCCACAAAGGGTGCTACTGGATCAGCTGGATCAGGGGACGCTGGATCAAAAGAAGAGAGTACGGATGATTCTGTATGTGCATCAAGCGGACAATCAAATGCATCAACAGCTGAGCAAGCAGCACCTATACCTGGCAATCGTACTGATGGACCATTGACTGAAAACCTGAAGGACAGTGGAATGGATGATAGATCAAAAAAACCTATCAAATACGTAGAGTATGATTCAAGAGAAGATGAGGGCAAGATTTACATGAAACAACGCCTGGCCAGTAGGGTTGTGATTCTGACTGGCAACATGGATGCGCTGCTGAATGCTCTGACAAGCCAGGAGATTGCAACTCCAAGGAACATTGCGGAACTGTCAACCATCGAACATTCAGGATTATACTGCCTGACCCCATCTACTCACAACAAGAAAAAGGAAGATGCCGATAAAGTGCCGATTTACATGATCCTCTGCTTGCTGCCCGGAGACAGCCATCTTCATCATGCTCACTTGCTTCGGTTTGCACTACAAATGTCTCTACACGTGGTTGTGTACTACGGGCAGGAGCATCTCCTCTCCAACCAAGCTTTCTCGCTGCAACACGGCACCCATGCCGAAGGACAATCATCTACAACTGGCTCTGACCCACTGATGGGCTTGATATTCAGGCCACATGGCATGTTTGAACGATTCAACACCCAAGACGTTGATGTCCTGACTCTACTATCGCAGGTGCTAAACGAGTTCCCGACAGGCGGTCGAATGAGCCTTTGTCACCAACCAGTTCGCCTGCACTGTGTTTTGACAGTCAACATGTATGTGGAGAGAAAGCTACGCCAACAATGCCTGAAGTATGTAAAGGCCCTCTTCAGAAATTTCTGCTTCGTTGATCCCTCAGTCTGCAATGACACGTCTGATCAAGCGACAACACAGGGTGCCTGGACAGGAGCATCGCAGCTGCCACTGCTACACCTCGCAAGCGTGAAAACATGGGAGATGTTTTGCTTGAGATCCGTCGACAGCGAACACTTGTTTGGAACTGAGGTGCCAAGGGACACGTCCAGCAAGTCTCCAGCTGGCAGCGCTGCACAGTCAAGGTCTAAACCAGATCCATTTGTCAATCCAATGTGGCTGCATGACGCTTGGGGCTTGAATGCTACTGTTCTAATGCAGTGTGCTGAAGACAAGCAGTCTACTACGGAGCAGATGCACGTATCTGGGCAGCAGCAGCAGCAACATCAACAACTTAGGGACCAAGAAACTACCCAGGAGCTAAAAGGTGGACAGCTACATCTGGAACAACTGCAGTGGCAGCAGCAGCAGCAGCAGCAACAACAGGACAAGGAGTACGACAAGGAGGAGCAGGAGCAGGAGGAGCAATTAAGCCCCGGAGAACACAGCTATCAGCAACAGCAGCAACAGCAGCAACAACAGCAAAAGGAGTACGACAATGAGTACGACAAGCAGGATGTGCAATTAAGCCACGAAGAACAGAGCCGTCAGCAACAACCGCAAGGATATCAAGAGCAGCCGCAAGCCATGAATGAAAACACATGCAGCAATCAATCACAAAGGAGTCAACAGCCGTTTGAAGGAGTTTGTCTGAAAACTGTAGAAGAACCAGATGCTGAAAGCCTCACGTCAGCTGATAAGGAAATTCCAGACCCCGTTCCACTTGGGGCTTTGGCACGGATCACAGATGCTTGGAAGGGATCCGTTCACGTCACCACCCTTCTGGCAAAATATGATAACCCAGCGGTGACGCGATTTCTCACTCGCTTCTCTGGATCCCCACTTCTAGTTATTCCCGATGCAGATTCTGCAGACTCTCTCCACGGAATGTGGCACTTCCAACACGGAACTGGCTTGCTACACATCTTCCTGCTTCTCAACTTCACAATGGATGAAGCTCAGGAGAGAAAGACTGCTGCAGCTCTGGTATTTGCAGCAATAGCATTATCCAATGTTTGCCTCATGCCATCTGCCAAGCATGGCACGTGGGTGCAGAACATGCAGCTGCTGCACTCCATCCTGCGAAAGGCTGTTCCCGCTGACTGTGGCCTAGTGCCCTACTCTGACAGAAAGAATAAAGTTGAGCCGGAAATTCTCTCCGCGTGTCTTCTCATTGGCGGGGAAAGGAGCAGAGAAGCTGTTGCTGATATAAGAGGATCAAAAGAGCTCCAGGACCTTGCAGGCAACTTCTTCTCCGGTATTGTTCTGGCAGCTAAAAGTGGATACGAAGCCCAAGCAATGAATCTTCTCTCCTATCCACAGCGTTTCTGCCACAAATCCTACAAAGATCCACACCGCTTTGTGACATGCATCCAGCTGCTTGCCAGGGCCATCAAAAAGCATACAGTCAAAACCATCCACCTTGGCGTCTTCTTGGTGAATAGGAATCGAAAATTCCTCTGGAGGCTTGACCAACTAGCTCGCTTCGGAAAAATTCCAACTGAGGATGATGATGAAGGTAACAACTACACTGACGTGAAGAATTTCTGTGAGGAAGGGTGCCTCATGTTCCAGCTGGACGCCCTTCCGCAATTCAAAGACGTTGTCAGTGGAGGGATTGGTCAACTTCCTGGAGATGATTTCTCCATGCCAGAGGGTGATGCTGAGAGTAAAGTGCCTATTCCGCCTTCCTATGAGCAGCAAAGGTACCAAGCCAAGCTGGGTGAATACGCTATCAAGCAGACAAAGTTGGCGTTGACAAATAAGCAGCAAGGCCAACGAGGAAATGCGTCGTCGTTCTTCCAGAGGGTGGCCGGTTTTGCTGAAGATGAGCACAAAAGGGCTCTTACCCTCAGAAAGCAGGCCGTTGCGGTGTGGCTGCAATGTGGCACCAACAAGGAGGAGTCTGTTAGTTCAGTACCGCAAAAAACACAGATAAAGAAGTACGAGGATGGTCTCGAGGAAGCGGCAAAAGGCTTGTGCAAGGAGCAGTGCAGTCATGGCTGTCATTTTCTGTGCTTGTATCCAAAGGAGCATGGTGACAGTAAGCATGATTGCTTTACCCACCGGAATAAGCATAACCCTACTGGCAAGCATACCTGTCAGACAGATTGTGATCCGAACGATTGTGATCAGTGCGGTGAATACTGCGACCTTCAGCCAGGGCATGAACATGACGCCACCAACAATGATCCGCGACATTTGTGTGCAAACAGGATGACCATTCATCTGTGCGGACAATCCCGGGGAGGCTGCATCTACCAGGGTGCAAGAAACTGCCTGCAGGAATGCCATCTATTCAAAGGCCACCTTGGCAAGTGCTGGTGCCGTACTGATAAAGACAAACATCTCTGTGCAACCCCATGCCAGTTCCATGAACAGCCGCAGTGTGAGAAGCTGTGCACAAAAAAATTCCAACATCCAGGTCGTCATCATTTGTGTGGCTGCGAGCACGAATGCATCGAACCATGCACCAGCATTGGGGCATGCTGCAAGCAAGCTGAGCAACCCGACGGAGGCACGCGCTACCTGGATACTGTGGATGGTTGGCGACACAAGTGCACAACGAAAATCTCCGCAGGCAGTGCACAGCACGGAGGTGATAAACACACATGTGATCTAGATTCTTCGGATCACCTCTGTGGTAAATCCTGCCCATGGTGCCTTCAATGCTGTGACACGAAGCAGTCCAGCAGGCATGATGTTTGCAGTACCGGCCACGGAACAGTTCACCAAGATCATGCTGAAAAGCACCAGATTAAGCTGCTTAGCTCAGAACAGCCAGCTAGTGTGAGCACTCTGGTTGAGTCGCAAACATCGATACGTTGCTCTGATGTTTGCAAGAAAGCTGGTGATCGCCATCGACACATCTCCAATGGTAGTGTGGTCCTGCATTCTGAATTCTGGAAGTATCTCCGAGTTGAAGATCCCTGCACTGAGGAAGATGGCATCACCAGCAAATTTCACCTCTGCCGAGCACAATGTGAGGTATGCCAGGAATCCTATTGTGAAGAAGAAGTGACCCGAGTGCACCAAGACCGTGACCGCCATCCACCAAGTGAAAAAAAGCCACCATCAATGAACAATGGCATATTTGAGTATATCAGCACAAGCAAATGCAAGAAGCCCGGACATCGCTTCAAGTGCCATGAAAAGCACAGTTGTAATGACAAGTGCAAGCACCCTGTACCTCGAAAGGTTTCACTATTCGTCACGCAAGTCAGTGTTGGCACAACTACTTGTGACCAGAAGTGCTCGCGTGATCTCGGTCATGATATTGTGGAGGGAAGTAGCTGCAAATGCGATGGCCGTCATGCCTGTGGCAAGCCATGCGAGGGAAACAATAACTGCCAGGAGACGTGTTGTGAGGATGAGGATAAAGAGCACGATGATCATGACTGCGGGAAGAAGGAATGCAAAGTTCCATGTGATGTGACACAATGTAGTCGCAAGGACTGCGGTAACACTAATCCTGTAAAGCAATGCAGGGCAGCTTCTGGCCACAACAAGAGGTGTAGCATGCAATATTGTCGCAAACCATGCAAGGCCGAAGAACATTTCCACAAGTCGTCCAGTGAAATTCCACACAACTGCGGGAACCACAAGTGCAGAAGGCCATGCACAGGTGCTGGGCGGTGTCCGAATGGAACACCGGGCAGTTGTCGTTCACCAATCACCAAACCATCGGCGGATGTGCCTCATGATGGCAATTGCGACATGTCTTGTGACGGAGAACACAAATGTGACGTAATCTGCACTGGTTGTCGCAAGGACGTGTGCGAAAAGTCGTTTGATCACGGAGGAAATGAGCACGACTGTGGAAAGAAGCGTTGCCGTCACACATGTGTTGTCAAGCAATGTGTTAATTGTGGAGCAATCAAAACAAAGCAGGACTCACCACCAATGTGCCGAGTGAAGTCTGGACGATATTGTAAGATGCGAGAATGTATAACGGACTGCGCAAGCACTGACCACTTCCACAAACCAAGTGATGGTGAATACCACTACTGTGGGGAGCATACCTGTAACAAGAAATGCACTGTCAAAGGCCAGTGTCCTGGAGTATCGCCCAAAGATGAGAAGGGTACGTGTGAAGAACTCATGAAAGAACCATGGACCAATGACGAACATGTCTGTCGATTCTCCTGTGGCGGTGAACAACGAGAACACAAGTGCGGGGGAACATGCAAAGGTTGTGCTGGTAAATTTCCATGCACGAAGCCTGCTACCCCTCAACATAACGACCACCACTGTGGAAATGACGGCTGTATTTATCGATGCCAACTGGAGAAATGCTCGAAGTGTTCAGCAGGTGCAGTCTTTCCACAACAGCAGTGCAAGGTCGGGGGTATCTGCATTGGAGCAACATGCGTGTCAAAATGCCGAAAGGACCACTTCCATCCCCGTAATGGTTTGCACAACTGTGGAGAGCACACTTGCCCCAAGAAGTGTACATTGCCTCGCTGCCCTACAACAGATGGCAGTAGGGGTACCTGCACTGAAACGGTTACACAGCATTCCATCAACGGCCGGTGCCATTCAACAAAATGCAACTTCTCGTGCGGTGGGGACCCCAAGAAACACACATGCAGCGAACCTTGCAGCAGTTCGAAGCTATTATTTTTCTCATGCGGTAAATCCTGCGCGTTGCCATTGCCACATGACACCCACAAGTGCAAGTCGCATCAACCAACGTCAGGTGCTTCTCCTACGGCGACTGATACCAGCGAGGATGATGTAGAAGTGAGTTTGAGCTTGAGTACATGTACATGTACATGCAAAGCACTGCTATGACTACTGCTATGCGTATGCAGCAATGGACGTTGTGATTTTTTCATAGCCCAACTGGTTCAGCCGACACTCTGAACATAGTCGATAGCCCATTGCAGGGAATTTTCTAGAACCGCCCCAACCGGTTTTCGACCGGTTGGAATTGTTGGCGACCGGTTGAAAAGTTACAAATCAGTTCCAACCGCCCGTACTTTTCTGTGGGTGAATGGAGCTGTGAATGGTCAAACGCTTTTTTCTGGACGGATACTTCCAGCGAAGCCGCGTGGGCTGGTACTAGGGTCACGAGTATGTACGGTTTGCTACACTCCAGCACCAATAAATCTGTTAAATTGCTGTCGAGTGCCATATTTGGGTTGTATTTTGAAAACATTTTCCGGGGGAGGACCCCGCACCCCCCGACTCTTCATTGGACCGTAACCGGTTGGAAATTCGTCCTAGAATATACCCTGCATTGGTCCAATATTCATCTCACAATTTGGAAACTTGAAAGTAGTGGCATACAGTTTCAGTCATGAAAGTGTATGCCATGCTGACTATGTACATTGTGAGGTATTTATCTCTAAGACCAGACAGGGATGCAAGTAATCTTTCTGTTTAAACTTTGGCGACACTCGAGTAGCAAACAAAACATCATTCTACCTCCCATGTAAACTTTAGTCCCTTCAGTCTACAAGTATTTGATCAGCAATCAGTGTCACTTGCACCAATATTTACCTTTTCTGATCAACCCTCCATAGACGAAACATATGTCAGGAGGTTAAATAAAATACAAAGTACATCCAGAGTGATTCATTAGCCATGAAGATGGGAAGTGTCTTCGCCCAAGAGCTCAGTTGTGAGGAGGATAACGAACCCAATCCCAACATATACTTCAGCAGTATACTTGTAATCTTTCGTGTGTCACGCACACACGCACGCACGCACACACACACGAGAAAAGGAATACTGTTGCAACGCTGATGTTTTTTACGATCACCGGGCTGCTTGAACCGGTGGGGAAATAGGTAGCCTTACAGGAAAGTGAGGCACAATGGTAAAAGCAAGAGAGGGTTGAAGAGAGAGAGAGAGCTCGACTGAGAAAATAACGCAATATAAAGGGCCTGGGTAGCTATGGCAAACATGGGCGCGCAAGTAGCTACCCAGGCCAAATGAATAATGCATGAACTTGTGGGCCTAACACAATGGCACAAGCTGTGGTTACATGTGTAGTCACTAACTCTCACTGGTCTAGGTCATGGGCAGGAGTCTTTGCAAAAAAAGGTACCGGTACTATGATTTACATAAGACGTTTGAGTGGAGTAGGACACCCCTATGTCAATGCCATGCTCGTGTAGTAATACTGCAACAACTCGATTTCCTCTCTCTCGTATTACACGCTCATAAGGACGGCAGGGTCTTTGTTTTTGGTCAAGCGAATTTGTTAGTGTGGATACCCAACAATGTCGACGAACACGCTGTAGAATCCGCTCCACTTCTTATCTGTACTCGAGTAACTGTTCTGCTATTTACGCCATGGCTAAAGCGTAGACTTTGATGAGTACCGTGTACCGCTGTGGAGGGGAACCACTCAGAGAAATGAGCAACTGCTTACCTAATCTCGCTGACTTCAAATGCTACCTACTTCACTCTGAAGACTTTTCGTTTACCCAAAACGCTGGGAGAACTGAAATATGCAAAGATTACAGCCATCCTGGAAGATCACGTTGTGTTCGTGATGACCAGGGATCGGGTTGTATAGGCGGTCTATTTAGCAATGGTCAGGGATAGCTACATAAGCTCCCTGGGAGCTTATGTAGCTTACCGGTATCTACTCTTGGTACTAAACTGCACGCATAGCGCGATTTGAGTTGTGGTTGCTCCCCCTAGCCCAACACCCAGTTGCTATACTACTCGTATGCTAAACAGGTGTGTATATTATATCCCCATGTGTGCTTCATGCTTCAGATTCTCCAACTTCTGAGCGAAGTGAGGATGGAAGATTACAGAAAATCAATGTCAAGTGAAAGCATGTACAAAACCATGGCTGGGAGATTTCTCAACAAAAACGGCAAACCTAAAGGAGCTGATCAGCTTCGTCTTGCATCAAAATTGGAGCAGGAAGTATCCACGTTGCGTAAGAAAGCCATGATATTCTATAACAATGTTTGGGAACAACCACGGCATACAGATCCTTTGGAGGCGCACTTGCAGGTAAGAAAACATGATGGTTTCTTTACTAACTTTCAAACTTTCTTAGTACGTCTGCCCTGGGGATTCAAGTCCACACAAGGGATAAAATGAGAGTGAAGCCACTGATCATGGGTAAACTGCGGGTACGTCTGCTGCTCCTGCCCCACTGGGCTGCTACCACCGTATTTTTGGCAATATTGGCCGAGGCGCTTGGTAGTTTGCAAGCCCGAAAACTTCACCGAATTAAAAAAAATCCACACAAAAGCTCTGAAATGATGTGGCGCATATTTCAGACGGGCGATAATAAAAGACCGGAGCTGCTTTCTAGAAATACTGTATGTATGACCTTTACAGACCAGGTGACGCCGGCCGATCACCATGGCAATGCAGTGTGTGCTCGACATGACTGACAACGGTTGAACATTTATTGCAGCAAAACTCGGATACGGCAAGCCAAGGTTACAAACCCTCAGATATAACAAGAAATTACAATCATATCGCGTTCCGCAGATAAGCAGTGTCCTTTCCTTACATTTTGACCTTACTTTCCAAGCAACATGTACCTTTGCAGGCACGTTCCACTTCGCCGAGCCTCAGCCATGTTGCATTGAATCTCCTCAAGTTAGTGTGTGTCCTACCTGTGCAGCCTGCTCCATATGACAGCTAATCCAACTACAACTTGCTACTGTGAAGTCTCTCTATTTCTCACTACAACCAAGCTGCTTTCGATTTCATGCTCAGCTTCTAAGAAAGCGTCTAGCTTTCTCACAAATGGCGTTTGCTACATTTTCCGTGTGATTCACCAAGGAATTACAGAGATTTGCTACATTTCCGTGTGATTCACCCAGGAAATACAGAGATTTGCTACATTTCCGTGTGATCCGACAAGGAATTACAGAGATTTGCTACATTTCCGTGTGATTCACCAAGGAATTACAGAGGTTCTGCTTCACACGAAATGCAGAAAAAATAATGTAAAGAATAGGTTTCTGCGTTAGAGCCTTTGGCTTTGGACTTTTTTTAATTTGGGGACCAGAGTTCTACATGGAGATGAGGAACCCTATGTTGCGGCATGTGTATATAACCCGGGGATTATAAACTCGTGATTTTGGCACACGCAAAGAAAATGCATGCAGATCTGCCGCAATCGACTCAAATTTGGAGGCAGGTCGTCGGAACTACCGTAGTTGGAATACAAAATTCTCAGTTGCACATTCTGCCAATCTGTTGGGAGGCTACCTTCTTGCCAAAGCAAGTTGGACTAGTTTCGGCTCCACAATCCAGTGTGTCGTTACTACTATAGCTTTCATGGCTGGTTGGTATGTCTGTTGACCCCGGGTTCCCAGTACTCAGTTGGTGAGGCTGGTTGGAAAAGTAACTCAAATTTCACCTCAAGGTACCAGTGCATCTAGTGTCTGCTTATATCAAAGCAGTTCGCTGTCCATACTGGTTTCCCCAGCAAGTGTAGGGCGTGCATAGGCAACTGTCTTGGCCGTCCTATTCCGATGTGCTCCGTGTGGTGTAGACCAGGTGTGCATGGGGGGATTCACATGGCTTTGCCAGCTGTGTGGATTAGACAGTTATCTGGCGCTAGTCTTGATCTGTTTCATTCACATTCAGATCCGCTATCGTTACTATAAGAGAAAATCTATGGGTGCACATCCAGTGCATTTGCAGATTTGGGTGCTTCTCTTGCGACGGACACATACATGTCATATACCTAGTGTGCAGGCTTCTAGCCAGGTCACAAATAATAATAGTAGGGGAGGGGGAGGGGGAGGGGGAGGCGGAGGGATAGGGGAAACAGTTAACCTGTAGTCCATTATCCATTTTCCAAAGTTGTAATGCCATGCAAAATGCAACGTACGGGGGGCAAACCCGACTTCATCCCTGACAAGTGACTTTTAAAAGAACCCTCTGGCAGTGACTATCGACTGCATTTTCGTTGAATTGCCTGAAAAACACGATAATTGACAAATGAGTTGGGCGCCACATTTTCACGGGGGGGGGGGCTGCCCCCCCCCCCCCACCTGACCTCCTTTGGCTAGAACCCTGGTGCCGGTGGGTGCCACTCTCTCTCTCTCTCTCTCTGTCTCTGTCTCCGTCTGCGTCTCTCTCTCTCACTCTCCTCTCCCCGGCTCCCCCTTTCTCTCTCATTCTCTTCCTCACTCTGTGGTCTGTGATCCACCATGTCTTGCCTACTGTTCTTTGTATGTGTTTTCTAGGAGGCATACTCTGCATGGCCTGCTTTTGAAACATATCACAAGTTATTCTTCAACGATCAAGACTTTGGTCCTCGCAAACCAGATCCGCCACCATTCCGCGAAGTCGAAAGTAGTGTTGATAATGGTGGCAAGGAAAGCAGCGCATCTGTTAGTGCCCAAGGTGGAGGAGATGGACAAGGTGGAGACAGTCGAGTTAGCAATGACAGTGGTGATGCTGGCGATCAAACACCAGATGGTGGCAGTAGTGGAGAAGTCGATCTGATGAAGTTCCGGTAAGCTAAACACTGTGTTTAAGGGGAAGTTCACCCAAAAATGAAAATTTCATAACCCGTACCGAAAAATGCACTGATTCCAATGATGAAGGTCCCAGGTTGGTCGAAGCAGCCGTTCCCGAGTTATACCGGCCTTAAGTTTGCACTAAATTTGGTGACATCATGATGACGTCATTAACTTGCCCAGACTAGGCTGGATTTATGACGTCAGAGAGATAGACTTTGTATGGGAGTAGATGGGGAAATCTCAGTATTTTGGCTCTCCATTGTCCCAAAGAAGTCGCATCTTTTTCAAACGTCGGTATGGGACATAAGGCACCCTACCGGTATCCCGACAGGAAAAAATTCTAGTATGAAATTCATTGTTGAAGAGAAACAAGAAACAAATTGGTTTTTCCCCATCAACTCCCATACAAAGTCTATCTCTCTGACGTCATAAATCCAGCCTGGTCTGGGCAAGTTAATGACGTCATCATAATGTCACCAAATTTAGTGCAAACTTCAAGCTGGTATAACTCTGGAGCGGCTGATCCGATCAACCTGGGGCCTACACCATTGGAATCAGTGCAAGGGAGGAGTGTTGAATTTTTCATTTTAGGGTGAACTGCCGCTTTAACTGTATTGTGTATACTTTCTCCAACTTCATGACTTTCTGTTTTTCCTTTTTTAATATTCTAAGGATTTATTGTGTTCAGTAAAACATAAACACTTTACGGCAATGAGTGGTTATACTTCCATCAGTCTTCGTCAGGGAGAACTCTTAGGTCGCGTTTTCACGACAACGCTGGGGGTGAAAACGCAACAAACCCCTTTCGGATGCATGGTTCGCTTACACGGTACGCAGAGCAAAACGTACAATTTTGACACCAAAACGGAAGAAAACCAAAACACTGGCCAAGGTGGAAGAATTTGAAAACGGAAATTTCTGCCGGATAAATTTGGGTGTGTTAACAGTCGAAACGGTGTGCTAGGCCTCGTTTCCGTCACGTTTGTTTCGTTTTCGCCCGTTCACACGGATCCGATAATCAAAAAATTGTTCTATAATTAAAAAAAGAGAGGACCAAAAGTTTACAAGTTATCCGTTTTGTCCAACACTAACGATTATAGGCAGAATAATGATGAGTCGAAATGTGCAACAATTAGCACAAAACTGACTGATGTGATACTGACATTCAACGACCTGATGCTTAGCTGCATCACGTCTGGAATGCGCAAACCAGCAGCCTTCCAACTTGGAAGGTTCTAAGTTATGAAGAAACATAAGAAAAGGGGAAGGTGAGCGTACTCTAGACGAAAACCAGCTAAACATCACAGCGAACTAAGAATGTTAGCTATGACAGGATGATGATTGTTATGTTTATATTATGGCATGGTTGGGAGGGCAATAATGGATTTTTAGTGCCCACTTGGAGGGCACTGGAAATTCATTATTGCCCGACCAATAGGGGTGAAACGAAGGTGTCAAAGGTTCGAAGAACCTTCGTTTTCATTTGAAACAAACCTTCGTTTTCAATTCAAAAGAAGGTCAATAGACGATTTCTGCACACACATGCACTGATCTTCCTTGTATACAGGAGGTACTGTACTGTAGTTTGGACAGTCGACTAGTTTTGTGTCCACTTGGCTCCCGGTAGGTGCCACTGCAAGTCCATAGTAGGCCACGGACTGCGCTTGAGCATGGCCTTTCACGGCCAAGGTGGCAAGAAGTACAATTGTGGTCTTGGGCAGTTTAGGGTGCAAACTGCGCAGTGCAAAAGCTATGGGTGTGCCAATTGTGGTGACTGCATAGCAAATATGTGCACAGTCGTGTACTTTGTAGGGCACATGCACAGAGTGTGCTTGAAGAGAAACTGTGAACTGGTAAAAGAATCCTTCGACACCTTCGTTCGTTTTCATGGAGGTTTGTTTGGCAAATTGAGACCTTCGTTTCACCCCTACCGACCAACCATGTCATAATGAATTTATCACTTTCAGCCTAACATTACTGAAGATACTAACCTGAAAGAATCAAAACTAAAGGAGAAAGTCGACCTCGTGTGCAGCAACACTTGAAAGGAAAGAAAAAGAAAATCTGAGATCACCACTTTCGAACACGCGTTCACATGTACACTGCACTGTACACAGTCACCGTGTTCAAATCCCGTAGATTTCACGCGTCCAGTGTCACTGTCAGGGTTGTCACGGACGACGGGCTATGGACGCGGGCGTTGGATTGATTTATTGCCCGCTCACACAGATCAGTGATTGGCCCGATCCAAGGAAACAGCCACATGACATGTGATAATGCCGTTTGTTAGTCCATCACAAGTTCCATTCCACATGTAGTAGAGTACGAGGAGATAGTGCCGTCGTCTGGTCTGTCTTGCTTTGTGATTGCGTGACTTCCCCTCTTTTGCTTATCTCTGATAACATGAGCCTCCCAAGTTGTGTGGTCGTTGTTTCGCATTTTCGAAGTGAGCCGTGGCCGTCCTGTGCCGTGGTCCTTTGTCCTTCGTCATCATCTTGCCGTAGCTAACATTCTTAGTTCGCTGTGATGTTTAGCTTGTTTTCGTCAAGAGTGCGCTCACCTTCCCTTTTCTTATGTTACTTCATAACTTAGAACCTCCCAAGTTGTAAGGCTGCTGGTTTGCGTATTCCAGACGTGATGCAGCTAAGCATCAGGTCGTTGAATGTCAGTATTATATCAGTCAGTTTTGTGCATAGTCTGTTTCAAACAGAAATGCAATCAGGTTTGGGTCTTAAAAAGTATGAAGATAAGGGAAATTTGGACAACAAAGTACATAGCATGGCTTGTTAGGACACGGCAAATTGTTCTGTGAAGGTTTTGGAACAATTGGACCAGCCGTTTAATAAGGAGTTAGAATTTCGGCCAGGTTTCCGGCCTTTTCCAATGGTTTCGACTTTGCCCAGGAAGCCAGTAGCGATTTTTATGGCAAAACCCACGATTTATCCTTTCCTTTTTGGCCTTGTGGTTATGAATGCTGTCTGCTGACCATGAAGTTGTGAGTTCAAATCCCAACCTATCCTCAAGTCAAACGTTTTTTTCATTGTTTTGGTGATCAAGCTGGTACAAGACAAAGAAGATTGCTGTACCAAACGACTTGGTTGTTGGAGCTCGCGCTTCCTGCCGACCTGACTGACACTTGACTGGCTCACGCCATGTGAACACACCCACAACACTGAAATGGTGTGAGTGCCAATATGAAAGTCATCGCGCTGTAGTTTTTTGAGATTTATTTTAGTATTTCAAGATCGCCAATTTATTTGAATTTAGGAGTCAACGCCGTCTTCTATCACCGTTCACAAGTGTCTGCTTTTCTCAAAATGTCGAAGTCACACAGATAGCTTTGCCAAGTCATGGCCTTGGGAATGAGTCCGTGTCGATGTCGTTTTCGTCACACGGTAAGTAAATTGCATCGCAGCTCAAAGAAACTATTTTGGTCATAAAACGAACTGGGACCCATGCCGCTCGTCAACATTTACAACACTTTCGTTTCGACATGTCCTCTCTGACTCCATTATCGATACGAGGAAGAACTCGTTTGTTGTAAACCAGACGTACATGACTGTATCAACGTGAGTGAGTTGTCATTTTTCCTGCTTTCGCGCGGAATATTTCTTCGAGTTCGCAGTGAGTTTTTCCAGGTAGCGCTCGAGTGCTCGATCATACGGTAAGACGCCAAACTCCGCGGGCGATCGCCAGGATTGCAAATCTTTTTGAATCGGACTGTAATTGTTGCACATTTCGACTCGTCATTATCCTGCTTATAATCGTTAGTGTAGGACAAAACGGATACCGTACTCGCGCGATTAGAGCTCTCTCTTGAATAGTGCCCTATCTCGAATAGTGCCCTAGTCTCCAAGAGCCAGTGAAAAGTAAAGCCCTCTCTTGAATAGTGCCCCAGGGGCACACTAAGGCTGTCATCACACCATGGTACATAGCGCTGCGTCTACGTCCACGTAAGGAGTTTTTGGTCGGTTGTCATGATGATCCGTATACGGGGTGAAAACGGGAGCAGAGGAAACGGGAGACGTAGACATGGTATGGAGAGGGGGGGGGGGGGTATACGACTTTTTGTATGAACGTGCGTATCTCCCCCAGCCTTTTTCCGAGCGACCCTGTACTTCGATGTACGTGGGTTCAAATTTCTCCAAAAACCTGACTGCGTGTACGCGTCAAGAACTGTGCCTGTCTGATGACACGACCACCCGTTTTGGTTTTTTCACCATAGACGTAGACGTAAACGGGAGTCGGAGAACGTAGTGTGATGACGGCCTAATCGCGCGAGTACAGAAACTTGTAAACTTTTGGCCCTCTCTTTTTTTAATTTTAATCCTTGGCTCTCCATCCGAGTTTAATCTGTTTTTAAAACGTTGGTCATGTGAGGAGTGTTGTCGTGTGGCCTGTTTTCAAATATTACTTGAGTGTGATTGGGGCTTCCACGACAACACTTGGCACATGACTAACTTTGGCGGATCATTTGCTCCCGTGTAGACGCGCGAAAACAATACAAACGGAGACCGCCCCGGATCAGCTTTGATCGTGTAAACGCACAAAACGAAAAAGAAATGCGGGGCTGAAAACGGAAAACAGGCCGTGCGTTGTCGTGTAAACGCAGCCTTAATAAACCGATCCTTATCTTAAAAAATGAAGTTCGTTGTTCCAACGAGGAACACACACTTCCTGCTCAACTTGACACTTGACTGACTCACGACTGCCATCCGGAGCACACGAGGAGCATGCCGTACCTTCCACTCGGCAAACCTGCAAGAAAGCACCACTCCCTGCTCAATACACAGTGTTTCGGGGAATTCACCCCTCATCAGTTGAGCTTGAGTAGGCTGAGGAAGATTGTGCCTGAAAAGCACCACTTATATAGCGCCATCCAGGCCAAACCATCACCAGGGATACAAACTTACAGAGACGCTCGTTTCCAATGCAACAAACACCTCGTGAGGCCCCAGGTAGCAGCGCGAGTCAGAGTCGCTCATGCAGTTGTGCTAAACAGACGTTGAAAGCCAGTAGCTATTTCCTGCCGACTTCAATTGACACTAAATAAATAGTGGCATGGGCATTGTATGCCATACCTATGCCAGCTCAAGAATGGAATTGACGGAGTTGGGACCTGCTTTCTTCTACACCACTATTAGTGCTCATTGGTTGCTCTGCACATGAAGAGCCAAGACAAATCCACTTTTGATATTGTGACTTTTGTCTTGCTGCATGAATACTTTCTTGCTTTCTTTACAGCTAGAACTACAGGCTACCCTCAGCCTGGTGTCATCGACATGTTCAGCACGTGCATCACATCGTCTGCTGGCGAACGCGGATATACATGGTAGATCACGTAACTGTGGCAAGCAGCTCTGTCTTGCAAAAAGACATTCAGTTCTGCTGCAGCTTCATACTCAATGAGTGGTGCGGACCCTGTCATCGGCATGTACAACTATACGCTACTCAATTCCCTAATGCATGTTTTTTTTATTCCTTTTATTTTCAGTTTTGTTCCAATTTCAATATCATTCACAGCACTCTCGTTTGTCATGAATCTGCTGCTAAAAGACTGCACAGTACAGTTTCACATATGCAGATTGAAAAATTAATAGCTAACAAGCTTCCGCAAGTTCCCAAATGTCTTGTGCTTTGCCATTTGAGAAACACACCAGGACGCACGCGGTGTATGAGCTCATCCTGTGATCCAGTTGCTGCAAACCATACAGTTACTTGTCCATTAGATTCTGCTTATCTGTTCCCCATTTTTGTACCGTCAGCGTGCTGCCTTCTCTGTACACTCTTGTTTTCCTGCGTATCAAATTTCCATTTTCTGCACACGACCATAGTTTTTCTCCCCCCCCCCCCCCCCCACACACACATACCTGTCCCTCCAAGAAATCGCGATTCCACGGATGCAACAAATTTTGCGATTTTGACCAAAATCCCCGATTTCCCGCGTTTTTGTTGTTTTTTGCACTTTTTTTACATTTTTATACACTTTTATGCAGTATACAGACTATTACAGTGCTTTCCATGATCATGTACGTACGTAGGTTATTTGCACAGTACGCAAATAGCGATTCTAAGGATGCAACAGATTTCGTGATTTGGCCCAAATCCGCAAATTTTCTGCCAATAATTCCCCGAATTCGTGGCAAGTTACGCATCTTTCGGCACTTTTGGCTGCATTTTTTGTTGTTTTCTGCCGCAATTTCTTGTGCAAGTTTTCATAAAATTTTCCGCAAATTCCAGCAGGGACAGACATACACACAGACCATGCTCTGCCATACATGCTTCCCCTATCAGTAGCTCACTGAAGAACCGTTTTCGTCTAAATTCTCACAAGGAGTGAACCTATGCGTGAACTGTTTCTTTTTATTTACCCCTGCCCTTTTGCAATCTCTTTCCTCAGCCCATTTCCAATGCCTCCACAAACCCAGGCCGTACACTGCACCACTGCTTGCTAATGCCTTTTTCTTTGCATTCTTTGCATCGCCAATCCCTGTATGCAGCATCATGCACTCGGCTATGCTTCATGATTACCGTTCGATATCATACGTGTGCTAGTATGGCATACAAGCATGCGGTGGAATTAGAATCCTATAAGCTTTGTAATGCACAGTGGCTGTAGCCTATTTTCTTTGGTTGTTCACTTTTCCTAAACAGACCCTGGTCTGTTGTTGGCTATTCAATCTCTCCGCTCAGCAAACATGCTACCTTTCACTATTCTCAGCACACGTTGCACCAAAACTGGCAAGTAGGAAACAGTAGGCGGTTTCTCCTTCGCCCAGTTTCTTCGGATCCAAGTTCCCATATTTGGCCAAGAATGAGTGGTGTTCCAACTACACAGGCAGCTTGAGGGCTTCGCATTTGCATGCTTTGTGCTATTTCATAACCACACATCTGCTGATAGTTTCTGGTCATGTTCTGTCCAGTTACTTCAGTAGGTTAAAACAGCAACAATTGGAACTTTTAAAATGCAAAATAGTTTTTCTGTATTGATTTAGTAGCTACAGTGCTACCAACAGCATCATAGCAGTACTCAGGAGGCCGGCCTACCTTTGCTAGCATTGGAATGTGGGCAGCATGCGCTTCAAGCATTCTCCGGCAGGCGGGGCCAATATTGAGAGCATGCACTTCAAGCATTCTCATGCGGGGTTTCAATGTTGAGAGCATGCACTGCAAGCATTCTCAAGCAGCGCTTCATGCATGTTATGGAGGGCACAATACGAGGCGTCGTGCAATGACAATAGTAAACTGGATCAAGATTAAGCTGCGGTGTGATAGCAGACTTGCTGTGGGATGAGCCTGGAGCACTGTCGTCACCGTCGCTTGTTCCTGTTGGTGGCAGCCCGCTGTGTGCGTGGATTAGACACCATGGCCACTGCAGAACTGCGTTGATAGCCCCCAGGCTGAGAGAGAAGCGGCTGCATCTGGTATGGATCATCACCACTGTCATTCAACAGCTGGTAACCAGGCGGACTGAAGCTGTCATTGCGGCTCATCTCCGATGTTGTTAGGTGTCCGTCTCCTCCCTGTAGGATCACAGGATAGTAGAGCCAACATTTTAAACCAGCCGTTGCCCAAAATAATATGCAGAAGACTTTTAAAAGCAATGCAGCTGATCCTTTTACAACATGTTTACTGACAGCTGGCAGTACAAATTGTTTCTAAGAATGTGGTATAAGAATGCAGCAAGATTGCTGAAAAATAAGAACGTCCCAAGCTAACCCCTTGCTAACAACGTTGTTGGCAAGGGGTTAGCTTGGGATGTTCTTATTTTTCAGCAATCTTGCTGCATTCTTATACCACATTCTTAGAAACAATTTGTACTCAGGAATCATATGATGTATCGCACAAGCTGCCAGAAAACCAACACTGTCGTTCCTAACTTGAGGCTGTGGCGTTCTTAGCATTTCGGGCAGGACGTTCTTGGGCTCGACGTTCTTGGGCTCGACGTTCTTGGGCTCGACGTTCTTGGGCTCGACGTTCTTGGGCTCGACGTTCTTGGGCTCCACATTCTTTGACGCACGACTCTGCTGTCGGACCTTTCGGGAGTGAGCGGGCTGAGAGCTGTGCCAATGCATGTAGCTTTATTGTCAAATCGCGTCTCAAAAAGCCTGATTCCAGTGTACTTGGCAGATGCTGGATAGCATGTTCGGCATCGTTACCATGCACTTGTCCGTACAGTGCGTACACAGCAGTCAAACACAGACTTTATAAATCATGAATGCATCAATTCGTTTAGGAAGACCATTTCAGCTTTAAAATTCACTTAGCAAAATGGCTGGTACAACTTGCATACTCAGTGCAGGTTGGGCAAGCAAACAAACAGAACCCAGTGTACAGTAAACTGCCTATTGTTTGTGGCGTACGAATGTTAGTTTATTTTGCGACATGAGCATAACGCGAATATTAACACATTGTGAAATCCAAATTCAAGAGTGGGTGTGTATGTGTGGCCACAGTGCTCGATGAACATTCGCCATCGTAAACTCGCTGGTTCTGAGAGATCGCAAAAAAAATAGCGACACGAATATTGGGCGGTTTACAGTACACCAAATGCAGGTTGGGTAAGAAGACACACACACACACACACACACACACACACACACACACACACACGCACACACTACCCAGCAGAACCCAAATGCAGGTTGGGTAAGAAGACACATGCACACACACATGCACACACACATGCACACACACACACACACACACACACACACACACACACACACACACACACAACCCAGTAGAACCCAAGGCAGGTTACACACAACCCAGTAGAACCCAAGGCAGGTTGGGTAAGCAAACACATGCATAACATGCACATCAATGCACACTCACAGCAGGAATTTCCACCACAACGATGGGATCGATACTGCCAGCCTCCTTGGCTGATGCCAGCATGTGCATGATAGTAATCAAGCGATGCACCAGCATACTGATGAACTGTGTTGCGTACACCAGTCCATACACTAGTAGAAACAGTAAGCCAATAGGATTCGTGTCTGCCACCTAACACAACGCGCGCGCGCGCGCACACACACACACACACACATACACGCACACACACGCACCCCCCCCCCACACACACACAAACGTGCATGCACGCATGCGGACACACACACATATTGGACCAAATTAGGCAGAAACACCTTTCAGACACTATTGAAGACCATGTTTTTCTCACTTGTCAGGTATACATACACGGATATTGTGTGCAAGCAGCACAACACTGCAGCATCCATACAATAAGTTTGTGTTCTCATAGCCGGAAAACTAGACATTTGATGAGTTTCACATCGGACAACCATGCAGTAATTCAAGCAGTGTGCAACATCAGGTTTGCAGTCTTTAGTTATAGAAGAAAAACCCGGTAGGCCCATTGTGGCGGCCCACTCCCAAACCGCATGGTATTTCTACGAAATCCCTACTTTTCACTAAATCGCAACTTGCACTTCTCACAGTTCTGCACTTTCCTTTTTGGTCCTGCGTATCCAAACATAGCCTAGGGTGTTTTCTCTCGGGTTCACCTAGGGTTCACCCGCACCATACCGTGCGTGCTGTGCTTGCATTTCCCCGTATCCTTTTTCGGCACCCTGCTTACTTCTGGGGCCCTTTTCCTTTTCAGCCTCCGACAAGATTTGCATTCACTCTCTCTCGTCTTCGCGATTGTTAGTAGTTGTCTTTCCTTTTAGTATTAATGTTTATCGTTTTATATTGTGGTGGAAAACTCCCGTTTCCAACAGAACTCAGTGTTTTGTTCGAGTAGACCCCACACCATTTACCGCCCACTCTTTTCTGCTAATATCCAGACTTTTTACTTTTCAAATTTCATGGATGGACGGGTTAGCTGGCGGCAACACAATGGCTAAGACCTGCAAAGAAGATGATAACTTGCAGGGTTGTAGCTGGCTTGAAGAGGGATCTCTGGAAAGGTTTGTGTGTGGTTGTTACTGAAATATGCATTACTTCACACGTGGAGTGGAGCATGTAATGTTAGGCTTATTGCCATTTTCATACTCAACTGTGGCAATGAGCTAGCATAGTGGTCTACTCTTCAATGCCTATGTGCATTGAATGCACACAGAGCGACAACGGGCAAGGCTAGTTTCCCCCTACTCTGAGTTTCATGCTTATGCAATCATCAGGCTCCGCAGAGTTTCATGCTTATGCAATCATCATGCTCCGCAGAGTTTCATGCTTATGCAATCATCATGCTCCGCAGAGTTTCATGCTTATGCAATCATCATGCTCCGCAGAGTTTCATGCTTATGCAATCATCAGGCTCTGCCGTAGTTAGCACTCTCAGCACTGTGACTGGGTGCATCCTCCGGTGCGTCCTAGTGCAACGTATATAACGACAAAGGGAAAGCAGTGGTGTTGATTAACCGAACCATACACTAGTCAGCAAAGCTGTCAGTTTTGAACCGGGGTGCAGCCCAAACTTTTAAACAAGGCCGTTTGCAGCGGCACATTATAGTACTATGGCTACAAACCTGGACAGTACAAACCAACACATTGCAGTGACTCTGTCATGCTACACATTACATAGTAGAGCACTTGGCAGTGAAAGTGTCATACGCACTACATGTACTACATTGTACTGGACCTTCTGTCAACAACAATGACAAAGATAATCAGTGACATGCAGCTGACAGGCTCCAACTTACATTAAGCTCTGGATGCATGGCTAACGTTTGTATGATGACCATCCACAGGACATTGGCAATAGCGACGGTCATAATGGAGTAGTTGCGTAACTCCACCAGCTTCTCACCAATTTCCTTGTTGATACCTACATGTCCATTCGCGTTGAAAATATGTCGACACAATGTCACACAAACGCAATGCCCTCCTTGTTTATGTCACCTGGTGCACTGGATATCATTGATTTCAGCACCAGTGTGTACTGGATATCATTGATTTCAGCACCAGTGTGTTTCTTGGAAGAGAACTGCAATGTGCATTGAAGCTCTCCTCCTATCTAGGTGTGACAAGCAACTTGAATTTGCATTCGAACAGTACATGCTAGTGGTGGTAATTGTAGGGGGGGGGGGGTACTAGGCTTAGAGAATCAGGAGTGGTCTTGGAGTCACCTCTTGGACATGCAGGCAATTGTTCCAATTTATTGAAACCCTTCCACTAAACCTCCAACCCAGGCATACCACACGAACAGTCCTCCGCTGAACCACGTACAACGATTGTTTCCAAATTTTCACCCAAGACTAGAGGGCATCATCAGGGATCACCCAGGAGGGCATCATTAGGGATCACCCAGGAGGGCATCATTAGGGATCGACCAGGAGGGGATCATTAGGGATCACCCAAGAGGGCATCATCAGGGAAACTTGTTGGTTTTTGTTGTGGCAGTTCAGGAATCTACTCAGCTTACCCAGTGCAGCCATCTCCGGCTTCATGCAGGCGTCGCGGAGTGCCTCCCAGAAGAGCAGCTCTGCCCTGTTCTCCTGCTCCCTGGCCAGAGTCGGGTCACTGCGGCCGGCAATCTTCTTGCGCACTTCCTTGATGCGCAGCTCACCTATTGGCGCGGCACATGTCACAACAGCCACGGCAGAAGGAACGATGGCAACGACAGCTAGTCTAGCCACAGTATTATTCAGCGTAGAATGCAAATGTACCGCCAGTATGGCACTACAGTAAAACCTGGTGTTTAAGCGACCACCCCACGGTGCAAGCAAAAGCGATCGTTAAAGCCAGGTGGTCTTTAGAACCAGGTCCCACAGTGTCTGTGTAGAACTGCCGGTGCATGGAAAAACGGTCGTTAACCCTTTACCGGTCTACCATAAGCGTACCGATACTATAGTATCGGTACGTTTGGCCCTCATTTTTTTGGGGTCTTGTTGCTAGGAGACAGCTAAAATGGCGCTCTACGCGTAGCTGAGGTCCAAGGCTTTCTGACGATGTGCAAAACAACCATGCTTACCATACAAATTTTTGCCGTATCGATCAACTGAAGTTTGTTGAAATTGGAAAAGACGACCATCCGCCATGCGCGCATTTCAAGAATGCGAGTGCATCTCTTGGGGCCGTGTTTGACAAGCGTTCTGAGAGCAGTAACATCACCAGTCCAGGCTGGATGTCCCGGGAGGTTTTGCAGTGTAGTGTGTTGAGAAAAAGAGCTCCGTTGAGTCCTGCTAGTTCAAAAATATATCGTCCACGAATGAAGAAACAAAATTCTCCAAACAGAGAGGAAGCCTTCTTGCTGCCGACACGGCAACAGCGACTGCCACAAGGACTCGTCAGGTGCGATCAGCTGATTCGCCTGGCCGTGAGAATCACGGCATGCGTAAGCTCGCGCCTGAGTACTCATCTGAGCGAGAGTGAATCTGACGCAAGCAGCGCTGAGATGAACAAACCGAAACTGCGATATCGTGGAATGGGAATTGCTGCTGCTGGCGTATCGCCGATGGCGAGGTGTTGGTGTTCAATGGCGGTATTGTAGAGAGCCTACATTTCTTGTAAAGACGTAGCCCTTACCTGATTGTTTATCGTACGACTTCAGCTCCATCACGAACTTGGTATGCCCTTCGTGCTGTGATATTCGTGTATTTCATTCGCATTTGTATTTTCTCTCAACTTGAAGGGCTACCATGGGCCCTATCCTTGCCTGGACCTAGTCATATTTGAATTTTCTGGACGCGTTCAGGCATACAGATTTTGAAAATATATGGTTTACCCATACCTACATCACATGGTTCTTGAGTTATTGCTGGTTGTGTGTACATGTAATTGCGTGACCACCCCTCACATACATTGAGTTAGACCGGCAAAGGGTTAAAGGGGAAGTTAAGGCAAAAATAAAAATTTCACCAGTTGTAGTCTTCGGGGTGCTGAGTCGAATGGTCATGGTCCGAGGAAGCTGATACGCTCCCTTCCTACTTGAATCCCAATCGAACTCGCGCACTTCCACCGAAAATGGGTGACTGCGCCCTACTAGATGGGGATTTGTATGCAAAATGTCACTAAAAGCGCCATTTCGTTCTTATAAAAGCACGGATGACCGCGATAGGGCTTGAAAGTGATGACGTCAAAACAGCCAGGGAGTAGTAAGTTGACATCAGATTTCTATTTTTGGATCCACTAAGGTGTGACTTTGCTATTGCCTAAGTATGTGGGTGCATAGCAACCCACTCATGTCGCATGCAGGTGTGACTTTTATTTCGCCACCAGTTGTAACCCCGCCCCCAGTAGCCAAATCAGTCAGTTTCACTGGCTACATCACCATTCTGTGGGTAAGACCGCTTGAAATGTGCTTGGATCCATACAAAAACTGGATCCAAGTGGATCCAGTTTTTGAATTTTTGAAATTGTTGCTATGCTGTGACGTAGCACTTTCAAGCCCTATTGGCCCATATGTTGTAGTCTTTTGGACGCTGAGTCGACTGGTTTTGGTCCGAAAAGGCTGCGATGCAGCGTTCCTCCTTTATTCCCAATCGAACATGGTTGAAGAAGCGGTCACGTGCTCCTGGGTGCCAAAATCACCTGGTCACCACGCCAGCAGGCGACAACTTTCACACCAAGGTTCAACTCGAGTTCAAGTCGAGTGACAGGACTGCACCCAAAAAAGGTCAAACAGGCTAGTAAGTTGTACCCTGCAGGCACGGTGACCAGGTGACTGGTGTACGCAGGAGCACGTGACCGCTTGTTCAACCATGTTCGATTGGGAATAAAGGAGGAACGCTGCATCACAGCCTTTTCGGACCAAAACCAATCGACTCAGCGTCCAAAAGACTACAACATATGGGCCAATCGTGGTCATCCGTGCTTTTATAAGAACGAAATGGCGCTTTTAGTGACATTTTGCATACAAATCCCCATCTAGTAGGGCGCAGTCACCCAGTTTCGGTGGAAGTGCGCGAGTTCGATTGGGATTCAAGTAGGAAGGGAGCGTCTCAGCTTTCTTGGACCACGACCATTCGACTCCGCACCCCGAAGACTACAACTGGTGAAATTTTGATTTTTGCCTTAACTTCCCCTTTAAGAGCAGGTGGTCGCTAAACACAGAGGTCGCTAAACACAGAGGTCGCTAAACACAGAGGTCGCTAAACACAGAGGTCGCTAAACACAGAGGTCGCTAAACACAGAGGTCGCTTAGGGCCTGGTCAGACTGCGGCAAAATCGAAATAATCCTAGGATTATAATCCGAATCTCCATAGTAACTTGCCGCCAGAGCGGCAAAAGCGAGAGTTGACGCTCCAAAAAAAAAGCAAGAACGGACCACGCTTTTCCGCTCCAAACAGGATTTGACGCTGATGCGCCATTGACGCTGATAATCACTGTTTTTTCATCTCGATATCGAGGAGCTAATTGGCCACGGACAACAACAAAACTCATAAAGATGGTTGCAAGGATTGCACTGAAGGTGTTGGCGATCCCCAAGGTGAAGGAATTTGACGTCGTTCGTGGAGATTACCACTTGACGCTCGAAATGAAGTTTGAATTTTCACTCTCCCCACATGTGTAGTGTGATCGCGATTCAAATTCTGGACGCTGTTCTTTTTTCGTCAGGCAACCAAAACTTGCCGCAGTCTGACCAGGCCCTTACACCAGGTTTTACTGTACAAGTACTAGCATTACAAGCATCACATGACTTTCACTGATGAGAGCGGTGTGATCAAAACAACTGTATGACGGAATCAATGTCAGTATATCTAGCATCTGCTATAACTTGGAGCCATGCTGCTGTTTTGCCAGGGATCTGAAGGCAATGGAGCATGAGGACTGTCTTGTGCGAAGTAGAAAGCCGGTCAACACCTGACCACCAACAATCAGTCAGGGCTTGGCTGCATATGTAACACACTGGGGGGGGGGGGGGGGGGGGGGGTGGTGGTAATGTCCTTAGCAATCACCAGAGAACGTGCAGACTAGTACAGCTCTTGACAGCATACACAGCATACACAGCATACACAGCATACACAGCATACACAGCAACATCATGGCTGCCGGGGCTCTTACGCTCTGTGGGGTAGCGGATGAACTCAATTGCCTTCACTATATGCTTCAGGTGTCCTGCACAATAAGAAAACATTGGGCAAAAGTATACAGAGGCAAAGCGCGGCAAAAGTATACAAATTGTCATGTGACCGCAATGCGAGACAAGCACATGTAGATCAACCCTACCTGGTCTCAGAGTCAAACACATGCAAGGGGAACTGGAGCACATACCTCTCAGAGTCAAACACATGCAAGGGGAACTGGAGCACATACCTCTCAGAGTCAAACACATGCAAGGGGAACTGGAGCACATACCTCTCAGAGTCAAACACATGCAAGGGGAACTGGAGCACATACCTCTCGGAGTCAAACACATGCAAGTGGAACTGGAGCACATACCTCTCAGAGTCGAACACATGCAAGGGGAACTGGAGCACATACCTCTCGGAGTCAAACACATGCCAGGGGAACTGGAGCACATACCTCTCAGAGTCAAACACATGCAAGGGGAACTGAAGCACATACCTCGCTTTCTGATACCGATTTCTTCAATTAGTTTCTCCTTAGTCAGCTCCTTGATTCCCTCAATGTTGTCATCTCCTGTGCTCGTGATGTAACTGCGGGATTGGAAATTCTGACTGTACATTGGCAAGCCAATTGCTTTCAGCCAGCTCTCGATACTGTCCTACAAGCCGAAAGAAAACAAGACGACAACAAAAATAAAGCCCTGGATAAAATGAATCACATACTAACTTACTTGGTCCGACTTATTAAAATGTGCGCTTCACTTCAAAACTCAAGCATTTGTACAAATGAGCACCATAACTAAAAAATCAACCCAGAGACGTTAGATAGATAGCTACTGTATCGTCTCTTGGGCTGACCTTCTAGTTTTCATCGCTGCTGGTGTCAATGGGCGCATCTGCAAGTGCGTCACCCTGCAAAACATCGACAGTTTGTTTGTCTCCTTCAAGCTGTGCTGCGCTTCCTTGATTTTTTCAACCAATTGACCCGATTTTGACGATCGCCTTCGCCTCTTCCTCGTGCAGTGCAACTGCCAGAATGGTAGCTGTAGGAGTTTTCACCCGACGTTCCCACGATACCTTCAAATGAGGCGAACAGGTAGACCACCACGCGCCAACAAAATCCCTTCTCATCACCGTGTTCCGCGTACTGACAGTCTGTGTCATACAGTCCGACCGTGCGCGCTCATCCCTGTTGTACGAATCTATGGGCCACTAGTGCACTGTCACTGGAGACGAGACGGAGGTTTCGCATAGGCTCGATGCAACGATGACGCCTTGCGGTTCCGGGAACTCCGCACCATCCACGCACCATATCCGCAAAAAGGTCTTTGTTCGTTTCAGTTTACCAGCCAGTTTCTCGCGTGAGAGGCGACTCCAGGGGTGGTTGTTTATTTCCGTCAGCTTCTCGGCGATCTCTTTTGTGATCTTGATTCGTGGGCCGCCATATCATGGACGACTGCGAGAGACAAACTGGACGACGCGATGCGCGTGCTGCTGCACGAGTTTCTGGATGGTGCGTTCGCTGAAATTCTGCCCAGGAAACAGCCACTGCAGCGATTTCAATCCGCCAGGAGGGAATCAAGAACGATCGCCCAGGAGTTTCTGGTACTCTGTGACAATTCTCCATCACATTGGGATCTTGATATCAGCACCAGGCCTTCTCAGTGTTGCGCGTGAAGCAACAGGAGTCCTCTGGCGACAAAATTTGCACGCGAAATACACGAGTCGCCTAGGAGTTTGAGGCGCTGCCTCCTTTTGAGTTTGAGCCATTCCTTCCTCAATATCATGAATCGACAACTGAAGGACACTGTTAGGTAGCTGAGAAGTTTATTCCGTCCTGAGATGATTTGAATTGGTTTGGTAGGCTTCGGAAACGAAACGCACATTTTAATAAGTCGGACCAAGCAGTACTTGGAAGTACAGTTCTGGCAGTCACATTGTGTCGCTCTCCAGTCTCCACTCAGAGAGCAGCATTCTATTGTCAACTAAAAAAAACATTGTCATACTCAGCTTGCCGTGCAATCATGATGCACGACTATTAGCAGCTCTTGGCAAGGCCTTACGGGTACACCGTGCTCGAACGGCACGGGAGGTAATGCCTTGATATCACGACTGAGATGGGCACGATGCACCGACAGCTCCACTCCCAGCCGTGCCATTTCCTATACCAGCAAACGAAGGCAAAAGTAGCACACAGATCACTAATGTTTGTTGATACAGTGTAGCACCAACAACAGCAGCACACAGATCATTAACAATGTATTATAATGTTGCCACCGAGTCGCAAGGCGGCCACTGCACTGCTGCCACGTCATGTACAACTCTTGTTCACTCGCACCATCACTCCATCAGTCCCTTGATCACTGAGTCATGTGATCAATTTTACAATACATTCGACCCTCTAAATACGGCTACTGTTATCCCCATCGCGTTCAGTGACCATGCAGCAGTTCTCAGTAAACAAAGCACTCACTTTGTGGTTTCACGAATACTCGTTAGGACAGAATTATTAGTTGCACACTCGGCAAGTAAAGGTAAGAAGTGAAAAAGCACAAGAAAAGAACAATGCAAGAACACACGGCGAACGGCAGCCATGTTCTTTAGGTCATCAACCAATGAGCAATCTATATAAACCGGTCGCCGACGAAATTCTAGAATATTCCAGAGCTGTGAACTGTGATTGGTTAATTATGCTAATGTTCTAGAACAATAACACTAGCAGCAGTCATACGGGTAAATATGGGTTTAGCCATACACGACTCATACATTACTCACGAGCGACTCACGGAAAGGGTAATAACATGCAGATACAAAATACGCAAGGAGAGAAAAAATGTAACTAACTGCCCATCTTGGGGTTTGAACCTAGGAATCTGTATCAACACAAGCTCTACAAATAAATACTCTTTTACTGCGAAAAATATACTTTCTATTAAAATGCAACTCCTACATACTGAATGTAGTGCCAAAAAGCGCAACAGCACCATCACTGCTCCCGTTGCCACCGAGTCGCAAGGCGGCCACTGCACTGCTGCCACGTCATGTACAACTCTTGTTCACTCGCACCATCACTCCATCAGTCCCTTGATCACTGAGTCATGTGATCAATTTTACAATACATTCGACCCTCTAAATACGGCTACTGTTATCCCCATCGCGTTCAGTGACCATGCAGCAGTTCTCAGTGAATTTCAACTCAGTCCAATGAAAAGTACTGCAATTTCTGGGCTATGGCGACACTACCGAAACATAAATCATGACCAGTTCAAGGCAGATTTGGTCCAACAGGATTTTCGTGAAATTGACGGAAGCCCAACTGTCATGTGGACTGAGTGGGCCAGCCGCTTTCTACAAGTGTTAGACAGACATGCTCCTCTTGCACCAAGCCCTCGACGCAAGAAAAAATCAGTACCATGGATGAACCGCCAGTTATTACACCTCTTGACCAAGCGCAACCGGCTCCATAGGAGGTGGCTTAGTGATGGAACAGAACATTCCCACTCAGCTTTCAAGGCTGCCAGGCGGGAAGCTACCAGCTATAATAGGCAACAGAAAGAGACCTACTACCAATCCAAGTTTCGAGCCGCGTCTGGCAATACCAAACAGATATGGCACACAATCAAAGAATTGAGTGGTAAACATAGACAATCTCAGCCACCTCAATGTTCTGTTGATGCCATCCGAAACACCCTTGCAGAGATAGTAGAGGACGTCAACCGCCCAGTGCATCTCTCATTTCCCTACGGGCCCGCCTCAAGCACTGATCTGACAGCCTTTGCACCAGTGTCTATTGCCAGAGTGAGGAAGCTCCTCGAACGTTTAAATCCGGCCAAGTCCAGCGGTGATGATGAAATTTCTGCAGCCCTTCTCCGCGCACATGCAGACGTCCTGGCACCATCCCTGACTTTGATCTTTAACAAGTCCCTGAGAGAGGGCATATTTCCTGCCCAGATGAAAAGTGCTAGGATATCGCCATTCTTCAAAGGCGGAGATCCGAGCATGCCAACGAATCATCGGCCAGTGTCCTTGTTATCGATTGCATCCAAAGTGTTGGAAAGGATAGTCCACGAGCAACTCACACGATATCTGGTCCAGAGCAATTTATTCCCGCCAACTCAATTCGGCTACAGATCCCACCACTCTATATCCGACGCACTAGTGCTAGCTGTAGAAGGTATCTGTGAGGCCCGTATGAATAAACTCAACACAGGTGTAGCCTTTGTTGATATGGCAAAGGCATTCGATAAAGTGAAACATCAAACTCTTGTGCAAGATCTGTTCGAACTTGGCATCTGCGACACGGCACTCTGTTGGCTGGTGGATTACCTCTCTGATAGAGAACAGTACGTTCAGGTTGGCCAGACTAGAAGTCTCCCGTGCACCAGTTATTCAGGAGTCCCCCAGGGGTCGGTACTGGGCCCACTGCTATTTATTGCCTATGCCCGCGGCATAGCAGAAGAACTATCGCCGTTTAATGTGGGAGCAATCCAGTTTGCTGATGACATCTCTATACGATGTAGCAGGGAGTCTGCGGAAGCTGTTTCTGCACACCTTTCAGCTGCTGTTCAGCACCTGGCCACCTGGCTGAAGGGCCAAGGTTTAATTCTTTTAAATGAAAGAAAGACACAGATATTGCCTATTCCCCCATCCCCATCTGAAGCACTTGAGCTGCATGTCATTTGTAATGGGCAAACGCTGCCTGTTGTGAAAGCGGCCAAGTATCTTGGCCTACATTTCGACTCAGACATGAGCTGGAAAACCATGACAAGCCATGTTGCACGCCGCGTTGCCGCTAAGATTTGGCTACTAAATCGAAGTGCAGCATGTTTGCCTTTTTCTTGCCGTGTTCAGTTTTTCAGGTCCTTTATATTATCAGAATTTGACTATGCATCTGCTGCTTATGCCCCTTTCTTATCGTCTTATCAGGATAAGCGCCTAAATAGTTTGTTCAAACGTGCAGCTCGCTCGGTGTACAGGGCAGCCCCTTGCACTCACACGGCTCCCTTACTTGAACGCATGAACGCCCATACCCTCAGCATATACACCCGAGTGCACATTCTTGTATTCATTTGGCGCTGCCTGAACAAATTTTCAAGTACTCTGTTTGCAAGCTTTTTCACCCGTAGTCCCTCTCTCCAAACACGAAGAGGGAGCAGCAAGTTACTCGTCATTCCTGTGTCCACCACTGCATCCTCAGCTAAGCGCATTAGCCATGCTGGAGCTATCCAGTGGAAACAGCTCCCAGACACAGCACGCCTCGAAAGAAAGCGCTCCACTTTCAAATTGCTAAGCCTGGCCTTTCTGTTATGCAGTACCCTCAACCCACACACACACACACACACACACACACTCTCTCTCTCTCTCTCTCTCTCTCTCTCTCTCTCTCTCTCTTTCTCTCTCTCTCTCTCCTTTCTTCCCAGTTGCCGTGCTTGTGCCATTTTTTTCTTCTTTTTTTTTCCCCTGCTGCTGTGCTCATATTAGTTATCTAACTTATCTTCTTCTTTGTTCCGTTTGTCCGCTTATTTTTATATATTTTTCTTTTCTCTTATTATCAGTGGGACCATTGTCATTAGGTTTAGGCCTGTTTTGGAAATCCACTCTAAATAAAGCCAAACAACCACAACCACAACAACAACAACAACAACAACAACAACAACAACAACAACAACAACAACAACAACAACAACAACAACAACAACAACAACAACAACCACAACAACCACAACAACCCCCAACAACCCCCAACAACCCCCAACAACCCCCAACAACCCCCAACAACCCCCAACAACCCCCAACAACCCCCAACAACCCCCAACAACCCCCAACAACCCCAACAACCCCAACAACCCCAACAACCCCAACAACCCCAACAACCCCAACAACCCCAACAACCCCAACAACCCCAACAACCCCAACAACCCCAACAACCCCAACAACCCCAACCACAACCCCAACCACAACAACCACAACAACAACAACAACAACAACAACAACAACAACAACAACAACAACAACAACAACAACAACAACAACAACAACAACAACAACAACAACAACAACAACAACAACAACAACAACAACAACAACAACAACAACAACAACAACAACAACAACAACAACAACAACAACAACAACAACAACATGTGTGACAATGGCCAGGTGGTCACGTGATAACGGCCGTACAGTTTTTGGCCATTCGGGGTTTTCCAAAACGAAATTGAAGGATAGTTTTCTCTAAAATGAGGCAATTCAACAGTGTCAAAAGATCAGGGAACCTGAATTGGCATACAGACTATAATTGGCTCTGTGGCTGTTACCGTGTATTTCCTTTTTTCTTGGTGCGCGGTTTAGTCTCCTTTCATTGCTCCTTTACAGGCTGGTCTAAGGTATCTTCTTGGTTTGTTGTGTGACGGGTTTGCTTTCTGTGCACTGTTGTTCTAGCTTCTAGATCCTCATGGCGATAGATAATGCCACGGCCCTTCAATAGCTACATGACGGAGAGCTTTTCGGCACATCTCCATGGTTATGCTCACATGCAGACGCCGTATGCTAAGTATCCTCTCAATACAATGCAATAAAACTATGGACAATCAAAGTTGATCACAAAGTGGAACAAGAATCAAAATAGGTTTCTTACATCTTTAGACATGCCTACAAGAAACATGGCATCATCATATCCCTCCTCCTCAAATCGACCAGCGAGATTCTGAACGAAAGGAGCACACATGAACAGCAACATATTCAAAGCTAACTTTTTGCTGAAATATGATGAAATTCTAGTACTCTTGACTTTGTTCTCATTATGGAATTGAGCCAACTTCATGCTCATGGTAGTAAGTTCATAAAGGGTTAATATGACATAATTTTCAACTTAGGGGTCGTCCGTATTTTTCGAAAAATTAAAAAATCCGTCCTCAGGCAAAAAGGGGGTGGGTGGTCAAGAGTGCTGGCGGAATTTAATTTTTTGATTTTTCGTCCTTTTTTTTTTTTTTTTTTTTTTTTTTTTTTTGCTCCAGTGACTTTTATACAGTCATGTACACTTGTTGCACTGAGCTGACTGTGTACTGTACTGTAGACGTAGTGTAGGATCGATTGTCGCAAACACCAGTATCTACTATGATGACTTTTCACGTAGTTGTAGGACGGTGCATGGCCGTGACCTCGGTAGACCTACTACTCACTGTACTTAGCTACTAGTACTTGACACAGGTGCAGTCAATCAACATGGGGTCAGGAGTTCTTATTAATTTTTCGAGCTGGGCATCGGTAAAAATCAAAAAATTAATGGGAAAAAATGGGGGGTGGGTGGGTGGGTCAGAGACAATTTTGCACGAGGACGGATTTTTTAATTTTTCGAAAATTACGGACGACCCCTTAGTAGCAGGGTACTACTAAGTTATGGCTCAGCCTCACCTCAAGCTTGTACTTGGCCAGAAAGGTGCTGATATGAGTGCGGTCGACTAGCAAGCAAGGCAGAATGGCCTGCTCCGGCTCTCTAGACCGGTCCTGCTGAGACTGCCGACTAGTCTGAGACGCTGTAGGGAACAGCAGAGATTTCACGTGATCAGTGATGGCAGGCGTTGCATTGTTGTTTGCTCGTTAAAGGGGAAGTTAAGGCAAAAATTAAAATTTCACCAGTTGTAGTCTTCGGGGTGCTGAGTCGAATGGTCTTGGTCCGAGAAAGCTGAGACGCTCCCTTCCTACTTGAATCCCAATCGAACTCGCGCACTTCCACCGAAACTGGGTGACTGCGCCCTACGAGATGGGGATTTGTATGCAAAATGTCACTAAAAGCGCCATTTCGTTCTTATAAAAGCACGGATGACCGCGATTGGCCCATGATGTTGTAGTCTTTTGGACGCTGAGTCGACTGGTTTTGGTCCGAAAAGGCTGCGATGCAGCGTTCGCCCCTAATTCCCAATCGAACATGGTTGAACAAGCGGTCACGTGCTCCTGCGTACACCAGTCACCTGGTCACCGTGCCTGCAGGATACAACTTACAGCCTGTTTTGACCTTTTTTGGGTGCAGTCCTGTCACTCGAGTTGAACCTTGGTGTGAAAGTTGTCGCCTGCTGGCGTGGTGACCAGGTGATTTTGGCACCCAGGAGCACGTGACCGCTTCTTCAACCATGTTCGATTGGGAATAAAGGAGGAAGCCTTTTCGGACCAAAACCAGTCGACTCAGCGTCCAAAAGACTACAATATATGGGCCAATCGCGGTCATCCGTGCTTTTATAAGAACGAAATGGCGCTTTTAGTGACATTTTGCATACAAATCCCCATCTAGTAGGGCGCAGTCACCCAGTTTCGGTGGAAGTGCGCGAGTTCGATTGGGATTCAAGTAGGAAGGGAGCGTCTCAGCTTTCTCGGACCAAGACCATTCGACTCAGCACCCCGAAGACTACAACTGGTGAAATTTTAATTTTTGCCTTAACTTCCCCTTTAAAGAACATCAGATTAACATTTAATGACTCTCAAGCCTTCATTTAGATAGGATCGTTATCACTTGTGAGCTACTGATGATGAGTACATGCATGCGTGAATGGCTGCTGTGACGATGTGTTCTCCGCAAGACCAAACCAAGGTTGTAGTGTATTTCCACGGTCACAGGCAAATAAGCCAAATGCCCTCTTGTTGTCAATATGCCACACTCTATTACGTATTGGTTTGCATGCAAAACGAATGTTCGGTGCCACAGGGATGATTTCGGCCTGAAACATCTATATTAAAAAACTGCGGCTTTATCGCCAGAGACTGTGGTCTATACAGCAAACATGCAGCTGGAAAAATCACATGCCGGTACATGCCAAATCAAATTGCACAGCCCTGAACAAACAGCACCTGAGATTGGCACTCTTATTGATCGTCAGCTTCCCCAACTTACTACTATACGATGCCTAGCTTAGCGGGGGGGGGGGGGGGGGGGGGGGGGGGAAACTCAGGGTTGTAACTACATTTTTAAAGCGGTTCCATCTCTGCCTATTGTAAAAGCAGGTTTGGTTTGACGGCTCACAGTTGTGAAGACTGTGATGGGTTACCCCGCTTGTCACGGTGCTTCTTGAATACCTTGTTGTACGCCTGCATGTCCTGTAGATGGTAAGGAAGAAGTAGCTTCACGCAAACTCCTTGTTCTCCCTTCGCGCACACCTTGAGCAGTGGCGCTAGGGTGACTGGCTTCCGGTACGGTAGCTGCAGTTTCCTGGACCTGGAGCAGGAAAACAAACACCCAACACCTTGCTCGTAGGAAATCTTTAAAGCTAAGAGAGAAAAACGAGTGAACAACATCACAGTCACAATGACACCCTAGCAACCTGTCATAGCACAGGAAGTAACAAGCAACATTTAGGATGAATGTTAGCAACTGAGCAATGAGTGTTAGTATGCATGCGCAAGTTAGCAGCCAGGCCTACCTGTGCACACTGTGCAAAGAAAGTGAGCTCATACTCCCCCCCCCCCCCCCCCCAACTGTCCATGTTACGTATCCTGAACTGCAAATGTAGTTGTGAGCATATGCGCTTGTTGACCAAGTATATGCTTTGCCACCCTCCTATCCACTGCTGCTTCAACATTGACACTCGTGCACTACGGTATCCATACTGTCCAACTTCAATGAAGTTTGATCCCTGCTCTTCAAATCAAAAATTGCTTGATTTCATTTGCACTGGTGGACACAAAACCATTTGCGAATCAAAGTTGCTTGGCAACTACGTGTGGAGTTTACCTGTCAGCAGAGTGCAGTGGTGGGAGGATGCCAACACATCACGAACATTTAATCACGTTATCACAAACACCAAAGTATTCGATGACCACAGCTACAAACCGTTTTAAACTGACACAAAAGTAAGTTAAACAACTGGCCATTGCCAAAGAAGTGTTATCACTTACCTCATGAACATGTTCTGCAGCCGTTTCTGGTGCTACGTGCAAGCTGGTAGTACCTGTGGTGGTAGCTGTGACTACGGCTGCATCAACTATCAGGCACCATGGAAAGCACAGAAAATGTCCGCGTAAAGAAGTTTTGTATGCTTTGTTTTAATCATCAAAAGCTTCACATGATGGCCAGTGTCTCTCGGATGTTACGTCTACATCTATGCGGTGCCGTTCAGCAAACCAAGTGATGTGAATGTGGAAAGGGGCATGGCTAATGATTAGTAGTAATGATGGCAACGTCGTCACCACATCATCACACTGCGCAAGCACTTACCAGCTGAGGGTACCTGCTGCTGCTGCTGCTGACCAGTGGCTGCAGGTATCAATGTCGGTTGATTGGCTGGCGGAGGGTGACTAGGCCGAGGCATAGCAGCTTCAACAGCAGCGGTATCAGTGGCAGGTATGCCCCGGTAACCACCGTTGTCGTGGAGTCCACCAAATGTCTAGCACGACACACGGTGAAGAAATCAAGTTTGACCAGGTTCAGCTCCTGCCATTTTCGGCGTGTTGTACATAAACACACAATAGGTACTACGGCCCCTTCCCAGATGATACCGGTAACCTTGAACAGTGTTACCGGTAACCTTGAACAGTGTTGTAATCATACCCAGCCAATTATGCCTCGGTCTGTGATGCCCACTCTGTGTCCTGTGTTCAGGCAACCCTTTTTTTTAAGGCACAGGGAAACAATCTGCATTAGAGCATAGTAACTGATCCCGCTCACCTCACGCAGCCAATTTAAACGGCTCTGTATTGTCTCCTGCCATGTACCAGACCCAGAGGGTCCGCTGGCTGTTTTGGCCTCTCTGGTACCCCAGCTCTGCGAGTCCATGTTGCACAGAGAGTAGACAAACAAGAAGATGTAGCCGGAGGGCAGGCAGAGAAGGTACCATACGCCGTGCACCAGACAGAAGAGTTCGGTGGGATGCACTAAGCCCGCGATCACAAACATTCCTGTCAGCGATCCTAGGTATATTGTCGTGATACCAACCGGAGCACCTACACAAGAAATACACAGAGCCGTAAAACAGAATCTGGAGGAAGTACAATTCTGGCAATACCTACATGTAGATCTGGAGGAAGTACAATTCTGGCAATACCTACATGTACATGTTTTGTACTTGGAATTGTGGAAGTTCCAACGAAAACGGTTTCGAATATCGAAACTGCAGTCGACCTTTTTTGCAACGTTTAAGAGATGGACGGAGGAATCACGGATGCAACTCGCGTGCAGACTTTGACCAGTACCGGCACATTCAAGCAATTACCACACAGGTCAGTTTGCAATGTTTCCAACCGTACTGCATCACAACAAGGTATTTTGACTGCTACAAGCAAAGCATAAGAAATGCATGAACTTCATCTGTTCTCCTGCTGAAATTCGATCACTTGAACAGTTGAAAACGCTACATACAAACTCTACATGGGTTTTTTAAACATGTCTTCTTTGCTTGCCATGTTGGGGTGGCCTTTTTGGGGGTTGGGGTGTTACGATATGAAAGGACTAATCAAAACATATACGCATCGGTGTGTGTGAGAAGACAGCATTACATGAGTCAATTCGGGCGACTTCTGCAGCGCAAGACTCATGAGCCTAAAGGCCGATTCACAATACAACTTTCTGCGACGCGACACGCGATTTGCGACAGTTGCGACAAGAAACTGCCTGTCGCGAGCTGTCGCGAGCTGTCGCAATGCACCTGTCGCAGAAGTTGAAGAAAGTTCAACTTTTGCGACATGCGACACGCGACCTACACAAATGGAGTACAGGTTCGACCCTGGGTGCACGTGCAGTGTACGTGCAGTGCCCGTGCATAGTACTACTTGTCGCAAACATGAAGAATATTGTGAACCGTGTGTCGCTGTCGCAGCTCGTCGCATGTGTCGCAAGTCGCATGTCGCGTCGCAGAAAGTTGTATTGTGAATCGGCCTTCAGGCTTACCAAAGAATGAATTGTGTGTGCAGTTGTACATGACCAGTTCATAGCCGGTATGACAATTATCGCCGGGTGATGGAATGTACGACTCATTCTTCAGCTGCAAAACAATCCACGCGCACACGCCCATGCCACAAATACAACCACAGAATTATTATACAGAAAGAGACAGAACGTGAGGGGCAATACATAACATGGCTAGAACACAGGAGTCTGTGTATAATGCTAGCATAAGTGGGCAGAGGCAACACCTCCCAAAGCCAGAATGCATCCCTGGAGTGCTCTCCAAATAGTCAGTCACAGTGACAATCATACCAAGATACAGCAATGCTCATACAGTTGGACCGCTCTGGCACGAACTGGCCACATTTTCACAAACACAATGATATGCCTTGAGTCAGCCAGACTGACCTTTCCGCATCCATAGGAACTCGGCCACCCAGTTATGAATCAAATGGCAACACAGCAATGAAATGCAATGCAGGCTAGCCACCTATAAGTGACTGATGGAGAACCTTGTAATGTGCATAGCATAGGCAGTAGCTTGGTTACTAGTATGTGGGTAGTGTTCAATTAAAACATACAGCACTGAAGTGCTGGTTGTAATAACTGCATGGGGGCTTTCACTTTCTGCCACTGCACTCACAGGTTCACATATCTTATCGCAATTCTCTGTTCCGGCATCTAGACTTATCTGCCGGAGAACTCCAACGAAGACCGCCACCATCAGAATAGCAAAGATGAACGTCAGAAGCTTGGCAGCCTGCTCGGTACACAGAAATAGAATACACCGGCATCGCTTTTTTTAGTCAACAACTCACAAATTGAAACTCATGGAAGCAAGAGCTGAATAAGACACCAAAATAAAATAGAGAGTGAGAGAGAGAGAGAGAGAGAGAGAGAGAGAGAGAGAGAGAGAGAGAGAGAGAGAGAGAGAGAGAGAGAGAAAGAGAGAGAGAGACATGATCACAAGTGAAGAGGATAAAAGATGACGGATGCCACCAGGCTCCACGTGTCCTGTCACTGGTCAACATCAGCTATGCGCAATGAGCTGCACTGATGGTGTTCACCAACGAGTACGTCATTTTTCGGTGCATCCCGATCCCCAGCTCTTACCGCCATTTCATACTGCTTGAACGAGATGCATATCACACCAAACGCCACCGTGACCAGACTGATGAAAACCAGACTTGCAATGTTGTTCCAACCATACGCATACACTAGGCCACTGGACATCAGTAAGACGATCGTGCCTGGTGAAATGATAGTGCTGAAGATCATCAGAGCCTAAGAAGGAAAGATCAATCCGAAACAAAGCATCACCTTCAAACGAAAGAAAAGCTTAACACGGTCGACTGACAAAGAAATTTTCCTTCCTGGGAATCCGTTCCAAATGCAGTATACAATGGACTCAGTAGGCAGTCAGGTCACTATAGGCAGTCGGGAGTCCAGTATACAGTCTAAATCCTGTAAACAGGCTGATGATGTGCCTGCTAGGCCTCATAAGCAGTCGGATGCCCAGTATGCAGTCTAAGTCCTGAAAACACCTAGACTAGACAAGTTGTGTTATCACAGCTGGGCGGGGTGAAAGAGCGTAAGAAATAAAAAAAAATTCTTACGCTCTTTCAATTTCTTTCTTTTATTCATATAACTTGGCAGGCATGTGTTTACCGCCATATTGCCAGGTGTGTCTTTACCACCATATTTATCAACCATATAACTTAGATCCTTCCAAGTTGGAAGGCTGTTGGAGTGCACATCCAAGACTGTGTGCTAGAGCTGATAGCCAGTTAGTTGTAGAACGTCAGTACCATCCGTCAGTACTGTGCAATGTTATCGCATGAGCTGATTGTTCAGTAAATGGTGGTGTTAGTGGACATTATAGCGTAACTTGCAGTTCTTTGGCCCTTTTATTTTCTATGAATTTTTTATTCACCAGATTTTTCTCCATCTGCTGCTCCTCTACTGTGCAACACCCTAGAATCTGCCACCGCAGTCTTGTCTCTCTTCGTGTAAGGTAACATTTGCCCACCCACCCTCCCCCAGGGCCCATATTTTGCTTTGCCTGTGTTGGTCTGTTGGCATGCTGCAGGCTATGTGCATTGCTCACAGTGTTTCGGTTCACGGCTCACATTAATCCTCACTTTCCCTTCTGGTTGAGTGTGACTGGCAGTGAGACAGGCCACAATATAGTAGAAAGGTTTCTTCGGCCACAAGGTGGTGAGTTTCCCCTTAGCCTGAAGCGGTCGCGGCCAGAAATTTAAAATTTGAAGCCATGAAGAATGTCTGTTCTCGGCCTCAGCCAATCTCGCTGCTCTGTCAACCGAATCTAGCTGGAGTTACAATTGGTCTTTGGCACCGCATTCTAGATAGATGGATGTACTACTGAGAAACCTCATGCCCGTGGCTTTATCTTGGAAAATATCACATTTACTTACCTGATAGAGGATGAACCACCAGCCCACCGAGTCATTGTTCTGTACAATTTTCTTGCTGTGCTCCACACAAAGTCCCAGGTTGGCCAAGGTGCTGGGGATCCAGCGACGCCGCTGCTTGTAGAACTCCTCAAAGTTATCCGGGCAGAATGTGTGATTTTCGGATGCAGCACAGTAGACCAACTGCCAGCCCTTCTCCACCAGCAGTGTGCACAACCATCTGTCTTCGCCCATGTCTTTGGTCAGAAACTCTGTGGCATGCTCTACCTGCCGTTATGAATACAACCGGCCATGTGCATATGATATGAGATGAGAGAGAGAGGGAGACAGACAGACAGAGAGAAAAGAAATGGAGAGAGAGGGAGGGAGAGAGAAATGGTATAAGTTTTCTAGCAACAAACAAGATATATTTTCTTTTTAAGGTCTACATAAGTTAACGAAGGGACGCACAGATCTAAAAAAAAGGAAGGCAAAATCCATGCTTTCTATAACCACGAAAACATTCCTGATGCCCTTAGTAGGATTCCCAAGCTATGTCAAAGAGATGAGAGACACTGGTGTGCATGTGCAAGTGATTGTGAAAAATGAAGCTGTGTTTTGTGCCGGTTACATGTACAGACTAGTGGTGATTGAAATCCAAGCTCATGAATACAGAGAATCGTGCAACCCTAGGATGCCAAACACTGGGCTGTGAAGTGAACATGGCTCTGGTTTCTTCAGAATGTCGGCGGACTTCAGTTGCCAGCACCAAACATGCATAGGTATTTAAGTTCAAGTGTACAGTGTACAGTACCTTGGTTGCATAGATGTGCAAGACATCCTGCAGAGCTCGGCAACGGAACACTGAGAAACAGCCCGGGCAGCACATCACTGAGCCGATGACATGCTCCGCCGTCTTCTGAAACCAGTGACCGATAGCGTAGTCGAATACCTGGGCAATGAAGTAATGTTGGCACACAGCAACACAGTGTTATACAGAGCCGCCTATTGGTATAGACAAATATGCGCAAATGCATCAATACAGTAACAGTTGCACTCTGAAGTACGAAATTGAGCTCTGAACTATACATGGCTGTTGCTTGAAGCGTGCACACGGCCACTTGGTAATATCTGACTATGTCACAACGTAACCATGAATATGTTGACACGCTGTCACCCACACATAACGCATAATTGTCTACTTTACTTAGCATAGTTCGGTCAAGCTAGGAAATCGTATGATGGCGGATAACTCTACTACCGAAACACCTCGAACTAGGACAATGATTGGAACACGATGGAACCAAGTTATGAAGACAAATGATCCAAGGCACCCGCATACAAGGTATTCAGTATTCAGACACTACACCCCCCCCCCCCCTCCCCTCCACACACACACACACACACACACACACACACACGCACGCACACACGCACGCACACACACACCACACCACACCACACACACCACACCACACCACACCACACCACACCCTCACTGCTTATTGCACAGAGGTGCACCCCGACAAGTTCATGGCTTGTCTGGGAACCATGCAGACAATTGCCATGTTTTGTTGCTAAAGAAACGTGTCACCGCTGTGGAATCATAACCACGTGTGTAGAGAATACTACAGGGTAGGGACCTCTTGGATGAACCCTGGGCTATGCTCCTGCTGTAGTACATTAGAAAGCTGTACACAGTACACTGGATCAGTCACAAACTACACTGCCTACATACCTGATACCACACAAGGGGACCACTTCCAGTGGGATGAGTGCGAGCACACACTGCACCAACGCCGTCGTCTCTGGACATCATGTCAAGCAAAGCCTTCACCTGCTCGCCGACGGTGGTAATGAAGCAGTGCCGGCCATTGCAATAGTGCAGAAGCAGACATGCAGACAGAGCAGTACAACCCTGAACACTACCAGTTGCAAACACATAGATGTGTATTCAAGAACAACTGATATGCTCGAAATGACACGATGTAGTCAATGCCATTCACTCATACAATTAGAACAGGAGTCCAAAACCCAGCCAAATTTCAATGTAAGTTATGCTTCGATATATTGAATTGTTCTGGTATCCAGCCAGTTCATGCACCTGTTTGCCCACAGAGGTGCACTAGTCAAAGGGGATTGTGATAACTGAAGTTGCACTGTACCAGCATGTACAGGAAAGCTTCCCAACCATGTTTGTTTGGGTCCTATTTTGTCCATGCTTTAACCACATGTAGTTGTTCTGTACATACCATGAACTGGTACACAGCTCAGTGCAACAGGGTGTGCATATGTCCCAGTTTCGCCATAGTTATTGCAATGGTAGCTCGAAGACGGGTCTTACCGAGCTGTAGGAGAAAACAATGTCGGCATCTGTAGTCAAGATGAACGTGTCTTCAATCCTGTCACCACCGCCGTCACTGTCGCTGGGCTCAGTAGAACCGTCGACGGCACCAGACTGATCCATGCGGCGCTCTTTGTCGTTACGGCAGCAGTAATCCAGCACGTAGGACATGTACATGACTTGGCTCCAGCGCTTCTTGTTCCTGAACTGCAGCACGCAGTACACGAGCATAGACATAGTAGTCACAGAGGAAAACAAAGATTCTCATTCTTCTCACTGCATGCAAAGTATGTGCATTACATTACCCCATTCAACATTGGTGTTGGAAATGAAATACCCTGCAATATAACGGAGCATAATAAGATAATATCACTCCAGGTTATTGAGACAAGTTTGAGCACTGTAAAGAGAAGCATGTTACATAGTTTTACATGCAAATAATCAGATATCATATAGTAATGCACAGACTTTATCACACAAATGTATTGCATGTGGCTCTCAAGTAAAAGTCTAAACCGTTACCTTGTGTCCATCTTTCAAGTGCACAGTGAACCGTATGCCATCTTGATTAGAATCCTCGCCATCACTGCTGCTGCCAGGTGCTCGTCTGTCAAGCACAGGCAAGCAGACAGCACGGTGATGCACTGCAAACAATACTGTACGACTCGTAGCTCGTGCATGCTTGGAGCACTGCACAGCACGCAACAATTATTTTTAGGGGTGAAAGTTGGCACTGAGATCCCGAGTTCGAGTACTCTGATTTTCTCCGATCGAATATTCGAGTATTCGAGTATTCTTCATCTCCTAAAAATTGCACACCAAGGGCCTTAAAATCACATCATACAACCCTGATTGAACCAAGTAGCAGTCATTTTTCTCGGGTATATCGGTTCGTGGGTCATTTGGGCTCTCTCTACTCGTGAACAAATGTTCACCGCACAGTCTGCACCTCAATATCTGCCGACTGCTGCTCTGAAACTGCAGATTTCTGTGATAAATGCATGCACCATGTATGAACGAGTACTCCGATTTATTCCGAGTACGATTATTTTTGAAAAAACCGAGCGAGTACTCGAGTACTCGGTATAATTGTTTCACCCCTAATTATTTTAATTTTTACTACAGTCCATTCATTGGAAACTGGCACCCTAACTTTTTGGTGTCTCCCGCACATAGTTGTAGATATAATGAAAACAACATTACATTCTGCATTGTGTGACCCGTGCAATTACTCCTTGCCACATTTGAGGCCACAAAAGTCCAAGAATAGGGAAATAGAAATTCAGCCGGGTTTTGCAAAAATAGGACAGGTATGCATTGGCAAAATGTATAGAGAAGCAGATCCAAAACCCAGATTTTTGAGATTTAAAGTGGGTTTTTGATCCTCAATTCGGCCCAAATCCGACTTTCAAAAGCCAGCGGGACTGTTTCCGATGAAGTAGATAATCAAGCGAGGTACAGAGGGCTTGATGGCTGATCAAAGCCCAAGGGTCCAGCCCGAGGGCCGTAGGCCCAAGGGCTGGGCCCGAGGGCTTTGATCAGTCATCAAGCCCGACTGTACCTCGCTTGAATATGCTTCAGACGATCCCCAACATTTTTTTGATTTTGAATCAAACTCGCTTCATTCTTTGGGTGATCTCGAGTGTGGACAATGTCGGCCTTTCGTTTGGGATTTCAGAGCAGCCTGAAGTCTAAAGTGCATGTCGTTTTCGTCCCGTTCGTAAGTATCACACAGAGATTACAGCAAAGGGAAAGTAATGTGAGTGGACGAAAAACCTGTTTCGTGAGATATTTCTCAGGACTACGTGTCAAGAGCCAGACGTGGCTGAAGAGTCACGGAAGTATTTTCACTTCGACCATACACGCCTTGCTCACGCTGCATACTGCTGAGAGTTCTGCGGTGCTGGAGCTAGATTTCCAACTCCACAAGTTGAGAGCCGCCGCATCCCCGACCACCACCCCTATCGGTTTCTTGTTCTTATAGCCAGATCACCTTGAAAAGACTGAGATTGGGCATGATCAGGGCTTCGATGGTTTTGTCGTACAGTTGCCAATGGCAGCGGGCTTTGATGGAATATCAAAGCCCGCTCTCCGAGGCTGCTGATTGGTCGTAACCTAGCAAAGGGCACGTGGGTCGTTTGAATGGACTGTACAGTCGAAGTCACTTGGTACCGTACTACGTACTCGGATAAGACATACTCGGGCTTGGGCACGAACATTGTCTGGAGCGCGGGTGTGTTGATCCATACTCCAGTTTATCGCCTTCTTAGTATTTGACCCCACTAATTTCCCTGATACCTAAGCGGTCAAATATATCGCGTATTTGACTGCTTAGGCCTCGGTCACACTACGGCAGTTTGAAGCTGGACGCAGCGTCAAGCCGCAGCACTTGACGGAGACGCGGGGTCACACAGTGTTTTTTTTTTTTTGCAGCTCATGACTGCCGCGGCTTGACGCATTTGTCTACGTCACAAAACCACCAGGAAAACTCAATGACGACACGGATTCCCACGGAAACCGGCCTTTTGCTTATTACACAAAAAAATTGTCGGACAAAGTTTTCGAATTTTTCATTAATTTTTGATTACAAGAAGACGAAAGGTACTATACTAGGTCCACGCGTGCACGATCGTTGTTGTTTCTTTCCGAATTTGAAGCCATTTTCAATTGTAGTGTCATTGATCAGGCAAGAAAAGTCCGCATCGCAGCTGTGTTTCTCCTGACTTCGTCATACTGGTTGTCCTTTTTGGGGCTCTTGACGACAACACAACACTCACAAGTCAACAGGCTCCAGTTGGCCGATGACCCACTCAAACAACTGGTCCTTTGTCGACATCATTTTCTTCTCAGAAAAGCCTCGCTCTTCCGCCAGGTTCGGAGCAGAGCAGCCTCGGCCTCGTAGGTCCACGGACTCATCTCGAACAAAAAGAGGGAACGAAACAAACCTTGAACAGACGAATGTCGAATAACTGCTCAACTCAAGCAAAGTGTCTTGAAAATAATTTTACTTGAAAGACACTGTTTTTCCGCCAAGCGTCACTCCCATCAGCGGCAACGCAGCCGATTTCCCCACGTCAGACGCAGCAGCGTCTGACGCTCAAACTTCCAGTCCATCCTCAAGCGTGCAAAAAACATATCTCTGCCACTAATCGAGACTTACACTGATTTTTGCGCTTTTGGGCCCAAATAAGTCTTGATGACGGCAAAAAATAATTGTCAACTGAATACGGAAGTGAACGAATTTGGTCGAAAGTGTCGAACCACCTTCATGACGAGCAACCGTTTGTGGCCACTGTTTGTGAACTTGGAGCTTGTTATGGTGTGTGTCGGCAGGAATTTTTTTATGGCGATCAGGAAACGTTTTTCACATCGAAATCAGTGGTTACCCTTTGAAATTGAGATGTTCAAACAGCGGATTTTCTACGTCGAAATGAAGTTGGAGCACCATCGAGTTTGATTATTCCGATTTCCTTGGTGGGCTAAGGTAAGGGTAATTAACAGCTAGACATAAAAATCTCACCTGTTCACGCCCTGTATAATCCAACTTCGACCTTCAAAGTGGGCGTACTCAAGCAACATAAATCATACATGCCGTATACATAAACCTTTGAAGGGAGCATGAAAACACGCAAACGCATAGCTGTGTATACATGTACATTGTGCATGCACATGTACTGTATGTGTGTACATTGTAGACCCTAGTTTGTGTTCCTCTGTGTGTCTCGGTGTGTCGTCAAGGCTGTATTCGACAACCGTAAGCATAAGGAGAAAGTTGCCGCTGTACGCGCTCTTGTGTGTAGTATGTGTGCCGCGTTCAGTTGCTGTTTAGTACAGTATGAGATATCGGTACATGTAGCTGGGCTGGTGGTGCGTATTGCCTTGATGTGGATCACCTAACTCGTGGCCTTCTAAAGCCCGTCGAAACGCATGCCGTTTCAGATGTATGGTCTCGTGGTGTGTGTGTGTGTGTGTGTGTGTGTGTGTGTGTGTGTGTGTGTGTGTGTGCGTTGTGTGTGTGACTGTGTGTGTGTGTGTGTGTGTGTGTGTGTGCATATGTGCGTGTGTGTGTCAAAATGCATGCCGTTTCAGATTTATGGTCTCGTGGTGTGTGTCTGTGGTAGGGACCGGTGGATTCTGCTCGAAAAGGTGGCAGATTCTGCTCGAAAAGCAGTGAAATTGGCAGAACCATACAAACCTTATGGCGGGCAATTCCTCGAATTCTGCTCCATTTCTTTATCCACATACCAAACATGCATGAAACTTACCAGAAAAAGTACCGAATTCTGCCAATTTTCTGCCGGCAGAATCCGCCGGACCCTAGTCTGTGGGGGGGGGGGTATTTGTGTGTGCGCGTGTGTGTGTGTTTGTGTGTGTGTGTGAGTCTGTCGCGCTCACAATATCTCGTTTTCTGCTTATGAAGCTACATGTACATGTATGTGTTATTTGTAGGAGATTACAATGTAGAGGTGATTGTCTGCTTCGCGTTCCTCTCTGCTTGGCCTGCATTATCAATTTATCAGTACTGGTTTTTGCTCTTCCCCCGCACACAAACACACACACACACACGCGCACGCATGCTTATGTATACAGTTCCAGTTTGAAAAATGCAAAGTGTCCTGTACATGTGTGCGTCTGATGCATTCACACGAACTTCAACGGTCTATGCATATATATATATACCATGCACGCGTCACTTCTCCTTTGAGGAAAGAAAACCAAAGCATATCAATACAATCACATACATGTATACAAACTTTTAAAAGTGTGTGAATGTACAACGTACGTTTGTCTTGTTTATGCTGTGTGTCACTTTGCTCTGGGCATGAAAATTCTGTCGTATTTGCGAATTGTCGTTATATACGCAGTGGTTATTAGAGAAGTTGACTGTATGTGAATGTACAAAGTACGTTTGTCTTGTTTATGCTGTATGTCACTTGCCCGGCCACCCGTGTTGCGTTCTCTCTGTTTCGGCTATTGCTACTGCACTGTTCTAGCCAGAAATTATTGTTGATAGGGAAACCGAGTGCGAACCTTACTAGGCTTTGCTGGTGAGGTACTCTCATGTGTGCGTATCAGTGCTCGTTTGTATTCCTCCGACGGTGTGGCACACACATGTGATGTATGCGAAGTGTATCCGGCATGTACGAACAATGCGTGTGCATCCGCGGCACGCATGTTTGACATGTTTGTGCTCCACGTGTGCATGTAGGATCTAAACGTGTGTAACGCAAGCGTGTGGGGCACGCCCATGACGTCTGCGGCACCGTGACATGGCCAGTATGTGATGTCCGACACGGGTGTGCAGGAGTGGCGCGTGGGCGTGTTCGCAGTGTGCACGTCTATACTCCAGCGTATTGTCCGCTTTCCTGGTCCCATGGCCCAGGAGGGTTTTGGATCTGTGGAAAACACGTGAACTGAATACAGTGGAGTTAATTTGAACTCTTGTGTGCTTTCTGTGCACAGGTTTATCTACGGAATTGAGTATGGTCAAGAAATGCGTCTGAAAAACCTGGAGCACCATCGATTTTGCCATAACCATTACTCGAATGTCCGAGAGCAGGGTCGAGGGCAACCACATTGTCAAAAATTACACCTGTTCACGCCCTCCTTTCAGGTTACTGGCTCGTTTTCGCCGACTGCTCTGAATCGTACGAAAAATTCAAATGTTCTCCGCCGAATGGCACCATCACAAAGTCTTTCGGATCATTTTCGATATGCACCTCGCGAACATACCACCTTCCTGCACCCATACACCACAAACAATGCATGCTCCATTCGACGAGGTGGGTGTCATGAGTGTTCTTTCACGTCAGTCGCCGAAAGTCATTTCAGGGTGAGAATCGTTCTCAAGAAAAAGATCGCAAAAATCAGTGTAAGTCTCGATGGAACGCTTGAGGATGGACTGTTCCCGCGTTGCGAAAGTTGCCATGGAAAAGCTCATGATTCTGACGCTGACGCAGCATTTTTGCCGTAGTGTGACCGAGGCCTTAGTCAAATACGCGATATATTTGACTACTTATATTTGACTCCTTAGAACTTCTTGGACTTAGAAATTTTCTCTCCAACTTAGAAAAAGAAATTTTTGAAGAAAGCAGAAATACACAAGATGGGATTTGAACCCACAACCTTGTCAATCTCAGTCACTCTTCCTTACCACCCAGCCACTGTGCTACCGATGCTGAACCTAGTTTAAACAATGATCTTGACTTTCAATGCAGTACAATGCGGTATAGGCTATAGTATAATACTAGAATTACAAGGATATGTCGTATATGAAGAGAAACTATTGCGTGGAGAACACGATAAATACCGTACTGGCAATATATGTTGCCGCAGTGAGGCCATGAAGCGTTACATTGGCACATGTTTGCCGCACGCAGGGCGTTACATGCAAAGTCGCACAGGAGCCGTTACACAGGTTTCTATATTGCCGCAGTCCTTTTTTTGCTATTGCCGCATCACTTTTTTGCTATTGCCGCATCATTTTTTTTGCTTTTGCCGCATCATTTTGAGTGAAAAGATCGCCGCACCCCGCCGGACGCGCGTTACGAACTCAACGAAAATTTGTCGCACTAGCCTGGTCGCGCGTTACGCCGCACCCCCCTGCGTTACGCGTTACGCGGCAACATATATTGCCAGTACGGTAGATTATAGACCTCATAGTTGGTCTATACAGGATATATAGACCTCGTAAAAGACCTCGGGGGACCTCGGTCTTTTACTCGGTCTATATATCCTGTATAGACCTCCTAACCGGTCTATAATCTATACATATTTCGATAAGAAGTGAGCCAGAGCATGCTAAAATATGACCACAGACCAAAAATTCGATTTTCACTTTTTTTGTTCCAAAATGATCAAACACACCTAATGTTCACTGTCTGAAAGTTTTGGATTGATCGGACATGTCTAAGTGTTGCTACAATGGTATTATACGCATCACTGTTGGAATGGTGAAATTCTATGTACAGCAATGGGATTGTCATTTTTGCACACAGTTGATATGTCCCTTGGTTCATCCTTTCCGGGTCAGTTCCTCTGTCCAGGGTCTTATAGCATGAGGTGACAGGTACTTGGCCACATCCAAAATTCCTATAGGCAGCTGAGCTGGGTGTCCGAAATACCTCCTGTTTGGAGCACCACTGGAGAACCGGCAGCGAAAACACCGTCAACATCTGTAGATGGCCGGAGAAGTTGGCACTCCACGTCCTCTCCATCACACTCCACCTGTACTGTCAGATATACAGTATACACTGCTGCATACAGTCTTCCTCAACATACTCGACGTCGCACTCATATTCCGCACACCAAAGCCCATCTGCACACGGCTTTCTCCGCTCGCCAGAGAGTACTGCTTTCCCTGCCTACTGCTCGTGCTAGCCATGTACCGCATAAGGGTACTCAAATTATCGACTTGAGCAAGTTGAGGGAGCAGCAGAGTCCATTGATTGTTTTTGCACTTGCAACCAATACTGGCATTGTCCCGGATATGTGCAGCGATGTCCATTCTGGCCAAATCATCGGCCGACTCACCTCCCAAGTCAGTGTCGATGCCAATCGCTTGCCAGGTTGTCATCAGAGTAGAATTCCTCGTCACTGCAGATCGTGGGACTACCAGCATCAATTCTTTTACGCTCAATGAAAGTGGTGCCCTCAAATGACTGGTCGCTGTCGCCATCATCATGCGTCTTCCTTCTGTTTCCGACCCGAATCCTCAAAATGTTTTATCCTGCGCATGGAGTGCGAGGATGTCGTCTTCTTCCGCTCCGCAATACATTACTACTAGGCTCTTCCGTCGATACATCGATGACGATCAGTTTTAGGCGTCTCAGCTCAACATGGAATACAAACTCAAACAAATAAACTTTCTTGCAACAAAGAAATGCATCCGGAACAGTCCAGTCGACCGAGGAGAACAACAACAGCGACTCGCGTTGCACTGCACTTCGTATTTTTTGCCGTTGAATTCCAATCGCGATTATCTCGACTTTTTCAAAAAAAGCTGTGGTCATGTTTTAGCGTGCTCTGGCTCAAGTAACTCAGGTAATACGTACCCTCTCATATTCCCCATGAGGGTACATCTTATCAGAAATCTACTGCACATGCACATGGAAATACCAGTGCATGGAGCATAAAAAAACACAAGCTACTCAAGCATTGCACACTTCTTAAATCACAGAAATTTTGCCGGTGGCCGCAAAAAGCAGGCTATCTGCAGGTGTAGCATACCGGCATGTGTAACCTAAGCTTATCTACAATGGGACGTCGCTGCTAGGAACAGGGAGGTGAGCACAGCCTCTAGCTGCACAACGATACAAGGCGGCTCGATAAAAGGCGTCTCTACAACTCCTGCCAACACACTCAGTCAGACGTTGGGCTACAATGCACAGCTGCAGGGCTAAGATAGGTCCGTGCCGCATTATGGGTTTTAAAGTTTGTTTTTTAAGGGCTTGCTTGACCCACCGGTTCCAGTTGGCTTGCATTCCATACGGCGTTTCCAGCATGTCCACATGCTTTACATCAAAGCCGAGCGTTGTCTCCACCAAGCTGAATAGCTGCAATCCAGTCAACGAGAACATAAATATTATAATCCACACGCTTCATGTCAAACCAACTGGTATCTCTACCAAACCAGATGGCTGCAACCCCCAGGTCAATAAGAATGTAATATTGTACCATCCCTAGGGATGTCAGCGAACGCACTGCGCAGGCCTCTGCGCATGCATTGCGTCATCGATTTTTTGAACGTGATCGCGGCCGACAGAGAAAACATGGCCGCGGTCTGTTTGCACCGCTGGGAGTCGTAAAATCACTGTTCTTCTGTCCCCGCGACCATTCAAATCATACGTGATACTCGAGGACCCAACGTACTCACCACGTTCTCTCCGGTCGATTTCTCTGAAAGTTTGCACATCGTGAAGCACCAGTATGAGAGGTGTTCAGGCCAATTTTCAAGGGATTTCCCTGGTTGGATCGTTCCAAAATCGGACTTGCATTTCTCGCTCGCGGCCATTTCTTGTGCGATGGAAGCGCCCTGCCCTGGTGAGTAACCAGCGTCGCGCTTGGTAGAGAGTTGCTGCAATCAGCTCCCTGATGTCTTCGCTGCCATTGTCAGAAGCGATGGACCATGAATTTGTTTGAGAGTCTCTGGATGCTACTATTCCTCAGCCTAGTTTTCAGCCATTCCGTGCATCTTCTTCGCACGATTTATTTTGCAAAAAATGAAAGTGTTCATGAGTTTTCTTGTCGGCCGCGCGTAGATGGGCCAGGCTGACCTGCGCAGATGGGCTGCGCAGTGCGTTCGCTGATATCCCTACCATCCCTGCCTCTTTCACTAAAAACATGTTGGTCTATACAGTCCCTTGAGTAGGGATTTCAGGCGGTTTTTTCTGAGCAGCGCTTTGCTCCAACTAACAAGTTTTCCTGAAGCATCTATGTGTAAGGACTGTCCACAGAAAATTTGAACGGAATCCAAGCAGTATTTCCAAAGTTATGAGCATTCAAACATAGCGCACCAACCTTGATGAACACACATACAAATTGGATCTGCAGGATGGCACAAAATGGAATTCCCATACTCCCTAGCAACACCATAGCAACAAATAAACTTCATCCGATCGTGGCCAAACTTGGATCAAGGATGGCCCTGGTTGTGACGGAACGGAAGATAAAAGTTTTTTTCAAAATTCCAAATGACCGCAGCAATGGCGTCCTTAGCAACGGCCCTAGCAACAGTATATTTCACGCATAATTCAACATGGTAATAGGTGGAATATGACAGAAATACGGCAAACACAACATTTAAGTTATATAGTATGCATGTGGGAAACTAGACGAGTAGACAGCAAGCTCTAATGTCACACAGGGCCCGTTTTCGGCTGCAACGAGTCAGAGACGCACATAAAAATGTCATTAGCCGCACAATGATCATACTAGAGGCTATTGAGTATTGTACACAGAAGCCAGCCAGCGGTGAGTATTTATAAGAGATAAGTTCAGTAAAATACCAGCCTGGAACAACCACGCACTTGTATGACACATGGAAGATCAAGTCTGGTGCCACACACAGGGTCAAGACCTGCTATGCCGGGTGCGGGCTCCAAAGCGCCATCATTTGCTGCGCCGGCATCAACATCAACTGTTGCTTCAGCACTGACATCAACGGCTGGTCCAGCGTGGACATGAACTGTTGCAAATGTCCACACCTCAGCACGTACGACTGCTCAGGTGTGGAAATTTGATAACACTGATATAATTTTCCAAACTTATACAATCCATGCAATTTGCAATCCCTGCAGCCCACAATTGTCCTTGCAGTTCAATGTTTCTTTCTTGGACAAGAATCAGACACAAGATATGATTTTTCGTTCAGTGTGTGGTTATCTGCTTTACAATTTGATTGAGAGGCAGTTCAAAAGGATGACTTAGTAATTCACTGAGGTCGTCACTTGCCTTGTTCTTCAGCAAATTTTTTCTCCAATGTCTGATACGCCCGATTTTGTTCCTGGCAATTTTCACATCATCTCGAAATCCTTTCCATCCATGGCTGCAACTAGCAAAATCAAATTATGCTAACTTACTTGGTATAATTTTTGCTTCTCGCCCTCAACGAGAGTTCAACTACTGCCCGGGACAACACCATGAACACAGAGGAAGGCGGAAGCCAATCGTCTTTCTTCCCCACCTCCATACTGTGTAATGGCGTTCAACTTCAAAACAATTTCCGCTACCGATCGCGACCCTTCATGCCGTCTGAAGGAACCTACCTTGACTAAATCGATGCCATAGAATCTGATTCTGACTGATGCTTGAGTGTGGAACCAAGGCAAACACCTCAAAAGCGACTTTGAAATCTACAAGAATCTATCGAGATGCGTAATATCGGCACGAATTCGCCGTGTGAGGCACCAAACGAAAGCTTGAAACCTACTCTTCAACGGTGCGCCAATAAAAATGGCGATAAACTCACTCTCCCTACCTAAAATCTACGCCGAAGACCCCACTCTGAGCTGTGCCATGCCTGGCATTCAAAATGCATGCATGCGTGTCAAGGTACTTTTGCCCCCGCAGATCACGTGACTGAAATCCCTACCTTGAGTTGTGAATGCGGGTTGCGCAACAGTCCTCTCCATCACTAGTAGCCCCTACCGCGTATGCCTGCCATTGGACTGGCTGACTATGCACCAAAACAACCCAACGAGTCTCTCTCTTCCATCTTCCCTCCTTTTTACCCTCCTCAGCATACATGTAGTTCTAATGGAGTACAGAACCCTATCCACAGAACCCTATCCACAGAACCCTATCCACAGAACCCTATCCACAGAACCCTATCCGCAGAACCCTATCCGCAGAACCCTATCCACAGAACCCTATCCACAGAACCCTATCCGCAGAACCCTATCCGCAGAACCCTATCCGCAGAACCCTATCCACAGAACCCTATCCACAGAACCCTATCCACAGAACCCTATCCGCAGAACCCTATCCGCAGAACCCTATCCGCAGAACCCTATCCGCAGAACCCTATCCGCAGAACCCTATCCGCAGAACCCTATCCGCAGAACCCTATCCACAGAACCCTATCCGCAGAACCCTATCCACAGAACCCTATCCACAGAACCCTATCCACAGAACCCTATCCACAGAACCCTATCCACAGAACCCTATCCACAGAACCCTATCCACAGAACCCTATCCACAGAACCCTATCCACAGAACCCTATCCACAGAACCCTATCCACAGAACCCTATCCACAGAACCCTATCCGCAGAACCCTATCCGCAGAACCCTATCCGCAGAACCCTATCCGCAGAACCCTATCCGCAGAACCCTATCCGCAGAACCCTATCCGCAGAACCCTATCCGCAGAACCCTATCCGCAGAACCCTATCCGCAGAACCCTATCCGCAGAACCCTATCCGCAGAACCCTATCCACAGAACCCTATCCACAGAACCCTATCCGCAGAACCCTATCCGCAGAACCCTATCCGCAGAACCCTATCCGCAGAACCCTATCCACAGAACCCTATCCACAGAACCCTATCCACAGAACCCTATCCGCAGAACCCTATCCGCAGAACCCTATCCCAGAACCCTATCCGCAGAACCCTATCCGCAGAACCCTATCCACAGAACCCTATCCACAGAACCCTATCCACAGAACCCTATCCACAGAACCCTATCCACAGAACCCTATCCACAGAACCCTATCCGCAGAACCCTATCCACAGAACCCTATCCGCAGAACCCTATCCGCAGAACCCTATCCACAGAACCCTATCCGCAGAACCCTATCCACAGAACCCTATCCACAGAACCCTATCCGCAGAACCCTATCCGTAGAGTACATGGTATACATGCTCACTGGATCAGGGAGCAACACCTGAAAAGTTGCTCCACTTCGCAAGAGTCACTGAATAGGATAACACATAATATAACAGTGAATGTTCCAAGAGTCACTGAATAGGATAACACTCATAACAGTGAATGTTCTCAGTGAACAGCACCACAGAGTTACGCTAGCCAGACAGCCAGTGACACTAACCTGCAAAACAAAGTCGTTGTAGGTCTTGCCTCTGACAGCGCCGTCAAAGAACACGTGAGACTCAAACTCCAGATGGTCCTGCTCGGCGGTCCCATCTTGAATGGCTTTATGAACGTGTAGGATGCTCTTCAGTAAGTTCTCCTGCTCATAATCCGCTTCACGGTACATTGTGCTACAGATGTACACCTAAAGCAAACACAGTACAACACAAACTACAGGTGAAAACTGCTAAGGGCATTCCCTGTTTCCGGGACAACAAGCACAGACTACCGAGAACTGGCCCTCCCGAGCGACATTGGAGTGGACACTTGCTCAGCAAACTCTGGCCCTAATTCCCCAATTTGTCAAAAATAAATGGGATTTCATATTCAGTTTTTGTATATCCATGTCCATGCTCTGGATCGACCTTGATACGGAAGAGTCCATGCTCTGGATTGACCTTGATACGGAAGAGTCCATGCTCTGGATTGTCCTTGATACGGAAGGTCTGTATGTCCATCCATGTCCATGCTCTGGATCGACCTTGATACGGAAGGTCAAGCTTCGCTAGACTGACCTTTCTCTTTTTCCTGGGCTTTTCTTGCGGGTCTTGCTGGGCGCCCATTGAAGTTGAGTAGCCTGTGGTGTTGACTGAGGACGTACCATTGGCAGCAGCGCCTGTGGCGTTCCCGTGCTTTCGCGCACGATAGGGCGGCGGTACAATGTGATCCACGCGCCAATTGACAAATGTGAACGCATCGAGGAACATGGGATTGTAACCAGGAGTGTGGAACATGACCTCTTCTTTGCTCAGATCAATCACCTGTGTATCGGCAACAAGAAAGCCATCCGTCTTAGTGATATGACCGGTTTACCAGTACATGCACAATACCAGCCTGGGTGACAGTTGGCGTCCATGCGAAGAGTTTCCTAACATGTTTTGCCCACATCAGTCAAGTGCGGATTTGCACGTACATGCACACACATTGTCCAGCTTAGCCCAGCCCAAGTAGCCATGACAGACAAGTCCGAGAACCTTGCATGATGCAATACAGGATTCCGGGCCAGACCAGCCTACTAGAATTGGCTATGTAAGCAGTCAACAATCGTGACTTTTTATGCAGCCATATACCCAAGATAGCTACACGACCCAGCCTCATTTACCTGCTGGTGGACCCGGAGTGGAAATTAAGTACTACAAGTATCCTCACACACTGCCTCAGAAACATGCAAACAACACAGGGCACACAGTGGCAAAGTGTGTACTAGCATTTTACTATGAGTAATGCTGTTAACTGGTGTGCACATTACACTGAGTACAGGCACTGATCTGCAATGACAAAGGAGAAACCACTGCGTCCACGTAGCCGGAGAAACCAAGCTCACCTTGACTGGTGTAACAAAAATGAACGCGTATGCAACCTGGGTTAGCCACAGGATGCACAGCAGCGAAAAGGCGACGGCATTGTCTTCTATTAGCTGGTGGTCGGTGCAGAAACTATAGCCGCTCCAAATGCCATGGCCGATTTGTCCCAGATCTGAGGAGGATGGAGAAAAAGCACAGACGTGTCACGTTTCACTGTCTGCTATGCAACATGCAGCACTTGTGGAGAGCTGCGAATGTGACCAAAACTTTCATGAACTTTTCGTGAACATCGACGTGTGATGCCGTGAAGTAGCTTTCACAATAATCAGCTACAATATATTCCATAGAGCCTCATCTGAACTGATCTTCTACTCCATTCTACAAAGTTGACAAAAAACGAACGCAGCACAATCTCTAATAACGCATTCACACAGCATGAAGTGACCATGCCCGAAATGGGAATGACTGAAATCCCTCCCATAAACAGAGTGCATAATGCAAGAAATTCACACAGGGGGAGTGATGACAATACAAACAATGTAGCCAGCAAACAATAGGCAACTGAACATGTTGGCTTCCGGCACAAGGACGACTTACGAAAGGTAGAGCTCTCGCAAAGGGCCACGGAGAGTATGATGCACAGAGGTGTGGTGGTCAACAGTGGCAATACCATCGACCAGCGGTGCAGGGTCATGCCACACGCGGCACAGATCAGAACGTAGGACAGTAGGCCGCAGAGGACGTGCACCAGGATAGCCACGGTCATGTCATAGTCGCCGTGTAGCAGCTGAAAGCCCTGCTTCACGTGCTCCACCGACCTGTAACCGAACACCTATAGGCATGATAACGCCACAACAAAGTGGCAACATTAACAATTCTCAACATGGAAATAGAAGAGGGTCATATGACTACGCTGCAATGCACACTACCATACTCTGCAGACTACCATACTCTTCCCATATTTGATACGCTAGGATTGCACCAGAACTGCACGTACACGGACAATGTTGACTATCCATGTTGAAACTATGCAGAATTGGAGTAGCTCCCCCACCCCCACCCCCTCAATTGTGACTGGGGCACATGTACTTGTATTCATCAGCACTCACTCCGCGGCCACTAAGAACAGTGAAACTCGGATATAACGACAGACCAACAGGAAAGAAAAAGGCATGTATTCCTCAATCTGATCCGATATGTCACCATGTCCCATGTCCCATCCCGTTACACTAGGCTGAGCAGTATGCTGCATACAACAGTGTCCACGTGTTCTTAACTGTAGTATTATTCTCAATGCAGTTTGGACAATGAGACATAGACGAGTAAACTAATGTGGAGCAAGAAATGCACAACCAGCAGGTGAGTGAAACACAAGAGAAGTCCCAAGCCAGTGAAGCACATCGAAAGTTCTGGCCTACGGGAAACGGCCTGTGTGACGTACATACAGCATGCAACGCATACAGTCATAAGTGCAAAGTAGTGTACGCATAACGGAGTCCAGATATTACGACAAGACGTCATTACAGCAGCACAGCTTCATAGTACCACTGTATACCTGGTCAAAGATGAATAGAAAGGCAATGGTGGTGACAAGCTTCACAGCGCTGGCAATGAGTGCAGATTTCCAGCGGGCTGTCCTGTACGGATTGATGGCACCCTTCATGTCGCAACTAAGCAGACAACAGCACATCACGCGTAACAGGCAAGGACAGCTCGCGTTCAACCGGATCAGGTTTGATCAGGCCGGACCAGGCTAGATCATGTGTATAGTTCATCATCCAGTTGTTCATTGCATACAACTTCTCTGAAACTGCAATGACTTGGGCTGCCACTAAGTCAAATTCACTGATATCAGTAAATTTCCTCCCAGAAAGAGCGAAGACAGCGACTAAGTCAGTAACGGCATTGCCGGAAATGTTACCAGTTGCCTCCTCCATCAGGTAAGCAGACTACATGCAGTTACTTAAAAGAAATGTTTCCTGATCAACGTGGGTAGGTGGGTAACTGTGCCACATTAGCTGGAACGAGGTGCACCTTCACTGCAAGCAAGCACCACCAAAAAATAAGCGAAAACATCATTGAAATAGCAAAAATAGTTTCCACCGCAGTGCAGTTGAATTTGAACTTTTGAATGCGATTGATGTCCATGACACTTTTAAATCGCAACCTACCCATATCACACGTCAAATTTTCCACTGGAGTGTGGCGAACCGTACCATAATGTCATTATGGTACGGTTCGAGATGGGGCTGGTACACAAAGTGTTAAGCCACTAAGTTTTCGTCGTGCCTTCCCTTTATTGTTTTTGGATGTGACAATCTTCATTTCGTTATCGAAGGGGCTTATGCGAAAACGTGTGGCTAGTTTGCAAGCTTGCCCAACCATAATGCATGTGTACATGTATGCACGCTGATGTCTACGTGAACAAGCAATTGATAATTAGAAGCTGTTCTTTTAAGTTTATTTTTATTTTTTCTTCAGACTTTTCCCGTTTGTCTCTTTCCCTCAAACCAGTTAATATGTTATGACTTGGGGCTCCCCGCGTGCTAGTTTGTACGTGAAGTGTGTGGGTTACAGTGAGGGCTGCGTCCCACCCGCCTGTGTGGATTCACAGGAAGTGTGAGTTACGAAGTCTGAAGAAAATGTTGAACGGCCTCTGCTGGGATGACGACTACACCATAGCTCAGTGGTTAGAGCATCGCTGGCTACAAGCGAGGGTCCCTGGTTCGAGTCCTGGTGGTGACAGTCAATTTTTTCTTCAGACTTTTCCCGTTTGTCTCTTTCCCTCAAACCAGTTAATGTTCTTTTAAGGGGAATATATAGTAAGAAAAACTATTGTAAAAGTTGTTTTTACTACAAGCACAATTAAAAAATACATGCTCATTCCTTCACTTACTCATTCACTTTGTGCTGCAGATACCCTGACCAGCTAGCTGATAAGCAAACAACTGACAGAGGGATACAAGCTAAGCGCCACTTCTTGTTGCCTTCCAATATCTTCTCATGCAGACTCCCAGCCAGAACAATGGGCACTGCTACCAGAATTCCAACCTAGATCCAAAGTCCAATAGAGCACATACAAAGCGACAGCCTTCGTCAAGTCCTGCTAACCGCTCACTCCAGATACAAGGTGTATATACAGACCTTCCAGAAAATTGATGACGTAGTAGGCCAGAACACTCAAGATACATCCAGCAACCTTATCCAGCACGTCCTGTGCATGAGTAGTCCATCTGGGCAGGATAGTGCTGCGTTATTTTTTACAACTGCACAACACACCCTGTGCACACAGCTTCAAGCTGAAGAATGCTCAATCTGATTCTGAAAAACCCCGAGCTGTGTTTTCTCACCTGGAGCAACAAGCTGCTTAACCAAATTAGCCTTCTCACAGGTGACTTCTTCAGGGCTGGGGCAGCATCAGACTCGCCACCCCTAGTACCTGCAGCCAATAGCATGGTGTGTAAGAAAGATTCGCAGCCAAACAAACGTCGATTACGCCACACATTAGTGAAAGTACAACAGGCGGCATTACTGGAATAGATAGAGCGCTTTAGTAGAGAATCAAACACACTACACCTGTCGTCGGGGGGGTTTCACCTGCTTCTAAACTGTCGGCCAATAAAGTAGAGCCAGGCAAATGTCCTTCCTAAAAGAAAGGCAAATTGAACTTCTGAGTGAGTGGCAAGCATATAAGTCAGTTGACAAGCCACACATTAGCTACTATGCAGTTGCATGGAGTCCACAAACCGGTCAAATTGAACTTCGGCAAAAATATGTTACAATGCACTTCACTGATATTGCAATAGGGCCATGGGCCGGATGGGGTAGGAGTTATGCGGAGGAATACCATAAGAAGAGTTTCTGCGGGTGAGCATTTCTGCAGATGAATCTTACGTGGTGCCCGTGATGGCATTCCAGTGTAACTCAGCGAAAACGACTCGAATGGGCATAGCAATGAGAAGAAGAGAACTCCGCTGGAAAGTGCGATGGCCAATGGAGTGGGCAGATCAACGCAAGCTCCCAAGACGAATAGGACCATGCCAAGTGACTCAAGGATACCAACAAGAACAGCCTGTGAATGACAGAGCAAGGAAGAAAGCCGGGTTACATGCATGCATAGGTGCTTCTGACATACATGCACAACACGTAAACGTGCTTACGTGATGCAGCTGCCAATATTCCGGACTTTAAGCATTAATGAAGGCACTTGTGTGACCATAGGTGCATTAATCTCCTTCAGCAGACACTTTCCCTTTGAGAGGAAGTACAGGTTGTCAGCATTGCAAGCATGTGCCACCTGCATTGTACAAGACAAACCGTTCCCTGGGTACTCACCCACAGCCTGGCCTCCCTCCGCGGCCATGGGTAGTTGTCAGTCTTCCTGCCAAGACAGCCGCTCCAGAATGACCAAAGGAGAATGAAGACGTGGGGCGTGACCAGGAGGATGAAGAGGGTGGCAAACGTGATGCCTGCTTCTCTCGGTAGGTCCACTGTGTAACACGTCAGTGATGGCAAGGTAGGCATCCACACAGGGCAGTACGTAAATAGAGATGAAATGCTGCGAGCTGGAAACATTTCACTGGGACCCTTTGGTGAATGAGCAGGGCTCCATGAATACTCGTATACTGCATACCAGCAACTGCTCAAACTATCAACATACGGCGGAATTTGGGTTAACACCAAAAAAATGCAGGCCGGAATGCATAACTTATACTGGACAAATTTCTCCTATAAACACGAAATTCTAATAACAAGGGAAATATTCCCTGGTCCTCAAACATTTGTGATGAGTAGGTTCCACTGTCAATGTACTTTAGAAAAATTAAACAGAAAACACAAGATCAAGTAAACCTCACGGGTGTCTGTCAGTGGCTTCGCCACTCCTGTTGCATTCAATGAGTTTCTGAACCTGTGGTCAGCATGGGCAAGCAGAATACACAAGAAACACTCGTGTAAACTTGCAACTTGCAACTGTTTCTATGAAAAACGAAACAAAACAAAAAACACTGGCTGCAGTGCTGATATGATTTCACTCGTACCGCAAAAATGAGCCAACAGAAAACAAAAATGCTAATGCATGACCAGGCCGGTCCAACAGTCGTGAATTCAATGCCCGGGCCAAGTAACGTGTACGGCATACTGGCCTCATGCGCATGGTGCCAACGATGCGTCAACATTGAAGGTCGCCCGCCAGTTTTCAAGATTTGTCCGGCCACTGCTGGAGTATGCTCCTCTGCCTTGTTAATGAAAATTGAATTTAGCGGTGACACGATGGTTCTGAGCGGGCTGGTTGAGTACAGTACATGTACTGCCCTGGATATCCGAACACTTTTGAGCAAACTGCTTTGGAGGTATCCATATTGCTCTCATAATCCAAATCACCCCTCAGTACATCCATGCAGTGTAACCCACATATCGTCTCCGTACTTCATTGTGTATTCTTATTGCTGGCGAGTGTAGCAGGCCATGCAGTGACCTAGACACTCAAAGAAACAGGCAAAAATCCACCAGACTAACTTTACATGTCGAAAAGACAATAATGTATGGTATAAACTACTGAAAACTGGTACAAAATAGCGAAAACACGCACCTATTTTGCGTTTGGATAATTGAGGTAATCCGGCGCATAACCGGGGTAGGGCAGTACATGTACTTCCAATGTATCAGCAAAGCTAACGTATGACTGCATGCCACATAAACGTCTGCATTTTTGTTCTTTTCACTTGAAGACCACGCACCCGTTGCCCAACACATTATTGCTCAGTGCTAACCTGAAAACGACCACAAAGAAAGCTGTCTTGCTGGCAAGGACACAGACCATGATGGCCAGGAACAAGAGGAATGCCGACACAAAGCGCATCGACTTCAACAGCATGGACGTCTGGCTCATCTCCTTCAGTCGTTCGTCCTGCTCATTTTCCCGGTCGAGTTTCGGCCCGCTGGTCACGCAGAGACTCTCCTTGATGTGGCGTCTAGCCTGCGCAATTGATGGATCCTCGGTCTCCTGCTGCTGGACAGAAAAGACCACAAACAAGCAGGGGTCTGCTGAACTATTTGCAGTGATATAGAAGAGGAACATCGGATCACATCTACCCTAGCCATCAGTCGTATGTGCCATAGACCTCGCTCACCACGCTAGCAACCGTGACACTCCACAGTGTAACCTTGTTGGACATGCTGTACATAGAAAATTCCTCCGTACAGCTGTTTCGATCATACAGATCCGATCGGTAAAGATTCAGTAAGAATGACGACGGCTGGAAATTGTGAATAGCACTGGAATGGCATTGCAGATGAGGTGAACGAGGCCGGCTGGAGAGCACAGGTAGCGGGGAGTTTGGGCAAATTTAGCGGCGAACAGGCTGAAAGCTGCTGCTTACCCTCCTGGTCTGATCTTACCTCCACTTTTCCAAAATGTTTCTATATTTTTTATACAAAACCAGGCCTGATAGCAACCCACAAACAAAAGCGAACACAACTCTCCATGGCATGGGGCGCTGCCACCCCGGCACGATCAGGCGTCAGGTGCAGCTTCTAAGCGGTGGGGGAGCCGGATAGATCAGACCCATCAACCACATGTGGGCAAGCCCAATATCCCATTTGCTACACTCCTGGATGGCAATTGAAACTCAGCTGTCTTCTCAACATTCATCATCCTCACCACAAACCTGAGAACGCTGTGTGTGTCTACAGCAGTAGATAGGCGAACTATACAACAGGCGCAAGACTACTGTGACGGATACTGACACATTGAAACCTTTCAACAAATTCCATGTCTTCCTCACTACTGAGTGTGGCGATGGTGTGCGACGAGGGAGAGCAACGGTTATTATAGGGGAGGGAATGCACCAGGTTAGTGCGATGATTATGCAAGGAGTGAACCTAGGGCCTTTTCTTACAACTGTTATACCAATAGCTGCACGAAGTGGACACTGGACCACGGGGAGCAAGCACACCAAGAGGAGAATAGTGAGAAAAAGGGGAGATACGGCAGCAGCACTAATTGAAATACAGCAAGACGTGACAAAATTCACACACACACACACACACACACACACACACACACACACAAACAAACACACATACACACACAGTGACTCTGGTGTTACACGGACACAGGAACACAGCAGACATGACAAGTACAAAGAAGTGTAAAAGATAGCACGAGCACAAATGTGAGCGCTGTGAGAGGTTGCTTCAAACAAATTGTCCACTGTGACATCCTAATCCTAAGCACAGTGCCACCCTGAGGTGCTGATTGGCACCCTTTGATAGAGTGACATAGGGGAACTACTGTTACAAGTATGGCGAAACCTATCGAAGAGACCTTCAAAATGTGGTCTAAAAAAAAGCAGTCTTCATGCCCAGGGTGATTTGACTGGAAAGGCCATCCCTTGGTCCTCGGAGGCAGGTGGTCACCTTATCAGGACCGCCAGAAGCAGGTAATTTTGATTGGTCCGGCCCTAGCATAATCGACGGTTCGTGTATGATAGTGGGTACACACTCAGCTACTACACAATAAACAGCAAACATGACGTGTTGCTGGCCACCAAGTTGGGCCGGTGAGGACCTGACCAACTGGACCGGTTCCTGCAGGCAATGCCAGGCATATCCTCCTCCCCTTGATTTCTCTCCACTGGTCTGGATGCATTTGTTGTGGCCACTTCTGCCAGTTACTTAGATCTGCATGCCAATTGAAACCCCATAAAGTCTTGCATAAGCCACGGCTCGTATGCCTATTTGGTGGAGTTTCATAGGTCTGTGTACGGTGACATCGGACTGGCCGAAGAACAGGGTGTACGCTTCAGGACGCTGATGTTATTTTTCAGTGTCTTCATTATTATCCTGTGCTTGTACATTCATGTAGTGCAGGTACCGTGGTTATGCCCTGTTACATGACGACGACTTGGGCTCTGAATCTTTGCTTCCAGCCAGGCACATTCCTAAAGAGTATTGATGCTTTACCCTGGACGTTGGTCCATTCTACTTCCTCCAATAATTACTGTACAAGGCTTCCTTCTACACAAGAATCTTGTCTGATATGTTTTTATGCAGATCAGCATTGAGCTGCTGGTGCATGCTGGGATGTAAGTCTTGAAGGGGGGATTCTATGCCACTTGATGCGCTCAAAAAAGTGTGCTTTCATACTTATTCGATGGCGACTTCTATTCAAGAGCGGCTTATATAGACAGTAATTGACAGTTCACCCCAACACAGCGTAAGTTATGAAAGGCATGGCCTTCAGCCGATCTTGCTCTGCCAAAGCATATGATTTATCATGTACTGATGAATTTCATGATACCATGGACCAAAGCCACAAAATCTCACACGGACAGGGTAAATGGCGGACTCGGACAGACCTGCATGCACGTGTATCCTTTCTGAAATCATTGAAGCTGCTACTCCTGTGTGCTGAATTTAAGATCGGCCGACATGTTTCTGGTGCTGCCGGACGTGGTTACATGTGTGCCTATTGATGCAATTACTCCTACAAGCAAGTGCCATCTGCTATAGGCACTGCATGCTACAGATGGGACCATACAGTTCCTGTCATCGTGCACATTCCCACACCGGCACATCATACAAGTAGCCATGCCCGTGACCATTGCACACACGCCTGAATGGATTTCGTACATCCCGCATAATACCATGTAGACTCTGCTGCACAGAGTAGGGTGCAATTTCAGCAAGCTCAGGACGATGTTTTTCCTTTCAAACTTTCACTTGATCTTCATCAGCTGTGTTGTGGTGCAGATGTTATATACACCTGCGCTGGAGACGCCTGTACTCGTGCACCGGTGAGGCGTTATAATTCATTCCCGGAGACAGCAGCAACCAGCAATGTGTGAAGTGACGTCCCTCCAGCCATCTAGCGCCAGTGTCCGACTACTGTATTGAGGGAGGGAGGGGGGGGGGGGGTTAGTTTCAACTGGAGCATCGACATTATGTCTGTGCTGCAACTGTACATGCTGCAGCTTTGCTCTTGGTGCTCTTGGCACTATCCAACGTAGCACTGTTGCTCTCCACGGGGACTCTGCCATGGTCTGCATGATTGACTATTGCAACCGTACTGGACAAAGACTCACAGGGATCTCACTCTGTCTTTGTGTATACAGAAAAGGTTTTCAAACCCTGGCCTACGCTATGACGCCATATCTACTCCCTGCATACACCATGTACACACACCACACAATCATTCAGTACAATCAGTCATGTCTGTCAGAAACATGGAGCATTGAAGTGTGTAGAGTTCGCACATCCGCGTTACCACCGGCTATCATTTCGACATTTGTGTTGAGAAACACAAGGTTAGGAAGTAATAGTTAGGTTCGCTTGTGCCAGGCCACAACCAGGCGTGATTATACCAGGGGTGCAGCGCCTGTATCCTGCAGTAAGTAATTGTAATTGTTAGTAACATGCTTCTCAAGCCTGGTCAAGCACACATTGAGAATACCAGTGAACACTTCCGAGCGAACATACAATTATGTACATCATAAGGCGAACGTCATTCATCCGACAACTCCAAAGTGTAGCCGCCCTAGCGCGTTGTTTGTAAACAAGAGCGTTACATTATTAGACGAAACTAGTTTTTGACGGCTACCGGCAGCCGCTCCGCTCTAGTGGCGAGTAGCAAGCCATGTGCAAACGCCAATGCATACATGCATGCCATTTCTAAAGCCGACGCACCATAATTCGTGAGGCGGCTAGCCGCGGGGCACTTGCCCTGGCCTAGAAGAGTTTGAGTGAACGCTTACCGGTCTCGTGCTTGCATTCCCTGCAGTGCCAGACGTCGACGCTCCGTCCTCTGCAGCTTCCAGTAGACTACTACCAGCAACATCATTCGCTGATGCTCGGCCCGTCGATGCCATTCTGCGTGCCAGCGAAGCACCTCGTTTCGCCACTGATGACTACATGAAACGGAATCGGCCAACAACAAAAGCAGGAAGGAGACTCGACTACAGGCACAGGAGTGCTGTCCTGCACGGTCTTCACGACTTTTTCCACACAGTTGTTTTCGTCTCTCGCGACGACTACTTGGCCTCAAAGCTAGCAGCAACGTTGAGATAGGACTAGTTACTGGTAGCGATACCAACAGCAGCATATATCCTTCCACCTCAGTATTGGGCTGTTGTCGGAGGTTAGAGGACACGTTCGGGGCGCGGAAAAGCAGAGACAACTCCATAAAATGCTCGTCCTTTGGACCGCTCCTGTCCAAGAATGCACCGCAAACACTAGACTCGATGCTCTTTCGCTGGCGCGCACGTGGCCGCAGACAGTACTGAGTGCAGCGAAGCCGGTGCAGGGAAAATCCCTCTAATGCATAAACTAAACATGCACTGCACTACTGCCACTACTACTACTACTAGCAGGGAGTAGTAAAATACTCCCTGCTACTAGTACTAGTAGATCTACTAGTGATCATGGTGATGTGACATGAATCATGGTCTGATGTGATGATTCACGGTGTAGACCTACATGTACGTGATCAGTATCACCAGGATCAGGAGCACATAATCATTATCAATGATTATGCTGACCTTTCATACAAACTTCCAGTCAACTGCTCCATCGTGCAGGTGGTTTATATTGGGCATATAAACCTCATAGGGACATACCTCATACAAACCCCATATAGACCACCACCATACAAACTCCTTTTTAGAAACAGGAAGAAGTTGACTGTCAGTTTGTATGAAGGTCAGCATAAGTATACTGTAAATCAACAAATTTTGGCCGGTGAGAAACTTTGGCCGATCTCGAAATGAAACTTTTGGCCGTCATTTAACTTTGGCCGATTGGGTTTTTCAAAAAAGATATCGATTGGTATTTGTTGCCCTCACATACAGCCATGGCTCAATAATGCATCATTTGCCTCTATGACAAATTTTGGCCTGCGATTTACTTTGGCCGGTTGGTACCCAGTGGCGAAATCAGCGAAATTAAATCGCCAGCGAAAATTAGTTGATTTACAGTAATACATCCCACTAGTACGCTTGTACGTGAAATATAAACCATCATACAAACCTCGGCTTCGCCTCGGTTTGTATGTCGGTTCATATTTCACGTACAAGCGTACTGTTGGGTTGTATTATATACTTATGAATGTTATGATTGTTACATGTATCTAGTATAAGTCATATTGACTGAGTACAAGGTCAATTATTATTATTATAGGAAATAAAAGCCGAGTAAAAGAACGAGGCGAAGCCGAGGTCTTTTATTTCCTATACTGACCAAGTACGAAGTCAATATTAGATTTATCACGACTAACCAAAACATGTGTTCACTCGCTAAAAAGGAGTCAAATATAAGCGGTCAATACAGCCCTAAGGAGTGAAATATGCAGGAATATTTGACTGCTTAGCAAAAATCTATGGGAGTCAATACTAAGGGAGTGATAAACACCTTTATGGTCCATGGATTGTACTCTTGGTATCATGATCATGTGTATGTGACATAAAATCATAATTACTTCGAAGAATTATGTCATCGTCGGCTCATCGAAACTTGACGAAAGCAGCATACATGCATAGCACTGAACGAGGCGAGTAAGTACGGAGTACCAGTGTCAGTCACAAACAGTATTAGTAGTCCTGCACGTCAGTGCACGAGGCTGTACTGTAGTATTAAGCCCTGACCGAAAGTATTGTATTATTACGACTTCGGAAGTAGCACTAACTGTATAACCAACAATCGATGCGAAAAAAATAACTAATTCTTACATGACACGTGATCGTTGCCCGGGCCATGGCCAATAGGCGGTCTTCCCGCCGCAGGCATAATCAGGCCATCAGGACCGTTTGACGTCATTTCAGGAATTTCAGGACTGTTTGACGTCATTTCGGGAATTTCAGGACCGTTTGACCTTCCCTAATATGTATTGTTGCTTCGTGCTGTAAGAAATCAAATCAAGCACGCTCTGTCTGTCATGATGGCTGAATCTTGACCTCCTGAGCGTGCTTGATTACATACCTCTGTCTGACATGGATACGAGTGCATTTTGTAAAATATGTATAGGATATTGACCAAGACGAGGTCTATATGGGAAATATAGGCCGAGTAAAAGACCGAGGTCCGACGAGGTCTTTTACGAGGCCTATATTTCCCATATAGACCGAAGTCGAGGTCAATATCCTATTTATCACGATTTCTTTGCCATAACCCCAAAATTGGATCATTTAGGAGCTATTTTAACCTTTTTAGTATAGCATTTGTACTATAGTGTACATAGGAGGTTGCCTATTTTGGGTACACGACTGTAAGAACAAGAGTAAGACGGTGCAGCATCTGCAGCACAGTGGCTGCGTTCGATTATGCACTTGAATGGATTCATGAATCCATTCGCAAGCATTCAGGTCGTTCGATTTCATGTCATGAGCCCTGGAATCGATTCGGAATCCATTCACCCTATTCACACGGGGTGATGTGAATAGCGCGAACCGATTCATGAATCGGGCATAATCGGACGCACTCAGTGGCTGGGTGGTATAAGGGGTTGCTTGAGATTCATACTGTTGTTTGTGGGTTCGAATCCTGCTTGTTCTCTTCATTTGTCTTCTTTCTTTCAAATTTTCTTTTTGAAGTGGAGAAAAAATGTCTAAGTCCCTCCAAAGTTGAAAGATTACAATGCCTATTAAGTGGTCGATATTACGGTGATATGGGTAATAGGACCAGTCAAAGATCACAAGAATTAGTGGAGGGCAATATAGAAGAGTGATAATTTAAAATATTCTAAAAAAATGCACCCGTATTCATGTACATGTACACATGGATACGAGTGCATGTTTACAACACTGTCAGCAGACAAGAGTTTGTGAATGACTTTTTGCGTCCATGGTAATACAGTCCTACTGAATCAGTATATTTTAGCGTATCGATTATTCACACGAGCTTGTAACTTGCTTTCATGCTCATCAGTGCTCATCCCCCCCCCCCCTCCCTCCCTCCCTTCCTCTCTCTCTCTCTCTCTCTCTCTCTCTCTCTCTCTCTCTCTCTCTCTCTCTCTCTCTCTCTCTCTCTCTCCTTACTAGAATTAGGACGTACATGTCCATAAACTGTGTATGTACTCTTTGCTCTAGAATGCAAGCATCATTGAATCCGCCAGTAAAAAAGCCCTGTGAATTTCGCTTCAGTTAGAACAGTCTACTTGAAGTACATTTGAACTTCCTCTCATAGTACCGGTATCCCAAGCCTATTCTTTTCAGGCAGGGTGCAATGCAGTCATGTACACAACAAGGTATAGACCAGGCACATAGCAGTGGTGCGCCCCCTCCCCTTGCCAGACCATAATTATTATCATCATCCACTGACCAAGCGTAGTTCACATCCATACTCTTTCGGAATGATCTAATGACACAAAGAGCATGAAGAGTGCAAGCACAAGCCCAACTACTGTAAAGAAGAGTATAAAGAGAAAGGACATGCCTCAGTACCCCTGCCAGTTTTGTACCTTATTGTCACACTATGTGACTGTATATTTAAAGGGGAAGTTAAGGCAAAAATTAAAATTTCACCAGTTGTAGTCTTCGGGGTGCTGAGTCGAATGGTCGTGGTCCGAGGAAGCTGAGACGCTCCCTTCCTACTTGAATCCCAATCGAACTCGCGCACTTCCACCGAAACTGGGTGACCGCGCCCTACTAGATGGGGATTTGTATGCAAAATGTCACTAAAAGCGCCATTTCGTTCTTATAAAAGCACGGATGACCGCGGTTGGCCCATATGTTGTAGTCTTTTGGACGCTGAGTCGACTGGTTTTGGTCCGAAAAGGCTGCGATGCAGCGTTCCTCCTTTATTCCCAATCGAACATGGTTGAACAAGCGGTCACGTGCTCCTGCGTACGCCAGTCACCTGGTCACCGTGCCTGCAGGGTACAACTTACTAGCCTGTTTGACCTTTTTTGGGTGCAGTCCTGTCACTCGAGTTGAACCTTGGTGTGAAAGTTGTCGCCTGCTGGCGTGGTGACCAGGTGATTTGGGCACCCAGGAGCACGTGACCGCTTGTTCAACCATGTTCGATTGGGAATAAAGGAGGAACGCTGCATCGCAGCCTTTTCGGACCAAAACCAGTCGACTCAGCGTCCGAAAGACTACAACATATGGGCCAATCGCGGTCATCCGTGCTTTTATAAGAACGAAATGGCGCTTTTAGTGACATTTTGCATACAAATCCCCATCTAGTAGGGCGCAGTCACCCAGTTTCGGTGGAAGTGCGCGAGTTCGATTGGGATTCAAGTAGGAAGGGAGCGTCTCAGCTTTCTCGGACCAAGACCATTCGACTCAGCACCCCGAAGACTACAACTGGTGAAATTTTAATTTTTGCCTTAACTTCCCTTTTAATTATTATGATTATTATCTCGTTTAATTGAGTGGTGGACTGTTATGACTTATTGGTCCTTTTATCACAGAGCTTAAATTTCGCTATTTTGCAACCACGACACATTCGTGAAATAAAAAAATCGTCGCTAAATGCTCCGCGTACTGTAAACAATACAGAGTCCAACTAAAGAGATTAAATGGCGAAAGTTTCTCATCGTGAAACAGTGCAATTCTTGAAAACGAAAAATTTGCACACAGGGAAAGTGTCTCGCTTTTCAGTAGCCCTCAGACAATCAATAGCTGTGAGGTGGACACGCAACAGGAAAGTATGCACAGTTTCCTCGTGTGTGTCCACCTCCCAGATATTGATTTAGATAGAAATATGCTTTGAAGCCTTCCACCCTGGTTTTGACGGAATTTAGGCTCATTTCCAAAATTGAATTTGCTTATCCTGGTTATCCATACATCCCAAGAGTACATGAAACCCAGACTCCCAGAATGTCCAGCTCTGATGGGTTGCTGTCGCGGCGAAATTCCGGGAATACCGGCATCATTTTAGTGATGCCGTGCATACAAGCAGGTCTCTTTCTGCACAACTACAGCTCAGTTGTACGCACTAGGCCACTTCCCGCCTCAGATCTGCACCAAATATTATGTAATCCCGGAAGTTCGCCGTGACAGACACCAATGCAGAAAAGTCAGAAGCTGCACACTTTGGGTTTCATGTACTCTTGACACATTGTGCCCTGGTATGCCCGTCCAAAATTATTCAAAACATGCCCGAATTTCTACCTATCCGTTAACTTTTCCATCGTCAAAGTATACAACAACAACAACAACAACAAATCGTGAGAATAAAAGATTTCAAACAACATACCGGTATGTGGTAAGGAAAAATTGCAATTTTTTACAAACTTTCCCTGACCATACAAAGCCCAAGTAAAGGACACGCACAAGCTGAAACTACAGTTTCTGAACAGTCCGCTGGTCTACACGCCATAGCCAACAGTCACTCAACAGGCTACGGTGCAGCTTGCACCTTGCAAACTGAACTCGATCCATATGAGAGTACTTGAAGCCAAAACACGCCAAACGGGTGACGGTGCTTGTTGATACGTGACCTGAAGCCACGTGTTTACAACACTTTCTCAAAGTGCCAGTTGGAAACGTTGTTTTCCAAAACCTTTCAAAACTCACACCCAAATAACACTATCCTACTTCTCCAGGTCCTTCAAAACGTGTTTCTAATTACTGTTAAGCTACAAACTTTCACGGCGCGCAAATCTAGCGTTTTAAAAAATTGGGCTGGTTCACGATGAGAAACTTTTGCGATTCTATCTCTTCAGCCGGATCTTGTACTGTCTACAATCAATGTACGGAGAGGTTTGCAGCGATTTATATTCGCGAATGTGTGGTGGTTGCGAAAATAGCGAAATTTAATCTCTAGCGAAAGTTTCTCACTTTGAAGTAAGTAATAATACAGGGTTCACACAGGTTATGAAAGTCTAGAACAGGTATTACAGCATCATAATTATTACTTCATTAGTTACCGGTACACATGTGACAAGTCCCATATGGTTCGAATGGTCGCAAGACCAGGACTCTGCCAACCGGTTTACGGTTGTAGACAGGAGCACTGCTGGGCGTCCTCCACCTTGTAACATGATGTCATCGTCAAAACAGGTACCAAGAGCAGCGCATTACAACTGCATGCACAGTGCTGGGCAGTGACACAACATGTTCGAGTGGACGGCAGGGATGTGAAGCGTAGAGGGAGACAACATGGCCAACTGGAAGTGTAGTGTTTTTTTTTTAAGCGGTTAGGGTCTGGCTCAATGGCTGCCTGCTACAGCCGTCCTTGGGGCAGGGCCGATTTATACATGTACATACCCACATATGGCATCGCCTATTTCACACCTGCCAACTATCCCGACACGGCCGGGACCGTCCCGATATCGAGGGTGGCACCCAACAGTGCATTTGTCGCATGCATCACAGCTAGACTTGTATACTTTTTCATACCTAGGTATGTCATTGTCCCGATCTCAGGTTTGCAAAGGTTCGCAGGTATGTTATTTGGATTGCGCTTGTTTGGGGTCGGCAAGTCAAGGCCGCGATCGCCAGTTTCACAGACACCGGATCACGTAGAACTTGCAAATCCAGGGACGAAGCGCACATATTTTCGGGTACATGTACCGGTACTATGATTTCATGCAGTCTCCCTGCATGCTACGACTACCGGTATTCCATTTATGGGGTGGGTTTCGCCGGCAAGCACTTCTAGCATCACAACAAGGACTGTCGTATTTGTCATACACATCCGATTATAGGACAGCAGGGGCATGAACTATGCTATGAAGAGAAAGAGTTTCTGTATCTGTCGTGCAGCAACTGGTTAGATCATTCAGTGAGTCATTGTGGCTAAACATTATGCAACTAGCAGCGGTGGCCACATGCACCTCTTCTCCATTAGTACACAGAACTATGATGTCTATCACAATGACAGCAAGAGCTATGAATGACAGTCCACAAAATTTAATGTAACTAGACCGTATGCAGTATCCCATGGCAGATAACGCTGGCAGAATCTGGTACTCTTCTGGCATGTTTGTTTGATATATGGATGAAGAGCAGAATTCAAGGAATTGCCCGCCATAAGCTTTTTTATGGTCCTGCCAATTATTCAATGCATTTCGAACAGAATCTAGCAATTCTCGAGCATTACCCACCAAGGCCTCGTTTATAGTCTGAAAGTGCACCCTCTTTGATCTTTTTCCTAACCTTGAATCGTCCAAGGCAGAAGGCTGTAGGTTTGCATACAGGAGATGCGCTGGGACTGTCAGCAAGTACATCACCAATAGTGACAGTCAGTTGCATGTCCCGACAGTACTGTGCTAGCCTGACTGCATATCATCTGCTTACATTCATGGACTGTTACTCATAACTTACATGAAATCGTTCTCTCTTTGTGTCTAAAAATATCATACAGTCACCATCCGGGTTAAAAATGACAGCAATGTGAAGGCAACGTTACAATAGGTCTGAAGCTACTTTTATGATGTTATGTATGAATTGTACTAAAAGTAGTTACGATTTGGTGCATGGCTTCAGTGACAATGCCGGCAGTAGTCATGTCAATGGGCGCGTTCAATTCTAGAATTAGTTATGGTGGATGCACCGTTCGATTACACAAATTCCGTCGTCAGAATCGACGGAATCCAATTCCGTCAATGCTGAAGAGAGGGCGGAATTGCTAATTCTCCCGCCAGAATTGACGCACTCGACGTACACACCATGCTAGGTCCATGTATACTTGCGCGCGACTGTGCACGGGATCCCATGCGATCCCCTTTTACGATTTTTACATGCAGGCGTTCGTTTACATGGCCGCAATCCGTTTATTCTGTTCATTCGAGAACTATAAAACCTGGGCCCAGAATGTGTAATCGAAAGCACCCATTGGCTTAGTCATGAGCTACACCCATTTTTAAGACAGACAAAATAATTCACAAGTCAATAACTACAATTGCAATTATTTCATGCACTTACTTGCCATGATATGATCCAGATGACACTCTGCACTCACTGCTGATACGGCATGTACATGTACGTCAATAGCCATCAACATTTCATTGAAGTAATCTTCATGGCTCCAAGATTTCGTATTCGATCTGGTGATTCGTGCGACCCAAACCAGAGGGACATTATCATCGGCACAAAGATATCTCGGCCAGGGACATGAGGCAACCGCTGCTCTGGGCGGCACGACAGCTGATATTCCATTTCTCCAAATCGCACCAACCTCAACACAATTCATGTACATGACTACAACGGTGGAATGAAAGGTTAGGTAATGACAAAAATGGAGAAAAAAAGTCGCCAGTATGAGCTACTTCTAGTACTTGACAAAACGATGACTATTACTAGTAGTATTACCTCCGCAAAAGAGAGGCCGCAAATAAAGGGCACGGATTCTTTTTTCGGACCAGATAAGAAAGAACACAAGCTCCGGAGCTCCATCAAGCTGTGACCATTCTTCGTGATGATTTCTGCCATTCTGCATTCTGATCGACTGACTGTACAGACTACAGAGTGCACGCGCTGTAGCTTGCTGTATGCAAAATCAGACCATGACGTCGTTTTGGCGACTCTTCAAAAAATAACCACACCGTCACGCATGCGCATTTTTGAGTTCTCAAAACGTAGAGGACTGCACCCGCCGTTGTTGTCCAAACCGTTGTGCCGGTGTTCTGACTGTGATATTTTTGGGCAAGATTTGAGTAGCAGTTCACAGCGCCGAGCTGCAGTTCCTTCACTTCGGCAGCAGTCAGGAGAATTGCTGACCTGTTTTCGTACCCTAGGAATAGTTATATAATTTCAGGTGAGGATCCTCGTCGGAGATTATTTGAGTAGTGGACTCGACTTTGCCTTCAGTTGACTTCCAGTCGCGATCATCCCATACCAGTATTTGCTGTAGTTTTCGGTTCCTGAAGGATCATCCCTCTTCTTCTACTTCTTTTTCTTCCCTCGCTGACTCGTCTTCAGTTCAAAATGCAGACGATTAAGTGTGTCGTCGTAGGTGACGGAGCTGTTGGTAAAACGTGTCTCTTGATCTCCTACACTACGAACAAGTTTCCAAGCGAGTATGTGCCCACGGTGAGTGTTTGCTTGGTGATGTTGGAGTTGGTGTGTCCTCCAGTCTCCTGCAGCACGTTTCAATTACCTGTGTATACATATGGTATTATATTGTTTTCTCTGTGTTTCCTCGTAGGTCTTCGACAACTATGCAGTCACTGTTATGATCGGTGGAGAGCCTTACACATTAGGTCTTTTCGATACTGCTGGTAAGTCCCCGAGACTGAAGTTAGTTGGGGGTATTGACCTGATGCACTTACGAAGTAGTTGTGCGTGTGATGCAAGTACTACTTTTGTGTGTGTGTGTGTGTGGTGTGTTTGTAGGTCAGGAAGATTATGACCGTCTCCGGCCTCTTTCGTATCCACAGACTGATGTATTCTTAGTCTGTTTCTCTGTGGTATCGCCCTCGTCGTTTGAAAACGTCAAGGAGAAGGTGAGAATTCTTCATCATTTTGTGAAATCAGCTGCTATGCAGTTATCTCTCCAAATGCTTGGCTGTGTTTTACTGAATGTAGGTGACTGTATTCTATACCTAACAGCTGGCTGCAAGTGCGAGTATTGGAGCTGGTTGTAGGAACTCGTGGAGACAAGCTGTGTCTGTGGAAGTGTGGTGTTCGCAGGCCTCTGCTGCTGGTTGCGGATTTGGACCGTTCAGTGTGCTCTTCTACTGTCCAACTAATACTTTTGGACGTAGTCGAGTTTTCTATTGCTCGCACTTGTCGGTGGAAGCTGGTGTGGTGCATTATAAAGCAATCTGCTGTCGCTGTGAGATCGAGTCGTGTCCAACAGATAGTGCCAATTGGTTTAGTGAAAGGAGACCCGAAATGTGATCGTCGATTGAACCCAGTGCTTATGGGGTGTGTTACATGGACTTGCTCCTTGTGCATCGCTTTGTGGCATAGTGCTACTTGTTCACAAATGTTGAGCATATCATGGTGGAATCCTGTTGCAAGCAGTCCATGGAGTAGCTGGTGGTCATGCTCAACATATGCTGTCAGTACTGATCGATAATTATTATTATTTGGAGAATTGGCTCCCCCCCCCCCCTCCAACTTTGCAGCAGAACTTGTTCGAGGTACCTGATTCCAGTGCTGTATCTCAATTGTGGTCAGTAGAGTTAGCCAAATGGATGGTTTTAGTGACGTGCTTACTACACCTATCTCGTGCATTACAGCGCACAGCACTCATGAGCGTTTCTAGTTTGTTGATGAAGGATTTTCTCGGGGTGCGGCCCTAAGACTATTCCAGTGGGAACTGGTAGTTGCTTCTTATGTTTTACTGGTACATATACTCAAAACAATGTTGCTTTATTGCTTTCTCATTTGCCTTTGCAGTGGGTGCCAGAGATCACACACCATTGTCCGAAGACTCCGTTTCTGCTAGTCGGGACGCAAGTAGATTTGCGAGATGACGCCAGTACCATTGAGAAGTTGGCCAAGAATAAGCAGAAGCCGATCACTGTTGATGCAGCAGAAAAGCTTTCACGGGAGCTGCGCGCTGTGAAATATGTTGAGTGCTCTGCTCTTACGCAGAAGGGTCTGAAGAACGTATTTGATGAAGCCATTCTAGCAGCGCTGGAGCCCCCGGAGATCATCAAGAAGAGAAAGTGTGTCCTCTTGTAAGTGTCCGGTCGCCGCTCTCTTGGTTTATTCTTGATTCCCCGTTGCATCGCTCCGCTTTCAAGGTCAGAATGCTATTTGGCTCTGCCAGCTGTCCCCTGTTAGCCCGTACATACAATATGGCCTGGTGTATCGGCTATGCACCCTGGCCCTGTACCACTGGTTGTGCGCATTGATCTGCTGTGGAAACGCACGCAACACGTGCGTGCACTATTGAACGATGGCGTTGGAGGTGTTCTCTCCACTGCCTTCACACGCACCCCCTCCTCTTTTTACAATCTCCGAACTGGCAATGAGCTGTTATCTCAACTTGTCCATGCATCCAAACAGGCACACACTATCATCTGCGCATCTCATTTAACTGCTTCCAGGTGGGCGAATTGCCTTGACGATTTATACCTTCATCACAATTTAGTACATGGTAGTAACCTGTTCCATCTTGTTGTCTACTTTGGGGACAATAATAATTATAATAAACATGTTCTGCTTTCTACAGCTTGTTAGCCATGCGCAATACTTGCCACATATATATACATTGCTGTCCCTTTCTTTTGTTTACATATTTTTTGAATAGTCATATATGATCGAACATATCTTTCCCATTTTCTTTCCCCTTGTCTTCTTCTATTTTCATGTCCTTTTGTATATTGTTGTTGTTGTTGTTGTCCTTTCTAATATTCTGCTGGGAGTTTCTCACTCTCCTGTTTAACTATTTTCATGCTGCTTACTCCTTTACCATGAAGTCGGTGAGTGGCTTCTGGCTAGAGTTTCTGTTGTTGTTTTCTTGTCTCATGCTGTTTGCCAGTTGTTGTTTTTTTGTTTTCCTAGAGCAGATTTTGGTTTGAGGATATCTGTGCTTTGTTGACACCAGTGACGATGTGCCTTGTATCTAGAGCTTGTACACCAGCTCTCACTCGCATGCCTTTGAACTCACGAATGCTGAGAAAGAATGTGTGTAAAGTAAAATTTAGTCATACCGTGTTGTGTGCGTGGTGGAGGGCTGTGTGCTCTTGCATGTACTAGTACTTGGTATGAACCAAGTGACCATTTTGCTTTCACGACTCTGTGGTACAGCTGTAGAAGCCTTCGAAACCAGTTCAGTGTGGGTCTGATGCAGGGTTATTTGCACAATCATGTATGGTAGGAAGAAAACTTGTATTATTACTAGCAGTTCGAACAAGAGTACACGGGGATTGTAGAATAAAAACGACTCCCTGGCTGGTATACACCTCTAATAGGCTCTATCATGTATCTGTAAGCCCTGTATAGAAAGTTTGGGTGCATTTAATATGTGGATCTACATGGGTTTACTTGATTCCTATTTTCTCAAGGCGCTAGGCACAGACCTAACTGTTATTTTGCTGTACATGACTATTTTCAGCTTTTTAATTAAATCCATGGCATGATGTTCAACATACATGAGCAAGTCAGTATGCATATGCACAGTGTGGACCTGTTCCAGAAACACAGAGGTGCTGGTGCCTGGTGGGTTCAGTCCAGTCATGCAGACTGAGACTATGATAGTCTATCGGTGGCTGTTAGCCACTAACTGTTTACTGGCCTTCGTATTGTTGTACAGTAGCATGTCTCAGAGTAATATCTCAGAGAATCAGATGTTCAGTAAATTTGGTATTATTAAAACTTTAAAAGTAAAACTAATAACGTTAGTATTTACTTAGTAACAAAATACAGCACCATCATGATAACACCCCTAACACTTGTTATCGTGCATGGTACTGTCAAATGGCCAACATGCATGCAGATGAAATGGGGTGGTCAGATTATCTAATGCTACTGATATCTGTACTGTGGGCTGTCAAGTTGGCATTGACCTGTCTGACGCAACCCTCCCATATACCACGAGCTGACTGATTGTCATATACAAAGAGACCCTTGAGAGCGTACATGCCAAGAATGCAGGGACTGTGAGTGTGAGCGACTGGAGCCCGGGTGGCAGATGTGTGTGTGTAAGAATAGTGATATGGTCTGCATGGTGCCAAGAACGTTGGCCAGTCTCAGAGACTGCAGCCATGCACACCGAGCCTGTAGCGACAGGTGAATAGGATAACGCATGGGCAGAACAGCACCCGGGTTGAGCAAACCCTCCAGCGCGATCTCTAATCTTTACCAGAGACCACCCAGTTAGCTGAGCGGAGAGATTTAAAATGCTGATGCTGACGGGCGCACAAGTACCTGCCACTGTACGTAATGATGGGTGTATGTTCATTTGACACCTTGGGCCTAGGGAGGTGAGTTCAAATCGAGGAAAGAAGCATCAGTCCCACATGCCACACTGCTGGACAAGTTTGCTCACGACCAAAGCACATTCTCTACGACAGTGTTACAGCTGCACTTACACATCTGTACCATCACCTGCAGCAGGCATAGGCATGCAGTCGACGACATCTGCATCCTAACGCGACTCAAGTAGCAGCACATGCCAGCAACTACCTGCAGTCTCATTAGACACAAACCAAGACAACCAATGCCAGTGGGAGTACATTGCCTCGGAGATACAAGTAAAGCCACATTGCACTGGGGATATGTACATGTACTCCTGCCAGTACAAGCAATGTTATCAGCAAGGCCAACACCTCCAAGAAAATGTACAAGCAATGGATTGATTACGAGCCATGACTCCTCGCAGCATATACATGTACCATGGTATCATACGGTGTGTGGGGACTGTTTTAACCAGACAAAGAAGACCTCAAAGGATGAATGCCAACTAACAGCTAGTGATCAAGATGCACACAAGGTGGCACAGCAGCAAATTGTCAAGGAGTCATACAACAAAACAAAAACAAACGAAGAAAAACAGAAAAAAAGAAGAAGAGATCAAGGTCACTAAATAGCAGATTCGGGAGGCAACAAACGAATTCTCGAAAATCAGATTCAACCTCAAGAAGAAACATTCTAGCATTCTCAAAACTCCAAGTCACAGTTTGCCGATGTTACAAGTGACGTGTCGATGGTGTCATGCAAGCCTGGGTCGCAAGACGCCCCCGGGTGCATAACAGAACTTATGAACAATTTCAACTTAGAATAATAATAGATTTTAATAAAATACGAGCTTTTAAATCTGCATACAAGCATCCCAGTGCTAGAAAGGACGGCACCTCTAAACATCAGTGGTGGGTCTACTTACAGTGGGTCTCTGAACCTGCCTCGGCATAGAGTTACTTCTGCTACTCGGCTCGGACAGCAAGCCAATGTATTCCCCACCACTCCCTGGCGTAGAAGGTGTGGAGCTGGCGATGCTGCCAAGGGAGAAATCAGACACGGACGGCTTGACCCCTGCTGGCTTCGACCGAGGAATGTCGGAGAGGCTGAGTGTTCTCGGCTGCTTTTGTACAATGTTCGCAGCACCATGGCCAGCCGAGCTAGACTGTCCATGGGAGTGCATCTCAGTGAGACTCTTCTGTTTCAGTGTCCGCTCGGCTGCGTCTGCACCTCGTTGCAGCGGTGGTGTGTAGTCCGAGCGCTGAAACACTTTCCCCGCCTCCGCAGCAACGGCTGGCGGTGCGCGGATGGTTGGCGGCATGCGACGGCCCGGGCCGATGGGGTTGTGGCTTTCATTACTGCTGACACCCAACGTTGGCGTATTGGACGGTGGCAGGGGGTTCTTACCTGATGAATGCCCAGTGCATAGAATAGTGATGCGGAATACAAAACAAAACAAATACAAAACAAAATAATTATATGGTAGAAAAGGAGAAGGACAAAAACGTTACGAGTTATGACCAACTGTCCACCAACGTAACCAGATCATATTCAGTCAGCGACAAAATGGCACAACACTGACAAGAGTACTGAGACATTCGGCGACCTGCCACCTAGCTCCAACACTTCTCCAAGGCGCAAACCAACAACCTTCCAACTTGGAAGGCTCAGGTTCGGAAAGTTAGTCATAGTCAGTTAGTCATAACTCGTAACATTTTGTCCTTCTCCTTTTTTTACCATAGTTATATCGGCTCACCATCCGAGTTCTAATAAATATATCATCAGAGTTAACCTCGTACAGAACAATTCCAGCCAGACGCTGAAAAATGGTGGGTCATTCCCAGTATTGTGTCACTACAGAGTAGCAAGCACCCGATGTAATAGCATTACTTTTATCCAGACAGCTTGGGACCGAACACAGCCCACAATTCACTATTGCCTGAATCGCAGAGGATCGGTTCATTTGCACAATCCCCGTCTTGCATGATAAGGGCTAGTCACGCATTCTGACTGCATCTCCTAGCGACCCCCTCCTTTCGGACGCACAGGCAATATGGAAACATGCATAGAGGGAACCGGTGGAGCGGGTTGATAGCTGCAACATCTACAAAAGTCATCTGGATATGGATATGCAGGTATAGTAAAACCGGGTTTAGGCGACCACCCCACGGTGCAAACAAAAGCGGTCGTTAAAGCCAGGTCCCACAGTGTCTGTGTAGAACTGTCGGTGCATGGAAAACGGTCGTTAAGAGCAGGTGGTCGCTAAACACAGAGGTCGCTTACACCAGGTTTTACTGTACTTGCTGCACACCTGCACTGACTAATTTAGCAAGCACAAGTGTGCAAGGTTAGAACGTAGAAGACTATGCAGCATACAGAGGCATGATTTGCATGCAACACAGATTAGGTACCAAAATGTAATATTAGTACTACACTCAAACCTCGGTTACGGTTACGCCTCAGATACGGGCACGTCTCTCTACCGGGCACCTTCAGCTTGAGCTCCTATAGCACAAATGCTTCGAATTTGGGAGTTTTGAACTTTTTTTCCGTATGTGAAAGTGCTTATTTTTCATTGCCAACCTATGGAATTCACACACTTTTATCAATCGGTTCCTTTTGTATCTTGAACACATGCAATACGTTCAAAATAAACTTCTTCACAAATGATACGATACATAGTAGTACGATACATATGTAGTAGCTGAGTTATCCTGAGATACGGACAAATCTGAGATACGGACAAATCTGAGATACGGACAGTGCCCGGTCCCAAGGTGCCCGGATAAGAGACGTCCGAGTGTACACTCAAACCTCGGTTACCCGGACACTGAAGTTACAGGCACTTCGGTCTACCGCGCACCCTTTGGGCGAGCTTCAGCGGATGTTATATTACTATTCCTGTTACTTTTTGTGGAAATAGTGACGTCATAAGCCATATCGGTTGCCTTTCCCCATTCAAATGTATGTGATTCGGAGTTACAGGCAGTGCCCGGTCCCGGACCGCCCGAATATACAAGGTATGAGTGTAGTAAAGCAGTATCAAAAAAGGCATGGCTGCTAAGCATCCAGGTACATCGCTTCTTTGTTCAAATTCAAAACGCACGGGTAAAGAGCCTACTAACCGGGTTGCGGAGTTGCTCGGTCAATGCGCGGCGCTTGCTGGTGTGGCGCGCGTGGCAGTGCAGTGGCAATGTTCACGAGTGGAAGCGACAAAGAAGACGTGGTGGCAGCCGACCTGGGGTTGGCCATTCGCTGATCGCGCTCCAGCAGAAACTCACCAACGGTGTTCATCAGTGGTGCTATCTCCTGGAGAAGAAACAGGCACGAGAGTAAATACTCGTAAGGCAAACCTCAAACAAAGCATAATGTCACAGAACGCGGATTGGTGAAATCCAAATATACATAATTCCCAGCAGGGTTCTAGCCAGGTCAAAATAGTAGGAGGGCGGGCATGGAAAACAGTTACTAGTATCCCATTTTTCCACTTTCCAATAATGTCTTGCCACGCTAAACGCAACGTATTGGGCGAATCCCCGACTTCGCCCCAGACAAATGTGCCTTTATGAACCATCTAATAGTGACGTTCGACTGCATTTTCGTTGAATTGCATGAAAAACACAAAAATCGGAAAATGAGTAGGGCGGCACTTTTTCACATGGGGGGGGGGGGGGGGCGTGTTGTGCCCCCCTACCCCCCTTTGGCAAGAACCCTGTCTAGTGATTAATCAATTTGGCAAGTGGGCTGTCAACAAGGCCTTAGTCAGCCTATTTCAAGTAAGAACAAGTGACCGTTGAGTTTTCTTAAGTGCATCACAATTCCTGATCCCTCTGGATTCCCACTCCGGATTCAGTCCAAAAGCCACTCACTAAAGTGCTGTCAATGACTGGAAACAAGTCTATTACCAAGAGTGTGCAAAGTTGCAATTGCATACACTACAATGGAGCCATTTTGTTAGGACATGAGTCTTTCGCGGCTGCTTGGCTCGCTAACGCCATCAAGTGTAGCCAAAGGACAAAAGTGCAATGAACTTGCATGTTCCAGATACGGTAGACTCACCAAAGCGGAAAGTAGATCCATGCATCCTAAACCTGATGTACTTAAAGTCTTAAACCGGATCGCATACAAGAAGAGCGGAAAGAGCTAAGCACGTGATTATCTTTCTGATAAGAAATGCTGCAAGAAAAAAATATATTGAGCACCGTGTGAGTAGTGAAAGTTGCTTACTGCGTACTCGTGATACTATTGTACATGAGCTGTTCAAGAACTCTGTGAGCCACTAGAAGTGTATTACTACGTACATGTAGGCTGGCTCTGCCATCAACAGCATGGCCACCGTGTATTACTACGTACATGAAGGCTGGCTCTGCCATCAACAGCATGGCCACCGTGTATTACTACGTACATGAAGGCTGGCTCTGCCATCAACAGCATGGCCACCAGTGGCTGCAGGTCGTGTGACGACGTTTCGAATGCGCAGCACCGGGATATCAAATTGCTGGGCGAACACCCTAAGCTCTGCTTCGGTGACATCACTTCGCGAGATGAGATCAAATCTAAACGACAGGAAAATGTTTGAGATGGCAATGGATTCTTGACAGAAAGTAGAGCAGTTCGATGCACATCGTGAACAGAACACAGCTCAATGATTACATCACAGTACATGTCTTGTCAGTGGTAAGGGGAGTGAGAGGATGCAGGTGATAGAAGGTGAAGACAAGTGCTGGGACAACCCTCATATCAGCCTCCTTCATCTGGACACTTGTGCTGATGGCACAAATATAACTTTGACCAGAATGCACTACAGCTCTGGCCAGCAAAAACCAACCATACGGCTACTGGTACATCGCGGGTACATGTGGATTGATACAAACAATAAGATATGCTAAGTAAACCGTGCTACTGCACGTGCTTTTCATACTGAGCTGTGTGTGCGCAATGCATCAGTTCATGTCCATACATTATTTTGCTCTTTGCATTCCCATTCCCGCTCAAAATTACCCCGTTGTAATTAGTCAGGATGTTGACAATATGCCTGCAAAGCCAGTACTAGAGTAGCAACCGATTACCTGGTACCAACGACCAGTTTCAAGACATTGCTGTCCTTCGGAAGTAACTGTGACATCTGGCAGGGTGGCAATGACCAAGTTGAACACATGGCGGCATGACATACATTGGCAAGACGAAAGAAACAAAACAGGTGGAAGACAACTCAGTCCAAGCGTTGCGTGGTTATGCAATGAGTAATAGACAAGAGAATAGATTGCTTGTAAGGTACGTGTAGAAGCAGTACGGTGCAAGACACTGAGAAATGGACAGTGGTGGTGGCAGCGACAACAGCAACGTTGCCAACACCAATGACAACAAACAAACAATGATGACCACCACCACTGCCGCCGCCACAGCAGCAGCAACGACGACGACACCAACACCATCTCTTATTGGCGATGGCGCCATCGTGAGAATAAAGAATTCAACAACAACAACAACAACAACAACAACAACATCTTATTGACGATGGTGCCATCGTGAGAATGAAGAATTCAAAAAAATCAAGCAAGCAGTCATGAGTGAGGAATGTGTTGTAGGAGACATTAACCAGTGGCATCAAGCCTCAAGCAGTACCATGACAAAGTGACCATCAAGAAAGGAAAGGAGGCAGAGTGATAAATGGAATTGGCAACCGGCAACTGTACAGTGTATAGCACAGTCAGTGTCAGCACAGTCAGTGTGGATTAATATCACACTCACCTGGTTAGGAAGATCTTCAAATGATGCCCTATAAAGAAAATGCAGGGAAACACACACACACACACACACACACACACACACACACACACACACACACACACACACACACATACACACACACACACACACACATACACACACACACACACACACACACACACACAGATTCCAGTAAGCACCAACGGATAGGAAAGGAAGCACTTCCGTCAGCCTGATAGTGCTGTAGTACGTTATTCTGTGTACGTCACATGTACATGTGTGTGTATGTATGTGCGTGCGCACGTGTGTGTGTGTGTGTGTGTGTGTGTGTGTGTGTGTGTGTGTGTGTGTGTGTGTGTGTGTGTGTGTTGTAGTCAGGCCTAGTTGTAGTGGGGAGTAAGTCTTCGTTTTGAGTCTTTGCAAATTGGCTTTCCGTTGTCTCCTTGTGAATAAAGCTTTTCAGTGTACTAATACTAGTTCTATTGTCAATAGTCTGAGTGATGGCACGGGGGGGGGGGGGGGGGGGGGGGGGGCGGAGAAAGATTGGGCTCACTACAGCCACAGTTCCACAATTGACACAACTTGTTTTGCAACCAGAACCTAGAATGAACTGACAAACAAAACTGTTGGTGGTACAACGCCATGTGTGCAACCACCAACCCTGCCTCAGGTACAAACTCAGCAGGCCATACCCAGGGCCACACGATTTCGGCACACTCGCCGTTGTCATCATCCACCGTACACAAACCAAGCCGGGTGAATGCGCAATGGCATGTACTTATCGGTACATGTGACCTTGCATAAAACACTACGCAACCAACCTATCAGTGAAGGAAAACAGGAACATCACAGCATCCGCTTTGTCTTTGCACGCCTGCAATGACCACACATTATGCACACATTACGTAAAATCAGTACACTGCTGGTCAGCGAAACACGGCCACTCACACGAGAACAGAGCTGCGAGATCCATTGTGGAGTTCTGACGTAAGCTAGATTTTACAGCTGCAGGGTGGCAAGGCAGTGACTGCAGGGTTGCAAGGCAGTGACTGCAGGGTTGCAAGGCAGTGATATGGAGCATAGAAAGGGCGCCCATGGCACTACATTGTGCTAGGACCGGAGCACGAAGTTCAAAATCCCGAGCCACAAAACTTCTTCACATTGTATCATTCAAATTATGCACAGTACACAATGTAACCTTACCGGCAACATATGGTCGAATTTGGCACAGGCTTTGTCACCAACATCCCAGAACTCAAATCGGAAGAAAACGACCTTCCCTTGCTTCTCCAGCTACCCAGTAGAGTACACCCGCCACAAAACACAAGCAGAGGTACAATTACTACACCAGATACAGTCAACCTACATTGTACATGTAGTGAATGACAACAACTTGACATTTAATTGTGCACTGGAGTTTCCAGCTTCACAGCTGTCCATAGCTAATCCACGTCATGCGGACCTCTGAAACGCCACCAGTCAGCATAAACCAATTAAATTTCGAGTGAGACATAACATCGCCACCAGTTCAAAATTCATAGACTGCAAGAGATATTTGTTCCAATGCACACAGACCCGTGACTATACAAGTATGATATTGCAGCACGGGAACAGTAGGCTGGTAAATGATGGCCAGTGAAGCGTAGACTAATTACGGAAGAACTTCGCACAAGTACATGCACATCATTCTCACCTTGGCTGGCCAATACGTTGACGTAACACGAACGCCGGGTGTTTCGTAATGCAAGGGTGGCACTTCTACGGCAACAAAGATACAGTAAAACCGGGTGTAAGCGTCCACTTGCTTTTAGCGACCGTTTTTCCATGCACAGACAGTTCTACACAGAAACTGCACTGGATATAGCGACCACCTGCCTTGCGCGACCAGCGACCGACGTTTAGTGTACCAAGTGCCATATTGGACCTGCACACAGCGACCAAAACCAGCCAAAAGTGCCATATTGGCTGACAGGGTTGACTGCAACGGGGTTGAAGTGCGCTCTGAAGCAAGTGCATGCAGTCAATAGGAGTGACCAGTGGCAGGCAGGACGCGCAGCATGCACTTGAGTGAGGTGTGCTTTCCCTGCACGAAAGTATTCTATGCTCCACGCCCGTCAATATGAGTAGAGTACATGGAAGTACAATCATGCACATGTACATGTATGTACACGATCCGATATGCCACGGATGTACGCGACCTGGTTCTGAAGACCACCCGGCTTTAACGGCCGTTTTTGCTTGCACCGTGGGGTGGTCGCATAAACCAGGTTTTACTGTACACAAGAAGAAAATGAAATGGCAAACATTCCAAACATCAGCTGAACACTCTAGAATGTCGGATGCCATTCTTTCGGAAAACATTCTGACTTCAACCAATTACTTTTCTTTATACACTCGGACGTCTCTTATCCGGGCACCTTGGGACCGGGCACTGCCCATATCTCAGATTTGCCCATATCTCAGGATAACTCACCTACCATGTATCATGTCATTTTTTGAAGAAGTTTATTTGGCACGTATTACACATGTTCAAGCTACAGAAAGAATCCGTTGATTAGAATGTGCGGATTTCACCGGTTGGCAGTGACAAATAAGCACTTGTGCATACGAAAAAAGCTCAAACCCCCAAAAATTAAAAACATTTTTGCCATAGGAACTCAAGCTGAAGGTGCCCGGTAGAGAGACGTGCCCGTATCTGAGGCGTCCGGATAAGAGGCGTTTGAGTCTACAGAAGTTACAGAACACTAGCTACAGTTGGCAAGTGACCAAGTGACCGTGTAGTAAGCTAAGCAAATCACCATGCTGTGCTGGCAAACTTACTTAGGCCACACAGTTTGGCGACAGTGCTTGTCTTTCCAACACCAGCTTTCCCCCACAGCAAGATCTTGTATTTGAGAACACACGCTCCAGACTGGCCATGTGCAGGCTCCTCAAGCAGACCTGATAATCAGTATGGATGTATGCACAGACACACATACACACACATACGCACAGATACGGATATGCACGCATACATACACACCCACGCCCACACACACACAGACACACATCCACTCACGCACCCACACGTGCACATGCATAGTGACACACATTTGAACTCCAAGTCTCCAGCCTATGTGGGATCGAGCCCAGTCCCTGACGAAGCTGTTCCACAGAATAATGAAGAAAACTTCATCAAATGATCTGCCATTGGTACAACTTACAAGTACCTGTAACATTCTCACGCACATAGACAACTCTGTTGTATTATTCATGTAACTATACAACCTTTCTGTTCTTTGGGATACAAAGCTCTCACAGGTCGTCTGGGGACTTTGATGGCAGATGTATGCAAACATGGAAGGACAGAAAGACATACGGCAAGTACAGTAAAACCTGGGACTAACGACTACCCCTTGGCTTGGGGCCAGAGAAAGCGGTCTTTAGTGGCAAGTGGTCCTTAGTTAGAGGTTTGCACCGCACAATTATAAGGCCAAAACAAATAATGACCTTGTTTCGGGTCGGCCGACCGGGCCATTTTTTCCCAAATTCTGAGACTTTTTTGGTCCCAAATGTATACGAAAGGTGCCAATGCCATGTGTGCAAGTGCACTCAACGAGTCATAACTCTGTCAAATCTCAACCGAATTTAACAATCGACCTACCTACGACATAGCAGAGATTCTCAGCTGTCGGCTCGAAAAACTTTGTGGTCGATACGAGCTACCGTAGAATCCCGCGGAGAAGCCGACCCACGTATAAGCCCATGCCCACGCATAAGCCCAGGGTTTGTTCGAACATCACAAAGCTTCATCGTACAAGCCCATGGGCCTAGGTCATACCGAGAGTCCATACATTATGGACTCTTGGCCATACCATGTACGTAGTACATGCACTATGGTTTTTTCGTATATTTCAGCACAATCATCGGTTGTTTTTGTTTGCACAGTGGTTTTCAGCAATGTACTTCTCACTTCCTTGATACTTTTCAATAGCACACCTTGGTGTCGGCGTATAAGCCCATGCCCGCGTATAAGCCCATGTTCTCGTATAAGCCCACCGAAATGTCCTTGTGAAACAGATTAGCCCATGGGCTTATCCGCAGGATTCTACGGTAGTACAACGTTAACGGAGCTGCAAGCACATGTATTGTACATGTGTAGTTGCTCTTGTCCATCAATACCACAACGATTGACTCATTGAGGAACCAAAAAAAGTATCCAAAAAATTTTTCATTCCGGCCGACCGAGTCTCCTTTTGAGGGGTTGCCGACCCGAAACAAGCCTATTTTTTGTTTTGGCCTAAAAATAAATATATGAATGTCAGACCGTCCGTGCCTGGCGAAGTGGTCTGTAGTACCAGGCTGGTCGCTAGTCACGGTGGTCTTTAGTTACAGGTTTTACCAAGAGTCCATAACCCCCAGAGTGTGCAACGTCACATAATTGTCTGTCACGACTCGTTTTCAACATAACATCATTTTCAATCTGCGGACAGCATGCTGTTTCGTTCTTTTTGAACTCATCAGCGCAGCACAGAGGAAATGAGGCCGAACCTGATAGCAATGGAAATAAAAATTTCCAATCAGGCCCGAACGTACCTTGCCAGAGTGCTCAAACTGACAAGTCAGTGAGCTCTGCATAACGCAAACAGCAAAGGCACTACCCCACGCAAGAGTGCTCAACTGCTACAAGAGCAGGAGCGAAGTACTCAATCTGCGGACAGCATGCTGTTTCGTTCTTTTTGAACTCATCAGCGCAGCACAGAGGAAATGAGGCCGAACCTGATAGCAATGGAAATAAAAATTTCCAATCAGGCCCGAACGTACCTTGCCAGAGTGCTCAAACTGACAAGTCAGTGAGCTCTGCATAACGCAAACAGCAAAGGCACTACCCCACGCAAGAGTGCTCAACTGCTACAAGAGCAGGAGCGAAGTACTCAATCTGCGGACAGCATGCTGTTTCGTTCTTTTTGAACTCATCAGCGCAGCACAGAGGAAATGAGGCCGAACCTGATAGCAATGGAAATAAAAATTTCCAATCAGGCCCGAACGTACCTTGCCAGAGTGCTCAAACTGACAAGTCAGTGAGCTCTGCATAACGCAAACAGCAAAGGCACTACCCCACGCAAGAGTGCTCAACTGCTACAAGAGCAGGAGCGAAGTACTCAATCTGCGGACAGCATGCTGTTTCGTTCTTTTTGAACTCATCAGCGCAGCACAGAGGAAATGAGGCCGAACCTGATAGCAATGGAAATAAAAATTTCCAATCAGGCCCGAACGTACCTTGCCAGAGTGCTCAAACTGACAAGTCAGTGAGCTCTGCATAACGCAAACAGCAAAGGCACTACCCCACGCAAGAGTGCTCAACTGCTACAAGAGCAGGAGCGAAGTACTCAATCTGCGGACAGCATGCTGTTTCGTTCTTTTTGAACTCATCAGCGCAGCACAGAGGAAATGAGGCCGAACCTGATAGCAATGGAAATAAAAATTTCCAATCAGGCCCGAACGTACCTTGCCAGAGTGCTCAAACTGACAAGTCAGTGAGCTCTGCATAACGCAAACAGCAAAGGCACTACCCCACGCAAGAGTGCTCAACTGCTACAAGAGCAGGAGCGAACATCATTTTCATGTAGCTGCGCGTGCAGGCCACGACATTCGCTACATGAAAGTGTACATGAAAATGACGTAATGTTGAAAACGAGTCGTGACAAGACCCTATCGCGCGTTGCACACTCTTGGTTATGGACTCTTGGTTTTACTGTATGGTCAAAGTATTCATAACGATCTTTTCGTGGCAAACAATTGACGTTAGTTATACTGCTCCAAATCTTCAGCCAAGGCCTATCATCAGGGTGGAAACTCCTATTCTTTTCAACCTTATGATGGGCAATGCCAGACAACTTGGTGAAATGTAAAGTCATGTGTTCACAGTGAAGAGAGAGAGAGAGAGAGAGAGAGAGAGAGAGAGAGAGAGAGAGAGAGAGAGAGAGAGAGAGAGAGAGAGAGAGAGAGAGAGAGAGAGAGAGAGAGAGAGAGAGAGAGAGAGAGAGAGTTCTGAGTGAGCTGCAACAAAGTAGTACAAAGTCAATGTCCATCTGTAGTTGCCAAAACAATATTGTACAGTTGTCATATGCACAAAGTCAAAGAGGACTGGAACCCTCAACTGGCATTATTGGCGCTCTGAGCTCATGCTTGCCGGTGGCCCAGCACAGATGTCCATACTGGCATCACCCATTTTAAAATGTTTGATAGTAGTAGATCTATGTGCAGACCATGTACAGTGTGCCAACAAGCTTATTCTTCCATTCGACATGACTTGATTTTGAATTGCAAGCCTTACCGAATTGTCTGCGCTGGTTCCCTCTTAGCAGTAAGCTGAGGTAGTGTCCAGCATCAGCGCTGTCCTGCCAGTTAGGTTCAAGCCATCGTTCCCCTGCCATCACTGTGACTACATGGGAAATGCTACTTGCTTCATTCACACATAGTCTAAAGTTACTTCGTGGAATATGTATTTCAGCGAGCTTCTCTCTTTCTGTTTTTTTTCCTGCTCATACACCATGCACCTACACAGTCATGTATGTATGTACATACACACTAACACAGCCAGCTTCTTCTTCTTTTTCCTCGATAAAATCAAGAGTTATGTACTCTTGATAAAATCAATGACGCGATACAAAACTACTGACGTCATGACCTAACCGTTGCATAGTCATTGCGCAACGGTAACGTCACAGGCGCAACGCACGTGGCGCTTGAAAAAAGATCTGGTGTGCGCAAACTAAGTGTAAATTTCCTGGCTGAGCTCGCTAAATAAACCAGCTCTCTCAGCTGAACCGTCGCGAAGAAGAAGCAACTGCAAGCGCTCAGCTCAGCTCTGCTCGATACGAGTTGGTACATGGTGCTCGCGGGAATGCTCTCTCGGCCAACGCGGCTCTGACTAGTTTCCTTCGACGTATCAATCATCATGTCAAAATGAGAATTTGAGGTGACTTGAAATTTTGTTGGAAGAGCTATCTTTCACAGAGTATTTGATTCGCAAAGAGATCGATAGGTTGCGCCTCAGGCTCGAAGTCATAGGCTCTCTGTCGTAGTTATTCACTTTCTGATTTTCAGGGCGAATATGTCTGCCTCCATCGTGGGCACGCCGCAGCGGCCGGCAACAACGATGCCCAGGAGTGGATCTTTCAGTGTTGCTGCTGGTCAAACTGACCCTGTCAGGAGGGACACCGCCCGACGAAGAGGATTTGAGCGAAGCTCCTCCTTTATAGATGAGAAATGCTCCTCAGTGGATCAGACGTCCAACGGAAAATCAAGTATTCCGCTCGTCGGATTGCAGAGTGTCAGTCCACTGCAGAGATTTGGAATAGCCAAGGAGAGGATTACCAATCTATTTGAGAATGTGCGTGGAATGCTGGATGAAAGTGTGAACAGGCTACTGACGCATGCAGATGATGACGTATTACGTACACATAGTGAGCTGAACAAGCTGATGGAAGAGGCAAAGCGTGTGATCGATGCCGATCAAGAGCGCATGGCCAACATCTCGGAGAAGGTGCGCACTAATTCCATGAAAGTGGCTTTCTTTGGGCGAACCAGCAATGGAAAGAGCTCTGTGATCAACGCTATGTTACGCGACCGCATCCTGCCGTCTGGCATTGGGCACACCACCAGTTGTTTCCTGTGTGTGCAAGGTACGCCAGAGGCATCTGCCTTTCTTGTCACCCCGGGTTCAACGGAGCGCAAGAGTATAAAGGTGAGCGTGCAGCAAATACATCTAGGTTCAATGCTCAAGCAATCGCCTGGGAAAGTCATTAATTTTCTCGACATCTAGCCCCCCCCCCCCCCCCCCCCACTGGAATTGTTTAGGGGGCCAGATTTAGTCAGACATTAGCAACAAATGTGGTGTTGATGGCTAAATCCAGTGTTGATGGCTTATCGAGTGTCAATGTATGTGCAGAGATGCTGCGTGCCTCATGCATGTTTTGCAGGCTCAACCTGGGTATTGCTAGAAATGCCCCCCCCCCCCCCCCCCCCCTCAACGGAACAAGATTATGGAAATGACCACCAGGCCTGCTCACAGTGAATCTAGTCCCTGCACAGTGCACGGCCATAGCGACCTCTATGCAACGTAGGCAGGTGTGTATATTACGTACTTTGTGAGTGCTGAGCCGTCTGGTGATTTTCGGTCGAGCACAGTTCCATGATGCCTGATACGGCGGCGCTGTGTGCACTGCACTAGTATTGTGCAACTGCTGCTGCCGCCGCCGCTGCTGCTGGCACTACCTGCAGAAAACGTAGCAAGTCACCATGCTGGGTACTCGGCACACGCGACACAGCGATTGTAACAGTTATTTCATGTGTGTTGTCGGTCTCAGACTGTACAGCAGTTGGCTCACTCTCTGCATGACGACAAGCTGGAGAGCAAGGCACAGGTGCAGATGTTCTGGCCGCGTGAAAAGTAAGTTTTGCTCACCGTGACGTGCTCTTTCGTTCCGTGCGGGAAGTAATTCGGTGGTTAGGTGCGTGTCACGTGTAAATGGTATCCACGGACAAAGCTTTTTAGGTATCATACCGTAGTACATTGTAATACCTCTTGTGTTCAGAAGGGGCGTACTGCAGGAGAGCATGGGTACTAGTTTGTGAGCATATGGCATGTGTGGGCTTGTGTGCATATACTGTCCAGTTGCTTATGTTGCTAGTCCTTTCTTGCAGCGTGTCTGTGCGTGTGGATTTGTCCCTTGTGCTGCTTTCCATCCTAGCCACGTTATCTTGTGGTCTTGTATGGCACTGATGGTATGTTTTGTGGTCTTGTTTGCTGTCTTTTGGCAGGTGTTCTTTGCTGAAAAATGACGTCGTCTTGCTTGACAGGTGTGTTGGATGTCCTGATCGCATGCTGAATTGTTGTCACCAGTGCCGCTGTCTTGAGTGACAGTTGAGTCCCTTCACATATTCTTAGCAGATAACACTATGCACATGCATAAATACACGTGCACAGACACGCACACATGCGCGGGCACACGCACACTCAATGAAGCATATGCAGCTGAAGCCTGGTTTATTTGTGTGGAATTGTTCTCGGTTGTCTCTTCCTTTTTCTCCAATTGTGTTCTGCTGTTCTTTTAGTCCTGGTATTGACATCAATCCTGATCTGGACTCATGGATCAATGCCCACTGCACGGATGCTGATGTGTTTGTCCTCGTGGCCAATGCAGAGTCTACACTCATGCTGACTGTAAGTGGAATGCACTTGTCCAATCAACAGCTGATTCCATAACAACACCTTTGCTCACCGAAACCTGACGCATCCTGGTGCCAACTACTGTAAATATACAAATTTTCGGCAGCTTTTTAATTTCGGCTATATTCGGCACCGACCCAAAACGCCTAAATTAAAACGCCGATGAAATTTTTCACAGCATCTGTCGCACTATACCATGCCCTCTATCCCACGCCGAAAATAAATCGCCACCGAAATGTCAAAAATCGTGAAGTGCCGAAATTTTGCAGCGCCGAAATTTTGTATATTTACAGTATGCTATGTTCCACCCGGCCACACTTGATGATTGTGTCCTGGGTCTTCAGCCCAGTGATGTCTTTTACAGGCCAGGCGGCAAGAACAAACTTTAGCATGGGACTTGTCTAGGACATGAGCCCTGGTGCAGTGGTGTCAAGCTCCAGCTTCATCCCTTGCTGATCTAAGTATGGTTCCATGACTTCTCTACAACTTCAAAAGCTCTCCTTTTCAGTCCGTAGGGGAAGACACTGAATTGTACTCTGTTTTTCTTTGTTCATAAGTTCTGTTCATGTTCTCTGTATTCCACTGACAGGAGAAGAAGTTCTTCCACAAGGTGGCGCAGATGTCTTCCAAGCCGAATATTTTCATTCTGAACAATCGTTGGGACGCATCAGCATCAGAACCGGAGTTCATGGACGAGGTATGTACATTTGTTGTGTGTGTCTCTGTGTGGCGAGGCCAAGACTGTAACCAGTCATTGTTTGTGTTCAACTTGCAATGTAAGGTCCACCCATGTAGCCCGTGTGTGCGTGCTTGCGTACGTGCGTGCATGTGTGTGTGTTTGTGTGCGCGCACATGTGTGTGTGTGTGTGTGTGTGTGTGTGTGTGTGTGTGTGTGTACGCTGTGTGCATGTGGTGAAGCTTTTCTTACCCCTTTCAGTGCCAGGCCAGATGTATGCTGTTGGCCGGGCCGTTTTCATAAAAAAATCTGATTTTTTTCTTCAAAATAGTCGTATCAACTCAAACCAACTTGTTATCCTGCGCTGGCGTAGCTTGTGCTGCTGCGCCCTGCTCAAACTCGACATCGACATCTCCGATATCCTCAGGGCCGTCCAAGGCGACCACGGCAGTAGGTACGACATCGACCACGGCGGACTCGTCCGCGAAATTTGTTCCGTCATGATCGCGGACGGCTATGTCCGCATCCGAGTCATCGCAGCTCCAGTCATCAATGTCCGAGTCCATGATGGGCTGGAGCACCTCTTCAGCCGACATGCGGCGACTCGCCATGTCTGAGTGTCAGCTAGAGAGACCTAAAGTACGTTCCGTCAATCTAATTGTTTCTGAATCGAAATATGTTTTTCGCCCGAGTGCTCTGAATGTATGCTCCCGCGCCCTTACTTACTCAAACACGACGAGTGAGGTCTTGTTCAGTAGGGGAAACCCCCTAGTTTCCCCTCGAAGAGCCACAATAGGCCAAGCTAGATTGTAGTGCATGGCCGGTGAGATATAGTAGTGCGCACTACGAGGACGAGATATCTCGTCCATGGCCAATCGCGTGGGGGTCTGTAGGACGAGTTATCTCGTCCTTGGCACTGAAAGGGTTAATGTTTTGGGCTGACACGACTGGGGACACTTCCTTTGTGGCTTAGCAACTGTAGATAACGATCGGCTTAGTTTCTTCATTGCGATGAACAACTAGATATTTAAAGACTTCATGATTTGGTGTAGCATTCCTCATCTGGTTTTGTGCTGAATTTCATTTCCGTGATGAAGGCGGGACCCTCTCACGTGTTGTTCATTTCACTTTGTCTGACTTGAAGTAGTTCTGTAGAAATGGAGCGCCACCTCATCACTTTGTTTAATCCTGTTGGTAGGCGCAGGCCAAGGTTTGATTGAAGCGTGTGATGTTGTCTTACACAGCAAAGAGGCCAGATATGTGAATAGGGAGTAGCGGAAATTGGCTAGTAGTTGGCATAATACGCTTTCCCTTCAAGTTCATTATATGAGGGTAAGCAGTAGGTTTCGGCCCGTTCATCAATGAATAGAGCGCATATGGTGGAGGTGAAACTAATTCATTAATAAACGTGCCCTAATTTCTATTCATTAAACTCAGTTACCCTCTGTTCTATTGTGCTCAGGTGCGAAGTCAACATCTCAGCCGCAACTTGGACTTCCTGGCTGATGAACTGAATGTTGTATCACGTGAAGAGGGGATGGATAGAGTGTTCTTCGTTTCAGCCAAGGAGGTAGGAAAGACATTGTCTACAGCAATGCCATGCTCTAGAACACCCAGTGCTCAGCACCACATTGTCCTGAACATTACAGTAATTTACTGCGCCGGGAGTGTCTGTCCCTGATTAGATGAGTGTGTCAGAGGTATTGGAGTACACACCCTCAGGTTGGCCTATATGTTTACGGTTCTATCGGTTCATGTTACTTGTGCATGTGTGAACTGCTACAGGCTCTCTACCTGCGCATGAAGGAGCGAAATCCCAACACTGGAGGTGAGTCCTGATTTTGTGTACGTCTTGTTGTCCTCAATTTACAACCAGAATACCAGTAGGCTCATTGCTCTGTTTGAACAGTATTTTAGTACCATGCATGGACATACACGCCAAGGTCCCTGGTTCGAGTCCTGGTGGTGACAGTCAATTTTTTTCAGGCATTTCCCTTTTCCATTCCCTCAACTGGAGGGATTTTTTCCAGCCGTGCTGCGACCCACAGTTAATTGGGAACTCGTGGCCTGGCACGAGGAAAACATGGATGCAATGAATGGGATTTTCGGTCTTTGACCACTTGCTGGTGAGCTGATCTACTCACCTCCCACCGCTTTAGGAGCTGCATCTGCGCATTGATCCTTGAAGGGTGGTGGCGCTCCTACGGATGCGGAAAACTCGGTTTCCAGTCGAGTCTCACGCGAACCGTGAAAAATTGAAAATTCCCTCAACTAGTGAACATGCACGCTTCTTCTTTTTTTAATTTTTTTAATTACTTTGAAGTACACACATGCATTCCTGCTCCTTCCCCTCTGCTCCCCACAAGTCTCCACCGTATTGCTTTATGGTAGACGTTGGTGTGTCTGTTGATTTCTCGTGTGCAGTTGTCGCTCTTGCCGATGGCTATCGTGCTCGATTGCAGGAATTTGAGGCATTTGAGCGGGTATTCGAGGTACGGTCATGAAGCTGTGCATGTATCTGTATGTTCTTTTCTGATGTATCAATATGATGTATTGCTTTTGGTTGTGATTTTGCCAGGTGTGAGTAATTCATCGATACTGAAGCAATATTCTGACTTTATCGATATATCTCGTTTATTCTATTCAGGAAACTATCTCCAGCCACGCAATCAAAACAAAGTTCGGCGCTCCTGCAAACACCGGTCTACAAGTCACAAAGCGCTTACACCAGACCCTGGAGTCACTGCGTACACAGATTGAAGATGTCCGGTAAATTGTTTCCCAAAATGTAGCTCTCCTGCTGATTGTACTTTTGCATGATTCGATCTTTGCCTGCTCGTCAGTGACACAGTGAAGATTTTACACATGATGGTGAAAATTGCATTATCTTTGTAGGGTCCATGCCCCTGCTGATGTGCACATGCACAAGGTGCTCTGATGCATCAGTGCTTGGCGTGATACTCATGCTCACCGCTCTTTTGTTCCGTTCTTTGTGGGTCTGCACAGCCGCCAATGTCAGCAACAGCTTGTTGAATGTCAACTCGGCATTGCCACCCTTCAGCGCGAGACCAGCGTGTGCTCTGCCGAGTGGGGCAAGCAGGTGGACGACATGAAAGTCAGAGCGCTGCAACAGGTCTGTATACTCTTCGACTGTGTGCTGTAGAGGCAGAAAATTTCGTCGGTCAATAATTTCGTCCAACTCCAAAGAAAAGGAGTTCGTCCGGTTGAAATTTTCGTCCGAAGATCATAAGAGTGTATAGAAACGCTGGACAAATCGATATTCGTCCTACATTTAATTTAGTCCAAAAGCTCCTTGGACGAAAAAGACAAAATTAAATTCCAGACGAATATTTCTGCTTATACAGTATATGCTGCTAATATTCTTTTTGTGTCCCTTTAGTGTCTGGCCGCTTTCCCAGCGACCAACAGTAATTAGACGTACTTGGGCGGGCACTTATCTCGAGTCTGCCTGCTTGCGATCAGTCTGCACTGTGTCTCCACCAATACAGAAGCTGCAGTTTGCACCTCAAATTTCCATTGCATGGGTGTTGTGGAGTGTTTCACCATGCATATTGTCTGTATTCTATGTGGTCCCAGGTTAGCAGTGCGATTTCCCAGGAGATCGTTCACCTCTGCAATACTGTACAGGAGTACCACACCGTTGCCGTGTTCAACGAGGAGGACCTTGATGCCTATCGTCAGGTCGGTATATCAGCACACGCATCGGTGCGATGTATGAATTCAGTCTTCTACTTCGTTGCAAGCACGATTATAACATGCTTGGGTTTCTTTTGCCCCGAAATTTATGCTAAATTATGCACTATGCACCCATCCATTGGGTATCACTCCATTGTTTTATGTGACTTGAATGTGTCACTCCCATTGTTTTATGTGACTTGAATGTGTCACTCCCATTGTTTTATGTGACTTGAATGTGTCACTCCCATTGTTTTATGTGACTTGAATGTGTCACTCCCATTGTTTTATGTGACTTGAATGTGTCACTCCCATTGTTTTATGTGACTTGAATGTGTCACTCCCATTGTTTTATGTGACTTGAATGTGTCACTCCCATTGTTTTATGTGACTTGAATCACGCCTCTGTCGTAGCATACTGTACATTCTTGAGTTTCGTTCTCCACTGCACCTTTCTGTGTTCACCTAACCAGCTTTGCATTCTTCTGTGTGTGGGTGTGCACATGCGTATGAACATCTGCGTGGTTGTGCATGTGAAGGAATTGTGCGAGCACATCACACGCAGTATGGGCGAGCACATGATGAAGAACTCGACACAGCTGCTGTCAGATGAGTGCTCCACCGTGCAGCAGTCCATGCTGGAGAGGTTCCAGCAAGCCGTGCCACCGTCTGTGACTACGTCCACGGCTAACCTCTTCATCAGGTCAGCAGGTCTTACTACCTCCCAATGCCTATTTTCGTAGACATTTCCATGGGTACTCGCATTGTCTGTGTTGCGATGCCCTCTGCTTGACGGCTAGCTTTGGCTTCATAAATGTCTTGTATCAATAGCCTGGAGTGGTATTGGGCGGAAGTAATTGCCTCGACTCCGGGGACCTTGAACGGAAAGAGAGTGTTTTGTGCGGGTGTGATGCTCATCTCTTTATTTCTTTGCTCTTGTCTTTTCAGGCCTGCATTTCATGTGAGCCATGAAGTTGACATCGGTGAGATTTGCACCAACTTTCGTCCAGACCTGAAGTTCCGCTTTGGGCGGCAGTGGTGCGCTCTGCTAAACTGGATTCGTGGAGGTGCCATTGCAAGGCTGTCTACTTCATCCGACTCCAGAAACGTGAGTAGCCTGCTGGGATGTTCTTGTTCTTGTCTGTTGTTCTTGTTCTTGTGGTCTTTCATAGTACTTCGCTAAGTGAACAGGCACGTATGCCTTCTCACCAGTTGTATGGATGTGAGTGGCAGGGGTAGAGAGCTATGATGCAGCTGAAACCGATGAAACTTGACCAGCTTAGCACTGAGTGCGGTGGTGTCCTGTCCTCTTGTTCCTCTTTAGACATCACCTAGTAGTACCATCGAGAGTAGAGCCAGGGACAGTGCCGTACCGTCAGCGCGTCGCAGCAGCAGCAGCAGTGTTATGTCCGTGCTGTCATCATCATCGCCGACTGCTGCTGCAGCAGCAACAGCAGCTAGCTTGGAGATGTGTGGACTGCCAGCTGGTGTCAACGTACAGCGCCTAGTAGAGGTGGCTACAATCGTGTCCTCGCAAGCACCGTGGCTGATGGTCGGTGCCGGTGTTCTGGTAAGTTTTTTTTAAACCTTTTAGTACAGCCTAGACGTATCGGTCATGCCTGTACATGTTCGCCAGTGTGTGTGTGTGTGTGTGTGTGTGTGTGTTTGTGTGTGTCATTCACTATCGTTGCCATCGGCGACGGCCATGTGCAAGGTGTGTGTATGTGCAGACTTACACCGTATCCATGTGACTGTACCTGGCATTTGTGACATTCGAATGGTCTGTGGGTGTGCGTATGTATGTGTGCATACGTGTGTTCTTGGATGTTCACAGGTGCCTGTTTTGGGGTGTTTGTGAGTAAAAAGCTGTGCGGCCATATTGTTTTTATATTGCGGTATTTTTAATATACATGACTGTATGTTACTGACAGTTGGTGCACTGGTGTTTATGTGTTCGTATACTGTTCTAGTTGTATCGGCTGGTTGGCTGGCAAGTCCTGGCAGCGGGTACAGTAGTAGGAGGTGGCTTGTACGGCTATGAGCGACTATGTTGGACTACACGTGCCAAGGAGCGTGCATTCAAGGAACAGGTTAGTGTGTGTGTGTATGTGTGCGTGCATGCGTGTGTGTGTGTACGTGTGCGGGGCTAGTTGTGTGTTACAACATTGTTTATCAGTAGAATGGATCATGCCATGTTACGTTAACTGGTGCGTACGAGGTGATTCGCAATTTTTGGACATGTCGCAATTTTTGGACAAATCAGTTAAATATGGAAGTAGAGTCCTCCTGAGTCGTTGTCCTTTCCTTGGTGGACAAATCTTTGACAAGAGTGTCTTCGTGTGGTCCTCAAGTTTCTTCGTGCCAATTTTTAGCGGTGAAGGCCGTTTCTTTCTGGGCGTTTTCTTTATTATTCTTAGGTAATGTAATGAGTAATTTTGAAATTTTCGATTAAATAATACATGATTGAGGATTCCGTTGACTCTACGTCGCATAATGGAGAGAATGTCGACATGGGGGATGTTGTATCCCTTCCATCAACTCCAGGGACTACGTCTTCCAGCTCGAATCCGCCTGGAAGAGTCTCCTCGCCTTCTCAACCGGTGCGTTTGTGGAGGGGTTCTGGTCAGGAGAAATCTCTTTTAGCAGTGCGAGCGTTCCACTCACCTGGCACCAGTGAACACTTCCTAGCCAAGAAGGACGCAGCGGCTAGTTACGGCGCTAGCCCTCCACTCTTTGCGAAATATGAGAAGGAGATGGGCCACACTGGAGTGCTCTCCTCTGTTCTTGAACATGACGTCCATGAAAACCCTTGAGTGACCCTTTAAATTGTGTGTCACATTGAAAAGCCTTGAAAAGCTTGCTATGAACGGCCTGTCATTAGAACTCATATCAGCCGGTCTCATAGGCATAGCCTTACCCCATTTTCATGTCCTGTGCAAGTTTTACTTGTTCACACCATTGCAGACTGCTGCTAGATGCTATTTAATTTAGTTGTCCAATAATTGCTCGCATTGAAAAAGCAGTAGAAAAAGACACCTTCGATCAGGTCAAGTTGTGGCTGCATGCTTCAACTCTATGCCTTCAGGTGTGTGTGGTGGTGGTAAAGCATAAGTGTGCCAGTAGAAAAGCATGAAAGAAATTTAATTTATCTTACAAACCAACATAATGGGGTGCTATTTAATTTGAGTGTCCAAAAATAGCAAATGACCTCGTACCTGTGTGTTTGTATACAGATGGTGGATTTCGCCACTGGTAAGCTAAAGGATATTGTGGCCGTGATCAGCGCTAACAGTGGCAGTCAAGTACAACAGTAAGTGGTAGCTGTGTGTGTGTGTGTCTGTGTGTGTGTGTGTCTGTGTGTGTGTGTCTGTGTGTGTGTGTGTCTGTGTGTGTGTGTGTCTGTGTATGTGTTGGGGGAGGGTGGTGTTGAGGTTCGACCTCAGCTAACTGAACTGCTACTGATCTGCATGATATCAGCCGCCATGCATCTGACTTTGTATTGTCGTCACTACCCTACGTGTAGTGCACTGTAAGCTGTGTTTTAGTGCCGTGCGGTATCTGCTTGTCACACGTCTAGTACTTTGCGCGGGCTTTTCCATACTTTGAGTGAGTGGTGAGTTTGTGCTGAGGGAGTTCTGTAGAGAGAGAGTTGGAATGGCGGATATGATTTTTCGGGTGGTTTCCCTTTTGCTTTTGTCTTGTAGTATTGTCTGAGATCATGATAGTATATGTAAGAGATACTCAGAACCCATCCAGTTGTTGTCTAACAGTCTGCGAACGAGTGAGCCCGACTCAACAGGTGGCGGTAGCCTTGTGCTGCTACTTGTTCGATCATCTGCAGCTTGACTATTTTCTCTTTCAAATTTTAAGAGTATATGTTTTAGGTGTCCCAAAACTATGCATTATGCTTCCATCCTACATTGTATGTTTGTGTGTGTACGTGTGTGCATGTGTGTACGTCTTGGTACATGTGTGTGTGTGTGTGTGTGTGTACGTGTGCATGTGTGTGTTTGTGTGTGTGCGTGTGTGTGCGCGTGTTACATGGACTCTACGTAAACAGGCAATTAAGCAATTGCAAGGACCAGCTGTGTGCCGAGCTCTCAGTGGTAGAAGATAACCTGAGACAACGCAAAGGTCTGGTGGAGAAACAAATCCACCAGCTGCAACGAGTAGAATCAGATGCGAGAAGCCTTGTGTAAGTTTACTCGTGGTTTGGTAGTCGAGCATTACTCCGTTCTAAGTGTGGCTGCATGCAACAAGAAGAGGATGAAGATTGTGTTGTTGGCTATGGAGACCTGTATATGTGAAAGAAGAAAAGAGGACCAACGAGCTACCAGTTACGCTATAATGTGCACTAGCACCAGCAGTTACTTTACAATCAGCTGATGTGATAACATTGCACGACACTGACCAACGTTACTGACCTCTTTTCTTCTTATAAATTGATCCTTGCCTCTCCACCTGACTCTAACTATTAATAATTACAATGATTGTATTGGCTCAAACATGTTGGACTTGCTGGAAAGGGAGTATGTGTGTGCATTATTCTCCAGTAGATACAGTACGCCCTATCCGTATTCTATTGAGGGGCAAGACGTGTGCTGCGAAATCAGTGTAGTGCTGCTGGTATGCCACTCAGCACGTGTAGAGATGATTGTAACGTTACAGGATGATTTGTGGTTTATAGCCTCAATTGCGTAACGCCTGCTTGTGCCATGTGTGTGTGTGTGTGTGTGTGTGTGTCTCTCTCTCTCTCTCTCTCTCTCGCTCTCTCGCGCGCTCCCTCTCTCTCTCGCTCTCTCTCTCTCCTGCTCTGTCTCTCTCTCTCTCTCGCTCTCTCCTGCTCTCTCTCTCTCTCTCTCTCTTACATTTTTTAATTCCAGGAACACTGCCCAGTTTGCAGAGAGTGGCTTCCGACAGTTCCTGACAGAGCTTGAGCTGACAGTGGTCAGTCCAACTTCGCCACTGGAGGATTCTGTCTCTATCTCTGAGTTAGTCAATGGTCATTGAAACGTCAGCTACTAGGTAGCGCACACATATGTGTGTTCACTTTGTTTCCGTCGTGTAACCAACTGGTATGGATCCTGAAACCCTCAAGGGAAATGCTTGTATGGCTCCCAAGCTTCTGCTGTGTGTGAGTGTGTGTGTGTGTCTGAGGTGAGGTGTGTGCGTGTGTGTGTGTGTGTGTGTGTGTGTGTGTGTGTGTGTGTGTGTGTGTGTGTGTGTGTGTGTGTGTGTGTGTGTGATTCACAACTCACCATCATTCCAGCCACCAAAGGATTCGTCAACGTTTGCTCCATACCAGCCGTGTAAGATATCTCTGAAGACTTGTGCCACATTCAGAGTGAGAACACTTGGCTATATGTTATTATAATTATGCTAGTTCTGACTCGTGGTCATTTGTTTTATCCCCGCCCGACGTGCTGGTGTGCGCAAGTTCTTGCGTACTCGCTGACACAGCCCATGACTCTGAGTAACTGACTGTAGTCAGACTCAAGAGACATGTGTGGCGTGCTGACCTTGTCAGTGCACAGCATATCAGTTATCCATCCACCTATAGTAGCGTGTCGCTGCCACTCAACGTCGAACAGTGCTGCCTTCTCCACTGCGTGCATTGATTCTCTTCGTTTACGCTGATAAATTTCTTTAGTTCATGGCTTTCCAGACCAGCATGCTATTGCTAAGATAATCCTTACCTGTGGTTCGTGGATGCCCGCAACAAACTATTGTCGTGATCCCGCCTGGTGGTCGCTTTGACTACTGCTGGCGATTTCGCTGGAGCGCCTCTGGACAATAACCAACCTTTCTCTCGGCTTCCCTCAGCTTTCTTCAAACTTTGCCACAGGCTCACTATTTCTTTAACAGCTCCAACCCTATTGACAAAATCTTCCGGTCTAATTATTTTTTCACAACGTTCTCCAGTTATTTTAGCTGTAGACGATCCACACTCGTCCACACTCATTCGCAGTGGATCATCCACACCCGTTCCTTCTAATCAGCTGTGATATTTTTTCTTTGTCTTGCTGGGTTTTTATCATACACATTGTGTCATACTGCATGCAGCAATGGCAGTGGTAGTGGTCAGTGACCACTGGTCACAGTACAGTCAAATACTATGCTGTACAGTTTACAGCCGAGGCGCTCTATGCTGCGTGTGTGTGTGTGGGGGGGGGGGGGGGGTGCTTCTCTTGCGATGGGCGTATACATGGTACATGGTGGGGGGGGGGGGGTGCCATGGATTTGCAATATAGGTAGCGACTTCGGCGATGCCGTAGGCCGTGTGGGGAGCAATTTTAAAATCATTCTATGCTCATCCTGAATTCATATTACACTCAAACGCCTCAGATACGGGCACCTTCAGCTTGAGTTCCTATAGCACAAATGCTTAGAATTTGGGGGGGGGGGGGGTTGAACTTTTTTTTCCGTATGAGGAAGTGCTTATTTTTCACTGCCAACCTATGTAAATCCACACATTTTTATCAATGGGTTCCTTTTGTATCCTGAACATGTGTAATACGTTCCAAATAAACTTCTTCAAAAATGATAATACATGGTACATGTAGATGAGTTATCCTGAGATACGGGCAGTGCCCGGTCGACAGTCCCAAGGTGCCCGCATAAGAGACGTCCGAGTGTATTATTATTATTATTATTATTATTACCGGTATCATTGGTTTGTGGAACAATTGAAAGCTTTGCCAAGTAGTAAAATTATGTATCCATACGTCGTCCAGACCAGTCCAGAAGAACAAAATAGTTTGTTGTGCTTTCAAACACGTTTTTAGTAGTACCAAGAGTACATAACCTTGGTAGTACAAAGACCCCATAGCAAAAAAAGAAGGAAAAGAGATTGAGCCTTTTCAAAAACATTCAACAAAATTACTTGATTCAAGTATTTTTCAGTCTTTGCATGCAGACCCGGTACCCGGGGAATCCCGAGCATGGAGCCGAAACTTTTGACCCGGGCCCGGCGCGAATCCCTGGCCGGGAATGATGACTGTACGAGTACAGACTCAGTAGTACAGTCAGTATCGCCTATAGCGTTGGTGTTTGATTTTGAGCATTTTATCACTATAAGCGATATATTACTATGACCGATACTGCTTGCAATGTATGCGAGTGGGGTGTCAAACGACTCAGCGCGCCGTGCACATACGCACTACATACATGTACAATGTCATGTAGCTGGCTGTAGTGTAGCTCCTGACACACAAAATCAGGATTTCCTCATGATGGAGGCATATTTTGGCAACTTGTAAAAGCAAAACTCACGGAACAACACTCACTGGACAAGTTCTTCACGAAGAAGTAACACCCTGTTCTCCTCTGACATCGCTTGATTTTACATCACTCACTATAACCGATGCGAAAATAGTGTAATAAACGTCTTTTGAAATATGAATTTGATCACTATAGGCGATATATTACTATAGACGATTATTGCTATATGCGATAACTGTGTATACTTAGTTATGGCAAATGAAAATGACTTTGAGAAATTGATCACTATATCCGGTATATTACTATAGCCGCCAACCTTATAGGCGATACGGACTGTACATGTACATGTACACACGTAGATCTACACACGTACACAACAACAACACGAATAGTAATACAAGTAGATCTAGATGAGACAGGGAGTCGTAAAATACCTAGTACCTCCCTGATGTAGATGACATCATGTGTACGGCAGCTTTTGAGAGTACCGCGCTCAGGAAGATGTTTTCCGGTGCTTCCTGTATGCATGAAAATCTGCCGGATCGTATGATCTATCAAGGAAGACTTTCCTAGTTTTCCAGAAGGGCTTAGGTTGATGGCCAGAGTAGCAGATACAGGGATCGGGAGTAATCGGACACGAGAGCCCTTTCTCTTATCGTAACACCGGACTTTGACAGGCCAATTTCATCTCATTTATTCTCTGTTCTTCGCCACAAATGCGACTTCATTTCAATGTGGTCTCGTGAGTAGTGATATCAATTTTCTGACTGGAGGGAATAAATTAACACCTCATTGAGAGCAATTAGTTTGTACTGGCGACGGGACTTAGTAGCTGATCCGAGTGGACGAAAATTCCTGTCCAGCATGTCTTGCCTACCAATGATTTCCCAGAGGAGTCATTTGAACACACCTGGTTCCGAAGCCAAGTCGGGTAACAAATTTAGCTCACCGCTGGATGTTGGCAAAAGTCCCATCTCTCCCCTTCTGGATATGTCATGTGACTGGATCATGCGTGAAGCAGCGCTGGAGCTGTTGCAGCTACCACATCTTGGACACACTCCTGACAATCATCTATTCAAAGCAGCACGCGCTGCCGCAGCCAATGTGGCTGGCACAAAGCGTCTCCTCAGCAACAGATCAGTGGAGCGTCCCAGCAAGTCATCGCCGGCAGTGTCCGCATCTCGGCGTGGCCGTAAGCGTACGCGTAAGGGACGTGCCTCATGCGAGCCACCACAGGCCAACATCATTGGAAATCAGTATGTGATGACATTGTTCGATCGCAGTGTAGACCTGGCGCAGCACAGTGAAGGAACATCGCTGTATGTTATGTGCCGATCATGGATTGGAGACATCAGACATAGCGGCATGTCATCACCGTATCTCGAAATTGCTGGCATATCACCGAATGTTGCCAGCAAGGACGGGGACACGGATATCTGGATGCTGCCGCCACCCTCGCCGACTGCTGGTGAGCAGCAGCACGTGGAGGATAGCGATGTAGACTCATCATCAACTGGCGTGGAAACTGTCTGTCCTGATGCTTCATCAGTTGACAGTAGCGTAGCTGGCGGCGGCGCAGAAGAGCAGCTTCACTCGGCCAGCAATTTACTGACGGAGCACATGGCCAGCTGGAAGCGCTGTCGTAGGACTAAGATGAGGAGAGCACAGGTCGAGTACATGCGCCATGCCAAGAGCGTTGACATCCTGCGCAGGATCCGCAATAGCGTACTGAATATGTCGTCGTCAACCCTTACCTCACTTGCATGAGTACCCCCCACTGGAAGCTACTTGCTCTGTCTGTAACTGGCTCTGTCTGTATTGCCTCAGCTCGAGTCTGGGTTAGGTGTTGAATTAATCAGTTGAACCGACCATTTGAGTACTAGTACTGGATATACGACATAGGAACACCTAGCATGGCCTTTCTTCTTGAGTTGAGATCGTCCTTTGTTGTCTTGTCAGGAGCGTTGGTGACTTACGTGCTCGCCTTTCGTTGTGTGCGTTGAGAAAACTGGTTGGAGGTCCAGTGTCCGTGCTCGTCGTTGATTAGTCTGTCTTACTTGTTGTCGAGGCCTTGGTGTAGATTAAGAATGCTGTAGATGCGGCCGTTCTTGCCTCGGTTGGCTACTTTGATGTACTGGGCTCTGCTGCGTGTGTAGTGTGTACAGAGATATCCCATGTTGAGATGTGTCTTTGTGCTTACCTACTCCTCTGGTTGTTTGTCTAGCCAGTGCACGGCGGATGTTTTTATTGATGTTTTAGATTCTCGGTGTAGATGTGTTTGGAACTGATGTGAAGGCGATTGTGTCTCCAGTGTGTTGTTCGTCGTGTTCCTGTGTAGTCTGTACGTTGTGCATAGTCGTTGTCAAGTCTTGTCAATGGTTTCGCTGCGCTCAAGCTTGGCCCACCCTCTCTTTATGGTTATAGTTTTTTTTTAAATGAACAATGATTAGAAGACAGAACTAAATATGAGCTACTCTTTCTTCTGAAACAACTAATTATGTACGAGCCATTCTTTCCTCTGAATTATGAGCCACTCTTTCAAACGTTTTGTACTTTAAACTACTACTTTTCTTCAGTACTATAAGCCGCAACAACTCATCAGTCTGTGTACTTTTTTAAATTAATGATACTTTCAAGTCTCCTGGATTTTGACTATGTTTCTGTTTTTTTTTCTACCCAGCTGGGTTCTCCCTTGACCTAGCCTCTTCTGTTTCCATCCTCGATCTGGTGGAGTTTTCTCTTGACCTCGCCTTTTCTGTTTAATTCCCCTTGACCTCGCCTTTTCTGCTTCTATCTTCTATTCGGTGGGGTTTCCCCTTGACCTCGCCTTTTCTATTTCTATCTTCTACCTGGTGGGGTTTTCCCTTGACCTCGCCAGCCTTGATGCACAGCTGTGCATGTACATCTACCTCCTCTACTTGATTTGGATATAAACGAGCATATCACACTGACTGCCGTCGTCATAACTGTTAGTTCCCGTGATAGTCCTGACCATGTGATTGTCACATTGTCAAAAAAAGTCGTAGCCTCCGAAGGGTATTACTGTTACACATGCAGAGCCAGAACAGGCCAGGAGTGCTCGGAACGCCACTGCTCGTTTTCCACTGTTCTCATACACGTGCATGCAGTCAGAGCACATTCTGGATGCATGTACCGACTTGCTCGGACCTGGATCAGCCAGAGAAGACTACAGTAGAGTCACGCGCTGAAGAACGTGGAGCCCAAGAACGTCCAGCCTGAAATTCTAAGAACGCCACAGCCTAAAGCTAAGAACGGCGGTGTTGGTTTTCTGGCAGCTTGTGGGATACAGATGATCCAGTACAGATGATCCAGATGATCCAGTACAGATTGTTTCTAAGAACGTGCTTTAACGTGTATAGGAACGCAGCCAGATTGCTGAAAAATAAGAACGTCCCAGGCTAACCCTTTGGAAACAACGTTCTTGGGCGCGCGACTCTACTGTACTGCACCGGAATGCCGCTGTTGCCTTTTTTTTCATACCAGAACGCATCTCAGAAAGTACTAGTACTACCCAAAGCATGGTCTAGTCATCGACTCGTACTCAGAGTCGTAGTCCTTTTGTCCTTTTACTGCCATGTGCAGTACCAAGAGGGGAGGATGATTGTACTCTCGGTAGCACTAGTATAGACTAGTACATGTATTAGCAAGAGTTCATAACTCCTGGGGGTTATGTACTCTTGCTATTAGATAAGCCTTGTTTTGTCGAAAACAGGTTGTTGGTTGACAGCATGTTACAAGGGGGAGGACACACTGCACTGTTTCCGAACACAGCCAATGTGTCCTCCACCTTGTCAACCAACAACTAGTATAGACTAGTCTATGAAGAAGACAAAATTAATACGTTCTCAAGTACATGAAGTTTCCCGTCAAGAACACAACGCATGCGCATACGCAACGTATTCGGTGAAATGGTGATGATGTCCCAGATGTTCATTCGTTGGCATTGGTACCTGAATTCCAATAGTGTCTCGACCAAGCATGCAGCCACTGTGCTGCAGCAAGAGGTGTGAATAGGATGAGGCTGATAAATGCAGTGTGACTGACAGGTATCCCCCCCCCCCCCCCGGCCGGCCCACAACCGATTATCATTCTGGATTGGGTTGCCAAGATATTGGTTTTCAGCTCAGATGAAGGAGAAAAAAAGAGATGAAATATCTCTGGTGCTGCACGTAATTATAATAGAATATTGGCCGGCTGTGGCTTGTGTCATACTAGGCTGCCTTGGCCGCATCAAATATCCTTTACAAATACAGATAAAGTGGAGATGGCCATACAGGCAATGTCCTCTTGTGGACCGAGGAGGAAAGGAGAGGTAGATGGTACATAGATGGAAAACCTTGGTGGAAGAGAATTCAATCTAAAAATAAAATAAAACCATGGTTCACACTTTATTGACAGTCATGTTGAACAGTCCAATTAATAATTTATTTTCTAAAAAATTGAAAAAATCAATGGGTTCACAAAAGCGCAGTTTTGCAACAATTGCAACACGGGCCAACTTGAAAAGTGTGTTTACAAAAGCTAAGGGTGCACAACTACTGGAACAAGGGGCGAAGCACTAAACAGTTGCTAAAAATGTGTGGAACAAATAGCTAGGCTTGCAACAAGAACTGACTATATGGTATGCAGATCAACTGATATCCAGGAAAGCAAATATAAGAGGTACACAAACATATGCACATAAACAGACAGAGTTCTAAAACGCTTCAAGGATGTCCAGAGGAAGCAGAACAGAAGAGAGCTGGAGCAGTATGGCTGGTGGACCTGGCAGTGGGCGAGTGTGTCACCGCAGCATTGCTTATAGCACCCACCAGAGGAGAAGAGTGAATTCAGACTAAGGAGGTGGTGACAGTATGTGTCATAGCGGTGATGTAGACAACCTTGAAGCATGGCACAATATCAGTCCACCAGATTTGCTAAACACACTGGCGCACAGAGGCAGAGGTCACCGGATGTACTTCGAAGTAGGAGTAAGCTATTCACAAAACAACACCCCCATAATGCTATAAACAAAAGCCATCGTACTGCGTCCAGGAACGGCAAAACCAGGCAGCACAGGGTACGCGTGCTGCTCCTCCGCGCCACGCACATGATAGGCACTTGTATTGACCGGGCTGAGTATCTTTTATTGCTTTAGCTCACAAGACCAGCATCTCGTGCCATGGCGAAGAAATGGCTTCGGGACGCAAGAAGCGTGTCCGGGCCGTCATACTCGATGATTTTTCCTTGGTCAAGCACCATCACCCTAAAGAACACCACGACACAAGCAGACAGAGCACCATTATGCACAGAATGAGAATTGACCAAACGTAAATGCTAATGGATTCGATATCTCCCAATCAAACTGTACAAGAATTTGTAATGGCAACCCAGTGCTGTCCAGTACAATGTACATGTGGATAGCTGAGTACTGTAGTCTCCCTGAACAGTATATGCCCAGTGTACACGGGAAAAAAACTTGGTCCTTGCCACCATCCTCAGGATTGGCCTATCCCAGTCTTTGACAGCAGGTAATCTGTGACCCTATGGTATCTTTCTGCACATTCCGAACAAACAGTGCCAAAGAAAGAAGGTGGCTGCTGGAAGCAGGTGGTCGTTTGACCATGTGTTACCCGCACCAACTCGTACTGTAGTCAGGTTATTACAAGTCGTCCATAATTACATGTACAATGTACTTACTTGTCATAATCCATGATGGTGTTGAGGCGATGTGCTATGGTCAAGACCGTGCAGTCATGGAACTCCGTGCGGATTGTTCGCTGGATCAAATCATCCGTTTCCAAGTCTACTGCCGCCGTGGCCTCGTCCAATACAAGGATCTTCGTCTTGCGGAGCAGTGCACGTGCCAGACACACCAACTGGCGTTGACCGACGCTGAAAGGCAAAGGGAAACACATCATCTTCAGTTTATACAAGCTCCAAAGCACACTACATGTTTTACGTTCACGGGAAAGGAGCAGTAGAAACGTTTTAGCAACTTCCAGGCACCAGCTGACCAAAGCTAGTTTGCTTTTGCACGCACTTAGCATGGCGGTGCAGTTGTACATGAATAGCAAACTTTATATTATAACATGCAAGCACTCATGTCCATTCTGCAAGAACTTATTAACAAACTTTATATTATAACATGCAAGCACTCATGTCCATTCTGCAAGAACTTATTAACAAACTTTATATTATAACATGCAAGCACTCATGTCCATTCTGCAAGAACTTATTAACAAACTTTATATTATAACATGCAAGCACTCATGTCCATTCTGCAAGAACTTATTAAGTACAAGACAATAGAAGTAATGTTCACAAATTCGACATGCTGCCAAACGCATGTTACCTCCGAGAGAGTGCAACTTTGCATATGGGTGACGAAAACTCATATATCATATGTTCCGAGTACGTTTCGTACTACGTACAACGAAGGACAGTGTATGTGCAGTCCAAATATCTGTCATGAGCATGTTGGACGACAAGTGACTTCCTGTCTGGGAGTGCTAGTTCTAGCAAATTACTCTACTGCTCACTAGAACAGGCTGCGTTGCATACCATTCGGGGGGATATGCATACTCTTGATACTACACATAACCCATCACGAACCCGCTTTGCATCTACAGTAAAACCTGTGACTACCGACCACCCCTTGGTGCCAGCAAAAGCGGTCTTTAGTAGCAGGTGGTCTTTAGTTAGAGGTTTGCACCGCGTGACCATATATGGGTCCCATTATATGATATGTATGTCAAAATGCAGCTAGTACAATTCTCCAGGACTTGCACAGTGACATTCTTATTTCAGGTCAAACAACACTTGGAGAGATAGACGGACAGATGGAGAGAGACAGAGAGAAGATTATTTTTTTGCAGACGTCAAATTCAGCTGCTACTTCTGAAGCCAGGAGTCGAACGTTCCCTGTGGAAGTTTCGTTTTGCGCTGGGCTTCAAATTATTTGTTCATGCGATCAGTCGTACCGACTGTCCTTGTTGTGACTTCACGATTGCTTGAACGCGATCCTTCAGCATCAGGACCTTGAGGTGCTGCTTTGTTTCTGAACTCCTTCATGCCATCGTCGATTCGCCTGTGTGACTGGGGTGACAGAGCCGCTCAGTCTTCGGTTCTCCTCCGAGTAGTAACATCGATCAGAGAGCGCTTTCGATGCGCTCTCGAAGACGTTTCCGATCATGTTTATTCTTGACAGAGCTTGAAATTTTGACAGGTGTAGTGCAGTCCACACCGACTCCACAGTCAAAATGACCTGCGTTCATTTGTTCAGCTGTTGTATCGAAAGATTCCTTTCAGGACCATCATGGAAAATCAGCAAAATTTCAAGAAGGAGCTTCAAGCAACATTTTGATTTCCTACATCGCGGTCGCTAGTTACGGGTCGAAAATCGTTTTTGGGACAAGAAAAGGCGGTCGCTGGTCGCGTTCAGCAGGTAGTCGCTAGTCACAGTGCATTTTGAATGTGGGACCGTCCGTGCCTGGCGAAGTGGTCGGTAGTACCAGGCCGGTCGCTAGTCACGGTGGTCTTTAGTTACAGGTTTTACTGTACATGCAAGCAATGGAAAGAAAGGTGAGATGGAGGTCCTATCTAGTATTCAGAAGCACGAAAACGCAAGCCTACCTGAGATTTTCACCACCTTCTGACACAGTGAAGTCCAGCTTGTCATCAACGCCATCAACGAACGATCGAAGATGAGCGTGCTCGAGAGCATGCCACAAATCAGCATCTGTGTGCTGCTCAAATGGGTCCAAGTTGAAACGCAGCTTGCCAGAGAAGAGCACAGGATCCTGAAAGAGCATGTAGAACACAAAAAACCCCAAAGCAATCACATTACAACATGTACTTGTTTCAAACTGTCCTCACGGTACCACCATACAAACAGTCAGGTAGAACACCTTCCAAGACTACTTGCAAGTTGACTACTACACAGACTGCAGTCTTGTCACACAAGGCAAGTCCCTGCGCTCAGTGCATTGAGCACACATTACCACTAACAGACCTTATCAGCAACAGGACTGATACCGCAGCAGTGTCGACATGTACTCATTCATCAATGATAAAGTAGATGATAAGGATGATAATAACACAGTGATACAGAAACAGTATAGTAATGTAGCAGCAGACAACAGCCGCCGCAGCAGACAACAGCCGCAGCAGCAGCAGCAGCAGCAGCAGCAGCAGCAGCAGCAGCAGCAGCAGCAGCAGCAGCAGCAGCAGCAGCAGCAATGGAAGTGGCTGCAGCAACTGCAACTTGGCTGCAAAGATGCATCAGAACTACACGTAGGCATATCAGAAAGTTACAATACAGCTTACCTGAGGAATGATGGTGAGTTTAGAGCGGAGATCCTCCAGCCCCATCCTGCCAATGTCCATACCGTCAATGACGATGTTGCCCTCTGCTGACTCAATAATGCGGAATAGTGCCAGGGTCAGTGATGACTTGCCTGCGCCAGTTCGGCCTACGATTCCAACCTGCACAACAGTGCGCACACGCAGACACACACACGCGCGCACGCACGCATGCATGCACACACACACACACACACACACACACACACACACACACACACACACACACACAGACACACACACACACACACACACACACACACACACACACACACACACACACACACACACACACACACACACACAGACACACACACACACACACACACACACACACACACACACACACACACACACACACACACACACACACACACACACACACACACACACACAGACACACACACACACACACACACACACACACACACACACACACACACACACACACACACACACACACACACACACACACACACACACACACACGCAGACACACACTAATTTTAACAGCAATACAATGAGATCTCACTTGGATCTAAGACAGCATGTAGTATGTGTACACATGCGGTGCAATTCGTCCACATCAAGTATACATGCGGTGCAATTCGTCCACATCAAGTATACATGCGGTGCAATTCGTCCACATCAAGTATACATGCGGTGCAATTCGTCCACATCAAGTATACATGCGGCGCAATTCGTCCACATCAAGTATACATGCGGTGCAATTCGTCCACATCAAGTACATGCACCTTCTTCATCAGAGCAATCTCGTCATGCTGTACAGCCGCAGTGAATAGGCATATCTGACTCTACACAGCCGAGTGCACACAATGATATGCACCATCAAGGAGTGTACATGTAAGAGTGGATCAGTGCCTGGTATCTGTGGATGCACATATTTCAACCCCTAGATGCTATGTCCACGACAGTAGTATGACCACATCTCCCATTCTATATCATGCCACCGCCACCACAGTCACTTATAGGCCGTTTCTCCTGTCTTTCCTTGTGATTTGTAATGAATGGAACAAACATGCTCTTGCTATACAGCTCGTAAAACACACACTGCACAGCTTGAGTTCAGATTGGCAACTCGGCCACGCAACATACCTTCTCTCCACCCAACACGTTACACGAGATGCCACGGATAACTAGGTCTAGGCCCGGACGGTAGCGCGTGCTATAGTTGTTGAAGCTGACGCATCCCTGCTGTGGCCAGTCACCTGCGGGCCGGTAGTCGGGCTTGATGAGCGCCGCCTCGGTGGGCGTTTGGCTGTATTCGTTCACGCGCTCCACGGACACGATGTTAGTCTCCAGTTCGCTGGTCATGCGCACCATCCAATTCAGCGTTTGTGTGATCTGGGGACACCACACAACAAACAGGTACGTAAGTTCAGAGCAAAGAGCGTCTTTTAAACTTCTGTACACCTGGACAGTTTCGATTGTTAGAAAAGGCACTTGGCAAGGAACATGATTTCGTACTCCGTTGATATCGTGTCAGAATGTTATAGACTTACAGTCAACGCATAGGAGACAGACAGACCAGCCAAACTAGCAGCTGAAGTTGCGTCACGGTTCAAGAACGAGTACTCCCTCTCCAGAACAGCAAACAGGGCTGCAAAGAACACTATTGAGTTTCCAACAAACTCAAGACGCAGTGCCAACCACCTGAACAGGACAAGCGCACACACACACACACACACACACACACACACACACACACACACACACACACACACACACACACACACACACACGAACACACACACACGCACACACACACACACACACATGGTCAGATACACGTGCACGCGTACAGCATTGTGCGGTAAGATGGCGTTGAACTGTAAAGGTGTGATTGCCGCCAATGCGTCGGAGTCAGCCGCAACGTGAAGTAGCTGATTTTTGATGCCCACACTGTGGCCATCTCTCAGGTAAAAAACACAAAGGAGTTGAGAAATACAGTAGACTTGGATAGCGACTAGCGACATTCGGTCAGCACATGACAAAATTACTGCTGCTAGTTGTGCACTGATGTACCATCCACGGAAGTATGCAAGTACATGACGCAGTGAATGGGATGCTTGGTAATGAAAATGTCGCTACCCAGGACGATCATCAACAAGACCAGCAGAGCCGTCGACACAACTTTATTCCCGAACTTGTGCAATCGGCATCTTGACATCACAAACCGCATAAGTTCATTCTGTTTTGAAACGCACTGCAACAGGATATCCTTTTCTCAACGGATGCAAGTGGCGTGCTGCTGGTGCTCACCGATTAGAGCTGATGCTGGGATAGTAGGCCTGCTGGTTGAAGTCCACCTTGTCTTCGCTTTCACCGATAAATCTCGACTGACAGGAGTAGGCTCGGATGCTGCTCACTCCCGACAGCGTCTCGGAGAAGTGAGAGAAGATGGGAGACCGTGAGACGGACTCCAGGCGTTTCAGCTGCCGAGACGTGGCAACATAGTAGCGCTGCACACAGGATGATCAAAAACAGGAAATGCACATAAAACTCTGTGAGCGTTACAACAATGACCTAGCCGGTTGTCTCTGTTCTCTTCTGCCTTTGTGGTATTGCTCCATCCTTGTGGTGTTGAGCACTCCAGGCAAACTTGGAATTCTCGCTATTGTGAAAACTCCGTGAGATCAATGAGATCTGAATCGGTCATTGCTTGGGATTACCAGTGAGTGCAAAAAGTGCTTAGAAATGTCATGTCAGGTCAAGATCTATTATAATGGACGGTTAGTTCTAGCAACAGAATTACACTGTCAGTGCACAAATTTCATTCATGGCGCTGCCAGTGTTACACGGCTATACAGTAACACACTCACTGATACACTAGCACAATTGCATACTGATACACTGGGACAGTGATACACTAGCACACTAGCATGCTGGAACACTGGTCCACTAGCATGCTGGAACACTGCACACTGAGACACTGGTCCACTAGCATGCTGGAACACTGCACACTGAGACACTGGTCCACTAGCATGCTGGAACACTGCACACTGAGACACTGGTCCACTAGCATGCTGGAACACTGCACACTGAGACACTGGTCCACTAGCACGCTGGCACACTGCACACTGAGACACTGGTCCACTAGAATGCTGGAACACTGCACACTGAGACACTGGTCCACTAGCATGCTGGAACACTGCACACTGAGACACTGGTCCACTAGCATGCTGGAACACAGCACACTGAGACACTGGTCCACTAGCACGCTGGCACACTGCACACTGAGACACTGGTCCACTAGCATGCTGGAACACTGCACACTAAGACACTGGTCCACTAGCATGCTGGAACACAGCACACTGAGACACTGGTCCACTAGCATGCTGGAACACTGCACACTGAGACACTGGTCCACTAGCATGCTGGAACACTGCACACTGAGACACTGGTCCACTAGCATGCTGGAACACAGCACACTGAGACACTGGTCCACTAGCATGCTGGAACACTGCACACTGAGACATTGGTCCACTAGAATGCTGGAACACTGCACACTGAGACACTGGTCCACTAGCATGCTGGAACACTGCACACTGAGACACTGGTCCACTAGCATGCTGGAACAATGCACACTGAGACACTGGTCCACTAGCATGCTGGAACACTGCACACTGAGACATTGGTCCACTAGAATGCTGGAACACTGCACACTGAGACACTGGTCCACTAGCATGCCGGAACACTGCACACTGAGACACTGGTCCACTAGCATGCTGGAACACTGGTCCACTAGCATGCTGGAACACTGGTCCACTAGCATGCTGGAACACTGCACACTGAGACACTGGTCCACTAGCATGCTGGAACACTGCACACTGAGACATTGGTCCACTAGAATGCTGGAACACTGCACACTGAGACACTGGTCCACTAGCACGCTGGCACACTGCACACTGAGACACTGGTCCACTAGCACGCTGGCACACTGCACACTGAGACACTGGTCCACTAGCATGCTGGCACACTGCACACTGAGACACTGGTCCACTAGCATGCTGGAACACTGCACACTGAGACACTGGTCCACTAGCATGCTGGAACACTGCACACTGAGACACTGGTCCACTAGCATGCTGGAACACTGGTATACACTGGCACACTGATATACACCGGCACACTGAGGCACTAGCACACCGCTATACACTAGCACACTGGCACACTGATATACATGTACCAGTATACTGATACATTGATATACTGGCTGATACATTGGTACTGAATACTGATACACTACACTAACCTGTGCAAAGAAGTAGATAACACCCAGTGGAAGGATGACAGCGAGGAAAATCGGGGTGCTGATTGAAATCACGATCATGATGGAGATAACGTTGAAGAAGGTCATCAGAAACGATCGCAGGGATCGGGGGATAACCTCGTCAATGGTGTAGATGTCCTTGCTGAAGCGGTTGACAATGCGGCCCAGTGGAGTAGTGTCAAAGAAACTCTGAGCATTCGCAGCGCAGGTGAAATAGGAAGGAACAGAGCATCAGATTAGAAACTTAGGTTGAACTGTAGTGCATGTACATGTACATGATTTTGACAGACTTCTGACTGCAGTTATCAACACAGGCCATGAACGTGGATGCTTCACATACCAAAACTCTTTCCCAGCACACAAATGGTGCAACTAAGAAAGTGGTGGACATCATGCAACTGCATTATAAAGAAAAGGGGGTTTGTCAACTGACAACCGCTCTATTCAGTTGCTATTCACAATCGCCGCATGCGCTGGATGAAAAATTCTTTATTGTGATGTCGAAAATTGTGAACAGCAACTAAATAGAGCGGTTGTCAGTTGACAAACCCACTTTTCTTTATAAATGGTGCAAACATCCAAAAAACTACACTCAAAAACTGGGTCGCATGCGGATAGTCAGAGCGAGCCAAAATCAGGTGGTCACACCCACAGGTGCAAGCATATGCTCACATATAAGCACACACACACGTGTATGTGCACGGGTGAGCACACATGAGCGCACACACACACACCTGTCCTGTCCTGTCCTGTAGAGCCACTGCCACAGGGGTCACGTGGGCCCCGGAGGGGCATCAGAGAGGAAGATGGAGCACGCAGCCTGATGACGCCGGAGATGGTGGGGCAAACGGAACCGGCGAGAACACACGCATACATGGTTGAACGAATTACGCTGCTGGGCAGTCGGGCGCGGGCCAGTCCTCGAGCACCGGTGACGACCGCGGCCTTGCACAGACCGAAAGCAGCGGGCACACACAGCACAGTGCGCAGCACAGCAGGCATCTTGCACATAGACTTGCCGGGGCTCGGGAGGCTGAGGCTGAGGTGCGGAACAGCGGTGAACAGCTAGACCACCCTTGCTGCGAAACCAACGCCCACAATCTCCACAGTGGCAAGCCCCTCGCTGCTCAGCAATCGGCTTTGCCCGCTCAACCACACATTTGTGGCGAGCACGATCTCCAGGGCGCGAGAATGACCGATTGCAATCCGCACATACCACTGGGTCAGGCTGAGGCACATTCTCCACAGGCTCGGCGTACATAGTCCGCCAGTCAGCACGGGACTCACAGGCGATAGGGTACCATTCCTTGGTGAGGCCACGAACTCTTAAGTCGGAGACAACGCAATCCTTCCAGCGCTTGCGAGGGCCATGTGCTGGGCGACGTGTGAGAAGTGAGCCAAACAGGATCTGTCTCGGCATCCGGCTACTGTCCATTCGAGCAACATGGCCCAGCCACTCTAGGCGACGCTGTGCGACCTTCACGCAGATGGTATCAGAGTCACCCCACATCTCCAACAGTTGGGCGTTGGTCGTGTGATTATTCCAGCAATCTCTGCGGGACACACCCAGGATGGAACGGATGCACCGCATATGAAAGACTGACAAACGTTGGAGATCGTGTTGCAATGGTGTCCAACACTCTGACCCATAGAGGAGGAGCGACAGCACACATGCATTAAACACACACCTCTTGATATGCAAATCAAGGTCAGGATTGCTGAAGATGGTTCCTTGCAAGGCGCCACAAGCACGAGAGGCATGCGCAATCCGAGCAGTGATGTCCTGTGTCGACCGGCCACCGCGATGAATGAGAGATCCCAGATACCGGAACTCCGAAACACACTCGATGACCGTGCCAGCTAGCTCGATTGGAGCGCAGTCCCCAGGCGAAACATCCCTACCTGCAACCAAGAACTGTGTCTTGGTAGCGCTAACTTTAAGCCCAAACTCAGCTGCGGTCGTGTCAAACACTGCAAGTGCCGTCTCCGCCCCTGCACGAGTCGTCGCGAAAAGTGCTGAGTCGTCTGCAAACTGTGACTCAGTGGCAATGGCAACCGGATCCGTCCTGGTAGGCTTGCGGTAAAGGTTATTGTCACCATCACAATGCCGGAACTCAAAACCAACACCGGGTACATCTCGGACTCGTCGCTGCCACACAGTCACCACCGCCCACATGAAGATGTTAAACAGCACAGGTGCCATGGTGCACCCCTGACGGAGACCATTCGTGACGCGGATAGGGTCAGTTGTCGTGTTCTCTACCCGAACCACCGCCGACATGTCAGTGTGAAAGGAACGGATCACGGCAAGCATGGGAGCAGGGATACCCGCTCGGGATAAGACTTCCCACAGGCAATCCCGAGGCACGGAATCATAGGCTTTCTTGAGGTCTATAAATACAAAGAAGCCTTTGCAGTCGTGCTCAATGGTCTTCTCGAGGAACTGCCGAACACTGAAAACCATATCTGTACAAGATCGGCCACGCCTGAAGCCACACTGAGACTCTGGGAGAAAATCTGCAGCCACGGACTGGAGACGAGTCTGGATGACGCTCGCCAGAACCTTGCCCACAACATCCAGCAGTGAGATACCCCGCCAATTATCACAGCGAGATAAATCCCCTTTCTTTGGGATGGGGACCAACGTGGCGTCCACCCACTCCTGCGAGACCACCCCAGCACGCCACACATCGCCAAACAGCTCCACAAGCTTGGCGGTGAGGTCAGGGCCACCCCTCTTCAGCATCTCAGGGAGGATGCCAGAGGCTCCAGCGGACTTGCCGTTCTGTAGGCGGGAGATAGCGCGGCTGACTTCACGGAGAGTCGGCGCCTCAGCAAGATGATCAGCCTCCTGTCGCTGTGGGATGTCGTCCAGGGCATTGCGATTCCATGCACTTGCCACGTTGAGAACACCGTCAAAGTGTCTTCCCCACCGGTGGCTCTGCTCCTCTGGTGAACTACAGATGTTACCGTTCTCATCCAGCACGGCGGAAGTGCGCACAGGGGCGAGGCCCCGGGTACAAGACTGGAGGTCATGGATGCACTTCCATACGACCGCTCCATTGAATCTCGACTCACACACACACACACACACACACACACACACACACACACACACCACACACACGCACACACACACACACACGCACACACACACACACACACACACACACACACACCACACACGCACGGAAAAGAAATACTCCAGGAAAACAAATAAGTCAGTTACATTATCAACATAACTCACCATCGGGGAGCGCAGAATGTTGCTGAGTATTTCCTTGTGCAAGACCTTTCCAGCATGGATTGTACCGAATGCCATGGCCAAAGAGCCCGCAAGAACTGACAATCCTTGGGCAAGGCCAAGTCCACCGTACACACCCAAGTAGAGACTGTTGTTCACACTGCACGCAATGGCAGAGAAAGTACAAAAAGGAAATGCAACCATTAATACTTTTAAATTAAAAGTACAGTAAAACTCCCCTAATCCGGACTCCCAAGAGCCGGCACTATCATCCCCTAATCCGGACTCCCAAGAGCCGGCACTATCATCCCCTAATCCGGACTCCCAAGAGCCGGCACTATCATGTACCGGGCACCTTTCCGATCACTCCACAGTCACAAAACATGCTTCTCAACGAAAAAGGGCCAACAAACTATTGATTGGCAAAAAAGCATGTATGTTGTGAGTTCTAGGCAATTGCTAGTTACGGGCAGTGCAGCACGGTCCCAACCTGCAACCTGGATAAGGGGAGTTCTACTGTATGATGTAGACTGACGTGGCGTGTACATTGAGATTTCATTCTCCCCATGCCAATAGATCACGTGGACAATGTAATAATTATGATGATTGATGTCATCAGTGTAATATTATGTCATCAGCACACATTCCTCCCAACAAATGAGCCCTCTCCATGACGTACTTGAAGTAGAAAAAATCCAACACCTATCTCGCCCTAATAGGCTTGGACACGTTTTCGTGCGCACTTCATCGTCGTGTGCCCGGTCCATATCCGTTACTGTACAAGCATGGCTGGCATGAGCCAGCATAGGAAGCAAGAAGACTACTAGAATGCACACAGGACAGCACGGCTCACTCGGTTTTCGACTTGTTGGTGGCGTTGTCAAAGACCTCCGTGGTGTTCTGGGCACTCCACTCGGCCAGCCAGATGTTGGTACCGATGGAAAAACCGTTGTTCATCATGTACAATACGAGAATGAACACCGCCGTGGCGTAACCGGTGGAGCGTGCGTACGAGATGAACACCTTTCCTTGCACCTGCATGGACATTGGGCAGAGCATGGAGACGATGCCCAGCAGCATGGGCACAAGAGTTTAGCCACTCTGCGAGCTGAGCAGCCGGGGCTGAGAAGGCACGGTACGGTCAATGTGCACAGTGACAAAAGAAAGAGGCAGTCTATCTGTGATGCAGCACCAAGAACCCAGCACAGAGTAGCAATGAACCCGCACACTGCAGGATTTTTACATACTCTAGGTTGCGTCGATAAAGCCATGCAAGGAGAGCATTATATTTATAAACCAGAGCTTACACAATAAAGCAGTCGGCCAAAGCCATGGCATTCATGATTGTAACTCCGAGCTTCATGCACAATGACATAGTGCAGTCATCAGACAACCCCATGGCCTTGCCCCACCGCCTTATCGTGTATTAAGCTCTGGTCAGCATAGCATTTGTAATAAGCCCTGGCCCCGTGGCATCTGAGTAAGTTCAGCACACTGGATGCACCTATTGTGTACACCTGAGCTTACATTCTGAAAATTAATGTTTTCATTGAGCGGCTAGCTGCGAGAGGAGGATAGGACATGGTGGCACTAACGACGACTATCAAGAACTGACGGCTGCGGAGCTGCGAGACTCTGCGCTGCTCGTCCATCTGTGTGCCGAGGCAGAGCAAACGTGGGCATTATTTTGCTGAAGCGAGGGTGGAGCTGAAGCTGGATTATTGACTGTCGTACCTGCTGTTCACTCCTCGACACCGGCGCAATGTACCTCCCAACACGTGTACTGCCAACGGCAATAGACACCCTTAGCACGGTAACGTTATTTTTTACTGTACTCGTACCTTGATCACCCACATTGCGCTGAAGTAAAAACGTTATGGGGGCTGATTTATCGTTGTGACAAACGGTACGTTTTTTGGCCCAAATATTGCGCAGTGCGTACCCATTTCACCGTGTATCGCGTATATGGAGCCATGCATGGTTGTACCGCACGAAATATAAGCTATTCCCATGGCAACGGCGTACTAAAAATAGAGTGCATCTTGCTAAAGGTCGAACCCAAATCTCGGTATTTTTCCCCTTACAGTAATACTGTTAGAAAAGTAATGTTTTTCACTAAGGGTGTCTAGTGTCAGCAAGTACTGTTGAGGTTCGTATAATTATTGTTTGCCTGAAATAACCTACAGGTATGTAGGCGGTTTCTCTTCGTGTTACTGAGACATATACTATTTTTGGCTGCCACGCTGCCATCTTTCTTCTCTCCCCTTGCCGAAGTCATTCAGCATAAGTGAAGCTGTGGGCTCAGGATTCTGCCCATACACTTAAACGTAAATATGCTTACAATAATGATGAGCTTACACTGCCTGTTTCCGACTTCTCCACGTCAATTAGTGACGCCTGTTCCTTGTTCTTCTTGTCTTTGTCGCGGTCCTGCGTGGTACGCATGCTGCTTTTTTGATGCTCCAGGCGCCCTCTGCTACGCGAGCGACTGGCTGAACGCCTGAAACCATACAAAGGCACCACACAGAGAAACAACGCAACGCACATTACACCTCTGACAGCATATAGCATTACGGTTACTCCAGGTCAGTGTTACATGTTAGATGGGGTGAGCATTGCGAAGCACTCACGGGAAAAGCAAAACAGGTTCATTCACTAATCACTATCCTAAACAAAAACAGAAATGTCCCTGAAGGCACTACTCTGAGATGACGCGAATCACATAGGAGACAGCGCCTGTGCTCTGTCCTGAAATCAAGCCGTTTTTCTTACGCGGCTTGCTTCTCTGGCGAGCCCACTGACTTCTGGGGACTCCCGATGATGCTTGGTGGAGATCCGACTGGGCTGAATGTCTCGTCGCCACTCAGCACTTCCGAGCGCTGGCGCTCTAGCTCGGACTTGCGAGCGCTACGGCTGGCAATACCAGCAGCGTCCTCGCTGGGAGACATGTATGCCAAAGCTGTGGCGTCGTCGGTTGCTTCCACTTCCTCCTCCATGACAGAACGGATAGGGAGCCCAGCATCTAAGTAAAATATCAACAACAGCAGCGCAAACAACAAATGAACACGCACACGAGGTTGGACATTCGAATATTTTTCATCACAAAATGCTTCTTTTTGTGGGGGACTAGAAGCATTTTTGAGTGGAGGGGGGGGGGGAAATAAAGGTTCCGAGCACTACAAATTTTACCACTACAAGTTTTGGCCTAAATGGTTCTCTTCGGAAGCTTCGCCCATGCACAAAAAGCCTGCCATAGCTGAAGAGGTGGCCTCTTTGTGCTCGCCTGTCACGATGTACCTGAATCCTGGCAGCGAGGCACCCAAATACCTGCCATCGTAGGTGAAAACATGTGGCATCCTAACATGCAGTTATCGATAGGAAAAGGACGCGCTAAAGCGGTGTCTCTTCGCTTGGGCTTCGTCGCCATCCATTGAGAGAAGAGCGGCCTGCCCGGGCCTTTGGTCTTCAATTCTTTCCTGCGAGGCAAACTGGGTGTTGGCACACGCGCATATGTCCATGTATTATCATTCGTATTCCGATTCTGTTCACATCAAATCAAGCCGCACGAGTAGCAATGGACAGTTCTCCAGCCGAGGATGATAGGCCACCACTTCCGCTCCACCATAGCAGTCATCGCAGCCAGGCGTATATTTTTGTTGCCTTCAACCAAGGAAATCAAGAAGACATGTCTAACCAATGTTTGTCCACAGTTCCTTTGTCCACAGTTCACGCACACACTCAGCAACACAGGAAAACAATGTGCTTACCAACAGCTTCTTCATCAGATTCTGATGCCTCCTCCGCATTGGCATAGGTACGCAGAAACTCGGCGAAGGCACCGTTATTCCGCATCAATTCACTGTATGAGCCGGACTAGAGCAGCATTGCAATATAAATATGGAACAAAAGGACAACATAGAACTATGAGCACAGGTAGTACATTGATAGCAATACGACTTGAACGTGCTGCATAACAGGCTTAACAGCCAGCCCAGAGTCATGACAACGCTGACTTTCGGATACACTTGGGTCCAATTTGTGTATGGATGCACATCGATTCGGGTGTTTCGAACTGTTTCCCCTTCACAGCCGGGAGTCACTGGAGACTGGGCCTTCCCGCTCAACAACCCACTGTTGGCACAAACAATCACACCTGCATGCAACATGAGGGGTCTACACACCACACACTGTACTTCACGATGGCCAGACTGGATCCAATTTGGCCCAGAAGTCCTTTTTAGTCGTTATTTGTCGACTTCTGACATCATCACTTTCAAGCCCTATAGATTACTACAGGTACTAATGTGCAGCTTGTCCTTGGTGGGACACACATACACAGACGCACACAGATACACACTCACACACATGTTTATGTATACAGGGTCATATGCGAGCTACCAGATAGAAGCAATGGGCGATGGCAAGATGACTTTCTGGCTGTGATCAATGTATGCAGTGTCAATGCCCACGAAATCAGACAGCAGACCCCGCTGCCATTAGGCCGTCGAAGTCTGACGTCACAGCTTCTTGACAACGCGTAGTTACTTGGCCAAGTGGTGACAAACAAAAGTCGCGTCACCTGCACTTGTCGTGTTTCCAGTGGCAGCAGCATGCAGTGAACACAGGTACAGCATCATTTTGACTGCGGAGCGCGCGAGCGAGACTATTTATTTCAAAGAAACTGCTACTTGTCGCCGAGTTTGTAGTTTTCGCTTTGTAGAGAAGGAGAAGCCATAGCTGATTTTTTGCTTGGCCACTGCTGTGCCTGTACTGTCGTTTGGCTTTACATGTAGTCACCGGCCAAGAAACAATGATGGGTGTCTCTGTTATTTCTATCGCCGCGATCGCTGATTTCTTTTAGTTCTGAGACCAACCAACTCTGGGCTTGTTTCCTTGTCCAGCGGCAAGCGAACATCAGAACTCCTATCTCTCAGGTGCTGGTGAACACTCAGCAGGAAAACATTGCATGATGGCTTGAGAACGAAGGAGAAACTTCTTGAAACATAAAACAAAATTTGAAGTCGCGATCTGCACCAGCGCGCCCCAGTCAAAGTGATGCCGTGACCGTTTGAAACACGACAAGTGCAGGTGACGCGACTTTTGTTTGTCACCACTTGGCCTTGTAACTACGTGCAACTACGAGTTTTCAGGCAGCGTGATGTAGGCACTTCGACAGCCTATACACTAGTGGCAGATGTACCGACATGCAGCATTACGCCCCTGCACTCTTACCTCAGACACATTTCCACCTTGTAGTACAACAATGCTATCGACTTGAGACAGAATGGCTACCTGATGGGTGACCAGGACACGAGTCTGCAATGTAACAGAACACATGTACACACATGCACACACACACACATGCACACACACACACACACACACACACACACACACACACACACACACACACACACACACACACACACACACAGCACCATGGTAGTACCACACAAAGAAGTAAAAAACAAAAATACCGGTGACAATAAACAGAAGAACTTCAGACCCGAAAGGCTCCGAACAGTCTTGCAGCAGAGTAGCAGTTTTTTTCGTTCACTGCACATAGCAATTCACAGCTCCCTCGATCACACAATACCCCAGCAGCAGCAGCAGCAGCAGCACTCAGGATACACGTCTGCTAAAGCCCACCTTGTCCTTCAGGAGACCATTGGGACCGATGACATTCTCGAAGATGTGCTTGCCAACGTGGGAGTCGACCGCGCTGAGTGGATCATCTAGAAGTGTTATATCCGCATCCGAATAGACAGCACGGGCCAGGCTGACACGCTGCTTTTGCCCTCCGCTCAGGTTAATGCCCTGCGCAAGCGGAAAGAAAACACAGTGAAAGAAACTCAGGTTAATGCCCTGCGCAAGCGGAGAGCAAACACAGTGAAAGAAACTCAACCATGGACACGGAAAGAGAGCACAGAACGGATGAGGAGATGACGGCCAAACTCGACAAACCCAGCATGCAGAATACAAGAAGACAACAAGAAAATTCAACCAGCAGAGCATGGTACTCTTACCTTCTCTCCAATTTCTGCCATATCACCACCTTGTAAGATTTCCAAATCGGGGCCAAGAGCACATGCATTGATGACCTGTCGCGAGAAACATTCAATTGACAACTCGAAGAAGTAAGAAAAAAGCAATTCACGTCGTGACAGCATATGAAATTCAAAGTGCAAAGTCTTCAGAAAGAAGAAGAGGTCTTCAGCAAAAGCCATTGTCCGGAAGATGACCAATCACCTACTCTCCTGCTGAACATGGAAATACGACCAACTGCGCACCGACAACTCGTAGGGCATTTGTTGCCATGTGCACCAACCTATACCTAAACCCTGTCAGAGGCTGACAAGTGAGAAATAAATCCATTAAAGGATAGAGGGCAACAAGAACACATGCTCGGAAACTGAAAAGAGAGAGCAAAGAAGGCACGGAAAAAACCCAGGTTTGGAGTGAAGACACGGAAAGAGGAGCACACATCAGCAAATGTTACCTATCAACATACAACCACATGCAATGCATAATGAATGAGCCTACCTTATTGTAGTATGATGGGTTGTAGCGCTGACCGAAAGTTATGTTCTGACGTACAGTAGCATTCTGTATCCAAGCCTGCTGGGGAACATACGATACGCGGCCCTACAGAAGAGTGGACAGAGAGATAAAACACAGTATGACCTACCCAAGCGTGTTTCATCTTCAACATGATCATGAAACACAGAGCCCAGGACAATACCTGTACACTGTCCACTATCTAATGCTTGCTGAGATTGAGAGTCCTGTCCTACACACACCAGGAGTGGTGAATGCTACTGCTTGAAAACAGAGGGGAACGTCAAGTTGTACCCGCCTGGCTAAAACGACCACCAGAAAGGTACAACAAGAGACTGAGTTCATGAGCATGCACCCATGGTCGTATGTGCATGCGTACATGCGGTAATCACAACGGTGAGAGCTGCTCCGCTCACCTTCACACTGACGCTGCCGGAGACCTTCTCCATTTCACCGAGCAGAGCAGAGATCAGCGAGGACTTGCCAGCACCAACCTGACCGACCACAGCAATCAGCGACGGTGATTTCAGCGACAAGTTGATGCTGTGTATAGTATGCCACGGAGCAAACCAACACAGAAATGGGAATCAATCTTTGTAGCTTTCAAAAGTGCCGCACACAGTATGTCATCCAACAACAATTACACCGTATACCAGTTTATACTCACAAACATACAGCTGGTATTCTGACATTGCCATACATGTAACTTGTTATACGTTAATGAATAGCCAGGCCAGGAGAAAAGCTACGGCCCCTTCTGCTCTGAAAGAAACCACCGACTAAGCATACTTGAAACAAAGCCCACATGCTTGCAGCTACCGGACTTACTTGCGCAATACCACGGGGTCCTCAGCACTCCATTGGAAGCTGGCGCCGCGCATGGAGATGCAGTCTTGGCGAGGCGGTGGAAGTTGTTCCGAGCGCTCCACAGCTTTCGTGTCCAACTCCTCCAGCTTCAAGAACTTCTTGAGACGTTTAGTCGAAACACTAGCCTGAAGGTGTCACAGGAAGAACGGGGATACGACTATTCAGGTAGGCTCTACTTATCGAACAGCATTAGCACCAGCACATAATACATAGCGCAGTCATGTCAAGCAGCAGAGATGCAATCACAGTTCACCACCAGCTGGCATGGGGAAATCCCCACAGTATTTTTGTGCTGCACACCCGCAGAGTCAACAGAGTCAAGCACATGCGATATACGCCCTATGATCTATGCAGGAGATTCCCCATGCAGTGTGTAGCTGTATAGCATCAAGCATACTAGTTTGAGTGCATATACACGAGTAGTAAACACACATCCGCCCACTCACCCACACTAATACAAACAGGAAGAGAAATGAGTCCCTCGGGGACACGCAGACAGCTCAACCACGAGCAGTGTCCGACTCACCTCAACTAAGTTGGAGATGAGGAATGGCAACATGTTCAGCGGAAACCTTAGAATGTTGAACAGGGCTAGTGCAACGAAGGCCTTGGTCGGGTCCAAATTGTTGCCTGCCAAAATGTAGGATGCAAACGTAGCCAGAGCAACCTACGACACAATGGGTGACAGTGAGAAACATGAGTGCCAACTACATGTAGACAACTGGAACAAAGGAAACAGAGTCGTCCAGCTAGATGTACAGTAATGCAGGTAATAGTGACACGCGAATAGTGACAGTACAAGCACATCAGGATTCGACGCGTCAAAGTGCCATACTGCTTCACAGGAACACAATGATGGCTACCGGGCATGAAGAGCAGAAGCAAGAAGAAAGCTAGCTCACACCCAGATCCCCATCTACACATACATACACGCGTGCGCAAGCACGCGCACACGCAAACGCACAGACACAAACGTATGCGCATGTGCACGCACACACGTGCATACACACACACACACACACACACACACACACACACACACACACTGTGACACTCGTTGAAGCAGTGCTAAATGAAACAGAATCAATCAGCTCACCAAGAACGGGGCCATCATCCACGTGAAGGACGACACAGAATTCAGGTAAGCAGTAGACTTGAGGACCTTGAGCTCTCCGTTGCGAATATCGCTGACCAGATCCAGGAAACTCCTCTCCCAGGCATACAGCTTGATAACCTACACACCGATACGGTCAACACACAAAACGTAGGCACATTAGCATTCAGCATTCAGCTTACATGCTTGCATTAACATACACTGGATGCCATAGCAGGAGGAGACGGACAAATTCGAGGGAAAACTCAGGAGAAGATGTTACAACAAGTACAGTGTGCAGTGTGCAGTGTGCAGTGTGCACTGTACTGTGTGCAGTGTGCAGTGTGCAGTGTGCACTGTACTGTGTGCAGTGTGCACTGTACTGTGTGCAGTGTGCAGTGTGCAGTGTGCAGTGTGCAGTGCACAGTGTAGGCTCATCTTGCTCTGAACTTTCTCACACAGGTTTGTGTACAAGAGAAGAGGTCATGTTTGTCACAACACTGCTGATGAGATCAAGTGTTCTGGCAATAGACATTGGACAGCCTGTAATGCCACCATGTGATGATGTCCGGTACAAACCTTGATGCCGTTCAAGACTTCGTTCATCATCTTGATGCGGGAGTCCTTGGCCTTCATTTGACGGACCTGCCAACAATTAAAAACGACACGCGCGTGCAGTCAGGTTTACTCGTACATGGATTCAATACCGCGATATGGCATATAAAAGCGGACTTATTAGTGAACAATCCAATGTGATGGCTAGGCTTGCATTCAAACCAGGTATTCTTCGTGCATGTCTGCTACTCTATACCAACCCCAACACCATGCTTACGTGCCCAGGGTCCGTCTTGAAAAGCAGGCTTGCATTCAACACGAGCTTCTATACGACACCGGCTTTCAAAGCAAATGGCTGCAGATTCGAACCCTCATACAATCAGGGTTTATGGGGTATTCACACGACAGGCAAATCCACGTGCACCGGAAAGTTGCTATGGTATTTTACCTGTGAACGAGAAAAGTGCCTGAAAGTGGCTGAAAAGTGAACGCAAGCTGGGGCCCACTTTAACGATAATCGTGGCGTGCACGAGTACATTTACACCAAAAAGCGCGAAACAAAACTTGATTTTTTACTCGGCTCTTCAGAGCATGACAATTATCGTATGTGTGTTTTGAAAATTTGAAATACATGGCTACTGGTCGGTGAAGCATTCAAAAATGCAAACGTGCCTGTCGTCGAGTGCAGCTGTGTGAATCCACACAGTCACTTTTCTCGTATGTCACTCCCTGTAAACCGTGCAAGTGCCTGTCGTGTGAATACCCCATAACACACCGCTAGCTAAAGGGAAAGGTAGCCATTGCGTGGTTGATCACTGACATGAAGCACCTCGCCTTCACAACTGTATACCATACAGTCAAGTAGTGCGTTGTGTGATTACACAGAGGAGTGGTACAACACAGAGGAGTGGTACAACACAGGTACACATGCATATAATATTAGAACAGGACCAGATTAGCAGGTACGGGGCACAACATTCGGGCACTGCAAGTTATATGTTGCCGGCCCACACCCACGTACACATACACCCACACTCACGCACCCACGTACACATACACCCACACTCACGCACCCACGCACACAAGCTGGCAGATAGATACGTGTGGGCATACACTCACCTGCAGTTTGCGTGTCTTGATAGCGATGGTCATGTTGATGGGAATGAGCAAGATCATTACACCTAAGCCAGCTAACACTGATGGACCCATGGTATCCCACAGGAAGTACATGGACAGAATGATTTGAAGCGGTGCGGACCTGCACAACACGCAGACGACCCAGACAGACACAGACACACACACACATACACACACATACACACACACACATGCACACACAAACACACACACACACACATACACACACAAAGAAGGACAGTCACATAAAAGACACACAGTCATGCTGTGCGTAGCAACGTACAGTCTGTCCAGCTTACGGCACCCTCAACATCAAGCACTAATATGATTGCAGTACATGTGTCGGCCTCCAGCTTCAATTGGCAAGCATGAAGTGTTGGGAGATCACTATGGATTCAAAGTAACATATCGCTTACAGCAACTGCCAGGTGGACGGAGGGGTGTACGTAGTCAACGAAAGTGTCATGCCAAACACTGTCGTTTCACAGCACATCATTATACTGTATAGCACTTTGTAGCACTTCATAGAGACCGTTGGTGCTCGGTTGATCCACGGTCACACTGCGCTGCAGACACAGCTCACAGTCACGAGGACGCAGCTGATAACAAAGTGATTTCAGCAGAGGGCGTTCAGGCCTGTTGTACCTCAGGCCAGCTGGCAATCATGCCACAAGAGATGATGCAAATAGGACAACTTCAACATATATACGGAGAAATTTACACTACACTTTAAGGTCAAACGTGTCAACAGCGAGAGTTCAGATGCTAACCTACCACAACATGTTCAGGTAGGTGCAGATGTCCATGAAACGCTGTGCGTCCACCGACATCAAGTTGACAATCTCTCCTTGGGTCGACTGTTTGCGAGCAGAGTTTGCCAGTCGCAGTGACTGCAGCAACAGCAGCAGCAGGAGTAAAACACCGGGTACAAATAGTACGGTGCAGATCAGGAAGAAAAAAAGGTGCGGGTAACTACAGGAGTGCAAATGCGAGAATACACTAACTATAGCAGGTGAATGCTTCAACAGTCTTATCGTCGGACACACTACACAAGCGTATCAACAAAGACACAGATTGTCAGAAAGCAATCTCCATGCCAGTACATGTACTAGCAAGAAAGATCATTACCTTTTTGTAGACAGCATTGATGACAGCTGATCGGAGGCGCATGCCGACGGTGAAACAGACGTGGAAATACTGGTGCAGGAACACACTCTGTATCAGAGCAGTAGCCACCATCAGGCCAGCATAGAAGTAGCCCTTCCAAGCCGGTTCGTCACGATTCTCAATAAAACCAATCAGGAGCCTGCATATGCATGAGCGAGCGCGCGCACACAAACACACACACACACACACACACACACACACGCACGCACACACACACACACGCACACGTACACAAAACACAGTGACCTTATGAGAGCTGTCGCACCACTTACTACCAAACTTCTTGGTTAACCAGCAACAGGATTTGTCACTTTCCTTCCAAAATTTCAAGTTTCTGCTGGAAAGGTAAGGCATTTCAAAAACACCTGCTTCCAAGTAGAAAGCACTATTTCCTAGTTCATTTAGCTACATGGTTCTGTTTTCTGTATAAGCACAAATTTTCGTTCACGAAATCTTTCGTTAGATCACTCCACCAGCAGGCTTGTTACGTACTAAATTTCGTTTTTGGTCGAGGTCTGTCACCCCGAACGTTCAGAAAAGAAACTTTGGTTTGGTACAAACTTTAGCTATTTCGTGCCCCCTAATGAATATAGCGAAAGTTAATTCCAAACGAAAATTTGTACTTATGCAGTACTTCGTAGTTCAGTACAGACAGACAAGAAACACACATGTACTAAATGCACTTACTTTAACACAAGTGGACTGACAAATGCCAAAAGATCCTGCACAAGTTTGTACATAGCTCCACGAATGAATGGTCCACCAAACGACTTTGCAAGAGCCACAACCAAAGAGGGGTCATGACCAGAGGCAAGCTCGACCTTAGGTTCATTCTTCGGCAGCAGGGCGGCAGATTCAGATTCAGATGCGTCCGGGCTGCTGAACGTCCCACCACCGCTGGCGTGACTTCCCAACAGCAACGGGGATGTCTCGTTGACTCTGCCCTTCGTAGAGCGACTTTTGCCGGCAACACCACTATCAGCGCCACTGCATTAGCAATGAGCAAATAGACAGACAAAGCAAGAGATACTTGGCGACTAGACGTAACACAACACATTTTTTAAACAACTTTCTTAATGACAAAATTGTGAAGTGAATCTCTGATATATGACATCATTTTTAAACAAAACATACATGTAAAAAGTGGTAGTGACTCTGGTGATGGTTTAATAGGAAAGTTGGCTGCTCCCCACACTGGAGCTCGCGCATTTCCATCGACTTGACTTGACACTTGACTCACAACTGCCATCCAGAGCACACAAGAAGTCCATCGAACCTTCGACTCGGCAAACCTGCAAGAAAGCACCACTCCTTGCTCAATACAGTGTTTCGGGGAATTCACTCCTCATCAGTTGAGCACGAGTAGGCTGAGGAAGATTGTGCCTAAAGAGCACCACTTATATAGTGTTCTCCAGGCCAAAACGTCACCAGGGATACAAACTTATTACAGAGACCCTCTGACTCGACGGTAACTCACAGTGTAACAAGTCACCTTCAATACGCACTAGCTAGTCTTATCCTGGACTGAAAGTGAGCGGAGGAGAGCACAAGTCACAGCACATGTGCTACAATGCATGATGGGGTACCAAGCTGTCCACACTTCACATGGGTTTATGTGCTACAATGCATGATGGCAAGAGTAAATAACCCCCCAGAGTGTGCAACTCCCACATACCCTGCTGTCCCGACAGAATTTCAAGTTGACGTCATTATTTATGACGCAATGCTCCTTGCACCAGTGATTTACAACATGTGTACGGGTGTCAACGCATCACACGTGTTTCTTTGCAATAATTTGTGCAGGATCGATGGGCTTCGGTCAACCACAGGTTCCGGATTCGTCTGATAATCCGTGTACAGTGCGCATTGCATCATCAAAATGACGTCAACTTGAAATTCTGTCGGGACAGCACCCATAGTCGAGTTGCACACTCTGGGGGGGTTATGTACTCTTGATGATAGGGTACCAAGCTGTCCACACTTCACATGGGTTCACACTCCGTTAGTACTCACTCAGGTCCTTTGCATTGCTGCTCCCAGTAGTGCTCAAACTTGGGACCAAGGAAAGAGGATCGGTCCTGTGGATTGAGCGCCCACAGATCGGCGGTCTGTAGCGCGCGCTTGTAGCCGAGACGAATCAGGCTAGAGTAAAACACAGCCGCACACACACACACACACACACACACACACACACACACACACACACACACACACACACACACACACACACACACACAAACATGCACGCACACAATTGTGGGAATGGATTGAGTGGAATGTGAAGTGACAACGGTTTCACTATGCATTAGGGTTTCCAAATTCGCAGGGCAAACCTTCCGACAAGATGAAATAGCTCACTTTAGGAGTTGCGGCTGCCTATACATGTACAGTAATATTACTCAATCTGTGGATAGAACTGTTTCGTCCTTCGTGGACTCATCAGCGCAGCACAGAGAAAATGATAGCAGTGAAAAATAAAATTTCCAAAGCCAGATTTAAACCAGGCCCGAACGTACCTTGCCAGTGTACTCAAACTGACAAGTCAGTGAGCTCTGCATAACGCAAACAGCAAAGGCACTACCCCACACGAGAGCGCTCAACTACTACAATAGTCGATCGATCGATCGATCGATCGATCGAGGGAGGGAGGGAGAGAGAGAGAGAGAGAGAGAGAGAGAGAGAGAGAGAGAGAGAGAGAGAGAGAGAGAGAGAGAGAGAGAGACAGGTAGAGTTTCAACCTCTTCCTGAGCCACTGTGCAAGTGTAGCTACATGTACTTACTCGTTCAGCCACCAGAAGGAAATCTGGGAAAGGAAGGATGCCTGAACTTCAGGGCACGGGTTCTGTGCAAGCATACCAAGAACATGATAGGCAGCAGCATCAGCAAGTGATCAAGAACAACAGTTTATCAACACACTACATCACACTGCTACTATTAGAGGTCTTTCCTGGTTTCACAGAACAACAGAGACCTAACAAAGGTCTAAACAGCTAGCTGTCCAGAGATTGAGAACAACAGGTACATTTACTTTAATAAAAGTAATGGACAGAACGCAAATGAAGTTGACAGCAGTACTCTCAATGTCAAGATCTATTCCAGTCTCGTGTCTGCATATATGATCCAAGGTGGGGCAATCTCGACTCTAGGGAGCATGCATGAATCTGCAGTGGGCGTATAGCTTCATACAAACACACGCAGCATGTACAGCATCTGAACAATGGGTCTCACCACGTCCGAGTCGACGGAGTACAGTGGTCGACTGTCGGGTATGGCAGCCGCTGCAAGGGCCACTGTCGTGAACAAGAGCATTGCACAGCGAGCACCAAAGTGCAACTCCCATGCATCCACTTTAGGCAGGTCCGGCTGGAGCTGATGTGAAAATAGCAAGGAAAAAAGCAGTGGGCTAACAAATCAGTGGCGCGTGAATACATCAGGCACACTGGTGGAAAGCAGTCCAGTCCACAGATAGTAGGGCCGCAAATGAGGCCATATAGTTCAGCCAATGATTGAGAACATATAGTTCAGCCAATGATTGAGAACATATAGTTCAGCCAATGATTGAGAACATATAGTTCAGCCAATGATTGAGAACATATAGTTCAGCCAATGATTGAGAACATATAGTTCAGCCAATGATTGAGAACATATAGTTCAGCCAATGATTGAGAACATATAGTTCAGCCAATGATTGAGAAGGTTAAAAACTACTGTAAAATGACAAACGTTCGCGAGCGATTTACTTTCGCAACTTCCACGAGCAGCGTCAAATCGCGAAAGTTTGACACGCGAATATGAAATGTTGTACATGTATGCGATCCTGTTTACATCTTTCCCTCAAACCTGTGAATAATGTATGCGCTGATCGATCGTTATGCAACAGATCTGCACATACAGTACGTACACATGCACTCACTCACTATATGCATTGCACTGTACATTCACAGATTCATGCAGCGCTGATCGATGCTTGCACGGCTACAGTCCAAAGCGTGCAGAAGTTGCAATTATTTGCAACGCAACAGCAGTCACTGTCGTTTGAGTACAGTGATAACTTGAACCAGAAGAGACTACATGTATAACGATCGACTGGACCGTGGTGTGCAGAGTGTTGTTGGAGTGTTTGGCCAGCTTGCTGTGGCGAAGATTGTACTGTTGTACTGCTCGAAGAAGTCTTGTGAATTTTATCACCATGAGCATTGTCCAGTGGCTAAGCAGTTCGAAGAGAAAGTCTTCCGATGGTCCCTCTTCGAACACGTCATCCTTTCTCAGTGTTGCCGATAGCGGGGCTGCAGTTGCGGTGGCCAATGAATCTGTGATGGCGGAGCTGGCCAAAGCTCCTGGTAGTCGGAAACGTTCAAAGTACCATAGGTATTCCGATGAGCTGCTAGCAAAGATGGGCAGGCATGCAGCGGAGTTCGGGAATAAGTCAGCGGTCGACAAGTTCTCGAAAGAGACTGGCCACAAGATCAATGAGAGTGCGATTCGCAACTGAAAGAAGTTATACTTCGAGAAACCAAAAGATGTCAAGGGCCCCAACCAGGTGACTGGTCTACCCCACAGATATGAAGAGCATCCGATTATGTTGGGCAATGTGGACTAGGAAGTGGCGGACTATATTCGTGCACTTCGTAGCGCTGGTGGTTGTGTCAGCACGAGTATAGACCCTTTGCACAGCGTACGCATTATGTCATCATTATCATGACGTCAGGGACACGTGCTAGGTTGGAAGCAACTTGGGACATGTCCCATCCTCGATTACATTGTTTTCAAATTGATATTAGAGTTTTCTTCCCCTTCTTGCGCTTGTTCCTTGCCAAGCAGTCCGCTTTTTTGCATTTCTGTAGTCTGTGTCCATTGTGGTGATGGGTATATGTTCTATTGCCCGCTGTACGAAGCGGACGGGTCGAGATAAAATCAAGAGGTTTTCTCTTCCCAATGTGAACTCGAAAACGAAAAGTGCTGACATCGAACTGGTCAAGGAGGGGCGACGGCTGTGGATTGCAGCGATAGCCAGAGCAGACCTAGTTGGGAAGACATTGGATGATGCTCGTGTTTGCAGCGATCATTTCATTTCCGGCCGCCCTTCTGAACTCTGGGACAAAACAAACCCAGATTGGGTTCCTTCGAAGAATTTGCCTGGTCCTGGCAAAAGGAAGGCGAGTGAGGAGCAGGTAGTGGAGCGTTATGCCCGTCGCAAAGCCAGACAGAGAGTGGAGGAGGCCCATTCAGAGGCTGCAGCTTCATTGGATGTCAATGATCCGCCACATCTGTGTGATGTTGGCGTTGCCTCGTCACAACCACCACCATCACCTGATGCTGGGCCTGCTGCTTTAGATCTGTCACCGCCACATGATGTTGATGATGAGAGTGACGTCCTTGTGGAGGAGAGCATGGATTTATCCAATTTTCCACCTGGCCAGCTGGTTCAAGGGCTAGACTTTTCTGAAGAAGGCAGTAAGGACACCAATGACAAATGCGTGGGGACGTTGTTATCTGGTGATGATATAACATTTGCCTTTCAATCCCTAACGGAAGCCACCTTCTCACCTTCTTCCCTCCATGCTCCAACGGCTAACTCCAACAACTTGGACGTCCAGGTGCAGCTGGCCAGGCTATCTACAGAGAACAAGGGCTTGCAAGATAGGCTGACCAAGCTGACAGCGGAATACAAGGTGCTTGAAGGCAAATTGGCCAGTCACGCGCCGTTCACGCAAGCCAAGTTGCAAAATGATGGCGATGTGCGGTTCTTTACGGGTTTGCCAACCTTCGAGATGTTACTGGCTGTGTACGAGCATGTGCGTGAGGGAATACCAGACTCATTTGGCTGTGCCTTGTCCCCGTTTCAAGAGATGGTTGTTGCCCTTGTGAAGTTACGGTTGATTTCCTGCGTAGTCGCTCTGGAGATGACCGACCTTTGATTTGCCGTATCATTCCTGTATGTTGTGCCCTGACCAATCTCTGTGATTCGGTTGTGCCTTTGTTGTGAACCACTTTCATACACACATACTAATCAGGAGTAAATACTAAATAGCCAACTCAGCAGATTCAGTTTTGTCAGTTCTGCCATACTAGTGTTACCGATGAAGAGTGATTATTTATCGTGATGAACAAAACTCTTACCCGTGCTACAGTGACATGTTTCCCGCAGCACTCGAACGACTTCACCCAGCCTTCACCCAGCCTGATACGAACTGGTTATATGCGTCAAGGCCCTTCTTTGCTTTAAACAGCTTTTTGGAGCAGAAACTCGTTTCATGGACCATGTAGGACATAAGGTCAGACATTTCCACACACGGCTCAACAGGTTTCGCACCACGAGGAATGCCCAGCATTGGGTCGAATCCAGAAAGCAAAGACAATTTCTCTTCATATCGTTCCTTCCCAATGGAATCCAATTTCTCGGCATACACAGATAACTTGGGGGTAACTACTGGCTGCAGTGGGTCAGATGAGACTACAGGCTCCGTGTCCATCATAACAATCAATACACACCAGTGGTAGAGCACGATGAAAGTGGAAATATGGACGTCAAAGTGGCATTCTCAATTGCCAAACATACAATCTCCTTCACGGCATGTCCCATTTTGAAGAAACACCGTGCACGTGACAATGGTGAGTCATGGGTATGACGCGTGGCGTACAAAACGCAGCCTTTTTGGCCGAATATGCAAAGGGTCTATTGTGATAGCAGCTGCGCCCGGAATCGTTGCCCACAAGAAGCAAAGTCTTCTTAGGGACAACGGTGGACACGTGAACATCACTAAGGACTGGGTGGCGGACTCGGGCCGTAGGCGTCATCCGTTTGTAAAGCAGAAGGCCTCCAAAGCTGCTAGGAAGCTCCCGCAAGACTTTGACCAACAGAAAACAAATTTCCTTGAGCGAGCCAAGACTGTTGTCGAGGAGCACTCCATTCCGGCTGAACTCATCATTAACTGGGACCAGACAGGGACTAAGCTGGTTCTTGTCATCTCGTGGACATTGGCTAAACCGGGCAGCAAGTCTTGGAGCCCAAGATATAGCACAGCTCCCAACTCTACTTTGACCCTTTTTTTTAGAGAAGTGCTTGATGTGTAGCGAACGTAAATCAAAATTCTTGAAATTTCTAAAAGTTTCTTGGTGGAAGGCAAAAATCGTTAAAATTAATCACCGTTAACTGGTCCAGTTTACCAAAAACGCGAAATTTAGCTGCCTCGCTTTGCAGTATGCTACCAAGAATCCAAGATAGATACAATCATTATTAAGCAATAACCCTGAGCATAGGGGGGGGGGGGGGGGGGGTTGAGGATGAAACGTGAAGCTACAAGTAGTGACTTGCTGCCAATCTATTCAGTCAGAGGAGCAAGAACAAAGCTCAAGTACATGTATAAGCAAGCCACTGTACGTCAGGGTTCTAACCAAAGGGGGGGGGGGGGGGGCATAGCCCCCTCCCTACTCTGATGGCGCACCACCCTACCTATTTTTCGATTTTGTGCTTTTTCAGTTCACACAGGGGAAACGCGGCCACACTGTACATGTACATCATCCTACCTTGTCATGGTCGACATACATCAGTGACCATGTTCGTACACTGATGATGCCATAGATCGTCATGAAGAACCAGAAGAAGAGCATGAGGCCGGAGGACCGAACACCACGCCGCCGATCCCACTCAGTGAGAACCATGACGAAAACCTACACACACATACACCCACGCATATGCACCCACACACACGCGCGCACAAACACACACACGCGCGCACAAACACACACACGCAAGCACATGCACAAACACCCACCCACACACATACGCAAACACAAGCCCGCGCACATGCACACACCCACGCGCGCGCACGCACACACACACACACACACACACACACACACACACACACACACACACACACACACACATGCACCCACACACAATCAGCAAATGAAAGACAAAGAAGCCGTTACACAAGTCACATGCAGCAATCATTGAGATGTTCCCAGGCTGGAGATATATGGTGTTGACGTGTGAACTGCAAAATACCACCAAAGAGTCACACCTGGGAAAGGAAATTGAATAGCCGCCGATTGGAGCTACATTGTAAGATTAGAAGGTGTAAGAATCTGAGTACAGTCAACTTCGCTAATAACGACTGCGGATATAACGACAATTCCCGAATAACGACAGAATGTCCATGCCCAGAGCAAAGTCCCATCTAACTGTAATACCAAGAGTAGATAAACAAGAGTGTGCAACTCCGGGATGGGTTGGCCCGCGGCGGAATTTTTTGTTGACGTAATCTTTTCGACGACGCACGCGCTGCGAGTCCTTTGGAAAGTTTTGTCTCGCGCACTTGGCCGGGCTTTACATTACAAGGTCGGTGCCCAGCACGTGCTCTCACACTGCTCTGCAGCAAAATGAGCGTTTTTCTGAAAAAAGGTGACGTCAACAAAAAAAAGCCGCGGGCGGGGGTACCTGCAGATTGTGCAGAAGAGATCCGGAGTTGCACACTCTTGTTTGTCTACTCTTGGTAATTATTATTATTATTATTTAGAAGAGAAAAGGACATATGGATACGAGTTAAGAGTTAACTCTCCATCACTGTAACATGATACTATATACAGTCAGAAAGTGCAATAACTAGGCACAAAACATCCGAGTTTCAAATTATTATTATTATTATTTTTTCTTTCTTCCATGTTCTTCACTGCCTTCGTATACACTCGTTTTTTGAATACAATAAAAGCCTTTGTGAAAATGTCGGTTCAGCTCGTTCTGTTGATCGCAATTCTAAAATTATTATTATTATTATTTTAATAATGCAATGAATATAACTAAATGCGCACTCATATCACAACCATGGGGACGAATAATGTATTCCAGAACGTTTTCTTGTCACAATTATCAATGGAATTCGTGACTAAAGAGAATGATGAAACTACAATAGGATTTATACACTTGGAGTGAAACAGCGAGGATACAAGCATAGTAAGAAAAATAGCACAAACCTAGGAACAATTTGCACAGGTAATAAACTATAGGTGAGGTGAGAAATGATAGGAAATTCAGCAAGTGCAGTGTGACAATGGACATGCATGTGCAAGTGTGTGTGAGTGCGAATTTACTGGAAATTTATTTTAAATTTTATTTATTATTACATTGCATTGAGCACTCTCCGCAGTTTGAGACCATTCCCTTGTGTTTATTATTACATATAATGAGACTTCGGGCATAAGGACACTTCGTGAATAAGGACACTTTTCTGATGCCCCGCCGAGTGTCGTTATACGCAAAGTTGACTGTATACCGTTACTACATGTAGGCTCATACGTGACCCTGCACAGCCCACAATTCTTCAGTGCAGCTCGTTCCTGCTTGAAGGTGAAACGAGTTAGGAGAATAGGAGTATGAAATGACTGCACTACACGCCATGTGTGTACCATGGATGTGCCGGACGACCAACAGTCAAGTCTCATTCTTCCACCCCACTACAAAACAAGACCACAACAGGGTCAAGATGGTGGGATGATCTGGCAGCACATGTACTACATGCACTGTGGTTGCTACCAGAGACTAGCTATACACACCTATGCAATGTAGGTACGTATGTACGTGTGTGTGCGCGCGCACGTGTGTGTGTGTGTGTGTGTGTGTGTGTGTGTGTGTGTGTGTGTGCGTCCACACTAGTAGCAAGTATTACCTTCACTGGGGGCAGGGGTAAGTGCAGTTGGATCTCGGGACGGACACCCTGATGCCGTTAATCCATTTTCTGCACATTGTCCTCACCCACTCGCTGCGGTGTGGTGAGCCCATAGTGGTGAGCCCATAGGTGGGATCATTTCCAAGTCCACCCAGAGTTTGGGGACTTCGGGGGGGGGGGGGGGGCTGTCGGTCGTTGGGCAGTTCAATAGGCAATTGAGTCATCTTTCCAAGATTCCTTTTGAATCTCTCTCCCCTTTCCCGGGGAGACCCACGTGACCAGTTTTGGCAGTAAGCAAGCACAAGTACAAGTGTGCGGATGTCTGTGTGTGTGCGTGTGTGTGTGTGTGTGTGTGTGTGTGTGTACGTGTCTGTAAGATCTAGTCAGACCTCGCTTCACCGCACGCATCCGTTTTCCACAAAAAAATATGCGGATAGGCGAGGGAACCGGATAATCGAACGCACATACTCTATGTATGCATGACATGTGCTGTAAATCGGAAACCAACTATTTTCTTCCGGATGGTGAGGAATCCGCATAAAAGAGGACCGGATAAGCAAGGTCTGATTGTATACTCCTAGTTCAGTGGTACATATCATCATTAAAGGGACCCTGTATTATTATTACTTGCAGCAGTAAATCATCTACTTACCACGGTGATGCACACCAACGGGCCCGAGATGTAGAAAAACTTGAAGACCTGCTCATTGCTCTCATAGCGATAGATGGTGTGACCTATTTGTACAGCACTGCTAGCTATGACAAGCAGTGCAGAGATCTGAAAAAGGAGCAAAGGGTAAAGTAACAAAACACGATAACATTATATACATGTATATTCATTCCTTGCAAACTAAACTGCAATAAAACTACAATTGTAACCATGAAGAGCAATGTGAAGCAGCTGTGCTGTGCCCGTATTCAACATACGGTAGCTAGAAAGAGTACGGCAACACACACACACACACACACACACACACACACACACACACACATACACACGTGTACATGTGCGTACATGTGCGTGCATGAGTGTGTGTGTGTGTGTGTGTGTGTGTGTGTGTGTGTGTGTGTGTGTGTGTGTGTGTGTGTGTGTGTGTGTGTGTGTGCATGCGTGTGCGTGTGTGTGTGTGCATGTGTGTGTGTGTGTGGGCGCATGTGTGTGAAGTTGTCTTTTGCCAGCAGCATGTACAGGATTTGCACTGGATGCACAGTCATGTAGGTTTAGCAATGAGTGTACTAAAAGAGCGTGGTTATTAAGTGCCCGTTCAGTGATATCAAGAGTACATAACCCCCCAGAGTGTGCAACGCCTGATCCAGCTCTGCATAGGGTCTTGGTCGAGCGTAATCGGATCTTTGCGTCATAATACCGTACACATCTGAAAGGAACCTGGGGAGTCGCGGGTACTCTCGGATCAAAAACCATGGTGCCCTGCCTCGAGACCGGCCTTGCGCTGGTATGGAGTGTACGCATGACATCAGAAGATCCGATTACGCTCGACCAAGACCCTATGCAGAGCTGTATCAGGGGTTGCACACTCTGGGGGGTTATGTACTCTTGGTGATATTGTGTGCCCGTTCAGTGATATTGTGTGCCCGTACTGTGATGACTGTGCAGTTCATTACAATTCGCTCTTCTTGTGGCCTTATTTAAATTGTAGAAGCGTACTCTGTGACTAACATGCACGTACACAAGTACATGCATTGCCACTCACCAGCTTGACTTTATGCAACTTGGACACCACAATAAACGATCCACTCCCTGTAACATTCGTTACCACGAATCGGAGGGCGCCGAACACCCAGAGAAAGGCACAGACGCCCCATACGATGGCTGTATCCTCGAAGCATGGTGTAAAGTCGACTGTTCCAGACACAGCAGGTGGGCTCTGATGATAAGAGATGCAGAAGAGATGCAGTTTACTTGAATCAATTTATGACACCGTGCCTCGACATTTAAGTACACTTTTACATTCATCATCAAAAACACTTCAGCCACGACACTGTAATAAACAAACTTGCTCCATTGTTCTGTTGGAAGCCACCACAAAACCTCACCCAAAATTTGTAGGGTGCACAGAAATCATCCAGAGTAGCGACGACAGGCATCGCTTCCAACCACGAGTAAAGAACTTAACTGAAAAGTTCACAGCATGTTCTGATATTGCACGACAGATTCACTCAAAGCTCTCTTTGAAGGTGAATGCAACGTCGTTTCAATGAAGAACTAAACACCCCCAACCGACTGCAACGTCTGGAAACTTCTTTACCACAAATTTCGACAATCCTTTTATTTTGAATTATTTCCCTTCACGCCTCGTGTCATATCAAGTCATTGAGCGATCATGCATGCCTTGGTACATCATGGTACACATGGTACATCGGTGCCCGGGTACCGGATATGGTGCATGCAAGATAATGGTGCATGCATGCATTATTATGTAAAGAGTCGTTGAAAAGACCCTCCCATCACGTGCAGCGTCATTACATGATGCACGTGATAATCCATCAGGGCTTTTCAAAAAAAATTAAAAAATATTTTCCGAAGAGACAAACCTCTTCCTTTTCGTGCACCTGGTAGTGGTACCCCGTGCTCTCCAGATATGCAGACTCCATCCGCACCATGATCCAGTGTTTACTAAACTAACTTTAGTGGTGTTGGTGACAGGCTTCGTCCTCGCCTGAGCTCGATGAGGAGTCAGTGATGCAGCTGCACCGCAGTGCTGTAGCTCAGATTGCGTCATGACAGGTGCTGATCAAGCTGCTGGCGAGTTCGAGTGGTGGTCGGCCGTAACTGACTAGCAATAGTGCGGCGCGGGCATATGAAAATCTGCGCCAAGCCGTGTCACTTTTGAACTGCCCGGTGTCTGCAATATGAGATGGATGGGTGCATTGGAGAGATCGACACGTTGGAAGAAACAAGTGCGTCGGTGAAGCAAGACGAAACTTTTCAACATGATAGGGAATAATAATTATTATGAAATTCACATGAACAGCCAGGTCTGATCTCCATTTGTAGCTACACTGAACGCCCCCGTCGGACAGTCCGGTCCGGACACAGTCAGGTTGCCTTATTCAGTATGGCAAACCCTAGGTATTCCAGATCAGGGCCAGCGTCCAGTTTGATGAGCAATCAGGTCGATCTTGGATGGGATGCTGTGCAGCGAGAGCTGAAAGAAATTGACCATGGACAAGCAGCCTTGGAGTCGTCAGAGTTTGAGCGTGGCAATCGCTTCGCTGCAATCAACAAGAAGCACTGGAAAGCGCAAGAGACGTGCACATGCTGCACAAATTCAGCTTGCAAAAAGAAATTTGGAGCTCTAGACAGGAAATTGCATTGTAGAAGGTGGGTCCCATTCACAATCCGTATTAAAACATGTCTTCGGGGCTAACACAAACAGGCTTTTTATATTTTGATTGATAGGGTCGGGACAAGTTACCTGTATAACTTATCGGAGCGTCGCTGATTTCTAGATGTGGGCCGAGTGGTTTTTTGCTTTTGCTTTTGCTTTTACTTGTACAGTAGTGCAGTACTGTACGTATTGACAGTGTGTGTGTGTGGCGTAGATTTACCAGGTCAATGGCCGGATCGGACCAGGGGCACGAGTACGAGTAGAGATCACTTCATACTGAGCGGGACAACAGTGTACATGTAGCACGTACATGCAGCTAGCTCCCAGCACAGGCCAGCAGTGCAGCGAGAGGATCCGGATGCAAGCAGTGCAGCACGACGTGAGCCGTTGACCTGAGGCTTTGAAGCTCGAAGCTTGCACTGATACTTCGTAGATGATCTGCTCTTGCGTGAAACCCCGCAAATTTGAAACTTACTGTCATGTGATGCACTGCATGTAGCACTTGAGCTGTGCATCACCACCTCATGTACACTGTAGTTCACACAACACTAGTACACTGCCGTGACCAAGCTACATATTTGTTAGAAGCTAACGGTGATAGGAGGGTAGCTATGTATACGTACAGTTTAAAATATAACTATCACTGCCCGCAGCAAAGAAGCGCGGTCGGTTGGGGAAACCCCGAGTGCGCAATTGACTTTGTTTGGCCTTAGTAATGCTGTGCTGACAGTGTGCTGTCCACTGTGTCTTTGTGTTTGGCTCAGGTGTGGGGACGTGTTCTGCGATGCTTGCACTCAGTACAAGCGCAAATTGTCATTATACGCCAAGCCAGATCCTGATGGGCAGTTGTACCGAGTATGTCTAACTACTTACTAGTACTTTATGGTGAAAAAGGAGAAGGACAAAATGTTACGAGTTATGACTAACTGTCCACCAACGTAACCAGATCTTATACAGTTTTGTCGCACTCGCTGACTGTATAAGATCTGGTTACGTTGGTGGACAGTTAGTCATAACTCGTAACATTTTGTCCTTCTCCTTTTTCACCATAATTTAATTGGCTCACCATCCGAGTTGTACTTACTAGTACTTAATAGTAATACATTGAAGTTCCTTCAAGTCGAACCCCGAAAAATGCAAAAATCCAGTGCAAGCAGAAAATTATCCAACAACGGGAGACACACACTGATTTTGACCCATCCAGTATCCTGGGAAACACTTTGAATAAAGCGAATGTTTGAATTAGACACTTTTCAGTCTAGCAGGGCTTTGCTGCACATGTACATGTACTTGTACTTGAAACATTGATTCCTCCGTATTCAATCTTCCTCACTTCTTTATTTAGCGTGGTGGTTGCCACAGACGATTGAATCAATATAAAGGAATGTTAGTAATTGTATGGCTGTATAGTGGAAATGCGGTTGCCCTGTGTAGTTATGGCGGATGTCGGTAAAGTACTTTTGGGTCGCTTCTTCTTGCTCATCCTGTTTGCTTCTTGTAGGTCTGTCTGAAGTGCTTCGATCAAGGACCCCAGCCACTGGGGACTAGTCGAGACTGGACTGCCGTCTTCATGGAACAGCGCCAGCGCTCTCGTCAACTGAAGAGCAATGGTGGGCCAGGTTACTTGGCCCCCAAGCACTCAAGCTTGACACGAAGATTAGGTATGTGGCATAGGTCAGCTGCTGGTGATAGTTTTCCAGGGGAAATTGTTTTACATACATAGCTGGCCTCAAGCGAAGGTCCCTGGTTCGAGTCCTGGTGGTGACAGTCAATTTTTTCTTCAGACTTTTCCCGTTTGCATCTTTCCCTGAAACCAATGAATGCATACTATACTAGTGCATACCGTAAATGGCACAGGTTAGTGCTTTGCTCGCAGTACAGTACAGTACAGTCTGTCCATGTACAGTAAAACCTGTAACTAACGACCACCCCTTGGTGCCCGGAAAAGTGGTCGTTAGTGGCAGGTGGTCTTTAGTTAGAGGTTTGCACCGCGCGACCATATATGGATCCCATTATATGATATGTATGTCAAAATGCAGATAATACAATCCCCCACCACTTGCGCACTGACATTCTTCTTTCAGATCATACAACACTTGGAGAGAGAGAAAATCAAGTTTTTTATACACCGGAAGCGATACGACCTTTTGACACGTATGTCGACTCACTGGGTTTCCAGAGCAGCGCTGGCCTGGCCAGGCAGTGCACTAGTCACCATGGTCACTATCGACTCCATCCTTACCTCATCTGCGTGCGACTACACTGGCAACTTAACTGGTATCAGTGTGTTGATCTACAGTGGAAACTCAGTCGCTCCGACTTGGATGTAGTGTAGCGTAAACTGTACTAGTGAGTAGTGTGTACCAGTACGTGATGCGGCGATGTTGCGAGTTTTCGCACCTTTCACTGTAGACTATTATCCGCCATCGTATCCTGGCCTGTGTTCCGTACAGGTGAGTACATAATACCGTAGCATGCTAGCTAGCCAGCACAGACTGTCAGTGTGACCTGGTGTAGTGGTGAGTCTGGTGACTGAGCTGTGTGATTGCACTTCGACAGAGAGCCGCTCAGTCTTAGTTTCTCCTTCGAGTAGTAACATCGATCAAAGAGCGCTTTGGATGCGCTCTCCAAGACGTTTCCTATCATGTTTCTTCTTGACAGCACTTGAAATTATGACAGGTGTAGTGTAATCCACACTGATTCCACAGTAAAAATGAGACTGCGCTCATTTGTCCAGCTGTAGTATCGAAACGACCATGGAAAATCATCAATATTTCGAGAAGGAGCTTCAAGCAATGTTTGATTTGCTACATCGCGGTCGCTAGTTACGGGTCAAAATTCGACATTGGGACAAGAAAAGGCGGTCGCTGGTCGCGTTCAGCAGGTAGTCGCTAGTCACAGTGCATTTTGAATGTGAGACCGTCCGTGCCTGACAAAGTGGTCGGTAGTACCAGGCCGGTCGCTAGTCACGGTGGTCGTTAGTTACAGGTTTTACTGTATATGGAGTGTGCTTCAAATACATGTGAATTTTCCTTGTTTTCGGATTGGGGCTTTTGTTTCTTGCTACCTGTGTGTTTTTACTTTGTAAAGGTGTGAAAGAAGAACTAGATCGGTTGCAGCACGGCTTTCAGAACTACGCAGCCTCATGGTTGAAGTCGACGGTGGCAGAGTTGAGGGTTTCTGTCCCAGACTGGCAGCGTTCACCGCATTGGGAGGTATGCTGGAATACTTTTAGCTAAGCCATGCTACTATGAATGCCGGTAGCAAAGAGAGTGTATTATATCCTGAGCTGAAGTCACTGAAGTACTTCTATAATATACTGAAGTTGCACTTCTGCTCATTTCTCACGATAGTCTTCTTGTTGCTGTGTACCCTCGCAGAATCCCAAGACTGTGACTCTCTGCCATATATGTCGCAACAACTTTGGCATTCTTGCCACGAAGCATCATTGCAAGTAAGCATGGATCACCTGTACTACCTAGCCATAGAAGAGAACAGATATTTGCTAAGTACGGTGTAACCAGCTAGCTCACACGCGCGCGCGCGCGCGCGCACACACACACACACACACACGCACGCACGTAGCTCTTCACTTCTCTCCCTTCCTCCCTTTCTTCCAACAACTTTTTCCCACCATTGCTACTCTCCACACATACACACCTATGTGGCGCATTTGTGCTTTTTTTTTAGAAGTTCTTCTCATCACTTTCCTACAGCACCTCACAGCATATCTACAAAATTCCTTGGTTGCATGCATTTAGTTTTTACTGTTTCCTCCTGACGATACGCCATCCCCAAAATTTGATGAACCTGCAGTGACATTTGCAGCAGAGAGACCATTTATGATTGTTGGAATTTGGAAAAGTAATACTTGTGCAATTGTTTCTGCCTCTTTTTCATGATCACTTAGGGTGTGTGGCCGTATCATGTGCAAGCAATGTAGTGCTGAGGAGCTGATGCTGTATATGGATGATGCCACTAAAGAGGTTCAATGGGCTATCTATGGCTTTGAAGGCGTGAGTTGTTGAGGCTGATGTGGTTGTGCGTGTGTGTGTGCGTGTGTATCAGCTGTGTGGTGGATACCAGGCTAAAATTAGTGGCGGTCAATTCAACAGCCTTGCAAGCTGTTGAAAGGTGTAATCCCAGCACTAGTTGCTATGTCTAACATAGCTGTTCGCTATCATTGCTTCTGCGATGGGCAGGTCTGAGGTGTGTGTGTGTGTGTGTGTGTGTGCGTGTGTTTGTGTTTGTGTACACTTGGCCTAACTGTATGTTGTGGAACGCTGTCCTGTGAAATACGCCCTTTGTCGTATTGCTGAAATTAATTGACTGAGAAATTTGCACTTTTTCGAGCATGCTCTTCTCTCCCTCTTCTTGTACAGTGCCCAGCCAAGGAACCAAGTGCCCGGCTGTATCTCCGATGTTGCTCGGTGTGTCGGGATGATCTAAAGCCATTCAAAGCTAAACAGCTGGACGCGGTGGAGGTGGCCTGTGAAGCGGTACGACTAGAGAATATAATTATCATGATTGACCTGCACGTGTGTGTGTGTGTGTGTGTGTGTGTGTGTGTGTGTGTGTTGGCCGTGGTGCGCCTGATACTGGCACACCCTCTCTGTCTTGTGAACACGTGTGTTTCTCACATGTTTGAGTGTAGCGCTCGTACTTTGATCGGGAAGGAACTGGGTGATGTTTTGTTTTTGTCTCGCTAGCACACCACCTGGTGTAACACACCCTCTCATTCCAGTCAATACCATGCCTGCCAGGGGACAGCATGTTTGCAAAACTGGTGTGTTTGGCCGTTGAACTACCTTTGTCTCATGTAACACAAGAGGCTGGTTTCCTAGTGCACTTGTGGTGTCATTGAAATCGCTGTACATGTATTTATTTTTTGTCATGATTCGTGCAGGATGTGATGGGAGACCTTGCCAAAATCCATACAGACTTGTGCCATTTGCAAGAGAAACTTGAGAAGCAAATCCCCGTGGTTAGTTGGATCCTGGCTGCAGAACTGTGGACTTGTGTGTGGATATTCATGTTGTTTGTCCTTCCTTCCTTCTTTTCTTCCTTCCCCCGTACCACTGTACTGTGTTTGTGTGTGTGTGTGGGGGGGGGGGGGGGTGGCGGGGGGTGTCACTGACTTGTCACCACCCGAGTCATTGGTTTGAAGGAGATTTGTTGCAGTTTCAGCCATTGCCACACAGCTTGATGGTCACTTTTCACCAAAATGTCGTCTTCATAATAAGCTGATTCTGAACTTGCTGTGAAATTTGGAGGCCCCTTATCCGTTCCTAGTGATGTTAGGGACCAAGCATTGGAATATTGGTCGAAAATAGCCAACGTTACGACCTTTGGCCAACTGGACCAGTTGTAAACATCCCTGGCAACTCCTTTTTTAATCCACAGACCATATCTACAAACCCACCGAATTTGTTACAAGTACATCCATCACTGTATGTAAATGAAATGTTGGGTTACCTGGCTCGCTGTGCATGCCACTGCCTGGACCAACCCCTGCATGTATCTTTACCGCACCTTCCTTTCTTTTTGTTTGTTTAGTTTCAGGAACACGTAGAATCTATGAATGGAGTCCGAACTACTGCCGGTGTCAGTCCAATCAAGCGTCTAGCGAAGTCTCAGGTGAGATGGCAAATTCAATTACATTGCGCGTACACTGCATACTTTTTTTAAATTAAAGTGAAAGAAATAGTGGTCTACAGCTCTCAGTTGGCTTGTGACATTAGTGTTCCTCTGGGTTTTGTACAGGATCATCTACTTGTAACATTTTTCTCGTTTGTATATAAATGGCACCCTGACATTCTGCTGTTACTACAGATGGATGTGTCGGACTGCATAACCCGCTATGCGCTGCTCCTCAACCAGAGGCTGCGCCGTGTGCGCCCGACCCACAAACTGCATGCAACTATCCTCAGTCGAATAGCACAGGTGTGTAGTGTTGTTGCCTCCTCTTTAGTTGTGTCTTGTACTGCAGCACTGCGTGCAAGCTGGGCATTCGTGTTGCAGCTGCTTTTTCATGTGGCACAGTGTGGTTGAGTGTGTCATGTGTGTGTGTTTGCATCGAATACACCTTGGAACATGGTAAATAACTAAAATAGGTAATAGTATGGCGTGTAATCTCGTGGCATATCGGATTGTGTACATACATGTGCATGATTGTACTTCCATGTACAGTCAAACCTTGTTAGGACGAACACTGATAAGGCGAACTTTCCGTTAGTACGAACTAGGACCAATCCTATGGTTGGTCGGGCATCAATTCAAGTCAAAATTATTCGTTTACGACAAACTTCTGTACAGCGAACTTTCGCGAAGACGAACTATTTTCAAGTGTGATTTGAACAAAATCATTGTGGTCATGTACATGTCGTACGAACTTTTGGTTCACGAGCGTGCGCGTGCGCTGGCTGCATTTTTTTTCTTATTTTTTTCAATAGTCGTGGCCATATTGGACATACAGTGCAAATTGTTTTCAAGCGTGTTTTGAACAAAATCAGCACGTTGTACGAACTTTCGGCACAGTCGTGAAAGACTCGTGATTCATTGCACATTGTCATTGTACTTACCTGCTGCTGGCTTATGCTAAGAATAAAATGCTTCCCATGTACCACAGCATGCACCTTCACATAAATACAATCCATGTCGATTTTTGTCAGATCTGGATAAGAAGAACTCCCGATGAGACAAACAAACGTGTTCAGTTCCTTGAAGTTCGTCCTAACGAGGTTTGACTGTACTCATATTGACAGGTGTGGAGCATAGGATACTTTGGTGCAGGGAAAGCACACCTCACTCAAGCGCATGCAGCGCATCCTGCACTGTCACTTGTCACTTCTGTTGACTGCATGCACTTGCTTCAGAGGGCACTTCAACCCTGGTGCAGTCAACCCTGCCAGCCAAGATGGCACTTTTGTTTAGTTGTGGTCGCTGTTAGCAGGTCCAATATGGCACTTGGTGCACTAAAAGCCGGTCGCTGGTCGCGCAAAGCAGGTGGTCGCTGTATCTGGTTCAGTTTCTGTCTAGAACTCTCCGTGCATGGAAAAACGGTCGGTAAAACGAGAGGTCGCTTACACCAGGTTTTACTGTATCTCGATCAATGTTCACCGTGTTCACTTTATCTTAGGCTTAAAACAACGGCTATCAAATTCTGACCTATATACGTCATCGACATCACAATCTTGGATAAGAAAAAAGTGAGACTGTGAAAAACCGATGGGCCCCGATTTGGCGAATGGACTATAGTTATCCTTTCACCCCTTCACGGCATAGTCCTTCCCCTGTCTGTCGCTATGTATAGATGGTACGTGGCCTCGCACTACCCCCCCCCCCCCCCCCCCCCGTACTACGCACAATACCATGCTCTACAGGACATGGCCTCCCCGTCTCTTCACTATATCTGCACTCACATGTCTGTAAAATATAGCACTTCCTTACCTATATCAGTTCTTGACACAGCACACCCTGTGTTTTAACTCTGACTTCACTCACATGTCTTGTGAACTGTGTCTTTTTTTTCAGAGTAAGATGTTGTACTACCGCGAACGGCTTTTTGTATTCCGTGCACTCAAGCATTGCCTGGCGGAATCAACACCACAGGAAGTGCTGGATCTTGTTCAGAATACTGTGGAGCTTCAGGTTTGTTAGCCAAGTGTGCTTGCTGCTGTTGCTACTGCTCTGTGTGTGTGTGTGTCTCTCTGTCTCTCTGTCTCTCTCTCTCTCTCTCTCTCTCTCTCTCTCTCTCTCTCTCTCTCTCTCTCTCCTCTGTGTGTGTATTTGTATTTTAAAATAATAATTTTGTATTTATGGATTCTCCACAGGCCTTAGCCTAAATCAAGGGAGTCTCCGTGTGTGTCCACCCATCACACTAAATCTTTGGTTACACTCTACGTTTAGCTGGACGTTTCTGGTACTCTACTTTCTGCATCTACTTTATGCCCTGTTCTGCCTGTTTGTAGACAATCACAAGTGTCTACATTTTCATGTGCCAGTTGTCAATGGAAGTCTTGAATATGACTGAGGTGTACAGCTTGGACAAGGAACTTCTGGAAAGTCTGATGCCATTGCAGCGCAATGAGGTTGGTGTTGAACTCGCACATGGCATTGAAAATAATGCCTTTCAATATACATAGTTGTTTCTGAGATATGTGCAGTGTATGTGCGGCGACTCTGGCTGGCTTGACGATGGGTAATGATTTGCAAGTACAGGTACAGTACGGTTGAAACATGCTCGGTCACCCTGGATTTATGTTGCTCAGAGAACAACAGGTTTACCATACTCCATTGTCATTGGTGCTGCTGCTGCTGCTGCTATTGTTGTTGTTGTTGTTGTTGTTGTTGTTTTTTAATTCTTTATTCGTTGTTGTTGTTGTTGTTGTTGTTGTTGTTGTTGTTGTTGTTGTTTCGAATCTTTATTCTCACGATAGCCAGTGGCCAATAAGAGATTGTTGTTGTTTCAAATCTTTATTCTCATGATAGCCAGTGGCCAATAAGAGATTGTTGTTGTTGTCCCAGACGTGTACCAAGGACATGAAACATGCAGTGGATCGATGTTGCAAGATTGGCCAGCCGGAAGATCTCGAGGACCATCTGCGGAAAGCACGGGAGCTAATAAGCATGCGTTATAAGGTTAGCTGCGATATTATGTTAAAAAGCCATAGCAAAAATGCCTTTGATTCCCGTGCACTCCCGCTCTGATTTTCGAGCGTGCACCAGCAATGTTAAAAAAACTTTTTTGTGAGAACAATGCATGCTTCAGTCACCACCGTGAGTCAACCTACGGGATTATACTTTCTCCGGGAACAAAAAAAGATGTGGTTGAGTATGTTCCGATGTTTGCGTTAAACACACGCTGGAACATGGTAAATAAATACAAATAAGCATTGTGTGATCTCGTAATTTGCGCTTTAAATTCAGTTACCATGCCTGTCTTGTGAACTGTGTGTCAGTGTTGAGATGCTTCTTTGCTTCCACCTTCACTTTCTTCCTTCTCTTTCTCTCTTTGTTCAGGAGAAAGATCAACGGCTAATCAAGTCTCACCTATGGTCAGCAAATCTGACCAAATCCCGACGCCAGGCTCTCATCACCGGGCGGTGCTACGAGGTAGTTGGCAGGGTACACCAGGAGTTGGAGGCGAAGTCCTCAGTGCACCACTTTGAGCAGTCCAAAGAAGCACTGTCCATACTCAAAGCTCAGCTGGATGTGTACGTGTCCAGGCAAGCGAATGGCTTCGTCTGGCGGTGAGAGGATGCTCCTGCCTCTCCATGGCAGCCTTTGAGTTTTCAACATGGATGTTAATAGCTTTGCTGCTGGCAGCGTTGATATGCAAAATAAATCTGTTGATGTACATACACTTCTGGCAGGCAAATGTTGATCCCCTGCCTTTCGCAGGTGTGGTACTGTGCATATATTCCACTTGATCTCCAGCTTTTTTCCTGTTGTGCTGAAAAATGTACCGGTACATGTTAGAGCTGCTTGTAGAGCTGGTTGATAATAGCCCATTGAAGACACAACAGTCAGCATTCACCGTGCTACAGCTAGCAACTCAGGTTGCCCCCGCATGCAATGGTGCAATTCCGTGAAGCTGATGCTCCTACAGAGGCTGCGGATGAATGTGATTATTCTTCATCCTGCTCTGCCGCGTTTTCCACGTACAATCCTCTAAGTATTTGCCTTATTCGCTCTGCCCCCCTGGCCATGGAGAACTCTGCCTAAGGATATCTTGACGCTGCCCAAAGAATTCCCTTAGTAAATAGGCTTTAGGCTTTATCTTAGTCTTAGGCATAGGATTCCTAGCTACATTGCCTCCTGCGTTTTAGCAATGCTTATTTTTAGAGCGGTTTTTTATTTTTTATTTTTTTTACTTCTTTTACACTTCTACAGGCTGTGCCTCTTGCATAGTATTTTTGATCAGACTCTACCGTATAACTGCTACCACCAACTGCTGTATATCTTGTTCTTACCCTCATCACATGCAGTTAGGTTGTTTACCTCTCTTGACACTCGGCGTACCACTATTAACATTTATACTCAAGTGTAGCGTGTACGTCGTGGAAGTCAGGGTGTCGTGATACGACTCCCTGGTTGAGGTATACCGTGCACACAAGAGTATAAGTCCCGGGGCGCTTATCTCTGGTGTGCACGTGGAAAAGGCTTCACTTCATGCTTTGTAGCAGGGAGTAGTAAAAAATGCCCTGCTTAGTAGCATTGTCACCGACTCGAGGAGTGTTGATGACGAGGCGTATAGCACAAGTGTGGATGCAGGCCAGGGAGTAAGTCGTATGAAGGGTATACGACTCTCTGATGCAGACCACGACTCCTTGGCATGCAGGGAATAACTCCGATCTTGCCAAGTAGTTTCAACTATCATTCTGTTACTTCTTGTTTGGTGCCAGTCACTGCCTGGCATATCCTAGATCCTGATGACGTGCAGGGGAGTAGTAACATATCGGTATTTTACTACTTCAGGCGCAGATGGCAGGCACATACTACTACAGGTAGACTCCCTCTAATTCGAATACGGTATAATTCGAACTTTCCGTGTAATTCGAACTTTTTCGTCGTACCGATCTTCTGCAAGTCACACACGATCAAGTCAAAATCGAATGCATAATTCGAAGTACGAAAAGTGCGCCGGTTGGATAATTCGAACCCAGTCTTCGTACGGAAGAGCTGTTTACAGTACATTAGCTATGTACGTGTCCTTTGAACGCTTATTTCGAAGTGAGATTGAGTTGCTATCCTTCTAATTCGAAGTTCATTCTTTTCTCCTTCTCTAGCCAAGAGTAGCTCAAAAATCGATCAATGGTCCGCTGCAGGATCGACTATAGCATTCAAGAAACCCACCTTCTCTCGATTTTTGATTCAAGCCCGTGCGAGGCAAATTGCAAAGGTTTGATTGAAGACGACTTCTTCCAGGTGGCTGACTCTCTTCGCGGATCTCGATGGCCTTTCTTGCTGCGCCAGCTCGTGCGCGGAGATGTTGGCGCACAACAACACCATTGTCGTAAATATTGTCGATGTCTATGCTTCACTTCCGTTCTTCAGAACGACGTGCTGCTGTCCGACGGCCTTTCATGACGCGGATTAGGCAGCGCAGTTCTTTTCCGTTTCAGGAAAGCTGCAGTGACTTTTACTTCTTCACTAGAAGATGGAGATATTGTCAAAATGATTTTGTGTCGATCCAGTGTTTTGATGATCCGTTGTATACATGTACATGACCGGTATGACCACCTTATATGTTTCGTTGATGCAAATAAAAATGTGCAAAAAATATTCAGCATGCGATTTCAAGCATTTTGACATACATATCAGTGCATGGGGCTGCATTTGGATAATTAGAAGTTCTGGATAATTCGAAGTTAGGGCCTGGCAATTTGAGGTTCGAATCCGCGATATTCATGTTAAAACAAAATGGCGTCACGATTTATTGAAAGTGGTATAGTTGGTGGTACGAGTGTTCAAAACCATTTGAACTTCATACTGTTCGTCTTCTTTTTGACATGCTCTCTTTCCGTCGTCCTTAGCTTTTGTTTGTTGAGAGCTGTTTTGGCTTTCTCCTATACCTCTGGGGGATGCCAAGTGATGGTTTTGAGAGGCTGGTGATGGCTGTGAGCGAGAGTTTGCCGATCGGCGTCGTCCTCGCTATAGCGATGAAGATACTAGTTACTGCGCACCTGGCAGATATCACAACACGTCGGAGCGTCCAGGAGCAAAGGAATCTTGGGTTTTCACTGGAATCTAGTTCCTCCAGCATCGTGTAGCCCACCGTCGGTGAATGTCGGTCCAGAAAGGTCGAACCTGGTCTTCTGCAGCATCTCGCAGTCCTGCGAGGCACACTGAATACGCCTGTCATGTATTCTACAAATAAAAATCACGAAGTAATGGAACTAACAGTGATGAGTCTATCCTGTATGCTGCAAAAGACGCAGGAAATGTGACTGGTGTCTGTACACTCAGTGACTGGACGCCAACACCCCAGTCTTCTCCTGCAGGATCTGTTTGACATTGACATTATGCAGTAGGTCGGCATTGACCTGGTTTGGCAGCTATCGTAATAGTATCTGCCTGGTTGGATGTAGCAGGTTGGTGTTTGCTCGTCGTCCAGTCCGGAATTTTCTTGTAACTCACAGTAGAGTACGCGCAGGGTTTGTGATCATCCCTGTTCACTTCAATATTATCAAACACAACGTTCCCTTTGTCACTCATCTTATCCTGAGTACTGAATTTGCTGACAATATTGCACCACACTTGTCACAACCTACCGCCATTGCTGGCGGTGGCGGCTGGTTCGTCAATGGCGGTGACCAGGCTGACTGACTAGCTTCGAGACAGCGGCCTCGTTGTCAACCCCGCGGCAGCCTAAAGGTTGATTTTATCGATCCAGCCTCAGCGCCATGTTGACGATGCCCTAGTGACTGTGTGTCATGGATTGCCTTGCCATCAGCGGTCCTTGCCGTCCACCTTGATGCAGCCCTCAACAACTGGCTCAGCCCATGGGAGTCTCAAGTGGACAAAGTTGTTGCCAAAGTAGCTCAGAAGATTGGTGCATCGTGGTGTAGGTGAGCACATAACTAGGACTTCCCAGCGCCTATTTGTCCAGGCTGCGATACTATGCGACATTCTGCACTGCACATTCTTTTCAGCACTGCAAGGCCGGCAGCTGGACCGACTGCAGGGGCCGCGCACATGCAGGCCGCCTGTTGCCAGTGCAGCATTCTGGAACGCCGGTTCCTTCCTTCTGAGATCCGTGGAATAATAACTTTCTTTGCTTCAAAGCAAGTTGCTTACCTTTCTGTTGTGCTCCCAGTGTCCTTACAACAATAACCTACAGCAATGTTTTATTTTCCTTTCCATTCCCCAACCAATGAATACTACGACGTCGATTCTATTTCTTCATACTTTGGTGTGTGCCCGCGCACGCACGTGTGTGTGTGTATACCTCACTCGCCACTCGAAGTTCTGTTCCCCATCACTGGAACACTGCCTGTTCTTTCAGGACCTGCCATCATCTGCGGATGGGCATTCAATGATTGTATTGTGTGTGTGTTTCATTCAGAATCAGATCTGCTATCGTTGCTATAAGAGAAAATCTGTGGGTTCACATCCAGTGCATTTTTAGATTTGCGTGCTTTTCTCGCCACGGGCGCATACATGGGACATTGTGTGTGTGTGTGTGTGTGAGTCTGTGTGTATGGGGATATTGTCTGTATCGGCTTTTGGTACTAATGTTCAGGTCTGTGCTTGCATGTGTGAACATGAAATTGTTCGGTTCTGTGCATGCTATTGCTATGTTGTATATTATTGTATGTATGTGTGCATTTCCACGAACAGTGTAGACGAGCGTGGAGAGTGCATTCATCCCTCATCAACCACTTCCCCTTGGGCTTACGAGAGTTTTTTCTGCGTACCTCTCATTTTTGTTTGTTTCTCTCTGATACTGTACTGATGCCGGTACCTGTACCTCGATGTGTTCCTCTATCTGCAGTCGCCTTTAACCTTCGGTCAAGTTAACGTTTATTGTGCTCTATTTATCGTGCGAATCAAAATATACAATAATAACACAAGTCGTGCTAGAGTGACGACATGTGCGTGTAGTAGGGTTGATGCGATGGGTCGACGTTATAATTAGGTGGAACAGAACACACATTGGGCAGATTGATTGGGCATCATTGACTGTGCTCAGTCTAAACAGTGAACATAATAATTATCTCCAGTGACAGACTGTAGCGGCTAGCCTCCAATAGGTAGCTGGCACTAGTCGCTACTGCTTGTTTGACAGGTGCCGCCAGAACCCCTGTTGTGTCATGCTATAGATGCACATGCCCTGTTCTGGGGCATACTGAGGTACTTTGATTTTGTTGACTGCATGTAGACAGCATCCAATAGTAGTACTCGTAGACCTTGGCTCTTTGTAGTTCAACCACCATCGCATGGATCGATCGGTGACTATGCACTTGGAGGTTGGAATAGCCCGCGCTGAACAGATCTTGCCATGCCCCAGGGAGTGAACTCGCTTACTCGACTATCCCGGTTTTAGTTAACCAGCATGAGTGGTGCAATTTGTCCATACCATGTTGCGAGCTCACAGTTGTTTGGGCAGGTTTTGAGCTGCACCACGAAACAAAGCGAAATAACGGCGTGACTGTAGAGCAAGGAAGCGGCGAGACGGCACTTCCAGGACGAGACAGGCAGTAGAGATGTGTTCACAGCACGAGCAACCTCTCAAACCCTGCCCGGCGGTACTCCACAGTTACAAGAAAATGTCGGACTGGACGACGCGCCAATGCAAACCTGCTACATCCACCCAGGCAGATAGCTGCCAAACCAGGCCAATGTCGACCCACTGCATACCGGTATGTCAATGTCAAACAGATCCTGCAGGTGAAGACTGGGATGATATTGGCGTCCAGTGTACGGACACCAGTCACATTTCCTGCGTCTTTTGCAGCATACAGGATAGACTCATCACTGTAAAGTCCACTACTTCGTGATTTTTATTTGTAGAATACATGACAGGCGTATTCAGTGCGCCTCGCAGGACTGCGAGATGCTGCAGAAGACCAGTTTCGACCTTTCTGGACCGACATTCACCGACGGTGGGCTACACGATGCTGGAGGAACTAGATTCCAGTGAAAACCCAAGATTCCTTTGCTCCTGGACGCTCCGACGTGTTGTGATATCTGCCAGGTGCGCAGTAACTAGTATTTTCATCGCTATAGCGAGGACGACGCCGATCGGCAAACTCTCGCTCACAGCCATCACCAGCCTCTCAAATCCATCACTTGGCATCCCCCAGAGGTATAGGAGAAAGCCAAAACAGCTCTCAACAAACAAAAGCTAAGGACGATGGAAAGAGAGCATGTCAAAAAGAAGACGAACAGTATGAAGTTCAAATGGGTTTGAACACTCGTTCCACCAACTATACCACTTTCAATAAATCGTGACGCCATGGAGCCTTGAGTTGCTTATATCACCATGGCTACGAAATGGCGTGGATCAAGCACTTTTTTTAGTGACTTATTTATTTTTACTGGCACTTTCACATTTTTTAACAACAGTGGATCATTGTTTACAGCTACAATTGTATAAGGCTTTGCCCTGTTGTTTTTGCTTCGCTTCCCTGGTCATCTTCAGCTCAGTTTAACAGTTTATTAGATACATCGCGGTGCAGTAGGAAAGCGATCGGCCATGCCTGGAACAGGCGATACGCAGAGGCGCTATGAGCGTAAGCTGAAAAAACTTCAAGAGAAAAAGAAATTGGCGAAGAAACACACAAAGCTGCAAAAGGTGGTGGACAGGGAAGAGTCCAAGAAGAAGAGAAAGCGAGAGGGTAAGTCAAACCTTGCAATGCACTGACCGTGTCGATTAGTGAACTCGTGTTGTCCTTTGGCTCACCTAGCACGTGTACATTGTATTTCACATCAATCGATACAATTACCCACGTTATGATACTACATGTATTAGTATTATTGTAAGAAGATCATGCATAGCAGATGCTTGTACTTGCTACTTACTTATTTAGACTGGGCGACGAGGTTTTGTTGTGACCAACACTGCCCGGCTGTGCCTGGACCACGCAGCACAGCTTTTTCCCAAGCTAATATTGATAATAATATGCCAAAGGTGTGTGATGTCATATGGTCACGTACTACTGACAAAGCCAGGGTCCAACAGCCTTTATTGCGTATGCTCTATCTCTGCTTTGGTGGGGAATCTGTAAGGGCATGATTGATTGGGCGAATCCCGAGCGAGTGCGTTCTGAGTGAGCGTGAGCGTTTGGCCGAATCCCGAGTAGGTGTACTTGGAGTGCAATTCGACCACACCAGCCCCCACACATGGTGTGGCTGGAGTGGAAATCATTCAAATGGACTTTGAATGTTTGTACGATATGCTGACATTTTGCGTGCTACACCCTAAGGGCCTTGCTTTGTTCGATCAGGCCAGCATTGCTTGGACCACACTGCCTGCTCGCAGTCAATCCAGATTTGCCAATCAATGACACCCTAAGTTAGGGGGTGATTATATGTGCAGCTCCAGCCCGGGCTGGTCGACAGGCGGGCCAGCCCGCCTGCAACGGGATCTCGGGGTTATACACAAATCCACACAAAACCTGTGGTGCGTTTACATGGCAAGCGGGCTGGCCCGGCGAGGCGGGATCCCGCCTCGAGGCACCCGGGATCCCGGCTAGGCGGACCAGAAAAAGCACATATAAACAAACCAGCCCGGGCCAGAGTTGTATTATTATGGTATCGACACTGCGTTCATACTACAAAATAGGTACTTTTACCTCTTGAGGGAAGTTATAAAGAGGATTCCCGATATTGTCTTGAAAATCTATGAAGCTTTTTGTACAGCAACAAGAAGGACGTGCAATGAGCACTGTTTATTTGTCGACATGCATGATTTACATTAAAATGGAAGGGGAACTTCTTGCAAAATACTTTGATATGGACAGCTAAAAATGTGAAAAACAGGAAAAAGAAACGAGGTGATACAACACACCAAACATGTGTCACAGCGCGAAAAGAAATCAGCAGAAGAATACATTGTGTGAGAAAAAAAGTGTTTATGTTTATAAGTAATAACTTGAGTATGGCTTGCAGCCCTGCGTCTCAGCCCGGGGCAGCACATTACAGTCGTAGTGTGTTTGCTGCATACTCACAACGGGCTGGCGTGTGCTCAGCGCATATAAACTCACTGCGGGCTGGCGACCAGCCCCGCCTTGCACATGTAAACACCCTTGGCGGGCTGGCCCGCTCGCTCCAGCCCGGGCTGGAGTTGCACATATAAAAGGCCCCTTAGACTAGCAGATGAAGACCGGGGGGTGTCTTTTCGTGCAAGAATTCCTGAGCAAAAAGTTATTGAACAACAGGCTGGTCAAAACAGATCTCAGTTGCCTGCCATTATCGTACACCACTCAGGGGCGTCGGAAGCAGTTTAACATTGGTGCGGCGAAAGTGTGAGAGGGGGGGGGGGGGGTCCGGGGGTTGTCCCCCGGGATTTTTTTTGAAAATTGGGCCTAAAAGGCCATATTTTTAATGCTACCGAATAATATGAGAAATAAGAATATGCATGCTGATGACACACCGCATTGTCGATGTAAAACATGGTACCTGTACAAGAGTCGACAAGCCATCAACAAGGTTGAAAATGTTAAAAAAAAAAAAAAAAATCCAAAATTATTGGTGCGGCTTTGGCCGCACCTGCCGCACCGGTTCCGACGCCCCTGCCACTACAAGTACTCGAGCTGTCTGAGGAAGGAGACTACAGACATGTGCTGTATACCAATATTACGTGATCAGACGAAATCAGGCGTTCATGCACCAGTATATGTGTGGTGCACCTCTGTACACATCCCATGGATATCTATGCATATGCGAATATGTCAATACATGGCTGGTTGATCTTCGCCAATGGTCGCACCAAGCTAGCCAGCGGCGAAGCGAGGGCCCATGAACGCATGCTCTGTTGTTCATGACGTTGGATTTCATTTGCTATAACTGCCTTGATTAATATGCCCTGGGCAGCCATATGCTAGCATATATTGATAGTGACTCACTTGTATATCCCTGGATGTGCGCTGTACACACCAAACGTATCACACAAGCACACTTGCATATGCACACTCGTGTGTATCTACACGTGCGTACACACACACACACACACACACACACACACACACACACACACACACACACTGCACATATTGCACAACTCTTGTGACTGTAGTAAATGGTGGCATAGGCAGAGATGTTATACAGTCAGATTGATTCTGTTATTTTTACCTGTGATTTATTGTGTATGTTTAGCGGTTGCAGAGGAAGTAGCAGAAGCAGTAGCAGCGGCATCGGATTCGGAATCCGATAGTGGTAGCGCAGCCGCAACCTCCAGCTCTGCAGCAGAGGGTGGTGAAGCAGCGGCAACAGCAATGTCTGCCACGAGCGAGCCTTTCATTCCAGGTTTGTTACGGTCTGTGTGACTTGTCCCAGTTGGTTGGGCTGTTGAAGGCATGTCATGGGGCCAGTAACGATGGAGGGCAGTTCTTCTTCTGATTGCTATTGAATGTTCTCATTATCTGGTGTTAGATTGAAAGTGTTGTTGAGTGGTGTCTACTAGCTGGTGATGTTGTGGATGCCTTGGCTGTAGATTGCTTGCCACTTTTATTGCTGTTTGTTATGTTCATGTAGGTGAGCTGGATCGAAAGTTCACTTCACTGGTCCCACTTGGTGTGTCAGAACCTACAATGGCAGCCATTGAAGAGATGGGGTTCACGGAAATGACGGAGATACAGGCGAAAAGCATTGGTCCTCTGCTGAAAGGAATGTGAGTACATGACAAGTACAGGGCTGGATTGTCTTGATTGAATATTGGACAGATATGGTGAAGTAGAACGTCAAGAACCTACAGGCACTGGTTGTTCTAGGATAATTTTGTCTGGATGTGCCTGGGAAGATCTCATCGTCTTGCTTGTTGCTGATTTTGCTGCTGGTTGTGTTGGCAACGACTGTGGTGTTGTTTTTTTAATACCATTCTTAGTATTCTTAGCTGATGCAATAAAATAGCTGTTTTCTTACATGTTGGATGACCTGTGCAATTCCATCATATCTTACCAAAATTTGCTAATTGCTGGTTTTCGGTGGGTTCCCCTTTTCTTGCTCCTTCTGGTTTTGAAATTTTTGCTCCGGCGACTTGGTACGTTATTTTCCGTTTCCCATGCACATCATCATGTCTCTTGGTGTTTTTGAAAATCATGCTCCAATTTTTCGTACGGTAATTCCTCAGAAGTGGCCTTGAGTACGTTCTCGGCAACGTAGCGGGCCAGTTTCGAATGAACGACTTTTCCTACTAGTTGTGTAGCCGCTTTTTGGATTGATTTTAATTCAATGTGTGTGTGTGTGTGTGTGTGTGTGTGTGTGTGTGTGTGTGTGTGTGTGTGTGTGTGTGTGTGTGTGTGTTTGCATACATGTGCAGGGATGTGTTGGGTGCGGCTCGCACCGGCAGTGGCAAGACATTATCGTTCCTTATCCCTGTTGTCGAGCTGATGCGCAAGCTAAGTTTTATGCCACGTAACGGTAAGGATGATGTATTCTACTGCGCAACCGTTGTGTATTTGAATGTACGGTCAAGACAACCGCGGGAAATTATTTCCCGTCGTTCTCTTGACCGTACATGTACTTGTATTAAATTTTATTAACCCTTTACTGTCCGTACATACAAGCATCGATCCAATGGGATCGATGGGGTAGGCATTTTGAAATTATCGTAACTTGCTCAAATCTAGGTCTTTTGGAGAGATCGAAATATGTAGGTCGAAGAGAAAAGTCTCAGCTGTCGCCTCGAACAATTCCCGAAGCGCTACGAAGAGCGGTTGCTGAGTTATCGCACTCGTAATTCTGGTCCCGGGAAATGTGCGTTCAGAGCGCGATGCGCATGTCGACGGCTGGGATTTTCCCTGTTTACGTCACCTGTTGGCAAGGCTACACCGATTCAAATTCAAAAGTAGGTTCCCGGGAGTCTCTACGAAAATATTTGAGCTCGATACGAGCAACAGGGGTGACATGGTGGATTGAGATCGATCTCGAGCGTGAGCTCAGCGCTTTTGCGCGTTCCCTGGCTTGCAGCGCTGGACCAGTGCATCCTGTGGCGCCGAGTGTGGGCTCATTGCGTTCGTCTCGTCAAGACCTTTCCAGGATGCCCAAGATCGTGGAAATCGTCAAATTCAAACCAAAGTTATGTCAAATTTTAGTTTCAGATTTTGTGGTTGCGTGGCCTTGTATACATTTTAATCGGACAGTAAAGGGTTAAAATATCATCACACGCATGCATGCCACACTGTATTTGAAAGTGAGTTGGTTGTGTTTTGAGTGGACTTTGGAAGAGAATCTGAAGCTTTGATTTTTGGCCGCTGGTTCTTCACAGTGCATTAGTTGTGCATGACATGATTTGTAAGCATATGTCCGGAACTACAAGCACGGTGTATTTTACGTTTCTTTCATGGAATGTCTTTGCATGTCATGGCCAGAGCGGAACTCAATGATATTCCTCGTCTGCACGCCATGACATGGTGTGTAAACGTGTGTGCACGAGAAGGTTTGGACTCAATGCCTGTATCTACCCAACCACGTATGTTGTGCTTAGGAACGGGTACCATCATCATCTCGCCCACGCGTGAGCTTGCTCTGCAAATATTCGGTGTACTCCGTGAGCTCATGGAGAAGCACAAGCAGACATATGGCATCATCATGGGCGGCGCAAATCGCAAGTCCGAAGCAGAGCGGTTACAGAAAGGTGTCAACATTCTTGTTGCCACGCCTGGCCGGTTGCTTGATCATTTGCAGGTACGTTACTTGTAGGTTGCACTACTACAATGCACTTTTGTTTTCTTTCAGTCATCAACAGCATCACTGCAGGTGATATGAGGGAGGTTTAGTCCCACGTAATCTGTGTGTACCACGTGATATTTAGTGACCCACGTACAGACGTTTTCTGATTCACGACATACCGTGTATGGAGGCTCACCCACGTTCCGCCAGAACGTGGGTGAAGTTCCCCCAGAACGTGGGTGAAGTTCCGCCAGAACGTGGGTGAAAATCAGAATGGAGCGCATTGTGCAAGCTGTGAGGGTGCTCAGCTCAAGAAGTTTCCGAAGCACGACATCAAAATATTCGATGAGCTTTGAAGCTTCGTCTTCGACCAAGTTTGGGCCTTTCGCTTCATGCTTTTGTTTGTTCCGTGTGACTAAAGACAACATTGCGGACGTGGGTCCATTGCATGAACTTTACGTGTATCACCCACGTTCCCGTATCCGTTACGTGGGACTAAACCTCCCTATTATTTGGAACCCTTCCACCAATGTTTACGGGTTGTGATTGATATGACATCTATGTATGCATGCTTCAGAGGTGTAGTATCTATGAACAGTTAGTGCCAGAAGCTTGCCTTTCGTTGATGTTGGGTCTCACCTCGGTTACAACCTATTTTCATTATGTTTTGGTTTCAGAACACCCATGGCTTCAACTTCAAGAACATGAAAGCTCTTGTCATTGATGAAGCTGACCGAATACTGGAAATTGGATTTGAGGAGGAGATGAAGCAGATTATTCGACTTTTACCGAGTAAGTTGAATCTCACCTTATCCCTGAATTTCGCTAGGTAGAGTCATTGGGAAATGGCTGAGGACTGGCACTGTTTCGATGTCCTTTGTTTCACTGTGCATACTTTGCAGTGTGGGGGGGGGGGGGGGGGTGCGCACATGGATGTATGTTAATGTGTCGTAATGCATGCCTACGCTGATATGCTTAATGTGCAAGCAGTCCGAACTTGTGTGCTCGTGCTATTTCTGAATTGTGTGATGTGTGTCCACCTGTGAATCGTTCCCGACAGAGCGGCGGCAGACTATGCTGTTTTCAGCCACTCAAACCCGCAATGTTAAGGACTTGGCAAGGATCTCCCTGAGCGAGGCTCCCCTGTACGTAGGTGTTGATGATGACAAGGATGCATCAACGGTGGATGGTTTAGAGCAGGTTAGTACGTTCTTAGAGAGCATCTGCAAGCTTCAAATCTTGTTATTTCGCTGTGGCACAAGTTTCAGTAGTTTTGCTGTAAAAACGTGTAGTGCTAGTGTCATCATACAGTGTAAGAACACGATAGGTAGACTTGGAAACGAAAATATTTTGTATAGTTTACTGTCTTTATTGTGCGTTTCGCTTTGGCTTGATGCTGGTGCTATGGAATTCTCATCTCTGAGTTTTGGCGGCGTGTTGCAATGTTTGTGATTTGAGTACGCACTTTAATTTACTCATCGCTTTATCAGAGTTTTTGGTTTTGCAATGTTTGTCTCCTTCCAGGGTTATCTTGTGGTGCCTTCCGAGATGCGGTTTCTGATGCTGTTCACTTTCTTGAAGCGTAACCAGGACAAGAAAGTCATGGTATTCTTCTCCTCGTGCAATGCAGTCAAGTATCACTCCGAGTTGCTCAACTACATTGACATCCCTGTCATGGATATTCACGTGAGTGATTACCTGTACTGCTGTAGTGTCATTTCCTTTGTAGACTGCCGGCTGTGAGTCTCATGCACACTGGGCAATTTGCTGGCCCTGGTTTGGCTTTGTTTTCTTCTCCTTTCAAAACTTGACTGCAAACTGTTAATGTTTTATATCCACATCATCCATGTTGCCGGCGGCCTATTCTGCTGTGTATACCAGTCATTACCTTGTTCTCCATTAGCATGTGTACTTGTAGTTGATCATGAGTTTGAGCTGACAGTCGCCTGACCCTCAGGTATGTTCTTTCTGCCTCTGCTCTGATATGCTAACTCCAACTGCAGGGTAAGCAGAAGCAGAACAAGCGTACGAGTACGTTTTACTCGTTCTGCCAGGCTGAGAAGGCCATTCTTCTGTGCACGGACGTGGCAGCGCGAGGTTTGGACATTCCTGAAGTGGACTGGATAGTGCAGTTCGATCCTCCGGATGACCCCAAGGTATGTAGTGTATGCACTCTGTAGAGGAAGGATTTATTCTTTGAGATGGTAGAGTCGATGGGTGGGGCTGCAGTCTTGCAATGCTGCACAATAGTAATACCCCTAAATTCCTATTCTGTTCTTTGAGTAAACGTAGCTATGAGTTGGTTTGCCTGAAAATTTGAGCTTTGGATTTCATCTGCCAAGTACGCTCAGATATGAGGGTACTGTAAAGAGAGAAATTTTCGCTAGAGATTATATTTTGCTATTTTCGTGGCCATCACACATTTGCGAATATAAATCGTCGCACACTGCTCTGTGCATTGATTGTATACAGTACAAGATAAGACTGAAGAGATAAAATCGCAAAAGTTTCTCGTCCTGAACGAGCACAATTCTTGAAAACGCGAACTTTGTGCGCCGCAAACATTTGTCGCTTTACAGTACATGTATATCCAATAGTAGAGAGGTTCCGCACTACGTAAAGTTGAGCAACTTTACGTTAGTGGGCGGGAAAAACCCGTGAATTTGCGAGTTTGCACTCCACTTACGGAAAGTTGTCTACGTAGAGTACGTAGATAGGGCTCTGATAACGTAGCTGGTCCGTAAGTGGATTGGGGTGCGAATTTATGACTCTCCCCAGGTCGATCTGGTCGTACACTGCCGCGTTCGGAGTTGCCAAGGGCAGCTACGTGATTTGAAAACTCCGTATGGCGGAACCCAGATGCGCATGCAGTTTACGTAAGACTTTCCGTAGATCAACTACGTTTTTTACTCACGTACTTATGTTATGCGGAACCTCTCTAGTGTGAATATAAACCGTACATTCTGCGTTCACTTCACCACCACCATAAACGTACAGTTTAGCAAGCCGGAAATTTCTTATTTTGCATTTTTTGAGAAAATCCAAGAAATCCAAAAAGGAAAATATCTTCAGGGTGATCATTTCAAAACAAAAATGCCAGCAAACATTGGGCAATATAGTTCAAAGCTAAATATCAACATGGATCAAGCAAATATTGGTCATCACTGCTGCACAGAGCTGAGGCTGTCACCTTGCAGGGCATCAACAACGCTGGTAACATGGGTGCCTTGGAGGTGGTACTGGGTTCGACAGATATGGTGTTGTTTTGAGTATGAATTAACGAACATGGCCTTTTCAAGTAGTTCAGTATGATCAACTGATGTTTGTTGTGCACACACACACACACTCTCTCTCTCTCTCTTTCATTGAATAGGAGTACATTCATCGAGTTGGCAGAACTGCACGCGCTGGCACCAAGGGCAATGCTCTGCTCTTTTTGCTGCCCGAAGAGCTCACATTCCTGTTCTTCTTGCGGCATGCTAAGGTATGTCATTGTTGACGCATATTTATTGCCATGGCCTCTACTACCCTTTAGCTTTACCTCTGTACTTTAGGTTTGCTTGTTTTATTTTCATGGTGAGGCTAATTCTGAGAATCACTCTGTCCACAGGAGCGGCAGTTGAGACTCCGAATACGATTTTTCCAGTGCATCATTTCTAGATTTACCATAGTTACAAGCAGTATTTGAACGGAAGGATGACACCTTTAGCATAACTAAGATCAGAGGCCTCATTGCCTGGAGCAGTTATCGTATTTTCCGCAGCACATGTATAAGCTGCACTTCAAACACTTGTAATTCAGCCCAAAAACGCCAGTGCGGCTTATACTGCGATGGTCAAATGAATGGTGATAATTATATTATAGGGTTGATGTCTGTATTTTGTGACAAAAATCTGGGTGCGGCGTATGCTCTGGAAAAGACTTTAGCTGTCTGCAGAATTCTGTAACTAGGATTGATAGGTGTGTCCATGTGTTTTTGTTTGTTTGTTTAGGTACCGCTAAATGAGTATGAAGTTGCACCTAAGAAGGTCAAAAACATTCAGTCACAGGTAAGCCGTGGACACGAACAACACACGCAGCAGATTGCACTGTTCTTGGTGCATGATCTACACGCAAATGTCATGTAAATACAGTGCCGGCGGTGTGGCTTGCATCGGGATTGCGTTGCGACTTTCAATCTGCTGGCTCTGTTTCATGTGTTGTATAATTATACATTCCAGCGGTCAACAAGTGGTTTTCTCTTTTTCTCACCTTAGCTGGAGAGACTGATTGAGAAGAATTTCTACCTCAATCAGTCTGCGAAGGAAGCTTACAAGTCCTACTTGCGGGCATACGCTTCGCATGGACACAAATCAGCATTCGATGTCGACAAGCTCGACCTGCAGCGTGTGGTGAAAGCGTTTGGCTTCTCCGTTCCGCCTCGCGTCAATCTAGGTATGTGTGTGTGTGTGTGTGTGTGTGTGTGTGTGTGTGTGTGTGTGTGTGTGCGTGCGTATGTCTGTGGGGTGTGCACTGCTTGGTTCAGTGATGGTGGATCATAGCATATCTGAAAGGGGATGGCGTCTGGCCATTGTAGGCTTCCCAGTAAGGAGACTCAGGATGTATTGTATGTAAAATGTGTATTGCACTGTGAGTATGAATTTGCTGCGCACGCTGTAGTGTAGTATATGCCCTGTATTGGAGAGGATGGTATTGTTTCTATTTGTTTTTGCGTTAGTTTCTTATGTCACTCTGCCAATTCTCATTTTCTGTTCCTTCAGGCGTGCACAGTAGCAAAGGCAGCCGAATCCAGCGTCGTGGTGGTGGCGGCGGCTTTGGCCAAGGCTACCGGGAGTCTGGAAAGCAATCTGTCAAGTCCAAGCTGTACCGCCCTGGAGGTGGCAAGCACCCGGCACAAGCAGCTGGAAAGCGCCAGTTTTCAAGATAGGGACCGCTGACTTGCGCTATTAGACATCCTTAGCAAAAGTACGATAACGCTAACTTTTACGGTACTCACTCCCAGCCGTGACAAAAGACGTTATCAGATAACGGAAAAACGTTACAGAGCTCAAAATAACGGGCCGACGTTCGTTATGGAAATTCTGCAAAAAATGCAAAAACTCGCATTGTTTTGTAACTGGCGGGAGATAAAAAGCACGTCGTGCAGATCGAGATGAGATCGAGAGTCGAGATTGCTTCCTCTTGTGACATTTAGCTTTTTTGGCGAGTTTTGCCTTTCAGTTGACAATTTCTGCGTTTTCTGCTTCGTGCCTTTCTCCCTCTATCCCATCTGGGAAACAAAGGACCAGTTCCACGGCACTCCTGAGGAAGAAATTCATCGGCCTCTCCCAGACGTGCTGGAGCTGGAGAACCCTTACAGTCTTCGGTGCTGCGTTTAGGAAAGGGTTTCCAAGGACCTGGGAACAGCGAAAACTCATTTTCGCCGTGCTTTTGCTATTCCAGAGTAAAAGACCTCGCCAAGGTATTCTTTCGGAACGACATCAAACTAATCCCTGGTTCAAAATTTTGAATTTCCCGCATCTGTTTCCACGAAAATTCATATCGCCATGGTTGTCACGACTACTTCGTCTCAACTATAACGTACTTTGTGCTAAGGGAAAAGTCAGCTTGAACGATCCGAAGTACGGAAAGGTTTGCGTTTACGTTAGCGTTTTTTTAGCTAAGGATATCTATTGATTCACCGTTTCGGCTGGAAGCGGCGTACTGTCTATAAAAAGTCTACCTTTGTACAAAACACATGATGTACATAAAATCTTGAACATAACAATAGTTTGTGATTCGTGTTATTGGTTGTTGGGAGGATCTAGTTTTTTCTTCTTCTTTTTTTCTGATCTATGTCTAACAGTGATATGTAACACATACTAGTACTGCAATCATGCTGACGAGGAGGGTTGCTCCTGATATGAAACGTAGAAATGTTCACACATTTTAGGCTTGTATATACTAACCACGGAGTAATAAGAATACCTTTACTTTTAACGTACTACCGGTGCATGTACAATCATGTAGTGCTTTACGACTCCAGCCGATGTGTGACTGGCAGTGCCATCCGCCTTCTAACCCCGCTGCGGATACATTTAACTGCCACACATGTTCATGTGGTGTCAGAGCTTCTTTTGGCAGTAACAAAAGGCTTTTCGGATAATCTCTGTAGAGCTGCACCAAGAGTGAATTGTATGTATGTATGTATCTTTACTTATATTATAAAAGAGAGGCACCTGTGACGTGTGTCTGTGTGTGTGTCACGCTCCTTATAAAGAAGAGGCACCTGTGACGTGTGTTTTTGTGTCACGCTGAAGCGCTGCGGAGCAGCGCTGCCCTGAGCACGCGAAGCGTGCGAACAGTGTAGCACAGTGTAGCTAGCGGCCGCAGAAGCACTGAGCACGCGAAGCGTGCGAATCGTGTAGCTAGCGGAAGCAGCCACAGAAGCACTGAGCACGCGAAGCGTTCGAATCGTGTAGCCACCACCGTGCACCACGCGCTGAGCACGCGAAGCGTGCGAACAGTGCTAGTGTATATGTAGCCTGTAGGTACGGTGGCATGGTAGCGCTTATACTGTACTGACACGATCAGTACGAGTACATGTAGCAGTAGCAGCCGCGCGCAGAAGCACTGAGCACGCGAAGCGTGCGAATCATGTAGCCACCTAGCCTATAGGCCATAGGTAGCACTAGCAGCCGCACAAGCGCTGCGGACCACGTGAACCGTTCTCTGCAAATAGAAACATCTGCAAAAAAAGGATACAAAAGATCTGCACTGACTGCACTCTGCATCTGATCTGCAGTGAAGAGCGCATCGCACTTTTGTTCGTAAGTTTATGAATTTTTTGAGCCGCTTCATCCGCCACCAGGTGATGGACAACCCTGACCAGCCTCCCGAAGGTGTAACAGACGTCCCTCCTTCTCTTTCCAATGATGAAGAACCTCCCTCACCAGGACTTCAGCGGTCTGGCCACCACCACGTGCTGAGCACGTGTGCTGTTCATGTACTTGCTTCACCCGCATGCCACATTCGGCCAGGCAACGCTGGCGGGGGTGCTGCTAGTGTATGTATATTTTTATTTGAATTCGCAAGTACACACGGGCTACAAGCCCAATTACATGGAAGCGAATGCCATAATGAGGCCAATTAAGAAAAAAAAGGTGGAGGAAGGAGGAGGACGGTAGCAAAGCAACAGGGAGGACAATTCAGGACCAAAATCAACAATTGCACAAATGTGAGAGCACCTGAGACTGAGGGTACCTGTGGAGCGATAAAATGCCAAGCAAACAGAAGAAAGGAAATCACAAGCCAATACACGCTAAACTTTTTTAAATTACCAGTACATGTGTGTACGTGCAACCAGTAGTCCAGAATACGTCTGACCACTCGATGGTACGTGTAGATCTACAAGGCGCATTGCATCGTCAAAATGCCATCAACTTGAAATTCTGTGGGGACAAAGTGGAGTTGCACACTCTTGCAAGTCGGAAAGTTTTTGATGCGACCAGTTTTCCGAGGCCGGAGCAAGCAGAACATGGTCTGGCCGATCCTGAACAGGTGCAGTGCCAACCAAACGCACAGTTTTGGTGAATCCTGTTCCAACGTTAGGTTGGGACTTCCAAACACGCACGGGTGTGTTTCGTTGGTAGTTTCCCGGACTGTCCCCTTGGAAAAACGCGATTTCGCGGCCGCGCAAATTTCGCAGAAATTGCCATCATCCGCGGAATCCACACTTTTGCCTGCGGATGTGAATTTTTTAGGGTAAATTAGTAAAATTACTACTCAGAAAGCAGCAGAAAAACTACTCTGCGATCTGTTTATTATTATTATTATTAAATTTTTAATAGGTAATTGATCACATCGCTCTTGAAAGTGTAGGGACATGTTCAATTGGTAAGGATCAGGGAGTCGTAAAATATTTTACGACTCCCTGGTAAGGATCGGGATCCAGATCTCAGATCCGTCGGATCCTTCAGAGTCAACTGGACACTTTTCTGGGCGTTGACTGTTGCCATGCTGACGAAGTAATAAAAAGTCGCACTCACCGCACCAGTTGTACAAAAAGTCAACAAGCTCTATCTCGATCCACGTGTACGTGTGCGTACCACAATGTGTACAAACACGATTTTTACCCGCCATGTACGCATAAAGGTCACATTCGGATCCGCTCAACCCTGCTCCCCGAGGTGGGTTGACCGGATCCGGATTTGACCAATCGAAAGGGTGCGAATCCAGTGGATCCGGTGGATCGGGATCCCGATCCTACCAATCGAACAGGCCCTAGGTGAGTGCAGGTCTCTCCAATCTCCAACAAGATTCTTCACTCTCATTCAGTTCGTGACTGCACAGGATAGTAGATATCCTTAGCTAAAAAAACGCTAACGTAAACGCAAACCTTTCCGTACTTCGGATCGTTCAAGCTGACTTTTCCCTTAGCACAAAGTACGTTATAGTTGAGACGAAGTATTCGTGACAACCATGGCGATATGAATTTTCGTGGAAACAGATGCGGGAAATTCAAAATTTTGAACCAGGGATTAGTTTGATGTCGTTCCGAAAGAATACCTTGGCGAGGTCTTTTACTCTGGAATAGCAAAAGCACGGCGAAAATGAGTTTTCGCTGTTCCCAAGTCCTTGGAAACCCTTTCCTAAACGCAGCACCGAAGACTGTAAGGGTTCTCCAGCTCCAGCACGTCTGGGAGAGGCCGATGAATTTCTTCCTCAGGAGTGCCGTGGAACTGGTCCTTTGTTTCCCAGATGGGATAGAGGGAGAAAGGCACGAAGCAGAAAACGCAGAAATTGTCAACTGAAAGGCAAAACTCGCCAAAAAAGCTAAATGTCACAAGAGGAAGCAATCTCGACTCTCGATCTCATCTCGATCTGCACGACGTGCTTTTTATCTCCCGCCAGTTACAAAACAATGCGAGTTTTTGCATTTTTTGCAGAATTTCCATAACGAACGTCGGCCCGTTATTTTGAGCTCTGTAACGTTTTTCCGTTATCTGATAACCAGGGAGTCGTAAAATACTTTTTACGACTTTTTACGACTCCCTGCTGATAACGTCTTTTGTCACGGCTGGGAGTGAGTACCGTAAAAGTTAGCGTTATCGTACTTTTGCTAAGGATGTCTAGTGTGAAAAGTGTTCCGTGGCATATCCTCTACGGTACGAGGAGGGTGACAAACTTGCAGAAAGTGTCGCAGAAAAACCCCGTTTCCCCCACGGAATTTTGAATTATTGGCCGCGTTTTCCCAAAGGGACAGGATTCTGTATCTTTCTACTTGTAATCGCATATTTCGTCACCTGGTGTGATGTTTGCCTGCCACTGTTGTGCTTCCCAATAAATACTGTGTATGAAATATCGTAGTCTTGTATAAAAGCCGTGGCTTCTATGACTTTCTTGGTGAAATTTTGCAGGCTTCTATACAAGACAGGTATTTCTACAGTCCATTTCAAAACTATAGACGCGTAGGGTTTTTGAAATATTTCAAATTTGGCTGGAACTTTTTGAGAATAGTTTTCGGAATATTGCTCAGGACCGCTCCACAATTACTCTCATATAGTTTCTAAACGATTGGAGAACAGACGCCCAATTTGGAAAAATTTATGCACAAAGTGATCACAGATTTTATGTGGTATAGATGCTGGCATAACGGTTTTTGCCTAGGTACGCGGCTATAGTTTTGAAATGGACTGTATGTATGTCAACACTAAAACCAGGCTTATGTGTGATTTGATGGGCCCAAATTGCGGCTTCTATTCAAGTGCGGCTTTTATACAAGACTCTACGGTACTCCTTTAGGGAAAAGTGCAGTGGTATTATTGAGTCGAAACAAATTCTTTTGAATTCGATACCGTTGATGGTGTGTGGTCACTAGGGGTGAAACGATTAGTTCGAATATTCGAGTATTCGTTCAAAAATTTCAAACGAGCGAGTATTCGAAATTTTACACTCGATCGTTTTTTAGTGGCATTCTATTTTCAAAAACCTTTGTTGTACCGCTCGTCCACTGGTAATCCTGTCCCTCCAGAAAGTTGCGGAGACATTTCGGAAATATCGCGGAGAAAGTTGCGAGGTAAAATTGCGGAAATTGCGGCCGATATTGGTACATGTACTGTAATGAGGTACAATGCACGAGTCGTAAAGCATAAATCATGCGTGACAAAACAGAACGTGTGCTGCGCTGTAATCGATTGCGACTGTGTTCAGCTGATTGACAGGAGCTTGCAAGACAGCTTTCCTCCATCCTCGGACAACACTCGACGCAAGCCTTATTTTGTGACTTGTCAGCCACTGATTAGCCCAGAAACTTCTCCATTCTGGTGTTGATCTCGCAAGTAAACTACTAACGAGCTTGAAGAAGTAAACAACATCAAAGAATGACTCGAATATCGCGGTTGCTTTTCGAAATATCGTGGATATCCCGGACTTTTGTTCAAATCGCGGCCGCGGAATCGCAAGTTCCTGGAGGGACAGCTGGTACATGATATGCATGCATTATGCATGCCTTTGAGTCAGTATTTTATGACTTGGACGGTGCGATCACCACGGCAAGTAACGTTAGCTACAATTGTAGTTAGTTATGAGATATGAAAATACTGATGAAAATCGTTACTTTACACTCTGTACAAGACGTTGGCGACTTTTGTTCAATGTTCACAGATAATTTCTTCCAAATTGGTCGAGAACTCACAAATCTAGCGCGTTTGAATTTTGGTAAAATACTCGAAATAATCAGATACTCGATCGAATATCATTAATGAGTGATCGATTGGTCAAAATAGATACTCGTTTCACCCCTTGTGGTCACTGATGAGTGTGGGTATTTATCAAAGGTCAATATGATCAAGTCTTAGCAAAAATTCGCACTGGATCGAATGCAAAAACTACTACAGTAGTCACGTGTGGAAGAACGTCCAGCCTGAAATGCTAAGACTGACGGCGGTGTTGGTTTTCCGGCAGCTTTTGGGATGCAATCATATGATCCAGTACAAATAGTGTCTAAGAACACGCTATAACATACAAATAGTGACATTTTGATATGCAAGAGTTCGTCGTGCAATGTCACGTGATGCGGATGACACAGGCAGCATACCTGGAGTTTCTAAATGCACAGAAATTGTGCAACATGCACACACACGAGAAGCATACTGCACTCTACCAAGCACCCTAGTCACAGACCAGTGGGCCTCGAACACCACACGCCAAGACAAACAACCGATCATAGTGTTACGGCAGCGGTTTCTTTATTGGAATACAATTATGCATTCTCACGGGCTTCGCGCAGACGGCGGATGGCAGAGCGAACGGTCGCTGCGGTGGTAGTGCTACAGAAGCAAAGAGAAAGAAAAGACAGACAATTAGAATACTAGTAAACATCCTGTAACCTTGGTGCAAATTTAAAAGTACGCTATAGAATGTAGATTCTACACATACCACAGCCTGTCAGGATGCCTCTCAGGTTTACAACTTTACATGCATACAACAGGAAGTTTACACCGATCTGGACAAACGGTTGGTACATTCTTCGCAGATGCAATAAAGGCCAGGGATACAGAATTTATAAATCTCGTGAACTAATAATAGACTCGGATGGAGAGCCAAGGATTAAAATTTAAAGGATCAAAATGTTACATGTTATCCGTAGTTTGTGTCCAACACTAACAGCAAGATGTTGCGTAGTCTGAAAGTGCAACCGCTAGCACAATACTGACTGATGTGATACTGACATTCAACAACCTGATGTTAAGCTCTATATCACGCCTTGGAGTCGCAAACCAACAGCCGTCCAACTTGGAAGGTGTCAGTATCACAGTCAGTGTTGTGCTAGCTGTTGCACTTTCTGACTACACAACATCTTGCTTATAACTGTTAGTGTTAGACACAAAATACGAATAACATGTAACATGTTGGTCCTTCCTTTAAAATTTGAAAAATGCAGATATTGATAGCAACAGGATGGGCAGTTTTAATTAACAAAAACAGACTAACTGCCCATGGAAAAGGAACACGTGAACATCAGTAATATGATATAGTGCTAGTAGTAGTAGTCCCACCAGGGCCATGATCAATGTAACATCGACATGTAAAATTGTCGATTTGTTCAATACACATTCATAATTATGACTTTATAGACAAAACTGCCAGTTACAGAAATGAATAGTCGATTAATGAAAATGGTAGGGACTACTACCTCTTGGCAGTATGGACTACGATGCGCGCATGACCTTTACTCAATAGTGGGCAAGGTACTAAATTTCTACAGTTGAATTCAAATAATAATAAATAATTGACGAACTAAATCAATTCTCAATTTGATGTTGAGAAAATCGCATGACACGGGACAGCGAAAAGTAGGTATCAAAATATTCTAAGCATGGACAACGAACAACAGCACTCAATGTCATTACATACCTCACTGTCCATGCACCGCCGGCAATGGTCTTCCTGCAGGTCTTACGGTTGCAAACCCAGATTCCAACACACTTTCGCTTGAGGGATTCCTAGGACATCAAGAAATAATTATATCAATCAGAAATCAGTTTTCTGTTCTGCTAGTTCTGATAGGGATCGACCAATATTTATCGATACGTACTTTTCCGCAGAAAGGGCAGGAGTATTTCGAATGCTGCGAAATCTCCATCTTCTTTATCTGCTTCCTAAGTGAAGCACCATATCTGGTACCATACTTGCCGACGACTCCGACCTTCTTAGTCCGCTTTGCCTATGATTTACACAGCATAACAGCATCCCCAGTCAAACAAAGGCACAATCTCCTTCTCCACAAGGCAGTTTTCAGACAGCTCCATTCTTCAAGGTACAAATCTCAGGCCAAAATTCGCACAACTCACCATTGTGAGATTAGTTGCCGAAAGGAGGAAGATGGCGCAGCGCGCATGCGCATATCACGCGCCGGGCAAGGAGAGTTCGTGCCTAGCAACGGTTGCTATGTAGACGCTACACCGTAGCAACCGTACCAAAAACTGATGGAACACACTACTGCTAGTACTACACAGCTTCCCGATTTTATCGATGCCGAGTCGAGCAGCGAGGGGAAGACCTCGATGCAGATATTTGCGATCAAGAGAAGAATATAGCGCTTGTTCTGTTGCCGCTGCTAGGCGGAGCAGTGTGGCTTGAAAACTCCCAACCTATGTTAGAGCGATCACGGACGTGGAAAGATGTACAAGCTTGATTTGCCAGTCGATCAGAAAGAAACAAGAGCTCGAGAGAGGCGACGCCTGCAGGAAGAGGAGAGGAAGAAACGAATCTTCAATCCTAAATCTCGCACCATAGGGGTAAGTGAAATGCTCTCAATATTCAGCTACACTAGAGCAGTAGAAAAACCTACATTGTACATGCTCCCTGCATGTACTGTGCGGGTATCACTAGCTTTCATATCTCGTGCGAAGAACGATGGTTGTTGTTGTTGTTGTAGAAGTTTATTTAACGTCGCACCACAAACAGGCGATTTCGCCTCCTTTGATACATGTGGACGACAGAAGGAATGAGAGAGAGAGAGAGAGGGGGGGGACAGAAGTATGGAGAGAGGAAGGGTAGAAATAAATAAGCAATCAACCTCAGGGCTACACCAAAGCAAAAACGGAATGGGAACATACTATATACAAAATAGCTTCATACATATATTGCAAAACACGTTTACTATTCTTCAGTCCGCTATACCACAGAAACACACTAGCCGAAAAGCATTTAAACGGAGCCATGATGCGCTTTTAGCAGGGCACAGAACTGAAGGTGGCTGGGCTCGGAACGGAGATCAGGCGGGAGCTGGTTCCACAGGACTGCGCCGATGAACTGCATGGTCGCTCGACCCGCAGGACCGGGCCAAAATGGTACTCGAACGAGGTGTTGTGCTGCTCCCCGAGTGCGGTCACCAGTAACTCTCACGAAGAAGCTGGTGAAGAGGGAGCTAGCTCGGGAGAACAGACAACGACGGACAAAGATGAGGAGCTTAATGTTAAACATGTCCTCCAGGGTGGTGAGGCGGAGCTGTTCAAAGATCGGGCTCGTGCGCGACCACGGTGGCAGACCGAAGAAGCCGCGGATAGCGCACTTCGTTAGACGTGTGAGGGGCTCCATGTTGCCAATTTGAAGTGACGGATAAAAGGCGTTGGAAGCGTACGACTACCTACCCTGGATCATCGACCTGTAAAACAGGATCTTTGACGCCAGGGTGAGGCTTCGGCGGCTCCGCCACAGCGCACCTACTGACTTCCGCACCTGCTGGATTGAGTGATTGACGTGAGGCTCCCAGGAGAGCTGCCCATCTACCATTACGCCCAGGTACCGCGCTTGTTCCACAACTGCAAGGGCTGCATTCCCACAGCGAATTCGAATGTTATCTGTGTCAGGGGCTGGGCCTCTTGGGGTAATCAACAGAGCTTGCGTTTTCTTTTGGTTCAGCATTAGTCCGCGGTCCTCCAACCACTGCGACAGGCCAGTGATGGCTGTGCTTAGAGAAGAGCACACTTGTTCGCAACTGCCCGAGGCTTCAATTGCAATGTCGTCTGCAAATTCCTGGTTTGTGACCTGCTGGGGCAAGCAGCATCGAAGGTTACGGATGTATAGTGTGAACAGGAGGGGGCCGAGGACGGATCCTTGCGGCACCCCTCGACTGCATGCGACGTATTCCGAGCAATTTCCGCCCACGACTACGCGTTGAAGCCGCTCACTCAGGTAACTAGTGAACCATAGCTGGACAGTACCGCCGACCCCAATGTCGGATAGCTCCTGTGCCAAGATGGTGTGTTTGACACAGTCGAAAGCCTTCGACATATCTACGAATATCACACCTGTGAGTTTGCGCTCATACTTCGCTTTCAGCCAGCGATTGACAGCTAGCACAAGAGCGTCCTCCGTACTGTGGTTCTTCCTGTACGCGAACTGCGAGTCAGGGAGAATACTGTGATCGGTCAGAAAGGATGTAAGCTGAGCTTTGACGATCTTCTCGAGGAGGCGAGAAACGACTGGTAGTAGAGAAATAGGTCGATCGCAGTAGGCTGACGAGGGTCAAGCCCGCCACCTTTGAATAGCGGCGACACATTAGCAATTTTAAACTGACGGGGAACACACCCCTGACATAACGAAGTATTGAAAATGATGCTGAGCGAGGGAGCCAGTATTGATGCCGAGTTTCTAAGGACAATACCCGGCAAGTCATCATGTCCAGTTGCTTTTGACGCGTCAACGGACTGGAGAAGGGCCGTAATGTCCTCCGTCGAAACAGGCGCAAATTCCGTGAATGCTGGTGCTTCACGTTCGGCTGGTGCGTTGGCGCACAGCGCGTCTGGTCGTCCAGGGTCATGTACAACTTCGCCAAAGGTTCGGGAGAGGATTCCAACAGGTACTTGTGGTGGGCTTGAACTTTTCGCTCGTCCAGTCACCACGTTTATCGTATTCCAGAGCTTCCGTCCATCCTTTCCGGCCGACTGTAGGCGAGCTTGAAAATACTGATCCCTTAGCCTCCGATCTAGCTTGCGCGCGGCTGCGCGGAGAGTGCGGTGTTGCTCTCGCAGGCGGACATCGTTTGGAGAGCGTGAAAGAAGTCGGTGGGCCTTGTTTCGTTGACGCACAGCAGATACAAGTTCAGGACACAACCATGGGCAAGGTCGGCGCCTCGGCTTACGAGGAGGTTGTAAGGGGGCGTGACGATCTAGAGCAGTAAAAACCTTTGCGTACCATTCGCTTATCATTGCATCAACATCATTCGACTTGCTGAAAATCTCAAGATTGCAGTCCTGCAAGTCAGCGTTAAAATGCTCCCAGTTTATCCTCCACACTCGCCTCTTTCGAGATGCGACTCGTTCGGACTGCCGGGTGGCGACGATAATGTTGGCCACAAATGCGTATGGTTGAAAGCATAATACATGTACATGTACGTTCAAGCGATGCTCGGAACTAACTGTACTTGAACTGGCTTGTAGTACAGTCGTGTACCGCATTTTTAGCTTTCAAGTTGATGGGGAATCACCGTGAAATAAGTTGCCCGTACAGTATAGTTTGGCTTCACAACTTATATGCTAACCTTTTCTCTTCTCTTCTATGCCGTCTCCTTGTGTTTGGTCGAACGACTAGAAAATAAAAGCACAACAGCTACCGGATAGTGTTCCCGTCTTGATAATGGATAAATATGGTGTAGAGTATTACTAAGATTTTTCACCTACATGTACATTGGCAACTCGCCCACTGTGTGGCCATAAAAAATGTGGGCATAGGGAATTGCCGGCGGGGCTGACGATAGCGATCTCTGTTCTGTTGACCGGCTTGTTATGATCAGGTTGATGTCAACTCTCTGGAAGCCCAAGCTGAAGAGCGCTCCAGGCAGCGAACTCTGGACAAGCAACGAGATGAGGCGTTTGCGGCGGACATGAAGCGCAACGATGAGATGGCATTTCTCTTGGAGCAGCGGCAAATGAACGACAGGCGGCAGATCGATAAGGAAATCATTGAGTTTCGGGAGCGACACCAGCGCATCGAGGACCGGCGAGAGTTTGACATCTTCGATCCCGACAGCAAACGTAAGGACCGGCCAGCCAGAGAAACCGATGATGATCCGCGTCTGACTGTGTCCGGCTTACAGAAATTTCAAGGCGAAGATCTGAACAGCCCGGCAAGAGTTAAGCTCCAGAAGGAGCAGAACCAGGCCTGGCTTCACCAGCAAATGGAGGAGAAAGAGAGGACACGTCGTCAGACTGCCGAAGCAGACCGTCTATATGCACTGAAGATGAGAGAAATGGACGAGCGTGCAATGAGTCTAGAGTTAGCCGATCAAGACGCACGGAAGGCATTGCTAATTGCTGAGAAGAACTACCAAAGGGCACAGGTAGGATGGGGACACGAATGAAAACTTCTGAGAATTGCTACGGTTGGGTAAATTTTCAATGATCCTTTTCGTATACCCTGAGAATCGGTCATGCCCAAACATTTGGTGAATCACTGGTGACAGTGACACCTGCAGCAAAGAGAATAAATGTGTGAGTGTTTGGTCTGGGTAAAGTGATATCCAATCCTGTGAGGATAGTTAAAAACATGCATGCAGCCACAGTCAATGCAATTGGCACAATATCATACAGGTTTGCCACACATTGGCATGCTTCACTAGTATCGCCAGTACATGTACACATGCTAATTCACTACGTGTATTGTGCATATGATTTCCTGCTTGTTGTAGAGTGACGAAATGGTAGCGCGTCGTGAACAAGACAAGCAACAGGAGCTGGATGACAACTTCACGGAAATGTCAAATGCTATACATGGTGACTTGCTGTCCGAGAATCCGTCGGTTGCAGCCAGTGCTTTCGGACCTCATCGGTACGCCAACCCGTGTTGCCTGGTGGTGTTTTCCATGTGGTAGCTGGTGTTAACTCTGTGTGCGCGTGCCGTGTGTGTGTGTGTATGTGTCATGCGTGATAGCTAGGCATAGTGAGAACCTCTCGGAGCCGGCTTATCCAATCTGGCACATCATGCTTCCGAGCTAGCCACCTTCATCACCACATGCCATCGTCATCTGAATTACACCGTGCCTCGTCTTGGGTATTTCCGAGACTTGGACACCCCCTATTTCCCCTTCCTCGATGCATTCACCATATCGACTGTCCTTTTGGAGTGCATAGCTAAGCCTTGTTCTGAAGCATTGCAGGATGTTACGATTAAAGCTGATGGTGGTTTTGCCGGACCCGGTTAATGTTGACTCCCTGCAACATGTGTTCTTTTGATGGCAGGGTCATTCCCGATCGTTGGAAGGGCATGAGTCCCTCTCAGGTGGCGGAAGTGCGTCGTGTTCAGAATGAGCAAGTTCTGGAGAAGCAGGTATGCTCATTGCACAGTATGCACTGAATCCATGAATTAATGTATATGTACATAGTATGATACAAGTCATCATGTGGCACGGTAACGGTCTATGACAGTCATGTGGATATTCAACAAGTGATGCAGCACCGATGGTGGAAAAGATCGTCGGGGTTGAACTTGGACTGCCCATGCCTATACTTCTTATGCTGCTCCTGTTTAATATCCATGACATGTTATCAATGTGCAGCCCTGGGAGCCGCCAGTCAGGCCGCTATGTAGCCAAGCACTCTAGAGTTGATGTGATCTTGAGTCTTGATGTCATCGCTGTGTTATGATTGCTGATTTGCTTTGAGCCTCGTTAAAGTATAATGTGATTGAAATGCTGGTCTGCTGTCACATGATTCAATCCACCTTGACCAAGACAACCGATCATACGTAGTATTGAAGTTCCTGGGTGTTTTTGGCTGGGCTTACAGCAGAGTCGTATTTGGTATCGAGCATAACTACCTGTAGGTACGTCAGTTATGCTCGATACCAAATACGACTCTGCTGTAAGCCCACACTTAGCCACAGTACTTAAATTTGCCATCAAGACACTGCAACTGTGCGTGCATCATCGAATTACACCCACTTCGGAAGTGACTGTATGATTTGCTTGTTGTTTTGCTTATTGCAGCGCCTCAAAGAAGCAGCAGAGCGCGAAGAGCAGGAATGGAGTAGGCAGCGTCTTGCTGATGCTCGGTGTGCCCAGCTTCTCGAGCGTCGAGAAAATAGGACTCGTAAGCAGATCCTAGCTGACCAAGCCTTGATGAATCAGCAGCTACGTCAAGAGCAGCGAAAGATGTAAGACTTAGTAATATGTATTGTTCACATGATGGTATGAACACGTTTGAAAGGACCGTGGGGCGATGTACACACACAGTGTGTAGCCATACCAGGATACAACACAATGAGCCACTGGAATGTTGTACCAGCAATCCAGCATATGCCTGTATGGAGACTGGAGATATTGACTTCTTCAACAGCTGCACGCTCGAATTACAAGTTGCATGTTCAAAAATGTTTGACCAGGCAGTGTGAAAGTCATGAGCTTTTTTATGCCTGATAGGCGATTCACACGACCGGCAAATCCACATGCACCGGACCGTTCTATGGTATTTCACCGGTGAACGAGAAAAGTGGCTGAAAAGTGCAAGCGAGCTGGGGGCCCACTTTCCCAATAATCGTGGTGTGCACGGGTACACGTACACCAAAAAGCGAGAAACATGACATGACGCAGCTCTTTTACTCCTTTCTTTGCGCCGAAAATTTGAAAAGAATTTGAAATACCCATGGCAACTGGTGGGGAATCATTCAAAAATGCAAACGCGCCTGTCGTCGAGTGCGCCGTGTGAATCCACGCAGTCACTTTTCTCGTGAAGCACTTGCTGTGAAACGGGCAAATGCCTGTCGTGTGAATCGCCTATAACCCAGCGTGTGGTTGCAGAGGAACTTTAAAGTTAACTGGCCGCTGGGTGCATGTTTGAAACTTGCAGTCGTGATACCTGACTGGTTGTCTTGGAACTGCTGTTGATTTGACCTACAGGAAAGATCACCTCGACAGGGAAGTGTACACAAACCGCCCTGCAGAAACGTTCTTCTCCCAGTTCAACACGACCACCCGATAACTGCAGTACTATCGCTTGCTCTGATTTGATGTACAACATGAATGCGCTTGGTAGCCATGCACTAGTCTTCCTGGAGGTGCTCGCAAACACCGATTGTTGAATACGGATCAAAGGCCAGCTGCTTGTCTATTAGAACGCTATTCAAAAGTAGTCTGATTGTATTACATGTACAGTTTAGTTGTAGAGTGTGTTCCCAAAGGTCAAGTTAGTTGAGCCCGTCGATGCAGGTAAAGAAAATAATTATTATGTTTGTTTGTTTTGATCTCCTCCTAGCCCCACACACTATAGGTATTTGGGAGTGAGTCCCGCTGAATGATTCTGACTTGATTGGTTTGTTGAGCTTTGTTCTGTACAATATCTGGCTGCACGTCATGTCCTGTGCGCTGCGGGTCACGTGGCATTGTATTTTCACAAATGTAGACGCTTCATCAGTGCATGTGTGGTCTGTGTGCGTGATGAGCATGACCATTCTGACAATATGCTTCTATTATCCGAGCAACTTTCAAATGCATCGGCGCCACCCACATGCATGCCATGTCTATTGCTTACACACACAGACAATGGCACACAGTATCATTTTGAACTATTATTTGCATGGCTCTTTATGGGCATTTCCTTGATGCTGTGCTGTATTCGTGATGTCACAGTTTCTGTCTCTGATCGGATATCCGACATATATCCACAGTGTAGTGCGGCATGTATGGAGTACGCAGAGTTAATATAAAAATGTTATTGGACTGATAATGGTCCAAAGCTTTTTGGGAAGTTTTTGCTGAAATCTGGAGGCATAGCCAAACCGATGATTGAGGATTTGCGCCGACAGTTGCAGGAGCCAGTCATGGTGTGCCGTGATGTGGTGAGCGAAAAGAGTGCTACAACAGTGCCATGCACGGTATGGGTTGTGGGTCACCCCGGCATAACCTCAGAAAGTTGTAGTCTAGTCAGGAAATGGAACTGGAAGCCCGGTGCGTAAAAGCATGACTCAGCTTTGGATGATATCAGGACTCTGGCGCATGCGGCGCCAAGATACCTTAAGACATGACTGTATTATCAGTGCATTTTAAAAGAAAATAGCCAAAGATTATTAAAAAGTGGAGAAAATAATTATAACTATGCGTACTGTCACTACATGTACATGATTGTGCAACAACCAGGCCACTGGTGATTCTCAGGACTTTCAATACGGCAACTTGCAAAGCAACATAAAAGCCTAACGCTAAAACGAAGTTTTTTAACAAATCGTGACTTGGAAAAACGGCGGAGATGTCATGTATTCTGAGTACTGTGGTGATATCCTGAGTTGTGCAATATCAGGCTATGGATATCCAACTGCAGCGTGTGGATACTCAGCTGTATATATACGCGTACAATACGTATAGATTATAACAAGAGACCGAGTGTATAATAATAGTAGTACAGGTCGCATGTCTCCCAAATAATGGGTTCCACGCATCTGTCAACTGTTTCATCATGAAATAGATTGCAGCAGGAAGAATAGCATACGAAAAAAAACATAAGACAGGTTCTAGCACATGACAAGTACACGCCATTTTTTTTTACACCGATGTACATTTGTCAATGAAGTCCAGCCATAGCTTTTTGTCCTGTGCAGTGTTGAGGCAATCCTCGAGCGTGTGTCTGAGAGGGGAGATGTATGTATAATTCTATTATTTTAAAATACCGGCCGCAGTCATGGCATGGTAACTGTACACGGTCGGTATTAAACACAAAGGGAGGCATGCACATATGCAAGCCATCTCTCACAGCGAGTATACACGTGTGACAGTAGTCAAATAAGCACAATAAAGAGCTGTATCTTCAAGGCGCTATTCTGCTGTCTTCTCACCTTTAGCAATGTATGTGTGCATGAACTACAATAATACTCAAACAATATGACATGGAAAGAAGGGAGAACACCAAAGATACACGCGATGAAACTCGGCGATGAAGTCAAAATGAAAAGTCGAAATATTCTAATCTAAAGAAACTCTAGGCAGATGTATCAAGGTTGTGTAAAAGATTCAACTCAACTACAGTATACTACTCAAGGTGTGTAGTAGATCTACATGTCACCACTACACTAGGCTACAATTGTGACTGGGAGCGAATTTTTTGTGTGGGCAATCCATCAACGCTCTTGTCGGTGTTGGTGACCAGCGGAGACAAAGGCCGTGGCACCAGATTGAGAGCGCTCCTGACTTGCCTCAGGACCGGCGACTTGCTGGAATGCCTGCCACCATTGGCCATGACTTCGGCATCAGGGCTGTTCATGGGCGTACTCTCCGGCGTCGGAAATGCGCCATTCTTTCGCAGCTTCATTAATTCGTCAAGTTTTTCATTCTTCTTGACAACCTTGAAGAGTCGTTCCATCGCTTCTCGAGAGCCCTGGGCCTTGCGAAGGTCAAATATCCAGGCGAACTGATCGACACTGATGATTTTCAGATTGACTAGAGCTTCCAAGTGAAAGTCCAACTTCATGCAGATTTGCTTGGCTGTGCACTGGTCCCGGTGTTGGGCGGTCGTTCTCTTTGGTTCTGGAGTAGAAAGCCGCTCTAATATGCTGGGAGACTTGGCACGGTTCAGTTCCGGGTCAACAGCAGGGGAAGTGACCTGTTCAACCTGCGGTATGGATTGACTGTCGGAGAGATCGGTGGTGTCGTATGCTTTTAGTTCTCGAGCAACCCGAATGAGCTGCCTGGCCTTCCTGTCGGATTTGATGATCTCGGACATAAGGTGTAAGCCAGCCCTGTCCCCTTGGATATGGCGTTCGGCCATAATCCTACTATATTGTTCACCAGTGATCAATTTATCCGGCAGAAGGTCCTCCAGAAACCAGTCCATATGTAGGCAAACTCGCTGCACTTTGTCGGGGACTTCATCTGGGACATGATCCAGCGTAGCCGAGCCGAATGAGCTGGCAATATCTCTCTCGGCCTGGAGAACATCATCAACAGGGCTAGGATTACTGGTACCAGCGCATTCACCGGAATCATTATCACTACATGTATTGCTCTCGACATCTGTCTGACTGACGAGTGGTGCAGAAACTGAGTCGTTAGTGGTCCTCCGGTCACACATTACTGCCACGGAATTGACCGGGCTGAGATGCCGTTGCCGGCGGTCTTTCCTCTTGGATTGCCTTGACTTTGGAGTCCGAGATCGCTTCACAACCCGGCGCTCAGATTCTGAATCACTGTTGTCCGAGTCCAGCCCGCTGGCATATCCACTGCCACTCTCTACCACAGTCTTGGGCTTGGTAGATGGATGCTGTTTGGAGCACTTCCATCTCAGTACTTGTATGATGAGTGCGGTCATGGCCACTCCAACGGAGACAGAGGGGCAAGCGACTATAAGAAGTTTCTGTAGACTCCAGTGTTTGAACCATGGGGTAACGGGGCTGGGCAGTGGGAAGCACTTGCGACACACCAATGATAAGTTAAATGTGTTTTCCCAGCCCGATGGCTGCTGTCCGGCAGGGTGAAGCATAGGTGGGCTGGAGTGTGTGTAGAAGGAGTTACACAACTCCTTGACTGGCAACAGTTTGAATTTGGTGTTGTTGGCATTGAAGTCATGCTTTTGCGATAATGACTGCAGAAGGTCAGGTATTCCCAGGAGCTGTGAGATAAGCTTGCCGCTGGGAATCGGCTGCTTTTCTATTTGGGTACCAGATAATGAACATGCAACGTTAACAATGTGATCAGCATCATCAATCTCACTGCACTCCATTTTCAGTGCCTTCAGGTTGGACAAGGAGAAAGTTTGAAAGGACAAAACCAGGCCGTTCGCGGGTATGTCTGTGCTGTTTGCACTGGGTAGATTGGGTTGAAGCGAAGTGGACTTCACCGTCGTGTAAGAGTATGATGACGCATTCCGCCTGAACAGTTGATTCGTCACATTCCACGCCAGATCTCGAGTTATTGCTTGCTGCGTTTTTCTATAGCATTGTGTCAACTTCGTGCCGATGTTGGTGAGGATATCCTTGAGAGCAGATGCATCAAGTGTGGTGGATACAAATAGTGCAACTTGAGAAGAAGAGCAGGGAACACCAGTCGATAGGCCTGAAGAACACACCACATCAATCCCACAAGCACAATGACAATCGAATTACACTACATGTACGTTTTTTTTCAGCTGAGGAAGAGATACATTGACTACCAGTACACAGTACTGTCCTGGTCGCATCCGCTTGAGAGAAAAAAAGGCTCAAGACTCACAAGGTTCCCCTTCAAACGTGTATACCGGTACTGCACGACTTTGATATCCATAGTTAAAACCAGGCCAACGTGGGAAGAGATTGAGACCAGTAAGCGCAGTAATCCGGTTATTAGGAGAATTGGAGGTGATCAGAAACACCGGCCTTTTTAAAATACATCAGTGGACTAAGACTTCGAACTGCTTAGCGGTAGGACAGGGAAGGAAGAGGGTGACTAACCACCGCCCAACAAGCGCTAAATTAGCGATTTCGGCAAACTCCTGTTCATTTCCGCCGTTTTACGGACCAGTGCGCCCACAGGACAGGGAATGTATAATCACACACACACACACACACACACACACACACACACACACACACACACACACACACACACACACACACACACACACACACACACACACACACACACACACACACACACACACACACACACACACACACACACACACACACACACACACACACACACACACACACACACACACACACACACACACACACACACACACACACACACACACACACACACACACACACACACACACACACACACACACACACACACACACACACACACACACACACACACACACACACACACACACACACACACACACACACACACACACACACACACACACACACACACACACACACACACACACACACACACACACACACACACACACACACACACACACACACACACACACACACACACACACACACACACACACACACACACACACACACACACACACACACACACACACACACACACACACACACACACACACACACACACACACACACACACACACACACACACACACACACACACACACACACACACACACACACACACACACACACACACACACACACACACACACACACACACACACACACACACACACACACACACACACACACACACACACACACACACACACACACACACACACACACACACACACACACACACACACACACACACACACACACACACACACACACACACACACACACACACACACACACACACACACACACACACACACACACACACACACACACACACACACACACACACACACACACACACACACACACACACACACACACACACACACACACACACACACACACACACACACACACACACACACACACACACACACACACACACACACACACACACACACACACACACACACACACACACACACACACACACACACACACACACACACACACACACACACACACACACACACACACACACACACACACACACACACACACACACACACACACACACACACACACACACACACACACACACACACACACACACACACACACACACACACACACACACACACACACACACACACACACACACACACACACACACACACACACACACACACACACACACACACACACACACACACAGGTGTGTACCTAGCACCAGTATGCACGGCTGTATTGTCTTTCATTTCCTTTGCCTAACGTTTCGGTAGCTCTATCATTATGATGTCTACCCTGTACACAAGAGAGATTTTTTTACTTGACTATAATCTACCCTGTAAGAAGATCCACCGCCTGTTGTTGGGTCCGCCCTATCAGATATTTGATAACTACATGTACATGACGGGTAGCTATTGTATTGACTATAGTGTAGAATGCCTTTCTCAGGGTTTCTCACCATCTTGATAATTGTCACCATCACTTTGCGGGCGTGATGATGGAGTTGCTATAACCTTGCGCTGAGCCTGAGGACGCCACGTCGCACCATGGGCGACATCACCGCCACCAGTACCGCCAACGACCACCCGCTCAGCCCGGGGTGGTCCTCCAGTGCTAGGCTTGCGCCATTCGTCAGAAGCCCGTCCTCCGACAAAGCCGAAAGCAGCCAGCAGCACAGTGATAGTCGCAAGGTACCGTGGCAAATGTTTCGGAGTCATCATTGCGGAGACAATGACAGCCGGTGGCACTCAGCAGACGCCCTCACTGCTACTCAACTAGCTTTCTCTCCCGCCCGCTAGTGACTGATCATAGCCGATAACTGGGCTTCCTGCCGATCCTGGATGGAACGTCGGGTAGGGACAGTTACAAGGTGGAGGGCCAAATCAATCTCACGAACAACTTGTTTCGCGACTGAGAGTGAGAGCTGTGTTGGGAGTACGATACGGCTACAGTACACCATCAATTCAAGACGCCAGTGTTGGCTCGGCTCCGATTTCGTTATGATCCAATCTGTTCTTATCGCATGAGGACCCTAAATCTAAACGTTGAGTAAACACTGACGGTCACTGTGTACAGTACATGTATGGCCACATGTCATTTGTATTCCAAAATAACTTGTCGGACGGGGAATCTACCTGCTAAGCAGACACTTGCTCAGCTGACCAGGTCAAAAGTACTGGTCTTGTTGGTCTTGTCAATCACAGTGTATCATGTGACATGTGACTTCAAATTGTGTGTGTCCGAGCATGCATGGAGTCTTCAAAGTCTGACGCTGGTCCCGCCTCATCAAATGCTTCCTGGGAGAAGGACACAGGGCTAGGGGCCTCAGTGACTCCCTCAGCTTGCTGTCTTTACCGGGATGACAGCTGGAGCTCTACGTGTACATGTACATGATTGTACATGTACATGTACCTGTAGACTTGTAAGAAAACCGTAGATCTACATAGTAGTCTACATGTAGCTCGTCCGTACAGTCAGATCATGTCAATTATTGTAAGCTCTACGATGCTCCGCCTTGTGCCAAAAAGCCCCGGCTGTCGTACACACTGAATATTGTCTTGATGACTGTCAAGATCAAGGAAGCATAGTATAGGGCCTAGGGCCAGGGGTTCTGCTTCATCCTCATGTAAGACCTGGTGGCCCTGAGTTGTCTTCATAACGTCACGTGATGATCGGTAGACCAGGCCAGGGTCAATGTCAGGGATCGATCCGGCACTACGCTCCCCTCGACATGTTGCCACAAAATGTTGCTGCGAAATCTTCGATATTTCGCCGAGCCTAGCACCAGGGAGTCGTCAAATACCGGTACTCGTACTGTACAGGCAAGAGTCCATTATTAGTCGGTTCGAACGCACTTTTATTGATGTACGGGTGTTCAACACTGATGCGTCTTCGAACCGCACCTCCTCTCTCTCCGCCTGCTACCGGCACCACGAGCAAGAGAAACGGCGTCGATACGATAGGAGAGTCCGAGAAGTGGAGCGGTCCACTTTTCTCCCCGTTGTGCTCTCTTCCACCGGAGGGTGCGGCAAGGGTGCTGCTGCACTGGTGAGCCGGATTGCACACATCCAGTCGCTACGTGGAAGGGAGGCGTATTCTTTGCTCACCTCCGCTGCAGGCTGGCTTTCGCCTGGCTGCGTTCGAGTGTCATGTGTCTCGTGGGGCTTGCCGAGTTTGGCAGCCTCCAATGGATGGCTGTGCATGTGCCTCCCTGGCTGTCGTGGAGGCTAAGGTCAGGAGTGAAACTTATTTTATAGGTGTCCCGTTGAGCCTTGGCCCGTGATTGTGCGGACTACCGGTATGCTATGCTTCTCTTGCTCTCTGGTCACGTATGACGTCATCATTATGACTGACTTGTTTTCCAATCCTCCGTCTGCAGACCTCCGCTGCATGTTCTGTTCGCCCGTAAAAGAGGCTTTATTCACTAGCGGATGATGCAGGTGCTGGGGACAAACTAGCTCCATTACGAGCATGGTGGAGTGGGTGGTCTCACCAGCAAGGGTCCATCGTATGGATACCACATCAATGCTGCCAAATCGGTGTTGCTTGTGAAGCCAGCCCATCTTGACCGGGCAGAGGCGCTGTTTTCTGGGACAGGTATTGACGTCCGAATTGACGGCTGTCGATACCTCGGAGCAGCCATCGGTACTCCGACTTCCAAGAAAGCTATATGCGTGGCAAGACCGACTCTTGGCTAAGACAGATGGAGCGCCTGTGTGCCTATGCCCAGTCACAACCGCAGACAGCATACTCTGCCTTCACACATGGGCTTCAGAACAAGTGGTCGTTCCTCAGTCGCACAATGGCAATTACAGCAGCTGCTTTGCAACCGGTCGAGGACTCGATATGATGTGATTACTACTAAGTTCATCCCCGCCATTACTGGATGGCATGTTGGTACAGAGGAGCGGGAGATACTGGGTCTACCCTGAGACATGGTGGCCTGGGCTTGGTCGATCCGACCACCCTCGCATCCCAGTATACATCATCTTGCCGCATCACTGTGCCCTTGCAACGCAACATCAAGGAGCAGCTATTCGAGCTTGGCAACGCCGCTCAGCAGATCCGTGCTTCCAAGAAGGACGTACAAGCAGCTGTCCGTAACGCTATCAAAGCCCATGCTGTTGTTCTGCAGTCATCTATCTGCTGAAAAGCAAAGAATCATCAATCTGGCTTCTGAGAGGGGCGCCGCCAGCCGGCTCACTTGCCAGACCCTTGAAGCGCCATGGGTTTGCGCTATCTAAGGCAGAGTTCCGTGACGGAATTCACCTCAGGTACAACTGGCCACTCCAGCGCACACCCTCTACCTGCACCTGCGGAAGGCAGTTTTCCATCAACCATGCCCTCTCCTGCCCTCCTGGTGGACATCCAACCATCAGGCACAATGAGGTGCGCGATGTGACTGCTTGTCTCCTTCGCCGGGTCGCCACTAACGTATCTGTGGAGCCCCACCTGGAACCCCTCACCGGAGAGCAGCTACGCCTTCGCTCGGCAATCCGAGATGATCAAGCTCGGCTGGATGTTGCTGCAAATGGAGTATGGGGAGGGCAGTTTGAGCGCACCTTTGTAGATGTCAGGGTGTTCAACCCTTTTGCGCCTTCAAACCAGTCCTCCTCGCTCTCTGCTCAGTGACGTATATCCGGCATGAGAAGGCCAAGAAGACTGAGGTCATACGAGCCGCGGCTACGGGATGTGGAGCACGCATCATTTGTCCCGGCTGTATTTTCCACCACAGGTGGAATGAGTAAATGTGCATCTGCTTTTTACAAGTGCATTGCATGTCTATTGGCTGAAACGTCTAGTGAGCCATATTCAGTTGTGATGTCTTTCATTCGTTGCCGCTTGCCCTTGTGAGAGCTAGTGCGATGTGTGTGTGTGGAAGTCGCTCTCTCCACTCTGCTCACGCCCCTGTCACATCTTCTGCTCTTGTACTTGTAGTTTCGGCTGAGGCATCCATTTCGCAGCACTGACTTGCCATGCCGTGTAGTAATAAGGTATCGGTCCGTACAATCATGTATTTAGCTCCTCATTGATTTTTTACCAGGCGTGGGCCATCCCCTGTTTTCATAGGTGCCAAACATTTTATGTTTCTACAGTCGTAATAAATACTTTAGTACTTAGTAGCTAGTTGTGACTTTATTCACAAAAAAATCACGTAAAGCTAGCTAGCTACGAACTCATTGTACAAAATACTCGTACAGCAGAGTGAGTAGATCTACACACATACGGTATAAAAATTCAATGGTATACCGTATCATACGCATCTACGCAGTGCCAGTGTGTCTCTACATGATCAGTGAAGCTCGAAGCAGGAGATTTGATTACGTCACGCGCTTGATCAGGAAGCGCTACACGTGTTTACAAATACAATGTTCAAAAAGCGAAATTTTGGTCAAAACGAAAAAAACAAAAAGTGATCAGTCAAGATATTGCAGCCAGTGAAAGAGAGACAAGGCTTCTTTCTGTCGCCTTATTCCACAAGAGAAGCTTTTGAATAGCAGTAGGGCCAGAGTATGCTTGAAACTTTCAAGATGGACAGTAAATAGCAGAGAAAGGATATTTTTGGCGCTCGATGATATAGAATGCCATTGTAACTGCTTGGTACACTCAATGTAAAGTGTGGATTACTTGAATGGAGTTCCCAGGCTGATCACTTCTGTGTTTGAGGTTCTGCTGAAACTTATTGCCTATGCCAATGGCGGCGAAATCGTCCTTGTCTGTGGAGGACAATGCGTCGAGATTAGCTGCGGAAGACGCTGAAAATCCATTGTTGTGTGAGAATAGTTCAAGAGTATATGTGGAGAACGTTTGTTTTGATGCAACCGACAGACAACTCAAGAAATTCCTCAGCACATTTGGTACAGTTCATAGTTGCGTAATCCAGAGGCATACGTCGAAAGGGCGCCTAAAAAATGGGTGCCTTCTGTCGCGTGGATACGCCTTTGTCCAGTTTGATTGTCCTAGCTCAGCGCAGAAAGCGATGGCAGCAGATGACAAGCAGCTGAAATTTCGACGACGTTACCTGAGAATTTACCCAGCCAAGAGAAAAAGGTATGGTGCTGGCATGGATTTGGAAAGCTACTATGAAGAGCCTGGCCAGGAAAGTCTTGTGATTGAGTATCAACCTGTCAGCTGCCCTGGCCAGTATCAGACGAAAGTGCCACCCGAAGACCTAGTCCAGGTCTTCCAGCTGCTTGACCGTGTCGACCTGCTGGTTTGTGCATCGATATGCCGCCAGTGGTACCATGCCACCCGCCTGACCTGGTCGGCTATGAAGCAGCTTGTCTTTAGCGAGCACGACGCACCATCTTCTGCCTGGTATGCGCTGAACAGCAGCGATGTGTTTCACTACTTGAGCTTGACCAGCTTTCATCTGGAGGAGCTTGTCATCAACCGGCGCTGTAAAATGGATAAGGAAGGCCTTATCATCATTGGCAAAGCTTGCCCTCGACTGAAACGGCTGACGCTGACGCGTGTGGCGTACACAGCATTTGCATGGTACCGTCTGACTAAGAACTGTCCATTGTTGGAGGAAGTGTGTCTGGAGGGCTGTATTGATGAAAAGTCCATGCGCTCTCTGCTGCACAACAGTCCGCTGAAGGTTCTGAAATTGTCTTGGTTTGTAGGCACTGGGCGTTCGTTTCGCTGCCTTCCACCAACGTCCCAGCTGGAAGTGGTATCTTTCCAGCACTGTGATCTTTTGGAGTCGAACAACCTGTGTCTGCTGCTTACACGCTCTCCCAGCATCAAATCTCTCAATCTCTCCCACTGGTTCCTGTGCGATGTGGATTTCTTCCGGTGCCTGGGCAACTTGACACCCAGCCTGACATCTCTCTGCCTAAGAGCCTCCACTCCGACTTCTTTGTTCTTTCCGAATTTCCATGACCCGGCTTTTGAAGTAGGCAAGTACCGCTCTATGCCGCCACTACCCTCACTACTTCGTCTAGATTTGTCTGGCATACCCGTGCTGACTGATGTTGTTTTGAGGGCCGTGGTGAGCAAGCAGAGTCAGTTGCAAGCTTTGGACCTCAGCGAGTGCGTAAGGATCGGCGATGCAGGGATGGAGGCCATTGGGGCTCACTGTCCTGACCTGCGTGTGCTGGACATCAGCTTTGCGCAGTCAGTAACGTCATCCGGGCTGTTGCATATAGCACGTGGCTGTGCCCTCCTGGAGGAGCTGTACCTTCGCAACTGTGAAGCACTGGATGACTCAGCGCTGATCAACATCGTCACGTACTGTCCGAATCTCGTAAAGCTGGATGTATCTGTTTGTTGGTGCTTCTCCAGGAGCTTAGCAGACACCCTGGATGAGCACCGAAGGAGTCTCCCTGAGTCGCCGACTACTTTAGCTATGACTGTTGGTGGCACGCTCATATCACAGCGTGATCCGTCCCAGCAGCTTCAAACTATAAAGCTGTCGCTTGCCACGACTGCTGTTGGTACAATGCCAGTGGATCACTTCCATGTGTATGGCTTCCTGGGACCTGATATTGATGATGGTGATGTCATTGGTGGACTTGACGACCCACTCGACTTTGGCTTTGCCGTTGGCCCAGATTTCCTCGGATTCCACGAGGACGATGAAGATTACGATGACGACCTAGACTATCTCTATCATCCTAACCCCAACCTAGACTGGGTGGATGAAGATGCTGGCTGGATGGGACCTATGGCAGACGATGGCGAAGCTCTGTCGGATGACGACAACGACGACGACGCTGCAGGTCGTGATCTTTGGCTGGATGATATGGTGCTTGGCTGGCATGGTGGTGATGACGGCGGTGGGGATGGTGACTGGGTTGAGGACTTTGAGGAGGATCCGTATGGCGAGTTTGATGGTGACTTTGGAGTGGAATTCCAGCATCCTATTCACCTGAATCTTGCTGGTGCTCATGTTGGTGACATGTCTTGGAACCATGAGCAATTGTTTTGGAATGAAAATCCTGGTGTTGATTTTGTCGAAGCTCGCCATCTTCTTCCCAGGAGACAGCACAGTAGACCACGGCACAAGGCAGTGCACTTTGTTCCGAGCATCGGAAACTGGCTATTCGCCGTTGCACTAGACCTGACTGGCTATGGTATACATGCCACGCCACTGCTGGCTGCACATCACCTTGGCTGGTCAGGTCTTGGAGAATGGCTGCAGAATCTGTGATCTGTGTGTGTGCATGTGTGTGTGTGTGTGTGTGTGTGTGTGTGTGTGTGTGTGTTGGTTCCTTCCTTCCTCCTCTCTCAGTGGCTACTGTTGAAAACTAACGATATAATAACCAATTCCACTGGGTTGATTTTTTGAGCGAGTGCACAGAGTGTCTTTCCTTGCGCTGCCCTGACTTTCACACTGCCAACTTTGAGTTGTTTTACCAGCCTTGTATATAGCAAGTGTACATACTCAATCTTACTGTATTTTATCGTCATGTCTCATATTCACTTTAGTGTATCCTTTCCCTGGTGGAACATAAGGTAATCTTCACTTTTGCACATGTTGTCAGTCCAACATACTGGTTTATGATGGTACTCATTTCGTAGCGTATCTCAGTTCACTCGTATTTAGCATGCTTTGTGTTCTCCACAACCGACCATAGTTTCAGTACTTTCAAACACAAGTGATCGATGATTCCCTTTCCCAGTAAGGCTGTGTTTACATGAGAAATTTCAACCCGGGTCGAGTTCAGCTCGGGTTGAAAGTCTGTGCGATAGACAAAATAGGTACTAGGTGAGGGTTTACATGAAGACAGTTGACCCGGGTCAAATACTGATATGCCGCCAAAAGTCCACTTCTAGAGTCCTGCATGGTCACGTGAATCCGTTCGCGCGAAATTTGCATGTGCAGTGCTGTTCAAACCTGGCGCGAGATACGCACAGAAGTACGTTTGTACGATTTTCTTGACCCGGGTTGATTTCAACCCGGGTCAAGCGAAATGCGTCATGTAAACGCGCCATTCATTTTGTGTGCATGGCGGGTTGAAATCTGACCCGGGTTGAAACGCCTCATGTAAACACAGCCTAAGCTGTGCAAGTACCGAACCTTCCTCCGCGTGTAGCACGAAACTCTACCCACTCCACCATATGCGTTAGCATTATTTTCATTGTTGTGGCACATTCTCCCAATCTCGGATGTTCATAATTCAAACAAAAAAGAGAAGGAAACACTGTACAAATATAAAAGTAGTAAATCTCCTTTATCTCGGTCCTGGAGTGCATGGCACTCGACTAACGTTATGCAGTGAATGCATGCACACACGTACCATGACTATGTAAACGCCGGTTCTGGAGTACACCCTAAATTTAGGAAGTATAGAAAAGTGTACTACACTACTAAGCATCTGTAGGAAAGAGGTGGTTGGCCTCAAGAGCAGGAGACTGGAGGTGCCGGAATCCAGACCGTAGGTGAAGAACCCAGGTGGCAATTAATTTGCTAGTCGTCCGTGACATCCAGCAGATACAGCGTTTGATGTTTGCAGAGCACTGTGCTATTGACTGTTCAAGTGAGGAAGATAGACAGACAGGTCGGGCCAATGACGTTCACATTACGAGGCGACATCGCAGGAGAACATTCAGCCTCCGAGACAATGTCAGTAGCAATGGTGTGCTGCACAGGGCATCACACATGTCTTGGCAAAAGTCTGATGTGGACGGTGTGCCGAGCAATCACGTCCGCTGCGCTTTCTCAACTTCAGAGCCTGCCACGGACAATACATCTCCACCTGCAGTAAGGTGGCAGACACAATACAGAAGTATAAGAATCATTGTTTTTAGCTACAGTCAAACCTCTTTAGGACAAACACTGATAAGACGAACTTTGCATTAGTACGAACTAGGGCCAATCCTATGGTTGACCAGGCATCAAATCAAGTCAAAATTATTCGTTTACGACAAACTCCTATACGGCGAACTTTCGTGATTTCATCAAAATCAGTGCATAGTACGAACTTTCGGTCCACATGCGTTCGCTGGCTGTAGTTTTTCCGTTAGTCGACGCCTCTTGTACGGGCAAAACGAATTTACAGCAATGTTACAAGGCGGAGGACATGGTCATGAATTCATTGCAGTACTGTGTAATACCTGTTGCTGGCTTATGCTATGAATAAATGCTTTACATGTGCCACAGCATGCACCTTCACATAAATGCAATCCATATGATATGCATATCATTTTGTTTGTCAGATCTGGATAAGAAGAACTCCGTATAAGACAAACAACTTGTTCAGTCCCTTGAAGTTCGTCCCAACGAGGCTTGACTGTATTATTGTTTGCGCTGTTTTATCACCTCTTTTTTGCTGTACATAATTCATTGTTCTTGCTCTTGCCTGTGTTTCACCTGAAGAGAAGGCACTAAAGTTTACTTGTGAAAATCATGTTGTTGAGGAGCCGACAGTACATGACACTATGAAGGACGTACTTGGAGGTACTACTGGTACATCGTAGCATATCTATGTATGCGGCACAGCGAAGCCAGCAGCAGTCTAACAAACTAGGTCCGATAGCTAAGCCGTATAGCGTGTGTCAGTAAAAATACAGACACATACAACTTTCAATCCAGCCTTCAAACAAGCACGGCCTGTTGACGAGTGCAAAGTGACAGAACGAGGCAGTACTGGACACGTTACGACGAATACAGCATCATCATTCTGTAGCTCACCAACACTGCCGGAAACTTTCTCAAATGAGTTCAGAGCAGCACTGGAGTTGGAGGAGAGGAACTCGATCTCCTCTGGAGTTAACTGCAGAAGACAGAAGCGCACCAATAGTAACACAAAGGGTCACACATCCGATGAGATTACCCTACTTCACTAAAAGCAGCATACAGCGGACACCAAAGAAACGCCAACGAAGGCTGTACCAAGTACATGTACCAGTAGTATGTTTTAGAGCTAGGGGATTACTAGTACTTCGGAACAGGGCCATTGGATGGACATCCAGTGTACTCCTAGTGTCGCCTTAAAAATCCTGGCAAACTAACTGCATCAACCACTGTTTCCTTATGCATGCATACTACATGCAAGTATTGACATGGCATTGTGCAATCAATGTACATGTATCTTAAACTCCATACAGCAGGCATGCACAGTGGGTTCGTCTAAAACCATGATTGAGAAACGAGAGGTACGAGCATCACGTCCTGCTTGGAGGCGAGTGGATTTTTCAACCGTGCTGCGACCCACGGTGAATTGGGAACTTGGGGTCTGGAACAAGTGTAACACGGATGCAGCAGATGGGATTTCAGCCTTTGGCCTCTGGTGGGCAGATCTGATCTATCCTCTCTCACAGTTTAGGAGCAGCATCTGACACCTAATCATGCGATGGTGTCTCACAGAAGCGGAAAGGTGGTTCTTGACCCGCTCTGTACACTGATCCGTGATGTTTATTTTAACTACATACAGCAGATGCGTGTTGGCCCTCATGAGTACAAGCATCACGCTGGTGCAAGCGCAGTTCAACACAGTGAGAACACAGTGAAAACATACTGCAAGTACAATGTATCTCAAGCACACACACCTTGTCACCGAGCTTCTTCAAAGCGGCGAGGATCTCCACGGTCTGCTGGGTACACAGGTCGTCGCTGATCTTTCCCACTTTGGCATCACGCCGGAGCTGCAGGCAGCAATGGTGAAAGAAGCAAACGGATTAGTCTAGCTATTCCAGCAAACGCAAATAGCACCAGGGCCCATGAGCCAGCACCCGAACACTTGCATGGCACTTGAGCATCTATTGCAATGATGCGTACCCCTCAGCTCAAAACATACCCACACCGTAGCAGAAACACACGGCAAACCCCTCCCTAGGCTAGTGCCTCCTGTGTACAGTACCATTCACTCAACGACATAACCAAGATATGTACCGGTAAGAGCAAATGAAACATGACAATTTCACAAAGAGATAGAATTTGGAGAATAGCAGGACCACACGCCCACAGCACAAGTTTCTAGTTGAAGTTACATGCGTCAAATTAGCTGCATGCTTGGTGCAGTTGCACATATGTCCAGGTCAGCCACTACAACCAATTATTACCTCTGATAGTCGCTCCCTCAGCTGTCCAGGCTGCTTCTTAGCAAACAAACGAATAACTTCCGGTGTCTTGAACGCATCACTGACTGCCGCTTGAATGGCCTGTACAAACAGTCAGGTGTATAGCATGTTATCTTCCTCGATCAACAGACCCGTTTCCTTGCATCTCCCTGGATCAACAGACCCGTTTCCTTGCATCTCCCTGGATCAACAGACCTGTTTCCTTGCATCTCCCTGGATCAACAGACCCGTTCCCTTGCATCTCCCTGGATCAACAGACCCGTTCCCTTGCATCTACAGAATGCCAAGGATCATGACTGGAAACTACAATACAAGTCTCAACAAATGCAACAGTATCGACCGGACCAGAGAGAACTGCTGCCGCTACTCACCAATTGCATAGCACCTAGAGTGTCCACCAGTGTCATGTCACCCTTCATCATCTTGGCGAGGGACTGCTCGAATTCCTTCAACTGGTCTAAAGTCTCCTGCTTGGTCTCGGCATACTCATCCTCATCCAAGTCCTCCCTACGAGAACAGAAGCACAGAGCCACGACAGCAGCAACGCTGATAAGATTGCGAGGGATGTGTATGCAGTGAGATCCCAGGATGGATACCTTGAGGCCACCAGTCCTTTTTCTACTCCTCGTCCTCATCCATGCGGTGTGGCGAGCCCATAAGTGGGATCATTTCCAAGTCCACCCAGAGTCTGCATATTCCAGTGGTGTCAGCCGCTGGCCAGTGCAATAGCCAATTGAGCCATATTTCCAAGATTCCTTGTGAATCTCTCTCCCCTCTTCCGGGGAGACGTACACAACCAGTTTCTAGCAGTGAGCAAGTGTGTGTGTGGTACATGGTGTGTGTGTGTGTGTGTGTGTGTGTGTGAGTGGGCATGTGTGTGTGTCGCCAAGAGTAGACTGGGAACAGTTGGTATTTGCATGGAGATCTAGATCAAGATCACATAGGTTGGACCCGTCTGACGACTCAAGTATCTTGACGAGGTGGAGAGAGTGGTATATAGATTCTTAGAGCCTGCTGTCAAGCATCGGGTCTACACCATTCCCGGTCGATGTTTCAGATGGTCATAAGATCTCCCACAAACTCTTTCCCTGCTATCAGGCTGTGCATTATCTTAAGTGTGTGTGTGTGTGTGTGTGTGTGCGTGTGTGTGTGTGTGTGTGTGTGTGTGTGTGTGCGGGGGAAAAAAAGAGAAAAAAAGACCAAAAAGTAGGGATTCACTGGCCAGAAAAAGCCACTTCATAGCTGTGTGGTGTAGACCAGGCTGAATAGTGGCGGTCAATTCTTCAGCCTTGCAAGCTGTTGAATGGTGCAATCCCAGCACAAGCTGCTATGGCTTCTGCTGTAGCATCGCTATCATCGCCTCTGGCGATGGGCGTCCAATGGTGTGTGTGTGTGTGTGTGTGTGTGTGTGTGTGTGGCGCAAGTTATTCTCTCCAGCTTCTGTTGGACCGCACTGTCAAACTTTTCTACAAACGTGGGTCTCTTGGAAGCCAAAGTACACTCATACCTCGTTTATCTAGGAGGTCCGGGACCAGGAACTACCCGTGAATTTGAAAATGTCCGTAACTCTCAATCACATACGTTTCGAAGGGGAAAGGCTAAAGACGTGATGTCATTATTTCCACAAAGATGATAACAGAGTAGTAATGCTTCCACTAAAACTCGCCCAAAGGGTAGAGGAGACGGTTTCAAATAGGAACGGTTTGACTGCAAAATTGTGTAGACCCAAACTGATCATCAACGTGGATTGTTCACTTGAAATATGTTTGTGGAAGGAAGCTGCCATGTTGAAGTTTGCTTTGAGGCCAGAGTCGATCGAACTGAGTCACTCCTTTGTGTTGGCCCGTTGCCTCCAAGTTGCCCGATTTTCGTTCAAATGTTGGTGCCACAGAGGCGGCTCCAAACAGGAACAGTTTTGGAGGGCACGTAAAGTTCACCCTGAGTTCTGAAATTCAAATTAGGTACTGTATAGCAGGAAATTTTCGGACGGAATTTATTTTCGTACAATTTCGTACACGGCCCCTTTCGTACTAAAATTTGTTCCTGTGAAGTTATGTACACTATACATGCGTGCCGCATGCAAACACGTGCATTTAGCATGCACCACTGTACGAAAATAAAATCCGTACGAAAGGTCGAAATTCGGCTTTGTCCGAAAATATTTCCGTCCGAAAATGTCCTGCTATACAGTAACTGCTATTGCTCCATGATGGCCAGTACAGCGAAATAATAAGCCTTGTGTGCCTCCATTAGTTTTCATTGGTACATGTATACGGTGCTTTATTGGCGAGAGGCGAGCCGCTGTTTACCTGCGACAAGAAGTTGATTTTTCGAAAGACATTCAACTCAAGTCGCAATGTGAAGCAACATGTCAAAAACTCACCTGCTTGGTATGGCACTTCTGGTTATCGCAGAGCCATGAACGTTTGGCTCGGAGTGAAACACATCGCAGTCTCACTGTAACATATGTTTTCTAATAAAATTACCAAGAGAGAAGTAGATATTGAGCCCATTTCGGTTTGCAACCTATTTCCTATTCGAAACCGTCTACTCTACCCAGCAGCCCAAAGTGCCCATCGCTTTGGTGTCCGGATAACTGAGGTATGAGTGCACAGCCAATATTGGGTGATGCTGGCTCTTTCCCCGAGCTGCTGACCCCAGACACCAAAATCCTGGCCAGGACAAGTCGCACCACAACCAGTTTGTGATTGAAGTGGACGGGAGCGCCATTGTAGCTCCGAGCCGCTGCAGAAGTCGGTTCTGGGATTGCCGACACACGATGCAATCAATTTCATGATACAATTACACTATTTGGCAAGATGATTTATCAAGTTGCTGACCAGTCCAGGTCATCCAGTGCACTGCAGAGTTGGAAAATGCTGTGTTGCTGCGGAGCCTCGTATTCATGTCACAACACTGCAACGCCGTTGTCTCCATTCAAACCCCTCATGCTATGTCCATGGCTTCCCAAATAGGCTCCGTGCTGAAATAGGCTCCGTGCTGAAACAGGCTCCGTGCTCAGCACGAAGCAATGCAAAGACGGACTAGTATCACAAATTTCAAGCTACAGTGCTGCTCAATGAAATCCAGTCGAGTCACTCAACTTCTCAAGTACGCGCTGGGTGTTGCACAGCACTAGACCTGCGAACACTGGGCTGCGAAATGGTGCAAGGCGCAAGCTTGACTCACGTGACCAGATTTCATTGAGCAGCACTGTACCTGTATCAATCTGACAAAAGTGTCTTTGTCTCAATACTTCTCTGCGACATACTTCATTTTTTATGACTACAAGTAGAAGCCTTTGAAACTTTTTTTCTTCCAATGTCACTTGTATAAATGCACCAAAAGGCTAGTGCATCTACGTGAATCAATCAACTAATCGCGCTGGTACCTCAGTAGGCATTTCCTAGATTGGTACTCAGTGTCAATGATTTTCGACCGCATCGATACCAAACAGAAACGTGGTTGACTCAGGAATAATCACCCATGCCCATGTACATGATTCTATAACATTACTTTGGAGTTTGGATGCCAAACAAGCCAGTCAAGGTCATACCTGGCCTCCTCAAGGTCTGACAGTTGGGCGACCAGTCGGTCCAGCTGTTCTTCCATGTTGCTCTTCAGCTTCGATGTAGCTTCCTTTCCTCTGCTTGCCATCGTGAGGCTCTTTTCCAGACTGAAATGAGAAGGCAACTATCAATATCTTTGAACTAACTTGAACAGTACTGCACTGGTCTGTGAATCTTCGTTTCAAAGCTTTTCGAAATCAAGGAAAGTGTGAAAAGACGGACGACAGGTAGACCCAGGTGCTCGAAGTCCGTACACGTTTACAGTGTGTGTTTGCCGAGCTGAAACTCACACTAGCAATGATCACTTGCCAGAATCCTGCTCGTGGATGGAAGGTATCTTGTCCAAGTTTGTTTTGAGGCCAGGCTCGATTGAACCAGGCCATCTTTCGATCCGATCTGTTTCTCTGGAGTTCGCTCATTTTTCATATCAAAATTTGGTGTCGCAGAGGGTACTCTAAGTCCGTACTGATCAGAGGTGACTCGAAATACACACATATTTCTGCTAATTGCTAACTTGCAATCCCTCGGTTACGACGAAAGCACCGAAGGGATATGTTTGGCATGTGCCTCCACCGGTATTTCTTGCAAAAGCGTAGTTTGTTGCCGAAATGCAAGCTGTTTTTAGTCGGCTCAGAGAAGAAGCAGCTGCGCTGTGAAAACCGCGGGAAAACAGTGGTGGAGATGCCAGGAGTGTCAACCTTTCTGCAAGGATTGGTGGTTCTCTGTAAATTCTTCGCCTCTGGCCATTGTCAGCTCTAAGCTGGCTCTTGATGATTGAGTGAAGGTCTGTTTGACGCTGTGTCCGTTCGAAATCGGTCTTGGCAAAGTTGATTTTTGCATGAAATGTAACCCAATTTGTATTTCGTATGGACACTCGAAAACCCACTCCCGTGGTATGGGACTTCTGCTGATCGTAGATCCCTGAAAATTGGTACGCGAGGAGAACATACCACACTGTCCCCTCCATAAAATATTTGAGTCGAATACAATAACAGAACATGAAATTATGGGCGTACGAACTTAGGATACCATGTACGGACTTCGAGCACCTGGGTCTACTAGGTACTAGGTGTGGCGGGAACTCGACAAGCTGATTGATAAGCCTCCAAGGCGCTGTACGCATTACGTCAACAATCAAAAAGTAATGATTGTAGGCGACCACGTGTCATGTCTGACTATGTAATTACGTAGATCTACTATTATTACATTAGCCGCCACTACAGGTCACTGTCAGCAAGAGCACATGAAAACTTTTCATGTACTCTTGCTGTCAGAGACCAGGGCACACCAGGCTGCAGCTAGCTGTGGAACCAGTGTACCAGACAGTGGTGTAGATCTACAAGTACAATGTACGTCTGGATAGACAGATCTTTTCATCCTGGCCCTGTACTGGGAGTAATCATGGTAATCTCCCTGGCTATTGGCATTGGTAATTGTGTTCTTGGTGTTTGCCTCCATCGGGGAGTCGTAAAATCTGTCCCCCGTGAATTCCGCGGCAGAATATTATCTCTTAGCCTGTCACCAGGAAACCCTATATATAGGGTTTGACATAACGCTACACATAAAGACCCTATATATAGGGTTAGGACCCCTAAAGAAAGGGTCACGATCAGTCCTCACAACTGGGCACACAATACACACAGTTTCACTTGGTTTTTTTTGATATTTTCACTGCATTGCCATTGATGTTAGCAGGAGCGCTCCTACGACGTGCGCGAGTGTCGCCGCATTTGCTGCTTCCGACCCACGTGTGGATCAGCTGATGCAGAAACGGCAATGGCGGGAGCGGCAGCTGCGACAGCCGCTGTTGATGCTTCGCCTTCTTCTTCAGGAGCATCCGACGCTGCTGGAACATCGACATCATCATCCTGAGTCGACACCAGGTCGCCAGGAACATTCTCATCGCCCGAGTTCGTCTCCACTAACTCAAGTTGCTCTTCCTCCATCGTGAAAAATCAAACCCTAGATATAGGGTCTAGAAAATGTTACGACAGCGCTGCACTAAAACTAACCGTACTCGAAGAAAACAGCAACAAAATGATCACGGTCTTCAGCAAGAGAACCGTACGTACATTCTACGTATGTAGGCCCAGGCGTCTAGTTGCCATAGCAGCCAAGTGGGCTCTCAAGAGAGCTCAAGATAGAACGCGCGGCTGAAAACCCTATATATAGGGTTTGACAGGCTAAGAGATAAGAAATTCCGTACAGAATTCTGCGGCTGAAAACAGTAAATTCTGCGCTAATTCTGACAAATCATTCCAAATTCTGCGGCGTTTCTGTATGGGAGATGACCGTAAAAACGGATTGAATTTCCGCAACACCACCGAATTTTGTTGTCCCTATAAATTCTGAACCGAAATTATACGAAAGCCTGGTCCAAAAAATTGACAGCTGCAAAAAGGTACCGTGCAAGTTGATTTTGAAAGTCACAAGCGGGTTGGTTTGGCTGTGAAATGCACCAATAGCCTCCAGAAAAAGCAGTTTTTCTCTCTTTTCTGCAATATTCCGCGGGATTTTCTGAATTCTGCGGACACTACTGGTTTCTGCAATCCGCGGAATTCACGGGGGACAGTAAAATACCTGGAATGCTACAACGCCCTCAGCCTTCAGCAACACACCCGTACACACACCCGTACACACATACACACGTCCGACCAGGTCGATATCCATGAATCAAGAACAGGTCACACGGCCATTAAAAACGGTTTGCCAGCATTCACCAGTCCACGAGTGCCAATTGAACACACCCGTGACAAGATGAGCACCGTAAATCTACATGGAAGCTGGTAAGCAGTGTAGCCACTGTCACCAGGCTTACCTGCAGTTTGGGTAAACAAAATTGATCCAGAGATAGAGAGCGGAGGGAAGCGAAAGAGAGAAGCGAGGCAAAGCGCACTTGCTGCGAGAATAATGACCCGCTGCGCAGAGACAATGACAAGGCGGCAGAGTAACAACACCAAATATTGAGTTCTAACAGGAACAAAAAGAAGAAGGAAAGCGAAGCAAATCTGAAACATGCATACACACAGGTGAGAAGATAGCAGCAGCTGCAGAGAGTGCAGACTGAGCAGAAAATCCAGCTTGGGCGCGACCAAGAGAGCTAGCACAGCTAGCGATAGCATACATTACCTAGGCGGCACAAACTAAAAGTTACTCTGTGACATGAGCAACAACTCAAGACAACTACTTGTAGTTATGTTCAAATATAACGTCTAACTTGTACAAATGGAAGTTTTGTAAAAAGAAAAAGAAAAAAGGGGGGGGTAGATTAGTGTGTTTCATGGTTAGGTTGCAGCAGCTGAAGTTTCAGAAGTACGACTTGCATATGAGACAAGGCGGGAAGAGGCATAACCTGACATAATATCATGATCAAACATGGCACAAGCAAAACACTAAGGGCAGTACCGCCGCTAATCTCATAGTCAAATGTCTAAATGTCAGCGTGTAGTATGGTCACCGTAGATGCCGAAGGCCAGCATGGGCTTTTCTTCAAATGCAAGCAATGTATTTTATAGATAGAGTATTAAATCGGAGTCAATTAAGCATCCAGCATCACCGTGTCCCAAGAGCGCTCCAGCTATATCCAGCCTAAATAGAATTTTCATTCTTGAAATGCCAAGGAGATTTTCCCTCGCTGCAGCTGTGAAATACCAAGCTTTGACCGTGAACCATCGCCATACTGCAAGGAGACCTAGAGTGTAACAGCATCAGGTACAGCATAACAAGGATATGAGGCAACGCACACACATGGTCCAGTCCCTTACCGAACAATTACTTTGAAGTATTTCAACTCCTACAAGTAGTCTGCTCATAACATGGGATGTTGCATGGGGTGAAAGGCTGGCAAGGAAAATCACTGGCAAAAGCAATTGTGCCAAATTTAGGCACTGGCAAATATACGCATGCATGTGCTAGCTACAGGCCGCGGAGGGAAGTGCATCCAAAAGTGACCTTATACTGTAAGACATGTTATTATAACGAGTCGCAAATTTAACGATTGTCCAAAATCCATAGGTTAACGAGAACATACGATAACGATCTTGCAGTCTTCAGGCATATCCGCACATATGTTGCCTTACAGCCTCAACAGAACTTAGTATAGCGGTTAAAACGTTAGATTTACATGTCGTACAGTAGGCCATTCACACGATGTGCAAACTCACTTTTATCGTACCATTTCCAAGGATATTTACTCACACACGATAAACTTGGACACACGAGTGAACTTGGCCGGGGGGGGGGGGGGGGGGGGGCTTTGTGCTCACGATTATACTTTGCACTCCAGCAAAAGTGTGTCGTTTGTTGAAAGTGCATACTGCAAATGCAGTGCTTTAAACAAAGGAAAATTCAAAATTTCCCGGCATTTTCAGGAGGTCACTATGCATACATTGACGCGTGCAAAGTTTGCCCAGCACCGTGTGACCTGGATCACGGTTTGCCAGTGTTATCTTGGTCACACGCGTGCATGTGTTTGCACGTCGCGTGAATGGCCTATAACCGATTGTTGCCTACACCTCCTATACGGTTGAGCATGCAAAAGCATCAGGCTGGGAAAAGGAACGCGTTGCAGTGGTCATGCCCCCCCCCCCCCATATATCGGTCTAAATCAAACGATGCACATTTCAATGCCTGTACATGTAGGTGCAATAAAACTTTGCAACTCGGTCAAAAAATGGCAAAATTCAACAATGCCAAAGCCTAGGTGGAAGACTAAGACAATGAAAACCTCACCTCGGTTGGCAATATAGATGTTATCGTGGCGCACCTGTGGCCAAAAAGAAGGACACCAGTACATACACATAGGTTTGGTTTACAGCAACACAGAAAGCTTTAGATGTTTCCAACATTTAGGTCAGGGGACACACAAGCGCAGTGGGCCAATGAGTAACGTGCTCGGTGAGTTTGATCGTGAGTCGCTAGCTAGTCGAGTACTCGTAAGTAGGTCGTAACCATGGGCCGCCTGTAGGCGAGGTGTTTTCATACACACATACACCTCTCTCAGAAGATACAACTCAAAACTCCGGGTATCTTGGGTGGCACGGTACGGGATACGTACAGGATATTGTATATTTTCTGCGCTCGTCGGCGTGGCCACAAGCACTGCGCTGCTGCTATGTCAGCTGCAACTTTTGATCAAACATGCTATTAGTCACGTGAGGTGCCAACACCCACACACCCACGCACAAAGATAAGAAATGAAGTGCGGAGGACCCTGGCCAGCGCGAGACACAGCTACCAAATGTCTTTGCATAGCTTGGGATATCTCCATTGCTACAACTAAGGTGTGTGACATAGCAAAGCAAAAGACTAGGCAGAGTGAAATGGCACTTGCTTCAGTTACCAAGAGCAACTTACGTTTGACTGTCCTTCGCATGCTCTTTGACGATGACCTTGGAGCCACGGAGGTACCTACGGATGAGCATAGCAGTGCCAAAGAAACAATCAGCCACTTTAAATGCTGCAACAGGAATCCCAAGCACTTGCAAGACAAAACCATTGGTAAGTGTAAACACGGATATAGGGGATAAATGAGCAACACAACTACATGTACCTTCTTCCAACAGACAACCAGTCACACACACAGTCACACACACGCACACACATACAGTCACACACACAGTCACACACACACAGTCACACACACACAGTCACACACACACACACAGTCACACACACACAGTCACACACACACACAGTCACACACACACACAGTCACACACACACACAGTCACACACACACAGTCACACACACACAGTCACACACACACAGTCACACACACACAGTCACACACACACAGTCACACACACACACAGTCACACACACACACAGTCACACACACACAGTCACACACACACAGTCACACACACACAGTCACACACACACAGTCACACACACACAGTCACACACACACAGTCACACACACACAGTCACACACACACAGTCACACACACAGTCACACACACACATACAGGTACACGAAATGGGGCATTGTGAATGTGATAAGCCACTGTCACACGGATATCTGAACATTGTTGCCATACCAGCTATCTTGGAAGAATAGCTTTCCATCTTCGTAGTGCCCATTGGCTGGCGATGCATCCACTGCTGACGGGGTTTTGCCACGATTCGCAGGCGCAGTGTTGCTACGGTGTGCTGGAGAGACCGGCAGTTAACACAGTTATTGCAGCATATCAGGATCAGGGCGAGATACAAAGTTACCCATATAAAATAGACCCAGACAAAAGGAGAAAGATGGGCCCATGATTAACTGACAACCACTCTAATACACAGCATTCTGTTGCTGTTGCTATTCACATATTCCGAAAACAGAGTTGAGGCACACAACAGAGCTTTGTTGAGCACACACTGTAAACCAAGACAAAGATGATATGTTTAGCGGACTGAGCAAATCACCTCTCTAGCCATCGTACTCCCCTTCAGCAAAACGATCCCCACTCAAGGTCAGTCGATAAGACAAATTTTTTGATATTTTTTAAACTCCCACGCACTCAAACTTATACAATTACAGTTTGACATATTTTGTTGTGACTGAAATGCAGCGCATGATATCGCTAGAATGCTAGATTTCAGTTGTTCGGTGATAGTTGCATTGGACAGCTGGGCCCGTCGACGGCTCACCACAGTGTAGGTGCATCAGTTATAAAGATCCATTGCAGATTTTCAGTGAGTGATGAGAGTTTGAGTGCATGCAGCTTCACCGGCCGCAAGCGATCAATGCAAGTAGAGGTAGTAGCAAAGGGGTAAAATGACACCTACCAGGTCGAGGTGCCGACGAGCTGCTTGCCTTCTGTCGATTCATTAACATTGCCTGGTTCAAATATTTAGACCCAATGGCACAGCATACAAGATACAGGTCATCTCTCGCTCTCACACAAAGACAAAAGTATCAGAGCTGAAGACATACCAGGTATGTAATAATGGGGTTTAAGGACAAAACTCTATGCAAAGTAGCCATCAATTCATTACTTTTTCCTCCATTCTTGGCTTTCTCGAGATTTTTTAACTGCCACGACCCACTCAGCTGTCGCTAATACAAATGGTAGGAACTTGGAAGCAAGTGACTTATATAATAAACCACAGCCAAATGAACGGTAACATAGGATATGGTAGCAGTGATACCAGCACTGTAGATAATACCAATTTACCACACAACATGAAAGAACACGGCACAAATCACAGATAGAATGCCGTGTATTGCACAGTTCCCCGTTGAACACACTCACCCGCCGTATCGTTGCCCAGTCCTCGATAATGTCCATTTCGGGTAACATATAGATGATTACCGGTCGTAAAGAGAGAGAAAAATACTCAGTCAAGGAGAAGGGTCAATGAAGATCAAAGAGTACCCAGTATTGTGAAAAGCCCTCCACCAATCCCAGGCGAGGCCAAGACATGAATATACGAGCACTGCAATACTCGTCATTGGCCAAGACGATAGGAGCCAGAGCACACGGAAAGGAACGTTACCCCGATTTTGTGCATTGTGAACTGTCAACAGATTCTTGTAGCCAGAAAAAGGCACTGATCAGACAAAAACCAGAATGAAAACCCATCCACATGGATACAAGTATCAAGGCAACCGCTCAGTGTTGTTACAAGTGCAGGACACAGTGGGCGCATGGCACTGACACCTCCCACACTTCACCCATACTGCAAGCATGGCTTGCAGATACATCCAAAAAACAAGAAACAACAGAGACCAATGTGCTGTAGTAGTAGTAGTACAAGGAGGATATCAGTCACTGTCACTTTCCGTCTCTTCTCCGGCAAGCCTTCGCCTCTTCGTTGTCGTTTCGGCTGGCGCTGGTCATTCCACACATCTGCAAGCACGGACACAAAATTAACAGTGTTTGTGAGGTCGTCGGAAAGTTTTATATCGTCCATGAAACAGACATTGTATAGTTTGTCCAGTACCCACCTTCTCCTTCCCCACACAAACATCAGAGCTTGACCTGGACACCACATTCCATCAGAACATGACAATCATGTACATGCTTACTGGCTTATACATTTTGTACTATGCGTAGAAAATAAACTGACAGAAAAAGGGTTTCGTCAGAAAGTGTGCTGGCTTGCAAGGGTTCCGGATAGACAAGCGCTGGATTAGAGAGGGGCTACTGTACAAGTGCAGCTTATGTTCGATATGATGTTTCCAGTTGTGTGGCTTCTATTCGAGGGCGGCTTCTATATGAGACTTAACATATGTGCGCTTTTGGAATACCATTTTTTCCGCTGTTCCTGAGGAGCATTTGCACTAATTGGCATAGGCTCAACATGAAATGCAGCAAGATCTTAGAAACCGAAGTGCACAGGCAGTAAGTTGTAGGACTACACCTAGTTGTGGATAAGGCAGCAGGCAGCCGACCTGGCTGAGTAGTACTGGACCCATCAGAATGACAACTTGAATATTGTGCCACAGGTACAAGCTATCGCCAAGTACACAGCAATACGTATCATAAACAACACGGTCTATGTATTCTAATCAAGAGTACATAACCCCCCAGAGTGTGCAACTCCCACATACCCTGCTGTCCCGACAGAATTTCAAGTTGACGTCATTATTTATGACGCAATGCTCCTCGCACCAGTGATTTACGGGTGTCAACGCATCACACGTTTTTCTTTGCAATAATTTGTACAGGATCGATCGGCTTCGGTCAACCACAGGTTCCGGATTCGTCTGATAATCCGTGTACAGTGCGCATTGCATCATCAAAATGACGTGAACTTGAAATTCTGTCGGGACAGCACCCATAGTGGAGTTGCACACTCTGGGGGGTTATGTACTCTTGGTTCTAATACATACCATTCGACAACTCTAAGTGTTGGCAATCTTCCTCAGCACGTTGAAGCTTTTCTTCGAGGTCAGAGCGCATATTATCAAGAAGCGCCTGTCTTTCGCTCTATCAAAAAGAGGGAAAAAGAACAGGTCCAGAACAGCATAGTTTCACTACAAGCCTGTCACACACACACACACACACACACACACACACACACACACACACACACACACACACACACACACACACACACACCATTGGACGCCCATCACCGGAGGCGATGATAGCGATGCTACGGCAGAAGCCATAGCACACACACATCGGGAGAAGGGAAACTCCCATGGACACAACATCCACAATTACCAATCAACTCCATGCGAAGCGGAGCATAACAGTGATGGCACGCTATGTGGGCTTGTAACCAATGATGCCAATCGCCGCATAAATGATTCGATGCCCTAAAGATCTTAAAAAAATTCACGGCCCAAAATGGCTTCACTTCGTTATTAGGTTAGCGGAGAGCATTTGCAGAAGGCACAGCTAACCTCCAGATGTTGTCTTGACTGCTGCAGCTCACACTCGCACCGATTTTGAAGGCCTGTTTTCTGCAGCACAAGAACCAGAACAGGCAATAAAAGCATATAAATAAATAAAATAAAACACATAGAAGCACAGTGTCATGGCTAGCAACTTGCAAAAGAGCCCCCCCCCCCCCCCCACACACGCGTACATCAGGAAAACACCCTGTATTGCACAACGCAGGACAATCATCCATTGACTATAAACCAGAAGCATAGTTTCAGAATCGGTGGTCCGTGTACTAGTATGTGTAAATTTGACAAACATCTCACCTTGAAAGAACGAAGCGTATCTAAATGAGAAAAAAAACGCAAACACACGCACATATACACCGTGTCAGACAAAACGTCCCATCCGGCCACATGTGAACGGAAAGGGCAGACTGCAGGATAGGATTGCGATACCCCAAGCTACCAGTATGAAACTTGTTTCCGGGAGACAATTTACTCAAAGCAGCAAGTATTACTGGTAGGGAAGACAACACAGCAAGGCAACGGGAGCTACTACTGGCTCCAAGCAATATTTAGAAATTCAACCCTGGTAGCCATACCTGCAATTTCCATTCTCTGGCTTTTCGAGGCATCCAAATCTGCCAGCCGCCCAATAAAGAGAGAAGAAATTTCTGCCAAAAACAGAGAGAAGACAAAAAAGGATCAATGAAAAGATCCATTGCTAATAATTGCCTCCTATGATGAATGCCTGAGTGCACTGCTAAGCAAGCACAACACAAGCACCACTACTCCAGTGTCACAGCCCTTGTAGGACACCACACAATTCAGTGGCATTTAGTGTGACACTGCATCCATTGATACTATGCATACCCTGCTGGATTCACAAGTGCACTAAAAAATATCTTCAGTGGCAGTGAGCTGCTGACCCATGACTTTGTTTTTACAAATCCAGCCCACCAGCGGATACCCTTACCCCAATCCTCCGCCACAATGCACCGAGAGACCGTGCTCATACCATTGCTGCTGCCATTCCTTACAATACGCGTGGCACCTCCTTTGTTCCAGCTTGGTGGCAAAGATTACCCTGGGCAATCGACACCCTGACACTATTTGCCGTTAGCACTTGGCCATCCGTGCAAGAAGCCTTTAATCTCTACAGCAAAGCGTATCTTTTGTTGTAAGGATGGCCGACTCCTCATTCATTCCTTTCCCATGGAATATACAATTGCATGCGCTCCCGCGCAGGAATTTCTCTATTCCACGGCCCAGGTGCCATGGCCACAAACATCATCACTTGAACGTCGTGAATCCAATCCAGTTTGAGGCAGCTTGCGAGGCGCATACAAGCAGTATTGTTCTGCCTGCTTCTCCCTGGACCCTTTAGATCGGCTGGGGAAACTCTCAGCTTTCCACAGAGCCCCAGATCGTCAAAAGCAGTGGGTGGGGAGTGAAGTGTTGAATATTGTGGACGAACTGAGTCGATCTAGTTTTGCACCAAAGCGCAGGTGCTGGAAAACCCGGCAATTGTTCTTGTGAAATGATGGACCAACGTCCATTACCACTAATTTTCTTTCCCTGTCATGTCATCTGATTCGGTTTAATTTCTCAGGCTTTGTTTTTCTTCTGCCTGTGCTGTATTGTTACTCATGTGTGTATTTTAAAGAACACCGTTTCAGCACTTGATGGCCGGCAGAATTTACTACATGTACATTGGGCGCATTCGATTACACACAATTTCGTCCATTCTAGAATTCGTTACGGTGCATTCACCGTTCAATTATTAGTACACAAATTCCGTCACCAGAATCGACAGAATCCAATTCTGTCGATTCTGAAGAGAGAGAGAGAGAGAGAGAGAGAGAAGAATTTATAATTCACCCACCAGAATATGGTCGCTCTACGTACACACTATGCTAGGTCCACGCGCGCGAGGGCGAACGTTGTCCCACGTAATCCCCTTTTATAGGCTATTCATACTACGTTACAATACGCGTCACGTTTAGGAATACGACGTACTGGCAGATGTCGTTTTCATGCAGGTGCATTCACACAGGCACGCACACGCTACTCGTACAGCTGTGTGTACAGCTTCTTTTGGACACAAACTGCTGGGAACGACAGAACGAAACTCGGTACAGGGGTCTGGATACGTCGTCTACGTTTTCGTATCAGGAGAACGATTTTCCCGCCACGTTCCATGTTGTCATGGCTATCCGGACGAAAACGTCACGTACGCCACGTTTTGGGCGTAGTGTGAATGGCCCATTATACGATTTTTGTGTGTAGTCATTCGTCTACATGGCCGCGATCCGTTCATTCTGGTCATTCGAGAATTATAAAACCTGGGCCCAGAACGTAATCAAAAGCGCCCATTGAAACTACAATGGTTATGTACAAAGTCAGTGCCAGGAGTGATAGTGTCGTACAGTTGAAAAGTCTCTCTACTAGTACTATACAGGTATATACAGAAGCCTTGCTTGGTAGTTTAACATGTTTTTCGAAATCGAAAAACATGTTAGTACTATACAGACATGTACACGTTATAAGTGTGAAATTTCAGAGTATTCAGGTGCGAACATCTCGGTACAAGCATCTAACTCTCGGCAGCCCGTTTTCATGGATGAGGGACAAATGAGGAAGGCAACTGACAAACTACAACACAATGGCCTCTATTAAACATACATGTAGCAACACATGTATCGCGACACAATAACACCCACCACTGTCAACTTCATGGCGCTGATTCTCGATGTCCTGAAGACGCTCCCTGTACAATCTGCATTACGAAAACAATACGGTTCGATAAAATCTGACTCCAGTGCAGTTAGCAGCACGCAGGAAACTGCCAAAGTACGTACTGTTCTCTCAGCTCTTGAAATTGTTTTTCCAAGTGATTGATATCGTCCGCACACTCCCCTCGTCTCCTTTCTGAGTCTTCTTCATCCACTAACAGCACGAAAGCACAGCACATGTTCGACAGTAAGTCACAAGACACAGTGTAATGAGTTGGCCAGGGCAGAACAACTTACTGGACAATTCATCTTCATCTGAAGAACTCGTTGGCTCAATTGAGTCTTTTTCATTATCGTCAGCTTCATTCTCTTCTTCTTCCTTGCCATCATGGCCACTATCAAAGTTGGGCATCTTGATGAGTGGATACGAGGTTAAATACGAGGCTAACCAGACCCCTAATGTGATTTTGCCATAAACAACCAGACAATGTCCAACGTACCCACGAAACCAAAAGTTTACTTCGACTGCAGGAAAATAATTCTTTCCTGACTTGAACAATTACACAAGACTCAAGACTAGAGACGAGTGATCATGCCTCATGCCTCATGGAACTGTTCATCTAGCCAGCTCGTGTGTCGTGAGTCCCGTGCATGCAGTGCCAGACTGCCAGTGCATGCAGTGGTACATCATCACTGATCATGCACGGTGATGAGTAAAGACTAAAGTCCCGGCCCAGCAGCCAGGCAATGCGCTAGACAGGACCAGGGAGTAGTACAATACTGTACTACTCCCTGGACAGGACAGGAGCTGGACTGCGGACTGCATGCATGCTGGATGCTGGAGCCGCTTCGGGGTCAGGCGCACGGGTTCTTTGTGCCGGGCCAGGGGAGTTCCCGGGATCAGGAGTCGCTTGCCGCGAAAATTTGTCTGTAACGATGGCAACCAAACCCGCAACCAAGTACGCATAAGTTTGCGCCAATCGAGAAATATCTATTTTGCGGAAACGCCGCCGCGGCCGCGATCCCGTGCTCAATGACGCTTGTACACGCAAGCCAAAAGAAGACGGCACTTGAACCGACACATGTGCAGTGTAGCTGTACTACCCGTTGTCATTCATCTTGTGCATTGTTCTTGTTACTTGCGTACAGCTGTGAAATGGTTTGGTGTTGACTTTACCAAGAAATGCCCTCTGCTTCCTTCAAACCAAGGAGAGGATAAGACTGAAGGCTACGATCTGTTCGATCCTGAGGCGCTGTGCTGTGAGGAGTTCAAGAAAGGCATCGCTTGTCATAGTCCTGTTGTGCTCACCAGCACCTCTGCGACTGAGAATACTTCGCTCATGAACTATTTACCTTAGCCCAGCTTGCCGTTCTCTGCTACTCCTGAGCTTTGCATCCCTTCGATGGTGTAATGGAGAGGAAATGGCGCTGTGTGTCCTGCTCGCACCCCAATTGGTCGGCGGCTCCTCACTGTGCATCCTGTTACAAACCCCGAAAAGAGGATGACTTCAATGCCATTCCACTGCAAAACTCTTCTCGCCTTTGCGATGACAATATCATCATTCATCAGACCTCGCCAAGCCGGTGTCGGAAAGGCAAGACTAACTTGCTGGGTGGAAGCTACGGTGGTGCTGTTCGCGAGTCGACGTCAGGAAGGTGGGTATGTGGAGAATGCTCTTCAGAAAACGTGAACAATAGCCGTGAATGCTTTCGCTGCAAGTCGACGAGACCAAAGAAACTGGCCGGAGGAGCACAGTCCTCAGGAGCAGCGCAGTTTGGCGATAACACTGCTGACAGCTGGCCACAGTCCCGTCCACGAAGAAAGTCTCGACGGCCCCACCATGCTCGTGACAAACGTAGTACTAGTGGTGTTGCTACTGTGGCCGTGCCACCAGGTACAGGCAGTGGCCAGGCCAGTCTGAGCGCAAGTCCTTTGCCACCTCAGCAGGACGTTGGAGTAGCTAAACCCAAATGGTCGTGCACTGTCTGCACATTTGAAAACTGGCCGCGCACAGTCAGGTGTGCAATGTGTCTAACGCCTCGCAATGGTCCAGGATCAGGCACCAGCGGTCCGACAGTGGGCACTAGTAGTTCTTCTGGCGACAATCACTCGCAGTCGTCTAGCGGCGGCGAGGGAGATTCGGCTGATGTTTCATCCGAGTGCAGGCTGAACAGCGAGCAGAGCACCAATTCTGTTGCCACGACGCTGAACTTGTCAGATGAAATAATTTCCTGCCAGAGCGGCCCATCAACAGCAGAAGCATCGAGAAGTTCACCCAGTAGTACATGTGGGACTAGCGAACTGGACGGCGTCGGCGGCAGATCGGGTCGAGGCCGCCAGCGTGCGTCATCACCACCCGAAGCCATTGCTCAGCGACTGAACCGCATGTCGCATCGTGACACTTTGTTCCTTGCAGCCTGCACTGGTGTAGCATCTGGTGATGTGAACGCCGTGCACCAGTATATCCTGGACGGTGGGGAATACACACGAGGCTTAACAGCTGAGGAGGCATCATTGCTGAACAGCAGTCAGCGAAAAAAACAGTCCAATGGCCAACGTGTGGGCCGAAGATTTGACGCTGGCGAAACGCTGGTACATCTATCGCTCGGGTATGTGTTTTTGAATTTGTTTTTCATCCATACAAAAGGGAATAGTGCTTTCTAGCAGGTTTACCAAGTGGAAGGTTTGATGTGCTCCTCGTGTGTGCCCGATGGCAGTCATGAGCCAGTCTAGTGTCAGTCATTTTGGCAGGAAGCATGAGCTCCACGTTGGGTGCAGCGAACTTCTAATTTTCATCTACCGGTATAATGTTTAGTAGCAATAACAATGAGCAGGGCCTACTAAGGGGACGGTCACATTGAGGGAACAATCCTCAGATTATAAACCGGGAATAATTTTATCTATTTTTCATCACGGCCACACTGGATACGCAGGATGAAAAAATCTCACCCACACGTGCTATTTATTGTCACCATTCGCTTCTGGTAGTCTGTCAGCCCCGCTCCTGGGCCAGAGCTGCATCAGCACAGCCTCTAAAAGGCTCTAGAGTATCACTCCACTTCATAATGCAATATAAAAACAAGGAAACTCAAAGAAATCCAGTGATGACTTGAGTGAATCTAGCTGTGCCCGTATACTCCAAACATTTAACTGGTTTGTTTATGTGGTTGAGACTGTATTTGGTACAACTGTAGTAAATTGAATGAACTGGCAGATTGTGGGAATGTGGAGATGCTTACAGGCAGCATACTAGATGGGTAGGCTGATTTGTGGAGTTTTGGGAAGTTCCGTACACGTCTCTATCTCTCTCTCTCTCTATCTCTCTCTCTCTCTCTCTCTCTCTCTCTCTCTCTCTCTCTCTCTCTCCCCCCCCCCCCTCCCCCCTCTCTCTCTCTCTCTTTCTCCCCCTCCCCCTCTTCCCCTCTCTATCTTTCCTCTTTGTTCAGATTTGGAAGAAGCGAACTGCTTGCCGTTCTATTGCCTGGCGCAGATGAACACCGGGTTCGCAAGCGCTTGCCGTCATATGCGCATCAAGTTGTCGCGGATGAGGTGTGTGTTTGTGTATCTTGTTATTGGTGTATAGCGTGTTGATTGGGGGAAAGTGCATCCTTACACACTGCAAAGAAGCTAATGCCAATTCCAATAAGGCTGTCCCTACCATTACTCTTCTAATCACTGCAGGGTAGTAATTTTATGGAGCAGAACACCGTCAGTATATACGGCTTTTGGCGGTGAAGCAGTGACACAACTGCAGCATTCGGCCGTGTCAGAGTGTGTATGTGTGCAGTGCATGTGGGTAGAACAGTAGAGACAGACAAACAAACACACAGACAGAGACACACAGACAGACAGAGACACAGACAGACACACAGACAGACAGACACACAGACACATACTAGTAGACAGACAGACAGAGACAGAGAGCACAATTGACCAACCAGGCTGTTTGCTCCAGAAAATGATGTGTGAGTACATGTAGTACCTTAAAGTCCGCTGCAAACGCCCACTTCGCAGCAAACGCCCACCCCAGCGGGTTCATACTATTTTCGTCTTTTTCTGGTCAATGAAGTTGTAGAAAACTGGCATGAAGGTCGAATGGGTACGAAAACGGCTGTTATGCCTACAAACTGCCTACCGTAATTCCGCGCATATAAGCCCGAAATAATGCAGTTTGGGGATAAAATATCCAGTAAAACATGTTCGTTTTTAGCCCATGGGCCAATAGCTGTAGTCGAATTTTGAAGGTTCACGAAAAAGTACAAGTCCGTGCTCATAGTGGGTCTACCATACTCGACTGGTAAACTGCACTGACCTGCTGTACCATGGTAGGAAGAGTCCATTTTGTGAAAAATTCTTCTTGACATGTGAGTTGCAATTGTGTCTGTTTATTAGCCCATGGGCTTATAAACGGAGGTGTGCTTATATCCGGATATAGGCCCGTGGGCTTATATGCGCGGAATTATGATATGTCCTGCCAGGAGGCTCTGCAAAAGCGATTGTCATTATCTTGCTGCAAAGAAAAACTTCTGTCAAGATTTCCTTTCATTCGATAAATGAGTCGTCTTTGTGGTAGTTCGCTCTCCATGTGATAATGCCGTAGAATCCATATGGTTTTCATGAAATTTCTGAATTGTCCTGACGAAGCGTCATTCAACGACTTGACTGGTCGCAGTATTGCAATTGCAACTCGAACAGGGTATGTCACAGAAGCTACACCTACAGGCTACAAAGTCGCTGCTAACTTGTTGAAAACTCTGAAGCGCTCGAGGAAAACACTTGCCATTGAGCATTGTGTGATTTGGAAATGATGGCTTGAAACACCGACAGAAGTGTATTTGGTTCCTGCAATACTCTGTTCTTCGCTACCTTGTTATTCGGAAGAAACTCCTGTTTGGATTTGCGAATTAAAACAACCATCATCATAAAATCACTATGAGCTAGCTCGTGGCTAGTGCCCAAAGAGATTTTGAAACCAGGAAAGTGGACATAGTTTACCGTAGCAAAGTGCTCTTCGCGCTACGGTGTGAGATGCACTTTCGTACAGTAGGGTTGACAGTGCATGGGGTCAGTGTGTACAGGCCAGCAGATCTTGCAATAATGGGGTGGGCGTTTGCAGCGGACTTTACGGTAGTCTGAGTACAGTGCAGGCATGGATGAGAGTGAGTTCCTGCCTTTTATTATGCAATTTGTAGAGTTGAAGAATGCTGAAATACTTGGATATTTGATTGAACGAAATTGGAGTACAAATCGAACGACTCTTATGCAGGTGCCTTGGGCCCGGGTACTGTCCGTATCTCAAATTTGTCCATAACTCGTATCTACAATGTAACAGTTATCATCTTGGCCTATCATATTATCTCCTTTCTAAGCCCCGGGCTTATATTTTTCCAACTAGTCTGGACCCTGGGTTTATATTAGAGACTGGGCTTCTACCAGAGACGGGGCTTATGATTTTCACCCGTCTGGTACATGTACGTATCCCATGACGTAGTCGAACCAGTGTTGAAAAGAACTGGTCAGCAATGGACACATCCCCGGCAAGTCTAGGACCTGGTTTACTGTCCTTTGGGGTGCAAGTGCCATCGCCACGCCACGCAGTTAGGGTTGCAGCCTTCGGTTCAAGGTGGGAAAGCACAGCTGAAAACAGACCTGCTTGGAAGACCAGTCCAGAACCGACACTGCTCATCCGACTTTTTGATCCAATGTGCACCGATATTCACGTCCGCCAACTCGCTCTCCAATTCACTTCATCACTGCTTTAGCCTCTTCACTTCCGCTTCAAGAGCTGTGCACTGTCTTCTCAGCTCATCCACTTTTGTTACTTTTGTACGTTGGGGTTCATCAGGCCCACACGCTGTTCACAAACAAACACAGGGAAGGGAAAGATAAGGACTGGCATGAGTCAAATGTTCACTCTCACAGAAATGAAAAGGTAAGTGCTGAGGATGATCCTTTCCCCAGGAACACAGACTGGCAGCACGAATTCAATAGCAAGTCCCGTTTCCATTACAATGGCTCACATATGGACTGAAAAATCATGGAACAGAAGAGAAGATACTGGAACCAATCACCTAGTGGATCAAAAAGGGAAAGCAAGTAATGTACACAAAGCAAGTTCTCACATGCACCAATGAAGTATGTGATGCGTTACGACAGTACTTTTTACGCTGTTGGAACACAACATGGGCCTTAGATTCCTACCTGTAAATGCATATGGAATTGGAAATACGGGCACGTTCTTGAAGGGCACGTTCAGTATTTCGGCTCTCCATTGTCCCAAAGAAATCTCATCTTTTTCAACCTTCGGTATGGGACGTATGGCACCATACCGGTATTCTGACTGGAAAAAAAATTCAGGTATAAAATTCGTTGTTGCAGAGAAACAAGAAAGAAATTGGTTTTTCCCGATCTACTCCCATACAAAGTCTATCTCTCTGACGTCATAAATCTGGCCTGGTCTGGGCAAGTTAATGACGTCATCACTATGTCACCAAATTGAGTGCAAACATCAAGCTGGTATAACTTGGGAACGGCTGCTCCGATCAACGTGGGACCTTCACCATTGGACTCAGTGCATTTTTCGCTACATGTGAAGTTTTCATTTTAGGGTGAACTTCCCCTTTAATTGAGAGAGCCTACGTTTCGTTCTTAACTTTTTATTCCTTGTTTGTCTAGGTCCGTGATGAAGTTTCACGGTGCATGCAGCAGCTGAAAGGAGTGTGGCCATGTTATGTAGTCACTCGAGATTGCTTGTTCTCACTTCCTGAAGGTAAGGCTTGCTGCAGGTAGAATCCTGGGAATTCGAATATGGCTACGTAACAATGTCTGATAATTAGAACATGGAACTGGGCATGTCCTCGTTAATTAGAAGTCCCACAGAATCCACGTACATAGAAAATGTATGGGATTTGTGCTGATAAATTCGAAGTTGGCAAAGAATAATTTGAAGCTCACTATACATTATGCAAGGCAGTTCACTTTGCACGAGCAGGCTGTACTGGCCAGTTCAGTGTCCACGAAATCTGTGTCTAAGGTGCATAGCAGGGCCTGCTGGAGAGCCGGGTCAGCCGGGTCACGCGCCCGGCTGGGGAACTGCACGACCTGGCCGAACAGATAACACCGGGTCCAGTCTGACCCGGCTGAAAAATGTCTCAAACTGACAATGGATTCCTAAAATACCGGTATTTTACGACTCGCGGACCCCATCTGTTGCAAATCTAGCACAACCGTTGTAGATCTACACACTACAGTCTACAAGCGACAGAAACTCGGCTACAAGGGTCAACCAGGTCAACTGGGGTCAACTGGTTCGAGCGCGATTTGGCCAGCGGCGAGCAGGAAGTCAGGACATTCAAAGACGTCGATGGCCATATGGGCCATGGGGCAGGCAGTCAAAACTTTCAAAGTAACGCTTTTGACAAAAGCGTTACTTTGGCTACAGCTTTTGACACAGTTGCAAGTAGTTTTCAGCCGACTGGTGATTTGGACGATGGAGCCCGCAGCGAAGAGAAAAAAACTGACGCTTTCCAAGACTCTTGGAAGAAAGGTCGACCCTGGCTGGCCTGGCTGGCCCGGCACCCTCCTGAGTGGGAAACCCCGAAGCAGATTCTTAATCGTACTTGTGACTGGTCATCCCTGAAGTGGCGTCGTCAGATTCTGTCCTTGCTGTATTTTCATCATGTCTTTTACCAGTTTCCGTCTTTGCTAATTCGTTTCAAATTCAATGTATCCCTTAGTTGTCGTCACCCGTCCTCTATAGTTTTACCTCGTTCTGGCGCCCATTTCCTTAAATCCCCTCTCTTCAGTTTATCTGTGGAATGGAACAAACTTCCAGAACACATCCGCTGCGTTCAGTCCTCTGTCAATTTTCGCATTGCTCTAAAGGCTCATTACTCACAGCATAGATATTCTCTGACTGGAATTCCGAACTTTTCCGTTTGAGAATTTTTTTTCCTTAAAATTAATCCTTGCTGGGGTTTTTTCATCTACATGTAAATGTCCCGCTATTATCTGCAGAGGTGATTTCTTCCCTCAGTCGATTTCTTTCCTGCTTTTATACCTCGATATTTACGTACTTGTTTCCCTTCTTCCCATGCTTCATCTTCCACTCTCCTCTCCCCCATTTCCCCATTTTTCTTGCGATATTTATGTGGGAGACTTCCGTGATAAGCATCCATTTGCTTTTGGAGAATCCTTTTAAATAAATACAATACAATACAATACAATACTACGACCATGCCAGTCTATAGTTTGCCTTATTCTCTAAAATTTCCGATTTCCGGTAATAAATTCGCCTTTCTGTTTTCCTGCGTTTTGAGCAGGCTTTTTGGTTGTTTTTCTGCCGGATGATCTGACCCGGCTTGACCCGGCTGGCCTGCATGCGCCAGGTACACTCTGACCAGGCTGTGTTGAATGCCTAGAGCAGGCCCTGCATAGCGCAACTCTGCGTGACAATGCGAACATTTTGACATACATAATGTGTCATTGGTACATGTTTGGATAATTAGAATGTCCGGATAATTAGAAGTTTAGTCTTGGCATTTTGGGGCTCGAATTATCAGGACTCCACCTGTATTACGCTTTCCCTTGTACTTCACCCGCATACAGTACTCAGTAGAGTGCTGTTTGTCTGAACTCCTCGGAGTGCAAGGCTGTCTCCGGAGGGTGCGGATGAGGAGTATGTTTAGATAGGGGAGCGGCCATACCTCCATCTAAAACATGCACATCCCCTTATGTACCCTTAAGTTTTCATCTTTTCTCATTCTCTTCGACAGTACGAGGTGATTCGTCATTATTTAACACGAAAGTAAAAAAGCCTTCCGTAGGGTTCGAGGTGTGAATCTGTCCATTTCTTCCTCTAAAAATGTAATACTGATATCCTTGGATTGCAATGTTGGGTTTGTCATTCACATAATCCTTGGTGTTGGGAAGCAGGTGGCAGTTGAAAAATGGCAATTTTCCGCATATTATTTTGTTGTGGTCATTTCTTAACATCATGGTAAAATAGGCCTTAGCAGCACAAATTCAAGTCAGTTTTCAATAGAAGGAGACTCTACGTATCCAGGATGGTCCAGCAAGACTGGATCAAGATCATGTTCATCCAAATACAAGCCATTCAAGCTTGCATAGCAATATGTGTATCACCCTGATTTCATGTGCAATTGTGATCAACATCTGTTAGCAAATTCAGTGATTGCCAATGTTTGGCCATTACACTAGGGCCAACACACCGACATTCCTCCTTCCCAGGCGTCGTTTCCAGTATGTAGCTATCATATGCTTCCTCTTCAGCTAATATGTTGTCACTGGAGGTTGAAACCAGCGGCTATGACTCTCATGTACTCTACATGTATTTTACCGTAAACATCGCGCACATGCAGACTGAAAGCTCTTGCAATGTCACTTCCTGAAGGAATATCAGTCTCAATTTTGGAGGCGAACTTGACAGAACATTGGCAATGGCAATGGCAAAAAGAAATTTGACGTGACTTTTTGCAGGCGCTGGCAATGAGATATTTTACCGATTTGTTAAGAAATGACTGAATCACCTCGTACTACAGGAATTCTACACACTCCAGCTCCTGAAAATGACACCATGGGGATACATGCTCACGCCCACCTGGTGCCATACATCCTGTACCATTTATTAGTGGTCCCTAGGCTGATTTTCGGATAACCTGCATTCTACTGTTTTTAAATATGATTGTACTGAGATGTACCATATATTCCTGAGTGTGAGCATGTGTGAAGACATGACCAGTGGTTCGAAACTGAAATACAAGTTGAGAAGCACGACTGAAGTTCTAGCAGAAGTTTCCTCCATCTTGTTTGTCCTTTACTCAGAACTGACAACATGTACTTCGAAGTAGAAGCTTGTGCAAGGATTGATTGCAGTGCACGGTACACAGTCGAGTGACGCTGTGTGTGCATTGTATATGGAGTACTGGTTGATTCCTGGCAATATTCGGAGCCTAAGCCGCTGAGGCGATTTTTGAGATTTTAATACTTTTTATACATGTTTTATAGTGCGGCTAACTTTCTGGAGAATGCGGTGTTATCCAACTTGCAAACCAAAGTACTAATACTAACAAAGACAACCAGAAGAACCTGAACTAGAACAAGAACATCTATTACAGCCAAGGGAACGAAATAGGTACTAGTACACATCCAAATGTATCAGTACAGTCAACCTTCACATGTTTTCGAAGTCGACCGCATGTTACAAGGCGAGGACACAGTGCTTCTGATTCCTGGTTTTTTCCCATAAGGCTCAAATGGTCGCAGGACCGGGACTTTTGCCAACCGGGTTATGGTTGTAGTCGGGAGCACTGTGCGTCCTCGCCTTGTAAAATGCTGTCGACTTCGAAAAAATGTTACACCTATCAAGCAAGGCTTCTACCTATATTATTATATACAGTCAACCTGGCACGACCCTCAGTCGTTCATGAGAAATGTGTCGTTATCCGCGAGTTGTCACTATTTGTTAGGTTGAAGCATACAGTCTGATGGTCACTTTAGTTGTGCATGTATCTCTGCACTGTTTGCCATTAAAAAAATGGGATACAGTGTATTTTTGAATATTGTACAGGTGTGTCATCTTTGCTGATGTTTTCCTTCATGTGTGCTTTCTGTTTTCTACGCAGAGATTAGTAGCTTCTCTCAGCCAATTCAGGATCAGCTGCTTCAGGATGTAGTGGATGGCGAAGTGCAAAAAGGTACACTTGGATGTTTGTGGTATTGCATGGACCAAAGAGTCATATCTCTGTGCCCCCCCCCCATCACGAAACAGTATCGATTCACCGGGGGTCATTCACAATACACTGTATAATAGGGAGGGTTTAGTCCCACGTAACGGATACGGGAACGTGGGTGATACACGTAAAGTTCATGCAATGGCCCCACGTTCGCAATGTTGTGTTTAGTCACACGGATTCAAAACTTGTGAAAATAATAAAAGTAAGCACGTTATTTTGGGACACAAGCATCTTGGATAAGGGTTCGTGAAGAAAGAAACGAAAGCACTTCGAAGTGAGCTTGGTTTGTGTTTGTGACGAATATGTGTTGGTCGTCTCTGAATGTATTGTGCCTCGGAGGGCTTTCAAGACGAGCCATCAGGTATCATGAGCTTTTTGATTTTCAGCACGTCAATTTTATCTGAATCCAAGTATCACCACCTTTCCCTGTGAGCCCTCACACAGGCTCAAGAACGACAAGAAAGACTTTGAGAAAGTAAAGTTTTCATGCGACAACAAACAAAAGCAAAGCATGAAAGCGAAAATCCCAAAGACGACGCTTCGAAGCTCATCGAATATTTTGATTTCGTGCTTCGAAACTTCTTCAGCTGAGCACTCTCAAAGCTTGCACAATGCGCTCCATTCTGATTTTACCTCTCGTTCTGGCGGAACATGGGTGAGCCTCCATACACGGCGTGTCGTGAATCAAAAAACGGCAGTCCTTTGGGTCACTGAGTATCATGTGGTACACACACGTATAGTACACACAGATTACGTGGGATTAAACCTCCCTAATACCTGTTTTCAGGTTCACACGCACGCTTCCCACACAGTTGCGGTGACCCGTGGACAGGCCACCTCTGCTCTCAGCCTTCCTACTGCCCACACCCGCTTTTGGCTTTCACTCCCTCGCATACAGCGCAGCTGCCCACTGGAACACCCTCTCTGCTGGATGCCGTCTCGCCGACTCCCCGGCTATCTTTGTCACACTTGCCAAGCAACACCTACAGGGTTCCCTGTAAGAAGGCAATAGCCTGTTTGGATTACCCTAGTAAAATAAAAAAATGATACTATTACTACCACTAACACCAAGGCTACGCCTAATTACGATTCCTATTCACAAACCCTGTTACCCTAATGTATGCAACTAGTAGTACCTATTGTTGAGTGTTCATACTTTCATCAAAGTATACACACACTTTGATGAACGTTTTTCAGAGTTGAATCTGAAAGACGTCACTGATTTTGTGTTGTAATTCACCAGGACGTGATCACATGGATGTATCTGAACATCGTATGCATACAATCCTGTTGCCATGTGACAAAGACAATAGTCCATAGCACATGCATAGTCCTGGCATTGCATGTACATGTGCAACACGTATAGTTCATGGATTTACAGTTCACGTGACTGACGACGCATGAAACCTATTTTGGCCTGTCGAGCTTCAAGCTTCATCGCCACTGACATGAACTGTTCATGTTCAGATTTGACTATTTTTGTTTTTATGGGATCGGTGTGGTGATTTTCTGGACAACAGCATGGTATGGCCGGTGCACATGTGCATTTGCGACCAGGAGAGTCGCTCCCTGTGTACCGGTCATGTGTAAACCAGGCCTTTGGCCAGTCTTTTCTTGACCACTGCTTGCCCCTCCATGGTTGGTGCTGGCAGCGCTAGTCCGGTATTGGTGGCTGGTACTAGTGGCAAGTGTCAAGCTGCTTCCTGTGCTAGTCTTGAGAAGTTTGGGCACACGTGCTGCCGCTCAGATTCTTTCTCTTGGGTGACCAGCTGATACACTAGCTGTGCGCAAGGCGTTACAGCGTGTATCTCCGTGTCTAGTATTTTCCTGTGTCCTGTGATGGTTGTGGAACCCCTAAAAAAAACTAAACCAACTCGGCGAGTGACAAAAGTGTCCCTTCCAGATATTAATTTTTGTGTTTTTGTCTTTTGGTCGCAGAGCTGGAGGAGTCTGACCCGCCGGTTATCAACTGGTGTAACTTGATCACCCAATCGCTGGGCACGAAGCTGTATGCTCTGTGGAACCGCACACAAGGAGATTGCTTGCTCGACTCCGTTCTCCAGGCGACCTGGGGCGTTCAGGATCGCTCGGCGTCGCTGCGGATCGCCTTAGCCGAAAGTCTCAAGGATGGGAAGACAAGGTAATGATTTAAAACTGTCCGCCCCGCTGGGTATGTAGAATGGTGGCGGATGTGGCAGATGAAATCTGGTTTCATGAATAGAGCTACGCGATGCAGACACTGGGCTGCACCATGAACATGGCTCTGCTTTCTTCATGAATGCATGTAGCGATCACTTCTGACTTTGTCAACCACGTCTCCGTGCTTGCCCTTATTTTGTGCTTGAGCCTGTGAAGAAGTCGTCATTATAGCAATGATTTTTGCGTGGAAAGCCAAATCCCCATTTTTATGCTGGAGTCATATCGTCTCACTGTATGCACTTGAGTAACAACTCACACTCCCTTCTTTGGCCTTGTACTTTCGTGTAAGAAAGCTACGACTTTTATCCTGGTACTCCTGTACTGTGATCAATGTAGTGTCATTTCACCTAGTTTCTTACTTACATGCAGCTGTTTACGCGCTGCAGGGAAACCTGGACGTGCTGTGTGTAGTGATGCTTTGTGCATTCATCACTCAGTAATCAATATACACGATCATCACTGCTGGGCTAGTCATGAACCATTCTGGCATTCAACCTGCCTGCAGCCCTGGATAGTACCAAGTCACTGGGGTGTTCGGTCAGGTTTCGGGATCTACTCCTCTCGCCCTGTTGGCTGTGTGCCCTAGCTCTGTTGTAGTATATAAGCTGTTGTTCACATTGATGCTCTTGTCCTTGTAAACTGGACATCCTGGTAGTTGTTGTCACCACGAGTCACCACTTGCATTAGGTTTATATAGTTGGGATTTTAAAGCTGAGCTACACTTTCGTCTCTTTGTTCTTTTCTCAGGTTCTATGAGCGCTGGCGAGATGCTGAGATCCTGCAAGCCCACTCGCTCCAGTATAGCGTGGATGAAGTGCAGTGGCGCTCCGACTTTGCCCAGCTGCAGCACCGTGCTTCCAGCCCCGGAGCATCATTGGAACAGCTGCACATCTTTGCTCTGGCGCATATTCTACGGAGGCCCATCGTTGTGTACGGTATCAAGTTTGTCAAGAGTTTTCGTGGCGACAACCTCGGTCTGGCTCGATTTCAAGGTAAGCTGCTGTTTCACCACCTCAATAATTCCTATGGTCGTTGAAACTTGAAAGAACGCTTTGAGCACGTTGATCCTGGACATGTTTTCACTAGGGATGAAACGAGTACACCGATTACTCGGAACTTACTCGTTATCTCTGTGATCGCTACTCGTTATGCTGTTATCGAGTATGCACGACTTGTATATGTGCAGTGTACATGTGCATAGTACTAGCTAAGTCACACTGTCTGCATAGTCAACTCCAGCACGCGTCATCCAAGGTGACAAAATTCACACCTTTTTCTAGGCACCTTCGCATTTTGGGATCCGGTGTGTCATGCACATATTCCCCGGAGACCAGTAAAATTTATTTGTCATACAAATTCAGCATACTCGTTTTATGATAACTCGATCGTTAATAATAAACGGTACTCGATAAGAAGAAATGGATGATCGTTTCATCCCTAGTTTTTACCTCTACTCTGAATACTTATCTTGAGAGTTTCTGGTTTCATTCACGCACACTTCGTGAAAAAGCGGGCTAATCTTTACAAGCACTCTTTTGTCGTGACAACCAGCTGCTAGGGCCCTGCAGCATATGCTGGGGGGAAATGGCTTATTCTGCTTTTCATTCTGCTCACATTCTGCGGTTGATCATCACATCTTCATCAAGTGATGGAACAACGCCCAGAACTTCAAAATGCTGCACACCAGCTTGCAATTATCTGTCTGGTCTGCTCGGGGAACAGAATATGAACAACCTTGAACTGGGATATAATGCGGAACAGGTCGCTCTCACGGTGGTTGGATCTGCGACGGAAGTAGGCTACCGCTGGTTTCTCTGTGTCCACAGTGATAGCCAGCTGAAGGCACAGCAGCTGCAAGTCGTTGTCGAGTCCTGAAGCACACCGAGCAGGCTCGCCCGGATGGCAAGATAGCTCTCCAAGTTGTCTAGAAATGGCCGGACATGGTCAAAGAGCCTATGGAGCTGCGCAAGCATCTCCCACCAACTCCACCATCTCGTGCTCGAGTAGCACTTGACCGCTTCCCCGGCAGTCGACAGCCAGGCAAACCTAGATGCAGGGCTATTCGCAAACAGTGCCACCCAGGACTGGAGGAAAGTATCCAGCAATGGGGTGTCGAATCTCCTGCCCACGTTGTCCAGGGAATGTGAGGTGCAGATGACGTCTGTGAGATTGGGATACATGATGTCCTTGAGAAATCGGACTGCCGCACCATTGACGCTGGCACCATCACGAGTGACAGCAACCACCTGATCAGCAGGATACTGCTGTTGGGTGGACAACACAGTGATAGCTCACGCGCTAGCTCCTGGCCGTTACCGCTTTTGGACAAAGGACTCGAGTTAGACGTTGGCAAATAGTGTGGTCCGAACGGACAAACCTGAGAGTATTGACACAACCTAGGTGCACATAAGGAGTGTAAGCAGTTTGTCGCACATCCGACCCCCAAAACATACGTTTCTGCTCCCGCGTCCCAGCATTCTGCTTTTTTCTGCTCAATCCGACAAAAACCTTGATCCTGCTCGAAATTCTGCCGGCATATGCCTCTGACCCCTACCAGCTACGAGGAAAAGAAATTTAGAAACCTACTTTAAGAGTAGCTTGTACCAAGAGTAGAAGGCAACACTAACACAAAACGTGCACTTCATGGCTGTCAAAGATTCAGCACTAGCTTCCCCAACCGGCGTACCCCCCCCCCCCTTGTGACTGAATGTGCTCTTGTCGTGTTTTCAGCCAGCTGTGTTGTACACACCTGTGTAAAGTTGTTTATGTTTGCTTTGCTTTTGTGTCCTTGCTGCTTCTGCCCAGGTGTGTATCTGCCCTTGTTATGGGATCCTGAATTCTGTTGGTGCAGTCCACTTACCCTGGCATACACTCGTGGCCACTTTTCTGCTCTCGTTCCCCTCGAAAACTTGCTGACACCCAAGTCGCCGACGGAAGTGCTGCGTGAGCCGCATCCGTCCTCCTCATTTCCGTCAGGGTCCTCTTCCTCCTCTCAGCCACGTTCATCTCACAGTGTCAGCCCTCCATCGCATGCCATCTCCGATGCTAGCGGTGGCGTGTCCTGGCTTCCTCTGGTTGATGCTCACAATGAGCTTCTCCCTGTGCACTTCCTGACCATGGAAGAGGTGAGTTGGTCTGTTGTCTCAATGTGCCATTGTGTCTGCCCAATACTTGGAAAAAAACCCGTCATATTTGAAGGGGGGGGGGGTACTCTTGCCAGTCCTGCTACTCTACTCAATGATTGCGTGGACAGTTTCACTTGTCCCTGATCAAGGAGAGCAAATTCTGATGACCATAGAGACCTGTGGTACCAGAGGAGCAGGTCTGGTCAGAAACAGGGCAAGTAGCCGGCTGTAACTCACAGGCCGTTGGTGACCGCACTGTGCTTTGCATGCATCATTGCATCCATAAACCTAGCTTCAAGTCTGGCTCATTCATGCGTCTTGCCCGTTGTGTTCACGTACTATTCTAGATGGGGAGAGAAGAAGAGCTGCTGCACCGTTGGCTCGATTGTTTTGCGTTTAACGGCTGCCGACTTGCTGCTCGCCAGGTGATGCCCAGAGAGCACCACTTAGTTGAGTCCTTGGTGGACAGTTGGCTCTCGCGATATCGCCGCCTCGAAGCAAGAGAGAGCAGTCCTGTCGAGGCGAGTTGTTCAGTAGACGGGCTTGCTGCGGCGGTTGATCACCTTTAGTATATGACCAGCCATATCTCGAGTCTATCTTCCAACAGCGTTGGAGTCTTTTCAAGTCTCTTTTTAGTCTGCTATTTAATTGTACATATCATGTCCATGTATGGTGTTGGAAATGCCTATACCAATCTACCTTGTTTTAAAAAATATATATTTTTACTTCTCAGCGCTGGCACTAGTGCTTACCGGCAGCTTTTAACACCCCACCGACTGTGTATATACGTCTCCTTGGTCGACTGCAGCGTCCGCATTATCTTTGTCGAATATGTTCTCCATGTGACCCGATGTTCAACTTTCTGACCCAGTACCTGTGAAATATTCCTTTGACCTTGAAAAAAACACTCTTAGTTGCTGGCTTCTGCTTTTTTCCGTCCAGCTTTTCTAAGTATTCTCCTCTCAATGTGCGTATATCATTCAAATACTCTTTTTGTTAACTCCTCTACCACCCACGACTTTGTTCACTAATCGTAACCCACCACGAAATGTCCTTTCTTTTCAAAGCTAACATTGGCTGGCCTGAGTCAATCGCAACTACATGCACTCCAGAAAGATTTTCTGGCGCTAAATTTGTGCTCAAATAATTAAAACAATGATAATATTGTGACATTCTTCAACCAATAATCATGAATCAGCAGCTGTGAAAACCCCATCAAGGGCAATACTACATTACTAGTCCAAGTTGCACTGCACTCAAGGACCATCCATAGATAGTAGACTACTGTAAAAGCAGAAATTTTCGGTGGTGTTTTTATGTTCGGTAACTTCGGTGCCGACAATTTTTACCGAAAATAAACGCACCGAAAATGTCGGTACTACCGGTACTGTATACATTTTATGATTTTAGTACTACCGTATTATCTCTAATATAAGCACGGTCCTTTATTTTTTCAAAGTACCTCCGCCCCGTGCTATTTTAATGGAGACGTTCCTTTATTGGAGACGATTCCGTTATTATTTCAACCTCATTTCAGAGGCATGTTGCCATGCCAAATTCATGTCAGACACACACACATTTCAGGGTTTTTTTCGCCGGTACAGATAATGAATTTACACAGTGTGCTTATAATGGAGACTGAGCACTTTATTTTTTGAATGCCGCCCCAAGGTGTTCTATTATTGGAGACGTGCTATTATTGGAGACTGTGCTTATATTAGAGATAATACGGTAGTACACTTACATGTACCTGGAAAACGGGTTTCACCGAAAATTTCCCTCCACCGAACCGCCGATTTTGGAGAATACCGAAAATATTACACCACCGAAAATTTCTGCTTTTACAGTATTAGATACCTAAATACACAAGGCAGAACAACAAAATATTTAAAAAAAATACGTTTTTGCTTATTTCTGTACACCCTATCATTCGGCTCCTGACAAATGTATCATGTGTACTTACCATTGTGTCTATCTTTTTCGGAGTACTTCAAGTACTTTGATAGTTTTTCAACTCAATATGGATAGAAAGAGCTACCCCCCATCATGATACACACGGTTACACAAATTTAATTACTTTTCTTTGTTGCGGACAACCCCTCAGATATTATGTTCAGTTACTATGGCACAGTTATTGAATATTTCTGTTGCATCAGCAATAAAGCGATGAAGATTGCATGGGGCAGGAGCATTGCACTTGTATGTGATAACGTAGTAACGCACATACAATACAAGCCCACCTTCACTTACTACTACTAGTACATGACTGTATACTGTGACTTCTACTAATCATATGCTCTTATGCACAACCAAAACTCTCACTCAGACACAATGCAAGATAAAACTGCAAACAGCATACAAGAACCCCGAACTGCATGACATCCTCAAGACCTACTTCAAGTAGGCAAACTCAAAGACTGGCAAACGGACTCTGATCGTGCAAGCTCATTATTCTTTTAGAAACTGGGTTTGTAGCAAAAATCACTTGCACGCGCATGTGCTTGTATATGCGTTACTATGGCGCAGTTATTGCCACATGTGTAATCAATCAATCGTCAATCAATCAATCAATAAATCAATCAAAAATGGTCAAGTGTCCAAAGAAAAATCTTCAGAGGGTCTTCCGTTTATAATTAGTTCGGTATGACAGAAGAAAGCATAGCACACTTCAGCTATACCAAGACAGTGACTGCACGTTTGTCCACGATTCGAAATTCTTTCGCTCTCGATTCTCCTCAGCGAATCTATATCGATATCTATATCAATCTCAGGATAACAACAACGATACAATACGGCAGGAAAGGTGCAAGCTCCCACGTAGGGAGCAACACACAATCAGTCTCCAAGTACTAGTATCGCCGAAGTCGCACCAACTTCTTTGATACAATACTCAATGTATATTAAAAAAAAGTGTACTTTGAAGTAGATTGCAAGAAGTTTGCAGTCCATGATCCAGTGGCTTACAATAGTTGTCTACACACAATAGTCACACATGTAGTGCTGTAAAAATTCTGTGAGAAAAATTTTAAAGTTAGAATTTGTTAACCGATCTAGGGTGATTTGCTACAGCGGAAACATGCACTTCATGTAAATTGAAGGACAACATTACTTCTGATACTGGCGCAGAGCTTTGCATGTCACTTGAAGCATCAGAAGGGCCCTTTTCTGCTATCCATTTGATATGATCATCTGGCGCTGCTTTCTAGGATGGCGTCGATACGCTGAAGGGCATCAAGACCGCCAATAGCCAAGGACACGTGGTCACCATTCCCTGGCACCTCTGGCTCTCTTGGATTTATCCGGATAAGGGTGCCGTTGCTCTGTCGGACAGTGTACTCACTCTTCATGCGCACCGTCGGCACAGCGAGGCCGGCGCCGATTTCAACAACGACAAACGCCTCCTTGCCGCCTAGAATTTTGTCAATGAACGCGTCAACGCGCTTGCCTTGCATTTCCGTACGGTCCGGCACCCACGTCCTGTCCATGAACATCAGTACGTTGGGGCGCGATAACCCCCCGCAGCCTGGGCACGAGGGCAGCGGTGTCTTTGCGTTTAATGTCGCCTCGTCCACCTCGAGTCTGACGCCGTTGTCAGCCGGCCATATCTCTTCACTTTTCGGACATTCTTGAGTGCCGGGGCGGCTGATCTGGCAGCATTGCAAGAACTGCAGTGATCCGTGGCATTCCTCAACCAGCTCTTCTGCAAAGCCAGCACGCTGAAAGTGACCATCTATGTTACTTGTGTACACCGCATGCCCAAGCTTCATGTTCCCACCCCAGCGGCGAAGTATGTTGAATCCATCATGTGGAGTGGTGGCATTGTACAAATTCATCCTATGACCAAAGAAACCCCACGCGAACGCTGGGTCATCTTCGAACCAGTGTGGTGTACTGATCGACGGTAGCGTCAGACCACGCTTCTTTAGCGGTGGATATGCTTTCCATAGTCCCTCAGGCCCTCTGAAATCTGGCAGCCCCGAGTCAACACCCATGCCAGCTCCAGCACACACGAGGAGAGCTGATGAGTTCTTCACTGCAGCTGCAGCCCGAACTATGTTAGCTTGCAACGTTGTCATGCTAGTATCTCCTTGGGCCATAATCCGGCCACGCTATTGCACCATCAATGGATCCTTCTAGTCAAGAATAGCAGGAAGCTGCAGATCAGCGCATTGACTGGGAACAAGGACTTGATAGGTGAGCTTCATCGAAAAGGACTCTGAACATTACCGTATTTTTAGCATTTTTGAGAGGTGAAAAGGGTGAAATTTAAAAAATTCAAGAAAATGTTATAAGTCGTAAAAAAATGTGTCGGCGGTCGGATGCTTTGTATGGATATCCGGATCATGGAGTGCACTAGTTCAGTCCAAAATTCTAAAATTGGATTTAGGGCCAACAAATTATACGACTGGAAAGAGAAACCTCTGCAGCCGGAACACACACAGAAAATTGCATGGGTTTATCTGGTCCCAAACCTGAGTTATGAGGCCACAAAGTTGGTATCATCGGCAATCGTCAGAGGCCATGCCACGTCATCAGTGATCGGGGATGAAGAGCGATGGCACAAAAAAGCTGGGTTTCTCAGACCTCATGAATATCATCAAGAGTACATAACTACACAAGAGTGTGCAACTCCAAAATGTGTAGTTATCAAGAGTACATGACTACACGTGTAGTTACATAAGTGGGTATACCCAGGTTTCAACAGTGCTCAACACCACAGGGGCGGAGCGTAACCACAAAGGTCAAAAAGAATGGTTTCACCAATTATTATAGAAACATACGTTGTAACGCTGCGTTTCATGCACGTAGGTAAATGCTAAGGCAATCATCAGACAACTAATGCTTTTGTCGCGGGATAGCTTGTTCTTATTGTGGGGGTAGTTATGTACTCTTGATTTCATCCATAACGAGTGATATACGAGTAATCGGTATAATCGTTTCGGCCCTAATAAGAACAGCTCTCGAACTTTTCGGAGAGTCTTCAACTTTTCCGAGAGGATTTAAGAACGCACCCTAAATACACAAGGCAGAACAACAACATATTTAAAAAAATACGTTTTTGCTTATTTCTGTACACCCTATCATTCGGCTCCTGACAAATGTATCATGTGTACTTACCATTGTGTCTATCTTTTTCAGAGCACTTTGATAGTTTTTCAACTCAATATGGATAGAAAGAGCTACCCCACGGTTACACAAATTAATTACTTTTCTTTGTTGCGGACAACCCCTCATACCCGTATTTTCCCCAATAAATGTACAGTGCTTTTATTTTTTCAAAGGTGGTCAGACCTGTACTACTGTATACATAGGAGACTGTACTACAGTCCATTCCATATAAGTGTGCACTCCTTTCCAGTCAAAGGGCCAGTGTGCACTCTTTTCCATCCAGTCAAAGGGCCATTGTGTATGCCCCATGGATTCTACCTGACATGTAGAATCCATGGGGCATACACAATGGCCCTTTGACTGGATGGAAAAGAGTGCACACTGGCCCTTTGACTGGAAAGGAGTGCACACTTATATGGAATGGACTGTAGTATTGGAGACGTGTACTTTTATTGTTTCTGGGAAGATTTATTGCCTGGGTTGGGTGGCAAACAACTCGTGATAATGATGCTCAGGTAAGGCTGTACAAACACCCAACCATGGTAAGAATCAGTGTACAAAGACACGAAGATGATGAACGGGTAAGAAAGACGAAGTAAGGTGGACCCTAGTATCTGTACCCCACTAATGCCCATCACATCATTCCGCCATGTACTATTATTAGAGACGTGTCCTTATATATTTTCGATCCTCACCCAACATGTACTACAATTGGGGACGTACTAGTTATGGAGACGTGTACGTTTAATGGGGAAAATACGGTATATGTTCAGTTACTATGGCACAGTTATTGAATATTTCTGTTGCATCAGCAATAAAGCGATGAAGATTGCATGGGGCAGGAGCATTGCACTTGTATGTGATAACGTAGTAACGCACATACAATACAAGCCCACCTTCACTTACTACTACTAGTACATGACTGTATACTGTGACTTCTACTAATCATATGCTCTTATGCACAACCAAAACTCTCACTCAGACACAATGCAAGATAAAACTGCAAACAGCATACAAGAACCCCGAACTGCATGACATCCTCAAGACCTACTTCAAGTAGGCAAACTCAAAGACTGGCAAACGGACTCTGATCGTGCAAGCTCATTATTCTTTTAGAAACTGGGTTTGTAGCAAAAATCACTTGCACGCGCATGTGCTTGTATATGCGTCACTATGGCACAGTTATTGCCACATGTGTAATCAATCAATCGTCAATCAATCAATCAATAAATCAATCAAAAATGGTCAAGTGTACAAAGAAAAATCTTCAGAGGGTCTTCTGTTTATAATTATTTCGGTATGACACATGAAAGCACAGCACACTTCAGCTATACCAAGACAGTGACTGCACGTTTGTCCACGATTCAAAATTCTTTCGCTCCGATTCTCCTCAGCGAATCTATATCGATATCTATATCAATCTCAGGATAACAACAACGATACAATACGGCAGGAAAGGTGCAATAATGACAGGTGTAGTGCAGTCCACACTGATTCCACAGTCAAAATGAGACTGCGTTCATTTGTCCAGCTGTAGTATCGAAACAGTCCTTTCTGGACCATGGAAAATCATCAACATTTCGAGAAGGAGCTTCGAGCAATGTTTGATTTCCTACATCGCGGTCGCTAGTTACGGGTCAAAACTCGACATTGAGACAAGAAAAGGCGGTCGCTGGTCGCGTTCAGCAGGTAGTCGCTAGTCACAGTGCATTTTTAATGTGAGACCGTCCGTGCCTGACGAAGTGGTCGGTAGTACCAGGCCGGTTGCTAGTCACGGTGGTCGTAAGTTACAGGTTTTACTGTATATTAAAAAAAAGTGTACTTTGAAGTAGATTGCAAGAAGTTTGCAGTCCATGATCCAGTGGGTTACAATAGTTGTCTACACACAATAGTCACACATGTAGTGCTGTAAAAATGCTCACGGTGAGAAAAATGTAAAAGTTAGAATTTGTTAACCGATCTAGGGTGATTTGCTACAGCGGAAACATGCACTTCATGTAAATTGAAGGACAACATTACTTCTGATAGTGGCGCAGAGCTTTGCATGTCTCTTGAAGCATCAGAAGGGCCCTTTTTTGCTATCCATTTGATATGATCATCTGGCGCTGCTTTCTAGGATGGCGTCGATACGCTGAAGGGCATCAAGACCGCCAATAGCCAAGGACACGTGGTCACCATTCCCTGGCACCTCTGGTTCTCTTGGATTTATCCGGATAAGGGTGCCGTTGCCCTGTCGGACAGTGTACTCACTCTTCATGCGCACCGTTGGCACAGCGAGGCCGGCGCCAATTTCAACAACGACAAACGCCTCCTTTGCGCCTAGCATTTTGTCAATGAACGCGTCAACGAGCTTGCCTTGCATTTCCGTACGGTCCGGCACCCACGTGTCGTCCATGAACATCAGCACGTTGGGGCGCGATAACCCCCCGCAGCCTGGGCACGAGGGCAGCGGTGTCTTTGCGTTTAATGTCGCCTCGTCCACCTCGAGTCTGACGCCGTTGTCAGCCGGCCATATCTCTTCACTTTTCGGACATTCTTGAGTGCCAGGGCGGCTGATCTGGCAGCATTGCAAGAACTGCAGTGATCCGTGGCATTCCTCAACCAGCTCTTCTGCAAAGCCAGCACGCTGAAAGTGACCATCTATGTTACTTGTGTACACCGCATGCCCAAGCTTCATGTTCCCACCCCAGCGGCGAAGTATGTTGAATCCACCATGTGGGGTGGTGGCATTGTACAAATTCATCCTATGACCAAAGAAACCCCACGCGAACGCTGGGTCATCTTCGAACCAGTGTGGTGTACTGATCGACGGTAGCGTCAGACCACGCTTCTTTAGCGGTGGATATGCTTTCCATAGTCCCTCAGGCCCTCTGAAATCTGGCAGCCCCGAGTCAACACCCATGCCAGCTCCAGCACACACGAGGAGAGCTGATGAGTTCTTCACTGCAGCTGCAGCCCGAACTATGTTAGCTTGCAACGTTGTCATGCTAGTATCTCCTTGGGCCATAATCCGGCCACGCTATTGCACCATCAATGGATCCTTCTAGTCAAGAATAGCAGGAAGCTGCAGATCAGCGCATTGACTGGATCATGGAACAAGGACTTTCAATATCCGAGATAGGTGAGCTTCATCGAAAAGGACACCGAACATTACCGTATTTTTTTGCATTTTTGAGAGGTGAAAAGGGTGAAATTAAAAAAAAATTCAAGAAAATGTTATAAGTCGTAAAAAAATGTGTCGGCGGTTGGATGCTTTGTATGGATCATGGAGTGCACTAGTTCAGTCCAAAATTCTAAAATTGGAATTAGGGCCGACAAATTATGCGACTGGAAAGAGAAACCTCTGCAGAACACACACAGAAAAGTTCATGGGTTTATCTGGTCCCAAACCTGAGTTATGAGGCCACAAAGTTGGTATAATCGTCAGAGGCCATGCCACGTCATGATCGGGGATGAAGAGCGATGGCACAAAAGAGCTGGGTTTCTCAGACTTCATGAATATCATGCATACACAGTGAATGTATGCGCGATATGCGGGTTTTTGCGGGTGTTGTTGGAGAGTGATGGAGAAACCCTCGCACATGTAGAATAATACTGATACCTAAATACACAAGGCAGAGCAACAAAATATTTAAAAAATAAATATTTGCTTATTTCTTTACACCCTATCTCCTGACAAATGTATCATGTGTACTTACCGTTGCGTCCATCTTTTTCAGAGTACTTTGATAGTTTTTCAACTCACTATGGATACAAAGAGCTACCCCCCCCCCCCCCCATAGTAGCCTGCAATTATTTCTATTGCATCAGCCAATAAAGCGATGAAGAGTGCATGGGGCAGGAGCATTACACTTGTATGTGATAACGTAGTAACCATGGCAACGCACATACAATACAAGCCCGCCCTCACTTACTACTACCGGTATAAGCGCACTCCAAGTGCATGTGGGCTTCAAAGATATACAAGCGCAGTCAACCCACGCCCACCGCTCTACCAAGTCGACTGTTGAAAGGGGCCGTAGGCCTGTTCGCGGACATGCTGCAGTTCCGTTGTCCCGAGGTGGCCCACCTACCGAGGGGCGCCGAAAAGGAGGCATAGGCCTGTTCGCGGACATGCTGCAGTTCCGTTGTCCTGAGGTGGCCCACCTACCGAGGGGCGCCGTGCATTCGGCCGTCAGCAACAGTTAAACAAAAACACAAGCACACTGTCAAGGTAAGGACATTATTGTATTATTGTATTGTATCGTATTGTATGGAATATAATTTTACCTCATTGGCTCAACAGGTCAATGTACATGTATTACTACAAAAAGCCAGAAAATCCGATTATATGGAGATAAAAAGGAAAAGAAGGAGCAAACCAAAAGTGGATGAAGTGAGAGAAAAATAACAATCCGCAATAAATTCTGCAAATACTTTTGCCTAACTAATATCCAAACTGATTGAAACCTTTTTGCAATACAATGATGTAGCCAATCAAAGGAAAAAAACATGTCCATCAGTTCACATGCACGATGAGCTACAAGTAGGCAAAAAAGCATAGCGTAGGGCCCTGAGCTTCCAAGCTCTCTCTGTTGTGTCTCTAACCAAGAGACTGTGGGTTCACACGTAGAGTTTACATACAAGTTTATTCTACGGTTGCAAAGCAATAAGAAGCGTTGAGGTATGATTGTGCTAGAGGATATAGGAGTTGTATCCCGGGTGCGGGATGCGTTGGGTGTTGGGTGGCAGTACAATGAATTGCTATAGAGAGTTCATGCCTAAGCGGTTGTGGGTTTAGGGTGGATCAATAGTACTTGCAATTAGATGAATACATGTCTGGTACATACACTACATTCCTCCCCTAAATGTTATGGTACATGTTGAGCTACGAGGTATTCCTATACGGCATAACATTTAATGCACAAGAAGAAGAAGCGGATGAGCTGAGAGCACGGGACAGCAATTGTGTGAGCAAGAAGCAATTCAGTCTCTCAGGCGAGCCGGCAGGACTCGGGCTCTCGGCGGGTTACGGCGGGGTTCAGTCGTATCTTGTGCCAGCGGCGACTGGACCTGCTGCGTTGCCGTAGTTGCTGCTACTGGTGTTTGCGCAGGCGGAGGTGTTGGAGTAGCAGCGGCTTGGACACTGGGTGGTGTCGGAACACTAGCTGGCGAATGAGCAGTCGGAAAGCACCAACTGTGATCCGGTTCTGCCACGGACGGCAAAGGCGCTGTGTTCATCGGTACGGATGATTGCGGAGCGGAGTCGGCTGACCGGAGCTGTTCAACATGGCGCCTCCATTGCTGGTCTGGGCCAACTTCCACTGTATAGTGGCGGGAGCCGTTTTCCGCTTGCACTGTGCCCTGAATCCACGGGTGTGGTGCGTTGGTGCGGTAGTCACGTACCATGACGGTGTCATCCACAGCAAACGTGCGCTCACGGTTCGCTGATCTTGCACTACGCTGAGCTGTCTGTTTCTTAGCAACAGATGCCTGGACACTGGGTTGAACCAGCGACAGCCGAGTGCGTAGCTCCCGGTGCATTAGCAGGGATGCTGGTGTGGCATTTGTTGTAGCATGGGGTGTGGTGCGATAGGCCAACAGGAAGCGAGGCAAGAACTCAAGCGGTGCTGTGGCAGAATGGGACCTGAGCGCCTGCTTCATTGTACGCACATCGTTCAGCCAACCCGTTGGTCGCTGGGTGGTACGGTGCTGAGAACGTGTGCGTTATGCCGTTGGTTTCTGTGAAACGGCGGAACTCATCGGCAGTAAACTGCGGCCCGTTGTCACTCACGATCTGGTCCGGCAGGCCATGTTGAGCAAACACTTCTCGGAGACGGCGTATGGTAGCCGGGGCAGTGGTGCTGCTCATTGGGAGCACTTCTGGCCACTTACTGTGGGCGTCCACCACAATCAGCCACATGTGCCCTTGGAACGGCCCGGCAAAATCAATGTGGAGACGCTGCCATGGCTTGGACGGCCACTCCCAGGGATGTAGCGGTGACTTCGGTGGCGCCGCCTGGTGTGCCTGACAGCCAAGGCAGGCCTTGCCGGTCTGCTCGATGTCTGTGTCGATGCCTGGCCACCATACAAAGCTGCGGGCTAGTGCTTTCATCCGAACCAGCCCAGGATGGCCACTGTGCAGCTCCTCCAGTACTCGGCGGCGCAGTGGGGAAGGAATGACGACACGGATTCCCCACATGACACACCCTTGGTGTAGGCCCAGCTCATCTTTGCGTCGTACAAACGGTTGCATGTCACCGTCGGTTGTTGACAGGGCCCGTCCGGTGCTGACACTGGTTAGGACCTTGGCGAGAACTGGGTCACGGTTTGTGTGACGCGCAATTTCAGCTGCCGTGACTGGAAGCGGGTCGATCTGGGCCATGTTGAACACGTCTGCCCAGTCTAGGCTCTCATCCTGTGGTGAGTGTGGCAACGGTAGTCGTGACAGGCCGTCAGCGTTTGCATGATCGGCTGATTTGCGGTACTTGATCTCATAATTCATGCTTGCTAGGAAGATAGCATACCGCTGTAGGCGGGCCGTCGTCATGGCTGGCAATCCCTTGCTAGGACTGAAGATGGCTGTCAGCGGCTCATGGTCCGTCAGCAGGACAAACGGTCGGCCAAACAGGTACGTGTGGAATTTGCGGACGCCCCAGACAATAGAGAGCGCCTCCTTATCGATCTGGGCGTACCGCTTCTCGGTGTCCGTCAGGGACCGTGACACGAAGGCAATCGGCCTTTCCGTACCATCCGGCATGATGTGCGAGAGCACCGCCCCCAGGCCATATGGCGATGCGTCGGTTGCCAACTGCACGGGTAGGTCGGCATCAAAGTGCATGAGGACCTGATCCGAGGCGATGGCTGCCTTGATAGCCTTGAATGCAGCCGCGCATTCAGCTGTCCAGTGCCAAGACTGACCCTTCCGGAGCAGGTTGTTGAGTGGATGCAGGGTCGTGGAGCAGTCTTTGAGGAAGCGCTGGTAGTAGCACACCATGCCCAGAAAGCTCCGTAGCTGGGACACGTTCTGCGGTGCTGGGGCTTCGTTGATAGCCTTGACCTTGCCATCAGTCTTGCGCAAGCCGTGGCGACTGACAATGTGTCCACAGTACTCGACTTGGTCTGCAAAGAACGTGCACTTGGCCGGGTTGACTCTCAGGCCGTGGTCCGACAGACGACTCAGGATGCTTTCCACATTGTCCAGGTGGTCATCGTCGTTGCGGCCGGTGACAATAATGTCGTCCAGTAGGCAGGCCTGGCTTGGGACGCCGTTCAAGATGCGGTCGATAGCCTGTTGCCAGAGCGCTGGGGCAGAGGCAACACCGAACCCGAGTCGGTTGAGCTGATACAGGCCCTTGTGCGTCGTGAGTGTGAGGAGTGGTTTGGATGCGTCATCCATCTCCATTTGGAGGTATGCCTGCTTTAGGTCGATTTTGGTGAATCGCTGGCCTCCAGCCAGGGTGGCGAAGACATCTTCCACGCGTGGTAGCGGGTGCTGGTCCACCTTCAGGTGTGGATTCAATGTGGCTTTGAAATCTCCACAGAGACGAACTGAGCCGTTGGGCTTCATCACAGGCACAATAGGTGTCGCCCACTCACTCCACTGTACCTTACTCACGATACCCAGACCTTCCAGCCTGTCCAGTTCAGCTTCCACCTTTGGCCGCATGGCGTAGGGCAATGGGCGCGCCTTGAGGAAGCGAGGGCTTGCATCGTCCTTCAGCTGGAGACGAGCCTTGGCGTCCTTGAGCTTGCCAAAGTCGTCGCTGAACACATCGGAGAATTTCTCCTTGAGCTGCTCAAGACGCGTACCTGCTGATCCTGGATGCTGCTGGCCAGGGGACACGGTTGCGGAGGGGACGTCCGCCATCTCGACCTGGAACAAGCGCTGCCAGTCGAGAGCGATGTGGGCAAGCAGGTCCCGGCCACAGAGCGCTGGCCCCTGCGTGTCCACCACATGCAGTGGTAGCTCCGCGGATTGATGGTAGTATTCCACGCGTGCTACGAACGTTCCGCGAGGATGCACGGGCTCGCCGGTGTACGTACGCAACTTCAGCTTGCTCGCGGTGAGAGGCGAGGCAGACAGCGACTTTCGATAAATCGCACTCGGAATGATTGACACCGCAGCTCCAGTGTCGACCTGCATGCGGACCGACTGGCCATTGACGATAGCATCAATCCAAAGTGCCTTCCTCACGGTCGCGGGTGTCGTTTCATCCGTGGCGACTGCTGGCGCTTGAAGGACGTCTGCGGCTAGAAGAGAAAGTGAATTGAACTCGTCGTCGTCCGCGACATCGACAGCCAAGCTGTGGCAGGCGCTGCTACCACTTGAGCGTTTCGCTGAATCTGTCGATCTTTCCGCGAGGCGCTTCTTGCAAACCTTGCGGAGGTGCCCAGTCTTCCTGCAGTGGCGGCATTCATATGCCTTGAAGGGACATTCACTTGCGCCGTGTGCCGTCGAGCCACAGCGGAAGCATGCTGAATAGCTCGTACGGGATTGACCTGAGTTCGCGGACTTCGCACCTCCGAACGATGGTCTGCCAGCACGACGATGTTGCGATGTGCCCAGAACGTGTACACCAGCAGCAGTGGCACTGCCCGCGAGCTCGGATGCATCGCGAGTGGCTACCTCCAGGCTGTTGGCTTTCTCGATGGCGGTCTTCAGAGTGAGGTCCTTCTCTGCCAACAGAACTTTGCAGAGAGCTTGACTCCTGATACCACACACGAAACGATCCCGCAGCGTGGTATCCAGGACATCGCCAAACTCACAGAATCGTGCCAACCGTCGGAGCTCCGCGAGGTAGGCATTTACTGACTCTCCTTGGCGTTGATCCCGCTTGTGGAAACGGTATCGTTCCGCGATCACCAAGGGCTTCGGAGCACAATGCGCAGCCAGCGCGTCGGACAGCTCCTTCAGCGTCTTGTCCTTCGGTTTGTCCGGGCTGACCAGGTCAGCCAACAGTTTGTAGGTCAAGCCACCAATCAGGGTCAGGAAGGTGGCTACTTGCCTGTCTTCGGCCACATTGTTGGCAGCGAAGTACTGCTCGACGCGGTCATAGTACGTAGACCAATCCGTCGTTCCAACCGAAAATGGTTCCATGGCTCCAATTGCAACGGCCATCTTCGTCGCCAGTTGTTGTGTCTCTAACCAAGAGACTGTGGGTTCACACGTAGAGTTTACATACAAGTTTATTCTACGGTTGCAAAGCAATAAGAAGCGTTGAGGTATGATTGTGCTAGAGGATATAGGAGTTGTATCCCGGGTGCGGGATGCGTTGGGTGTTGGGTGGCAGTACAATGAATTGCTATAGAGAGTTCATGCCTAAGCGGTTGTGGGTTTAGGGTGGATCAATAGTACTTGCAATTAGATGAATACATGTCTGGTACATACACTACACTCTCGTTTAAAATAATCTTCAAGAAAATTAAAAAAAAATCGTAAAAAATGCGTCGGCGGTCGGATGCATGCTTTGTACCGGTATGTAGTGCACTACAGTGTAGTTACTGTAGTACATGTACATGTAGTACTAGCGACTTCAGTCCAAAATTCTAAAATTGGAATTAGGGCCAACAAATTATACGACTGGAAAGAGAAACCTCTGCAGAACACACACAGAACATTTCATGGGTATATCTTAGGGGTGAAAGGATTATGTGGTTTAGTCGATAAATTAGTCGAAAAAATCTAGTCGATTACGATTTTTCTAATCGCTACAGCATTTTCGTACGACATACTATACGGTACGACGAAATATCCGGCATGTGCAGTGTGTCTACATGACTTTACTGCGTGCAGCACATGTACCAGAGTACGAGTGGATGCGCGCGTGCAGCGCTCACAGCGAGTTGCTCATGCTCTGGATACACACTACACGCGTAGACTCTACCCGGTAGATCTACCTGATGTACTCTCTAGATCTATTGTATGACACGCGGCTCTTTTCTCTGCACCGTGCACTGATTCGTACCCGCAAACTTTCGTTCCGGTTGCTTCACGGAACTCACTATTCTGGACAAATAGCCTTCAGAATCAGTTTGTGCCTGTGCGACGGTCGATGTTTCCTTTATTTTTTTCTCTTCGAAGTTCCAAAATTGATTGTAGTTGATGCAAAATGGTGAGTTTTTTCGTCAGTGGTGCTTAATCGATAATAATCGATAAGTAATCGATAAGTTTTGGATTAACCGTTAAGGAATATCCCTTAATCGTTTCACCCCTAGTATATCTTGTCCCAAACCGGGGTTATGAGGCCACACAGTTGGTATGCAATCGTCAGAGGCCATGTCATGCGAGTCATGATCGGATGCAATCAATGTATGCAGAGCGATGGCACAAAAAGCCGGGTTTCTCAGACCTCATGAATATCATGCATGCACAGTGAATGTATGTGCGATATGTGGGTTTTGGTGTTGTTGGAGAGTGAAGGAGGAACCCTCGTACATGTAGATGTTGGACGGGATGTGCTCTGCTTCGATGAATTGAAATAATCACCTCCTGCTCAAGCACCTCCAGAATCTTGACATGAAGAACAGTATCGGATTTACAAGCCAAAGGTCTGCTCGCTCCGTCACCTAGAGCACCTCAAATAGTGCACTCCATAGCCGACTTCAGCCGCTGCGCACAAATTCTTCAAACTACTAAAACGGCTACTCTTACAAAACCACCAGTTCTCAAGTGGGGAAGGCCTTCTCGCTTATGTCATGACATTGTATTCGTTGCAATGTTGTATCTCGACTCCGCCGTATCGCTGATGTTTGCTGCATGGCATACGCTAATATGCGCTGTGTGCGGTTTGCTGTATACGCTGTCATGTCATGTTATATTTGTGTATGCTTTTCGTATACATGTACGCTGTTTTGCATGCTATAAATAGCTGGTGATATTAGTGTTAGTTTATTATACTGTTTTGCATGCTATAAATAGCTGGTGATATTAGTGTTAGTTTATTATTTATATTCGATGAAGTGAAATATACCCTTAAAGAAGCAATAGTTGTCATCGTGCAGTGTCGTCGTTCGATCCTGACAATTTAGAGAATCACAAGGGTTCACAACATTTGGCGACCACGCCAGGATCGAAGCAAGCATGGCAGAGGAACTACCGTATTTTCTCTAATAAGAGAAAATACGGGGTTCTTATTTTTTCAGTGACAGCTCTACCCGTGCTACTATTACTAGATTGGGCTCATATTTTTTTCAATTGTCAACTATCAAGCCAACTCCAGTCTATACAGGCATAAACTGACCATATCAAGACTGATTCTTCAACCCTAAACTCAGGAATATTGTCAAAACAGATGTTTCACAATAGCTTTGGCGCGAGGAAGGAAGCAGTAGATCAAAAACCTCCTTACAAATAATTATGTTCTTGGCGTGTTGTACTGCTGTTTTATATGCAGTCAATATACTTGTTGCATATTCCAATTGTGACCCGCGCTACTATTAGTGACTGTGCTCTTAATATTTCCTCACCCCGGGTCATTATTGGAGACTGGGCTATTATTGGAGACCTGGGCGTTTATTAGAGAAAATACGGTATGTAATTTGGAAGCCAACTTTATCGCCAACGGAATTCGGTATGGATTTGAAGGCGATAGGTTGATGGAATATGTGGAGCAGAGGCTCCGACAGTGCGAGGAGCGTGAGGAGCGCAGTGACAGACGGCAAGAGGAGGCGCTCCGCACCGAGTTTGACAAAAAGCTCAAGGAGATTAGCGAGCGCATCGCCAAGGCGTATGAGGGTGATGGTGAAGCTGCCAGTGAGAGTGCGATGGGAAGTACAGCGGAAGCTCCCAGTCACAGCGGTGGGCGTAAACCGTTGATAAAAATCCCCTCATATGATGGAACGCAGCCACTGGAGCGTTATCTCGACCTGTTCGAGGACATCTGTTCCAAGAAAGAGTTTGAAGAAAGCGAATTGCTGCTGCGATCGCGTGTCGCGCTAGCGGGTAGCACAGCGGAGAGGATCTGTACTACGAGGAAGCAAAGCGAGAGTTGCTTGCCTCGCCGCCGGAAAGACGCCAGACAAAGCGTGGAAGACGTTGCTGACAGGCAAGCAGCGGTCAGAGGAGTCTTTTCACCAATACGTTGTCCGTGTTTGCCGTGAGGTAGAGGTGTGGGCCACATTCGCTATGACGGAAGATAGCAAGGTGGACACCAAGTATAGCGCCGATATAGGTAAAATGGCCCCTGTGTTGCAAGCAATGGCAAAGCAGGTGATCTTGGATCAATGCGGACCTGAGATGAAGACGTACCTGGTCGAACGGCAGTGCTACGGGATGTCTCTGCGTCAGGTTCAGGAGCACGGCGCGTATTACCAGGTCACGCACGGACGACAGGGTGACACTGCCAGGAAGCCAGTGGAACGATCAGTGCCAAGGCCCACTGCGTCGGCGTAGTGCATGGCGATACCGGTCGCAGACGCAGAGAAGCAGCTGAAATCGCTGCCAAAGGAAGGGAGAGGGTTTTCTGCAGCGAGAGAGACTCTGCTGGAGCTGCGTCAAGTATGGCCATATGGCAAGGGAATGTCGGTCAGGCTCGAAGTGCACGAAGTGCCAGAGGAAGCACCATCTGCTAATACATGATGTGTTGGATGGAGCAGGTTACAGCCGGGAGAAACCGACTGAGATAGAAACGGAGAGGAAGGTTGGATCGTGCTGTCTTCACTGAGCAAGTGTGCGGCTGATGACCGGAGTGGCACGAGTTGAGGGAAGAACTCGAACGGCGAAGGTTCGCGTGTTCCTGGACTCGGGTGCTGAGGCGTCATTTGTGACCGTTCAGCGTTGGTGTCAGCAATCGATGCAGAACACGTTGGTGTTGAAAATGTAGAGGTGAAGCCGTTCGGCGCGCAACCCACCCAACAGCGCATGGATAAGTACGCCATCACGATCCAGGGTAGCTCCGCTAGCATTCCGGTACGCGCTTTCGTGAGACCAACGCTAGAGCTAGATCTGAAGTGCGCAAGTCAGCAGACCATTGCTCAGTGGTACAGTTGGGGAGTAGAGCTGAGTGACAAGCCTCAGCAAGGGACATCAGATGATATACACATGCTGATTGGTGCCGAATATCAACGCGATACTGCACAGCAAGGAAGAAGTCAACATGATGGCGAGACTGTGGAACACAGAGATCGGTAGTGTATTATCTGGTCCAGCGTCCGCACCCAGTCGAAACAGTCAGCCGGCGACCGTGTCATGTATCACAGCCCACATCGACAAACTATGGCAGTTGGATGAACCTCCAGAACAACATCAGCACTTGCCGTCTTTCCCGCTATGTCGCCAGGGCAGCGGGTACCAAGTGGGTCTCTTGTGGCAAAATGAGCGCCGCCCAACGGATAACTATGCTCAAGCTAGAGTCATCCCAACGCGGCTTTTGGTAAAGCTAAAGCGGAATGGGAAGCGTACGCTCTATGATGATGTACTGATCAGGGAGTACCACGAGCTTGGAGCAATTGGGCTTGGAGCAATTGAGTTGGAGCCATGTGAGAGCGATGCCGGGTACTACTGTCTTGGACATGGAAATCCGGTCGCACGTCTAGCGGCCCCAGTGCGCTGGTCATGCAGCCGTGAGTAAGCGGTACACACATTCATTTCTGCGCTGCAGCGTGCTGGTCGCATCGGATCAACATGTGCACTGCATGCAACGACTTACGTTCTGTTGGCACTGAGGGCGCCGGCCCCGGTCATTCGACCAGATTTCCACGTCCACGACAGTATGTATCGCATCATGGTGTATTCCGCGAGCACGCTGCAACCACTAAGTTCAGAGTGGTGTTCAATGCCTCGGCGACCGACGGCTCCAGATGGCAAGTCGTTGAACGACATGGTTGACCCTGGACTGTCGCTATTGCCGAGTCTCGCGGGTATGCTGTTAAGATTCCGTGAATATCAGAGCGCGCTGCAAGCGGACATCTGCAAGGCTTTCTACATGATCGCGGTTAATCCCGAAGACCGTCCGTACCTGCGTTTCCTGTGGCCCGGTCGAAGCGACAGCGACGAAATGTTAACCTGGAGGCTAACGAAACTGCCATTTGGCGTAAATTGCTCGCCATACATGCTTACTGCGGTGATTCAGCATCACTTGAAGGAGCTACGTGCGCTGTCCGCACCCAAAGAGCAAGACC